TCTCCATCAGTCTTTGGCATGATGTCCCTCTAATAAGCGAGCCAGTTAGGACCTGTTCTGAGTTAGGAATGCAGACTCGGTGATGAACTGTGCACATGCCAATGTGTGAGGCGTAATATGAAGCTTGCATCCAGTGGGGCGCCGGAATGCCTAGCCTGTTCTGGACACCCTCTCGCATGAAGTATGCATAGACGAGCCTTTCGCCATCTGCTCGAGTGACGCCATGACGAATCGCCTTTCCACAGAAGGCTATGACAGTTCCAGGACTATAATCGATGACGACACGCATGGCGGGGAACTTCAACCACACGCAAGTGTAGTTGCCCAACGTCGCCAACAGGTCGTAGAAGGTGTATCTTGTCTTGCTATCTCGGTGGAAAGGAGTTTCCCGGTTGGTGATCACCTGGAGCGCATTGAATGGCGACGACCAGTTCAGCGCCATCTCTCGCAATTCTGGGTCTTGCTGGATCAAACCCAAGCACTGGCGTCCTGCGGCATATAGTGTTGGGTGAACGACGGTCAGGATGGTGCCCAGCAATGCGGAGGAGTCATGAATATCACGCAGCCAACTTCTTCCACCCTCAAGCTTCAGGCTGGCGGAGGTCTCCAGCCTCCCAGACTCCATATGCTGCAAAGGCTGTCCAGACGCAAGGCAAATGGCGTGGCGAGGAGACCCACCTCTCTTACTTGTTGGAACCAACCTGGCAAGAGACACAAGGAGCCCGCTGGGAATTGGGCACACTCCTCAGGAGGCAAGAAGTACAACGGGTTGTGTCGCCAACTGGCGGTGGTGCTGGAAGGCTTACTGGCTGCTATTGCTGGGTGTAGGGCCCTGGTCGCTTGGAGCATCTTCGTCTGACAAATTTGTCAGATCACAGTGCAAGGCTGGGCAAGCCACTCACCTGGCAGTCTGGTATCAACACTCTTGGAAGTATCCAAGCTAAGATGTGTCCGTGCATGTCCACGAGGGTGGCAGGCTGGTCTATGCGTATTTCGCTCTCACCAAATGGAGGAGGCCACTTCCGTTCCAGTTCTGCCTCGAGGACTTCATTCTGCCCCGTGGGCTGAATCGAAAGGCTGTCACAATATCTATCAATGTCCCACTGCAGCCTTACTATTACAATGGCGTGATCAGTGTGATCAGACCTGCGGCAAGACTAATGACTACCAGGATTACGGATGGCCTTCACAAGAGCATCTGCAATGCCATTGCACTCCAATAGGAGGGCGGATGGCATGGACGGAGGCACTTCTATAGATGGCGCAGAATGGGCTGCATGAGTGGCCAGATGGAGCTTTCGGCGGAACATAAGCTCCAAGACTCCTGCTATCTGATCGGTCAGTGGCATGGGTGACAGATTGCTCATCTTGATACTATCTGCCAATCAATGGGACGATTACAGCATGCATCGGTTGAAGGAATGCACAGGTGTATGGCGGGCTCAGGCGGTTGGCTTGCAGATGCAGGGGAGAATGTAGGAGGGGCCAGAATGGCAAAGAACAGTATGCATTCATCTGCCTGCATATTGCTTGCAAGCACGTCCCTTGCACATCTCACATGTTCATCATGCCGCCGAGCCGGACTTGATGCCGCCATGCCGGATCACGGGCCGGGTGGTCCGCCATGTCTGGGCCCTTCGTCACCGCCATCTAATTGGCCGAGCCTAACTCCGAGGAAGCCCTTTATCCCACAGATTGGCATGCAGATGATTGCCAGATTGCCTCCGCCCAGCATTCGCGAGATGAAGTTGGCGTGGTGTGCTCTGCCATAGAAGCGGCATTCAACATTGCCTTTCACCAGGCATGAATGCTAGTGCATACCTACTACCACCTCCCGCCACTGCGAAAAATACACATACAATGCTTCAGCAGTCACCACACACCATGGCGAGGAGGGTAATTGGTGTAAGCCCAAATGGGCCATCAGCACGTGCATGTTGAGTTGTGGGCGGCCGACGAGGAAATGGACAGAGCGCTGCCCGTTGAACTATCGACCCCCTTCACTGCCCCAACACAAAAATCTCATCCTCGACATTGAGAAAGCATGCCGGCGAGATTTGTAATTTTGACGGAGCATCAGCCCATACTCTCTGAGAAGCTGCGGTCTTATGACACGGCAGATGCCAAGGGACACAAGACTCTGGTTCAGAGCTTGCGCCAGAAGCTGAAGACACAGTTTGTCGACACGTCAAATTATGACGACATCATTGTGGAAACTGTGAGCAGTGTTTCATGTCTGTGAGGTCCCCACTAACTCTCACCACAGAAAATCCGAGAGTGGCTCAATAACCATGCCCGCCATGTGCAGGAGAAAGCGACGAAAAAGCGTATGCATGTTTCTGGCAAGCCCAATGCCTTCAATGTGTGGGATGCGCTGGAGAGGGACAAGGTGACTGAGGCCGCACGAGCACTCACGGCAGATAAGGGTTGCAATGTCTCCAAGGTGTGGAGAGTCGCACGGAGTGCCGAATGGGCAAAACTGTCCGAGGAGGAGCAGAAGGTGTATGAGGAAAAGGTGGAAAGTTGGCGCAATGGCACTCTGGATGATAAGACGAAAATGAAGTGCGTACCTCCTGTCACGTAGCATAAGGCAAATCCTGACCTAAGACAGGCTGAGGGAGCAGCGAATGATGCAATATCTGAAGAAGTTTGCCAAGACTATGTGGGACACCATGGGCATTCGCATGGCATTCATGCTAGCATATCCGAAGGAAGCGAGGAGTCTGAAGGTAGAGATGTGAGCGTAGACCGTCCGACTGTCACCATCTGCTAACCCCCGAGTGAAGGGTGGAGGTCAACCACGCCATCACCAATGGAACTCCATTCGGGGCCTATCCTGGGTGGCTGCGTGCTTACCAGCCTCTAGCAAAGGTGTTCTCTGAGTGGGCCAAAGGCGAATACGGTAAGAAGACCTCAGTTGCATTGTCGCTGGCACACTGACCTGATTCCTTAGGTGTGACTGAGACTACGGTGACAGTGAAGAAGACACCTGCTGATTGCATGCGGGCCATGGACAAGATTCAGTTGACGGCCAACGGTTTTCCTCTGCTCCCGTCGGTGCCCGAAGGTATGGCGGAAGCGCCTCTCAAGGTGATGAAGGTACAAGTTCGAGACTTCATGAATCATCACTACGGTATGACACTCCCACTCGGTGTTGAGAGATGCTGACCAGTTTACAGCATTGGCGAAGGGTGTTCGGAACTGCAAGTCGCCATGGACGAAGCTGAACAGCATAGACGACATCAATGAGGTTATTCCAGCGGAGATGCTACCTGAGAACTTCCAGTGGATCGATCCCTCAAAGATGACAAGTGTTCCCGTTCGTGCCCTCCTCGACCACTGGCGGGCACGCCAAGAGGAACATGGACCTGAGCAGACCATGCGATTCACCCAGTACTTCGACAAGGATGGCGAAGCTGCTCCCGCCAAGTATGATCCTCTTCCACCACTTGACGGATCAGCACAGGCATTAGAAGAAGGATCTGAACATGAGGTCCAAGAAGCACTCACACCGAAGAAGGTGGGGAAGGCAAAGAAGAAGGGTAAACCTGTGCGCAAGGTCACGGGAAAGGCGGCATCGAAGGCGACAAAGGGCAAAGTGGCCCCTGGCGGAGCCAAAGGCGGTGGGCGTAAATGCAAGACGAAAGATGCATACGACTCGGAAGATGATGCCAGAAGCAGCCAAGACTCTGATCAGAGTTCGCCAGATATACCCAGCATGGCTTCCGAAGAAGATACGGCCAGCGATGAAGATTCAGGGGATGGCGAGAGCGTGATTGCAAATAAAGTGAAGGGCAAGGCAGTCGCCACCACCAATGGACGTAAGGCTAACAATGGCGGTGCACCTCAAGCGAGTGGTAGCGGCGGTGCCAAGACGAAGGCAAAGCGAGGTCTCCAAGACCTTCCTCTGGGCGAACTGCACAGATTTGACACAGAGGAGACTGATGAAGCATCCAGTGAACTGGAGCCCAGTACAAAGGAGCTCAGGCTTGAGCTTCAAGGCCGAGCCCCGCGTCTCACTGGCGGGAGTACTGTGGGGAGTACTGTGCCCCACCTTGTCAAAAGGAGAGACGTGTTTCTCGCCACCCTTTCCGTCGAACCGCGATACCAGGATATGCTGAAGCAAGTCAAGATTGCGACTGTGGTGAGCTCCTTTCGTGGGGATTCATATACACTATTGATCATCTGTCATATAGCCCCAGGTGTATCGTTTCGCCAGGTATGATCCGATTCCCTGGAGCGAATGGTCATATGGCCAGCGCTACCTCCCGCCGTCATTTCATGCGGTGGACAACTTTGACATCGTCGAGAACTGGTTGGGCGACAAACCATGGCTGACAAAATATTGGTTCTTACATCCACAGGGCATACAACAATCTGCACTCGTGATTGGTATGGCACTGAGGGACCTCACACGATCTCAGTTCATTGAGGAGGGCGAACCGACCAACCTTCCCGACTATGTGGTGAACTCGGCGATCTCATTTGACGCAGTAGAGCAGCTGCTTCGCTGTTGCGAGATCATTACCTTGGACATGGTGGAAGGGAACGTCACCCATGCCATGGTGAAGCCAGTGAGCAAGCCTGCCATACGCGGTGCCCCACAAGGTGGTGATGGCCTTGGGGGCCAGGAGGAGCAGGAAGGTGATGCCTCTGCAAGAACTCACGATGGCGCTGCTACTGCTGCCAAAGTTCACAAGGCTTACCAGCCTGCCCCCATGGCTGACAAACCAATCATTCCAAGTGGAGGAGACGAAGGGCCGAGCCAGGAGACCAGTGATGGGGCCTCTGACGATGGCGAAGAGGACGATGCACACTTGTCCGTACCTAGCAGTGGTGCTGAACGACCGCCACCACCTCCGTTTATACCTAAGACAAGGAAGGCCGCAGCCACAGAAGACCGTCCATCAGGACAAGCCAAAGCACTCTAGGGAAGGTCGATCACCGATGCCCTTCAGAGTAATATCCCCGGCAGGATCACTTGCAGTCAGCGTCAAGCGATGGATGAGTCACCCGCCAAGAATACCCGCAGTCAGCATCCACTAGGAGCTGTGAAAGATTTGAAGAAGCTTCCTGATCCAAAGCGGAAACGTCAACCAGCACGTCCCGAGCCCGATGGCGAAGACAGCTCTGGCGAAGACAATCCGCCACCTCGGAAGCGTGGACGTGGTACTCGGGACGAGTTGGTAGTGGCCTCGCCGAGGAAGAAGAATGTGAGGGCCGAGGACTCGGATGATGGTGACAAGCCTCCCGCAAAGCGAAGACGAGCTCTGCCTCAGACCCTGGAGGTCAAGGACAAGGGAGAAACCAAGCTGAAGCCGGTCCGTCTGGGGAAAGCAGCCGCCAAAGTGAAAGAGAGTGGCCAAGTTGGCGCAGGTCGCAAGACCCGCAGTGGCGGCACCAGACCTTGACAATATAACTCCAGTTCAAAGTAGACTCGTAGGCTTCCACATTGTTTAATGTGACCCATAGATCTACATAGGTAAAGCCATGGAGATGGTGGCAATGGCAAGGGGAGTTGGCGAGAACTTCAGCAGGCATTCAGTTGACTTGGAGTGGCAGTGGCGAATCGAGTGCATGGAGATTCCATGCTAGGTTAAAAAGCATGTATATCAATACTCTAATGACTACACATTGTGGCTATCTGGGCAAAAGGCGGTGAAGACCATGGCAGAGTCGACCTTCTCTCGGAATGCGTCCAGAGACTTCGCCACCAGCGAGGTTTCCTCTCTCACCGTTGCCACCTCCTTCCCCACCTTCTTCGCTTCATCCAAAGTGGATGTCGCCACCGCCATCGAATCCTCTTTGGCGAGCGCCAATTCCATCTCCAGCTTGCTCGCTTGAGCGATCGCCTCTGCCGCCGAAGACCTGAGCTCCTTCTCCATGCTGTCTGACCGCGCTGCCTGGAGCTCCATCGAATGACGGAGGTCGGCCAATTCGCCCTGCAGCTTGTCGACATCCGCTTGGCTCACCGTCTGGTTCGTGCCTTGCTCCAACCTGTTGACCTTCTCCTTGAGCTCTGGCAGGCAATGTCGCTTGGTGACGAGGTCCGCCACCGCCAACTTTACGCTCTCCTGAAGCTCGATGGTGACCGGCCTGCGAAACTCCTCCATGGCCAACTTGACCTCTTCGCGAATGCTCCGGGCATTTTCTTGAAATGCGGATGGCGGGTTGATTCGCTGGAGTGCCGCTGTGATCTCTGCCTTGACGGTGTTGAGGTCCGCCATCCTCTCCTGGAATTGGACTTCCATCCCGTCCTTGTGCGCCAGAAACTCCTGTCGCAACTCGGCACAATTCGCGCAGTCATCGTTGGATGACTGCGAGGTTTCTTCGCCACTGGGGGTGTCGTCTTCGTTCACCGGAGCGGGACTTCCTGTAGACACTTGCTGGACGTCGCGCAAGTGGGGTGCTGTATCCCTGGTCAGCGCTGCATGGATTTGAAGCTGTGGCGGGCGCACTTACCCTTGCTGGTCAGAGGCACTGCTCTGAGGCGGTTCGCCTTTGCATCCCTTTTCGCCTCCGCCTCCTTCTTCACTGCATTGCGGTCCAGTGGGGCACCCCTCTTAGCTGGCCTTCGCCCTTCATCGAGATGTCCTGCCTTCGCCAATGTGGAGGACTTCGCTCCCTTTGACGCCTTGGATATCTCCAGGGAGGGCGTCACCTCCTGTGCCACCTCGGCAGCTCCTGCGCTCGTCTCATGGGGCATCAGCAGCGAACGCCGCCGATCGTCGTGTGGCCGCTCCAAGGACGCGCGCTGTTTCATGGTTACATCGACTCCAGCTGCGACAAGATGTCCTGCTTACCTCATCCTCCGCCACCTCTGCCTGATACTCTGGCACATCCTCTGGTTCATCGGCGACTGGTGTCAGCATGCGCTTGCTGCTGCTAGCTTGCGGCAGAGCAGCTGGCCCTGTTTGGAAGGCCATAGCCCGCACCGCCTCCATTGCCAGCCTGGCGGCTTCCTCCATGCCATCGCCTTCCGCCAGAGGCATCTTGGCTGCTGCCTTCGGAGCACTCGCCTTCGCCTTCCTGGTGATCACAGGCACCATTGGGCCCGAGCGACCTCCCATCGCCACCCTTGTTGTCTGCCCGCCCTCCTTCGCAACAGACTTGGCAGGCGGGACCTCATCCGCCTCATGTACTGAGGTCCTGGTGACCTCGCCACCATCTTGCGCACCTGAGTTTTGGCTCCTCACCGGCTTTGGCTTGGGTCCTGATTTCTTACCTTCGCCAGGTTTGGCGACTGCACCAGACTTGGCAGGCGCGCCAGACTTGGAGACCTCGCCAGAGTTGGCGACCTCGCCAGAGTTGGACAGAGCCACAGCTCCAGTGGCGGTGGCGGACTTGGTGGCGCGCTTGGACTTCGACGATTTCTCCACCGAGGCCTCGCCTTCAGCGTTGGCTTCATAGCGCGTGACGGTCGCCTTCTGCTTCGTCGCCTCGACCTCCTCGCCACCCTTGACCATGGAGCTGGATGCTGCAGCATTGCGCGTCTTGGTCTTCTTCGGCAGCTTGCGCTTCGACGCTCCCATGACCATGGGTTCTGCACCGTCGGGCTCATCGGAGTCGACCTTGACGTCGTATGGAGGTGGCGATGTGGGCAGTGGCTTGCCCTCTACCACCAGCGCTGCGCACATCTCTTGGAACTCACGCTGTGCGGTGTGTGAGTTTCCTCGCAGGGGCACGCCGTCCGTGTTCCTCGGCGCGATGCTGCAACTGATGCCTCGTGCTGCACATTCGAGGCAGCGACCGAAGTTGGCGGTGTTGAGCTTGCATGGCCACTCTTTCTCCTGGCAGCCAACGCAAGGGACGAGCTGCAGGAACATTAGCACAGGTCAATGTCTCACAAGATCGTTACTCACCGAATCTGTTGCATGTGCCCACATGAAGTCAGACACGCGGGTGGACGTCTTTTTCCACATGTCCTTCTGCGACACTGTCACCTTCGCCTTCCCCTTCGCCGTTGCCTTCCCCTTCGCCGTTGCCTTCCCCTTCGCCGTCGCCTTTGCCTTCCCCTTCGCCTTCCCCTTCGGTGCGACATGAGGCGTCGCCGTCATCCTCATTGTCTGTTTGACAGGTTTGGCAGGGGCGTTCGTCTTCGCAACACCGTCATTACAGTCCCCTGCGGTCTTGGCGGGTAGATTGGAAGGCGGTGCCGGAGTCTCGTCTTTGCTTTCGATGAACTCCTTGCTCTTGTATTCCTTCGTTGCATGCTTCTTCTTTGGCGGCTTGATGGTCGGTACTTCCTCTTCATCGCTTGACTCCTTCGCCTTCCTCTTCCCGCTCTTCTTCGTGCTCACCTTCGAGCCCTCCACCTCGATCTGCGCCATCCTCTTCTGCGCACGCTGCACTCGGCCAGAGGTGGTCGGGGCCTTGCCTTTCTCCTTTGCGACCTCGATCGGCTTCATCCGCTTCACCTTCGGAGCCGCCTCCTCATTCTCACTCTCCTCACTTGACTCTGTGATGACCGCCTTGCGCTTTCGGAGTGATGGGGCAGCTGGCGAGATCGATATTGGTCTGGCAGTTGGCGGAGGGGGGCGACGCCGCATCGACCTCGATGGATTCAGGCTGGCCTGCACCCGGCACGTCTTCCGCCATCTCATCGTCATCATCTTTGTCGGCATCGTCGTCCTCGTCACTGTCGGCATCATCGTTGTCCTCGCCCTCCTGCTCCTCTCCCTCTCCCTCTCCCTCTCCCTCTCCCCCATCCTCTTCCTCGCTCATCGCATGCGCCGCCTTCCCCTGCGCCTTCTCCTTGCTCTTGCCCTTTCCCTTGTCCTCTCCCACCTCCACGTGGACGATACGCTCACCCACCATGCCTGTCCCGACGTCGTTGTCAGCTCTTTCCTTGCCTTTCCCCTTGGTGACGAGGTCCCCGGTAGCCAGGTCCTCCTCGCCACGTCCCTGGGTGTTGTCATCGGCTGGCACATTGCCCCAGCCCTCCGCTGGCATACTCTTCACCGGTGGCAGCTTGCAATATGGATCTGGTGCAGTCAGTGTGTCGCTTGACGCCTCACAACGCTTGTGACTCACCTTCAGTCCACCACTGCCTTCCCAGGTCCTCACACTCCCCATACTCGCGCACAGCCAGAGGGTACCTCTTGTATATCCTCTCGTCGTCGTTCGATATGTGGTCCAGCCATGCCAGGGCCTTCTGCTGGTACGCCCGGGTGAATTCCAGCAACGCACTGATGACGATGCCAGGCATCCTCAATGACTTCAAGGGCTGCGGGAAACTCTTTTCAAGCCGACTCTGTGTGGCATATTCGGTGAGGGTATGCCAGACCTGCGACCGATGACTTACCACTTCAAGGTAAATCCTCGCCTCCCAGTCCAAATAGCGAGGGTCGTCCTGGTGAGGCGTCGCTGCAACAATGGCCGTCAGTCGCGCGGCCTGCAGAACATAGTTGGTTGGGGTCGATATCCAGAGTCATGGCGAGCTTGGCAGAAGAAAGCGTGAGGGTGTTTCAAAAGCAGAGGTTGCAGTACAGCGGAGGCGGAGCAGACGACGCTATGAGCTGGCAGACACGATCTGCACCAAGTTCAACTTCACATGCCACGCGACCACGTGCTTTGCACGTGATCGCTGGACTTGCGCGATTTCTCAAGTCTCTCAAGGTCAGTGTGACCTGCTGCAAGTTCTCATGGCTCCCAACAGTAAGTTCTATTGCTCTCCTTGTGGAATCTGACTCCTTTGTGATGTTATCTGACCTTTCTATGTCATATCAATCCCCTTTCTACAACTGATCTCCCACGATCCAGGACTGATCGAAGACTTGTCTGCTCGCCACAATCTACCTGCCATGGCCAGTGACGTGGAACCTCCTGACATGCTGGACATTACGATGGGCGAGTCGGATGAGGAGGATAGTATCGCTGAGCCCCGTCGTCCACTCATTTCGGATCTCCTTGACTCTCCTGGATCTGCCCAGATCTCCTTGCCTCTCCACTCTGCTTCTCAGACACCCCTCACGCCCCGCCACACTACCCCGTCCCTGGCAGCTCCATTTGCGCCATCCAACTCGCCACATGAGCATCTTCACCGCCACGCCTCGCCAAAGGTACAGGCGTCATCTGGATCTGTGGCGCCTGTGGAGGGAAGTCGCGCACTTATTCCTGACCCTCTGGTGCCAGCTTGGGATGAAAGTCGTGGCAGTTCGCCAATCCATAGGCGTGCACTCATCTCAGATTCCACCCCCACTGCGCCCGGTGGAATGTTCGACTTCGACACTCCTGGCATCTCGCCAATCCCTCGACGTGCCCTGTTGGAAGCTACTCCCCTTCCTCCACCAGCTCACACTTTCGACTTTTGCACTCCTGACACCTCCCAACTCCCTCGACGATCGCTCATCGCTGAGCCCCTTGACGCTACACCACGTACATCCATCCACTTCGATAGTCAAGCAAGTACGCCGATGGCGAGGGGCATGCTGGTGGACGAGACACTTGATGTGGAACCAGTGCCGAAACTGCTGGACTTTGACAATAGTCCTCCTGTCACGCCAGGACGACGGCGAGCTCTGGTGATAGACAGCCCTGGCGCGACGCCTGTGCGTAGCCAGGTCCGGTGGCTAAATAGTCCCAGCACTTCGCCTCCAAAGAGGCGGCCTTTGTTGGATGATGTTTTAAGTCCACCGCCTCCGCCATCGGCGCCCTCTCACTCGCCAGCTCGCACTTTCGATGACAGCAATTTCTGCCACGATGCACCTGTCATTCACTATATGAAAGGCAGCATCGAGCCAGTCACTGTTACTTCCAGGATGCCAAGTCTGGCAGCACTTCCAGATGAGCTGCCGATCCATTGTCCCACCCATTGGGAACAGGTTCCAGGCTTATTCCCAGATACCACACAGCTGCTGCCAATGGCAGTCTCTGGAGAGACGAATGCCGCTTCTGGCTCACAAGTGGCCCGCCTCAGTAGATCGTTTGCGCAGATCGCAGCAGAGGCAGACAGTTCCAGTGAGTGCATCCCTGGCAACCTTCAGTCTGATGTTGACCTTATTCATAGTGGACGATGACGAAGGTGATAGCTTTGCGGTTAGTCGTCGTTGCACCATGTTGCGAGAGCGCATTGTACGTCTTCAGCGTGAGCTCAACCTCACTGAGGATATGCACGTTGCGAACCTCAATGCCAGCTCGACCGTGTTCCAAATGGGGTACATTCTGAGGGACATTCGTGGCGAGACGTATCGCAGCAACTGAACTAGTGTCTTTGAGCATTTTGGTGTTAGCAATATATGACTGCTATGTAACAGCTTGTATACCAGTACAAAATGGATACATTCACTTCTGCATCACTAAGCTCTAAAGCCCATCGCTCCTCCAGTGTACTCTTCAGATGGGCGGACTGCGCTCGCCATCACCAAGGCATGTTGTTGCCAGCAATTGGCCCATCGCCAAAGGACCTGAGTGAAAGCTTCACTGCATGGGAATATCGCTCCGCCAGCAAAGGGCCCACTGCCAAGGGTCAGAGGGTTGGTCATCGCCAAGCCGTGTTTTCGCCACCAATTGGCCCTCCGCCATGAGTGCTGGTGAGTGATGGGCCCACCGGCAAAGGTCAGAGGATTGGCGATCACCAGAGCACGTCATCACCACCAATGCACCCGGAAACTGCAGGGCTGTATGTGACAATGGGCCCATTGGTGGCGATGACATATCCTGGTGATCGTCAACCCACTGGCCTTTGGCGGTGGGCCGATTGCTGGCGATAACATGCTCTGGCGTTGGCCAACCCACTGGCTTTTGGCGGTGGGCCGATTGCTGGTGGAAACATGTCCTGGCGATGACCTATCCCATGGGTGCTTGCAGTAAGGCCCTCACTGAGGGTGCTTTGGCGATGGGCCGACTGCTGGTGATAACATGCTCTGGCAATCGTCAACCCTCTAACCTTTGGCGGTGGGCCCATCCTTCAGGTTACACTCTGGGCGATCGGCCCACTGCTCATTCGTCATACTCTGGTGGTGGGCCGATTGCTCAGACAAACATGCTCTGGCCATGGCCAACACTCTGACCTTTGGCGGTGGGCCGATTGCTGGCGGAAACATGTCCTGGCGATGACCTATCCCATGGGTGCTTGCAGTAAGGCCCTCACTGAGGGTGCTTTGGCGATGGGCCGATTGCTGACGATAACATGCTCTGGCAATCGTCAACCCTCTAACCTTTGGCGGTGGGCCCATCCTTCAGGTTACACTCTGGGCGATCGGCCCACTGCTCATTCATCATACTTTGGCGGTGGGCCGATTGCTCAGACAAACATGCTCTGGCCATGGCCAATACTCTGACCTTTGGCGGTGGGTCCATCTGTCATCTTACACTCGTGGCGATGGGCCCACTGCTCATTGATCATACTTTGGCAGTGGGCCCATCGATGGCGATAACATGCTCTGGCGTCAGCCCACCCTCTGACCTGTGGCGGTGGGCCCATTGCTTAACGGTTACAACACTGTAATATGCCCTGCTAGTGGGCCGAGCACTGGGATAAGAACACTAGCGGTGGGCCCACTGCTAGTATCCCACACATGAAAGGTATGGGCCCACTGCTGGTAGAGGTCAACATGGTGACAATGGGCCGACGTCCACTGGCTGTCCAGTTCATGACAATGTCAGGGTAAATGGGAGTTCAGTTCAGGTAACATGACTGAAAGGTGTGGGCAAATACTGCCCGAACTTATTGCTTATTCGGGTAGTTTTCAGGCGCTTTCCGGGCGCTTTCTGGTCACTTTTCCCGCACTGCTATTCCTGGAATACTGCTCACTTTCGTTTGGTGCTCATGCCTTTTGATATATGTATATATACCACATACGAAAACACAAGTAATATTTTCGAGTCCATCTGAACTACTTCAAACCACATGCATTCGCTGTCCCGTCCACGTGTGGTCGTCACAATGAAGTCCACTGCGGCGGTGCTCACATGCCAGAAGGAGGCGACAGACTGGCCACTGTCATCGAAGCCAGTCATTTGTGTCAGTGCGATGGACAGCGCATTCACCGTATGTCCAGGAGATGATCTGGATAAGTCCAGTCATGACAAGGAGCTCGGCAGCAGCGTGCACACTCACCGCCAGCTGTTCTCCATCCCAGACTAGCATGACGCCATGCCTGTGCCTGTGAAATCCTCTGGCACAAATCACCCACCCCGCGAGGACCCTTCCAAAAGACCGCGCTTGAATACTCAGAGCGGGGGAAGCACCAGATCCAACACACCAGCAGGTGAAGCCAATGCAGCCACAGGATTGAGGAGACCGCACAGAGTAAGTGGCATGTTCAAGGACCCATTTGCGGCGGCGGGTAGCGAGTCCGATCCATCTGGGCGAAGCAGCAGTCCACTGGTCCCCAGGTTCACAGCAGACACATCTGGAGCCACTCTTCATCGACCAAATGCCCCTGCTAATGTGTCCGCAGGCCACGCACTGAATGTGACTTCGAGCAAGGCTGTCGCTGATACCATGGCCATGCTGAAGGACGGTTTAGCAGAGATGCATCGGAAGTATGGGATCCACGACGCACAGCTCGAAGCTCTCGAAAATAACGTGTCGACTATCGAGGGCATTTACGCTGACCTGTCGCACGACGTAGGGGTACTATGCGCTGAGAACCGTGCAATGATAGAAACAATCAATCAGTGTCTCAGTTGCATATCTCGCCTGGAGGATGAACTGGAGAGCTTACACGAGAACGGCATCGCTCCGTCAGCTGATGGCATTAACACGCATGATGTGGATGGTCAGCACAAAGGAATTGTGATGGCTGGCAATGACCATGACATGGCAGGAGGCAAAAAGCAGCGCAACAATCGCTTGAGTGTAAGTAGTACCGCGCATATGAACAGTGGATCCATGACTCACCACCACCCCTTAGAACATCGTCAGAGCGGCCATGTACCACTTGATTGGGATCGACTCTAAGACAGTGCCACCGTCATCACTTCATGAAGGAGTCTTCTGGAGTGGAGAGGTTGGCGATGAGAACCGAGCGCTTCGTCCAAACTGGGAAACTTGGAACGTCAACAAGGTGGCTTGGGTCAGAGAAATTGTCCAGAAGATACAAACCGATGGGATGTGCTGGCACAGTGGGTTGACATCGGAACAATTACAGAACATGGCGATGTCAGATATCGAGGTGGCTATCAACAGTGTGTGGGAGACGATGCGGGCCCGAGTCAAAGCTAGTCAAAAGAGTAAGGCAGAACACCATGTCAACAAGATCAAAAATCGCCGCACGGCACGCAAGAAAAAGGTATGTGACCAAACTTGTCACTGAGAACAGATTAGTCCTGAAGACAATGGCACATCTGCAGAAAGCCGGCGAGTGTAAAGCGGTCCGAGATGATGTTCTTGCTTGAACTGAAGGGTGCCGAGTACGACTACTTGTTCGACTGGAAATACCAGTCAACCGACGAGTCTCAGCGTTCCGACCAGCAGGGACCAATCCAGTCAGATGCGGTGAGTTCAGATGACGATTCAGATGCACCAAGGTCAAAGACAAAGCCCTGGATTTCTCATCCACCAACGTATCACCTTGCTGCGGTGAGTACCAAACTCGTGCAGAGATAATTACTCACTGATTACCCCAGGTCGAGCCTCTTGTGGTTCGTCTTGATCAGCAAGTCTTCCGTGCACATCAAAGGTCAAACAATGCACAAGGAAACACTTACCATTCACATATCCGAGGAGCACGAGCGGAGAAGGAACTACCCAGCCGTAAAGGTGCCAAGGCTGGTGCACTGATTTCGCGCAGCCAGGTCAGCGCAGGGTGGCTTGCGGCGCATCCTGTCAACGATCTCCCGAGTCATATTGCGATGGATGTGGAGGTCAATGAGAATGAGAACGACGTGGACGATGAGGATGGAGAGGGCCCGCAGATTGATCCAGCATTGCAGTAACATGGTGAGCCTCAATACTTGATCTTTCGAAAGGAAGTACGAAATTAAGCAGGACGTGATTCAGGATAACGCCCGACTTCTTGATCCAATGCAACAATACGGCCACAGAATTCTTGATGCAGACTTGAGTGTCTTATGTATATTGCACGATATGTTCTATTAGTAGACACTGTCAGAGAAGGAGACAAGATGAGGTACATGCAGATGCAATAAAATCTTGATCGTATTGTGCAGAGTTCAGGATAGCCTAGTTGTCATGGTAATCTGAATCCGGCTCATCCAGGATGTCAGGCTCTTGTTCATCCTGGTCAATGCAAGGCATTAGCTACAGCAGTCACATTATGCAGTGAGGATGCAAACATGACATAGCGAGATTGTTACCCATAGGTGCTGGTGGTTCACACTAAGCGTAGCAAGCGCAAGATGACTGGAAAGGCATTCAAGTTGCACAACTTCAGCAGATTGTAGTCTCTCAGCATACCAAGTGGCAATACCAAGGTCTGTCGCGCTACGGGAGTTAGAAGGTTATCAGATGTACCCCAAGATGTTCGGAAAGCACATATATACAAACCACATAGACCAGGGCATTTCCAGTGGTATGTCTTCATTGCTAATGAATCGCTGAACTATGGCACAACCGCATACCAGTGGAGGATCGCCGGGCGCACGGCGTGGATGCTCGATTCGGAGGATATAATTGATTTGAACTGGCTGCCGACCATCGATGTATGCATAGCAACAATCATAACCTCGGTGTGTAGTTGACGCACCATACCGCAACCCTTTAACTAGGACATGGGAGAACAAGTGCACTGCAACGGCAACAAATGGCTCACCACTGTCGACTGATGCCGTGTCAGCAACAAGAAGAACAGTGTCAGTCCACAGCATCTGCAGGAAGTGTAGAACCAAGCCGTAAACACCGAACTGCTGCAGATTGATCTTTGAAGACTGATGGGGAAACCTCAATGACTCTGAGATGGAGATTAGCAAGCGCATAAGTTTGATATGGATAGACTAACCGCCACGATCTTGCGCCATCATGTTTCCCATTAAATTCAATAATGTCCCTCATTGTCGTGTCGCCTTGGTGTCACCCTTGATAAGTTCTCGGAGTTTGCGCAGTATCTTCTCATCGTCTTCCGTCTTCTCAGGACCCAGTCCATCCAAGTGTAAGATCTAGCCCCATATCATGTAATGCAAGGCTGCTGCAGAAACAGACTCGAAGCTTACCAAGTCATTGATGAGCTGACATTTGACCCAGCCATGCATCATCGTCGCCTCGATCTCCCCTCCAGTGTGGCCATTATTCTTGAACTGACCGAGAAACCCATTGTTCTGCTCATAGGGGTAAGTCCACCAAGCATAGACAGGTCCCAAGTGAAGAATGTAGTCCGAAAGATGAGTCGACATGTGAAATACCGGCATCAAATGTGATCCCATGTATGCCCATGATTGACAAGCCCTGAAGTGACATTCATGTGTGCGAAGAGCTTCTGCAGGAGAGATTAAGCGTGAAGACCAGATCCGCATTGCTGTGCAGAGCTCGAGGACATTGTTGTAATGCTGTAAATAGTTTTGGTTCAGCTTTGCATCCTCAGCCCACCTGTGATCAGCATCTGTTGGATTTGGATTCTCTGCAACATATGCTTGATGACATTCACGCAGCATCTCTTCCTTGCATGCGAATGCTTTGCCCACATTTGTGGTGGGCCTGGGACGAGGGGATTCATAGTCCGGGATTTTGCCGTCGATCTCCCATGCGACATATAGAGTGACCACATAGATCGTCATGAGGTTTCGCCATTGGTCAGCCTTCAACGAGCCTGGCTCTGCAATCTAGAACCTGTTCCATGAGTAGTACCTTCACACAGTAGTGATAATATCGCACCTTACATGTTGTGCGTCCAACCGTCGATGGCCACCACACCGTACTCAAAAAATTCTCAATTTTCTCCAGAGGCTTATCGGAGCAGTTACGCTGTGTGAACATGCCGCCGCCGACAAGGATCTCATTGTTGAGATGATTTGCTTCACCTAGATACAATTGTCAGCACTCGATATAGACTAAGTCATGATCTCACAAGATATCCCATATGCATGTAGTCCGGAGGTGAATCTCGCGCAGGCATCCATCCTGGATTCGCATCAAGAATCGACCAGCGAACACCTCACTTTTCAGTGATCTCCTCGCGGTCTTCAACACTGGCAGAGCGTGAAATAAATGCATACTTGAGATACCGCCAATCCTCGCGCAACCAGAATTCTTAAGATCATCAGTATTGCGCATGAAGCAAGCTGAAGTAAGAAGAAGAGTGAAGTGTGCTTACTGCTGGAATCAAAGCAATCTGGCGATACTAGCGATGTAAAACTTTGATGGCAACATGGGCACATGAAGTACTTTGTTGTCACTAAGTGGAGACCGGCCGCCTTGCGACTAGCGGGAAGATCAGAAACATCGATGTACAATGTGCCATGGCAGACACGAGACTCGGGCTCCTTGTATATACGAAAGGCAATTCCTGTTAAATCTTCAGATTCTGCAGAGGTGCACTGTTGAAAGGATATATACCGCTTTCCAGCTTCAGAACATCTTGCACAAAAGGCTCCATCACATAATTTAGTTCTTCAAGAGATGGTTCCTTTGGGCCTGGAATGATGCAGACAAGAATGGTCTCCTCGCGCAGGAATCATTTCGAGCGCAGATTGTTGCAGATACTTGCATATATTGCACCGGCGGAATAGTGTGAGCATTTAATTGTTCCGAACCTGCAAGATTATTAGCATATGTGCAGCAATAACATGAGGAGATACTGCACCAGTCAATGTTGAACATTAAGACTAGACCGCAGGGCAGTGAGACAAACCGCTGATGAAGCTGCCTCATGTCTATGTCCTCGATGCCCCAGTGCCCACCCTTCCTCCGCTCCAAACCTGCCTGAATTTCATGCCATCCTCAGCCATCATAGATGTCGCACATGCGTACATCTGGGTCTGGAAAAGCATCCCAGCCATCTATTGGCCATGCAAGCGGTGCCACACGTCCCGGCTCATCACCAGGCTTCCGCCATTGCTGGAGTTCAGCATACTTGCCTGGGCGAAGCAACATGCGCTGTATCACAGTTGTGAGAGGCATTGATGGGAATATTTTGACGAGAGTGCGTTTCATGTGCCCATTACTCAATTTCTTTGTCGTGTATAGAATTCCTGGGCAGTCTGGCTGCATACAGTTTGGAGATTTCAGCTCGCTGAGTTCGGAGGGATGATGTCGATACCAGCATACATTACACAGGAAATGATATATGATGAATTTGTCGGGGTCAATACCCAAGCAGCGCTCTACCGTATGAAGAGTGCGAGCCATATTCTCGAGCCCACGAAGTTCGTGACCTGTCTGATCGGACAGAGAAATGAACAAGTCATACTGACTCTCGAGTATATGCTGGACAAGGTCATGAGTCGCATGATGAAATGAGGCCGCAATGAATGCATTGATATATGCGTTGCGAATGAGGGGGTCTTCGTCAAACGCTGGTGGCAAGTTGCTAGTTGAGTCATCATCTTCAGTGTCTTCTGGTTCTTCCTCATTATCGAATACGTCCTCACGAGAGACAAAGAGAGGATCATCTAAAATGTTAATGTCAAGTTCATCGTCCTCTTCGCCATCCTCATGGGGCAAATCTTCCTGGGCTTCGAAGAGATCATGATGAATGTTGTCGCTAGAGTGGGAGTACATGGATACCGGTGAGCCAGGCACTTCAAGTGGGTAGATGTCATCGATAGCAAGCGCCCCGAGAAGGTCATTGTCCTGAGAGCCCACAGGAGTGGCTGCCAGAGAGTCATCAGCACCAGATTGCAGAGGATCAAAACCGACATCCAGTTCGCACAGAGAGCCATTGTCGGGCGCAATGTAGATATCCTCACCAGAGTATGATCTCTCAGAATTATTGTCAGAGCCTGCTGTAGCTGCCTTCACATCGTAGTCAAGAGCGTAGTCCTCGGCGACTTGCTGGATGTTGACAGTAAGACCTCTCAGCATGAGCTCTTGCAGTCGATCCCGCGTCCGAGGCTCTGTCAATTGCTGTCTAGCGAGTCTTTCTGCTTCATCTCGGTCATGCTTCAGATGGTTTCGGATGGTCTGCATTGACTGAAGACAGGAGTCAAGATCTCGGCTGCAGCGCTCACATGGGCACTTCCGGTATTGCTGTTCCCCATATGGCTTCACCCTTCGACCCTGGCCTGTGGTCTTCGATGGATCCTGACTCCTAGGCATTAGCGAACTGCGAGATGATAGTGTGGGTAGTCCAAATTGGCCAAGGCAGTGAGCAGGGCATGAGCAACAGCGAGCGAGTGGGAGAAAATGTTGGCACAGGCTGCAGTGATGGCGGGGTATAAGTGCAAGAGTGCTAAGTGTCGCAGGCCCATATGCAGCTGCAGGCGTGCTCGAGATCTGAGCGCGCGAGTCGCATCTGCTACGTCACGCACTGGAAAATTGGCTCATATTTGGCTAAGTATGGACTGGGGGGAGAATCTACTGAATACTGCCAGGATATCTAGACTATTCAACGAGTATCCTACTGGCAAATTCAGGTCTGAAGTCCAGTGTAAAATTAAGATTCCAACTCAATTTCAAGTTCATATCCATTGCTGCAGTCTGAAGTTCATTTGCATTCCTTTGATGCATTGATAAAAAAAAGCCTGTGGATATTCTCTCGCACTCCTTGCCCGCAGTTCGTCGCGCGTTCACCATGCGCTTCATCTTGTAGGTTCGAGGACACGGCGGAGAGTGTAACGGGGCATGCGTGTGGCCTTGTGTGGCACGAGAAATTGTCGGGAGTCGAGCACGCGGCGGCGGCAGTGGCGGTAGCGGCACCAGCACAGAGAACGGCACATAGCCCAAGAACGGCAACAGGTACTGCATATAGCAGCTGTTGCTATAGCGGGCAGCAGACGGTACACGGTGTGCTATGGTCATCGGTGCCACATATCAGGGGTTGCTGGCTGGTGACCACCACACCCAAGGGACAACTGAATCTCCCTATTGCTGTGCCTACAGAATTGCTGAGTCGAGTGTGTCTCATTTTTTCTTTTAATCTCTCTGCGTTCTGATTTCTTTCTTTCGTGTTTTCCTCCTCCAGTGTCTAGCACCAAGACATCTGTTCAAACGCATTGTAATGTCTTCCACGGACCAGGACGTCCATTCCACTACCCTCATAAGCTTGATCACCCACGCTGTCCCTGACCCGCCTTCCAATGCTCTCTACATTCTGTCCGATGTCGAGGCGAAGCATTATCTCTATGGCCTTCCCTCCAAGGCCCACCTTATCACTCGCTCCAACCCTGACATCTGAATGAAGCTGACGGGTGCTGAGGCATACCTCGATCCCAAGGAGTTGACTCCTCTCGGCATGCACCGTCTCAATGAGGTCTGGGAGGACACTGTCGGTCCTGCCATGGATAGTTACTTGCTCGAGAAGAAGGTGCAGTGCACGATTCTACGCCCCCTCCGAATTGGCATAGCTGGCCGGCCTTCCCCTTCCACCTTCATCTTGGTCGGAGTCAACCATGGCACTCTCTCTGCTGAACTTGGCATTGAGGTCGCTGTCCATTGTCGATCTATCCTTATCCAGAACAATATCGACGACATGCACGTCATAATCTGTGAATCGAAGTTCACCCGCTCTGCCATGATGTACAAGCCTGCCATCAGCGCCAACCCCACCGCTGTCATCCGCGAGCCCTTCTCCACTACTCTTGGTATCCCCATCTGCAACGCCAAGACCCCCAATTTCAAGGGCACTGGTGGCTTTTTCTTCATCGACACTGCCAAACCCGGCATCCTCTATCTCCTCACAGTGAGGCACGTCCTCTTCAACCCCGACAAAGAAGAGAACATTCTCTACAGGTTTCATGAAGGCAGCGGTCAGCCCAGTAGGAAGGTCATGTTGATGGGCGAGGCTGCCTTCAAGGCCCATTGCGAGGCTATCGAGTCCGCGATCGGTGCCAAAGAGATCATCATCAAGCAGCTCCACAGGCATTTGGCTATTGTTGAAAGGATAGAGGATGAGGACGATGCTAACGCAGAGCGGAAGGCAGTCAAGCCGAAGATGGAGGAAGCGGAGGAGGCGATCACAGCCTTCAAGAAGTTGCTTGCCGACATCACCAGGGATTGGACGGACGAAAAGAAGCATGTTATTGGCCATGTCACCTTGTCTTCCCCCATCGGTCAGGACCTCAGAATATTGGCTGAGAACCCTTAGGCAAATTCGGACAAAGTTCGGCTTGAAATTGGCTCCAACCCTTGATCCAGTCCGGACATATGGGAGAAATTTTTTCTGGAAGCCTTATTTTTTTTCCAGACAGACAGAGGATGTCCAGCCCTAACTCTTATCCACTTATAGGGCGCTTGTGGCCCATATCCATCTGAGTTCACCTATATTTGGGAATTTGGTGCCCACAAACATAGTTTTCCAGGATTCTCGGCAGCCCTGTGATGTGTGACTACGGTAATGTATACTCTGTATCCATACGATAACGCGCTCCCATGTGGGCCGAAGGGGCGCCGTTGAGGCTGATACTGGTCTTAAGACACGTTGGAATCATTTAGACATTTCTTTGTGCTACCAGTAGTGTTGAATTTATGAAGTTGACTATGCTTGTGCTCAATACCCGCCTTATCACAGCTTGCAATGATGTTTTGGAGTTTCTGCTGCTGCATCAGGACAAAAATTACTGTTTTTTGAAGCCTTATCTCGGCATCCGGACTAAAAGTGAGTTTGAAGGACCCTCATCCGCCATCTGGACAAAATTTTCGAAAAAGTGCCGAACCCTCGTTCAAATCGGACAAAAACGTCGGATTTGGCATCTCAGTGCTTAGACATTTTTGCCTCCGCTGGATAAGGGTTGCTGGCCTATTTTCCGAGGTCCTCATTGGTCTCGACTACAGCGATGATGGCTTTACCGATAATTGGGCAGTCATCCAGATATACCCCTCCATGATCGCCAGACTTAACTTCATTGGTAATGCTATTGACCTTGGCTCCATTGAGGTCGACGAGCTTACTGCCTGGATGTACCCTCATCCTGCCAATCCGAGTTCATTCGAATACCCTGGCGACCGTCTCCTTCGATTCCACGAGACCATCTCCGACCAGGAGATGTTCAGGCCTAACCCGAAGAACAAGGACTACGATAATGACCCAGTCATCATGGTCCTGAAGAACGGCAACAGCTCTAACCTCACCATTGGCCGTCTGAACACCATCCGTGCCTTCCTTCACGAATACTTCAAAGGCAAGCCCGGTAAGATGTCGAAGGAGGTGGGCGTGTTTCCTCGTAACTCGAAATCTGGCCCGTTCTCTGAGCGTGGAGACTCTGGTTCCATGGTCATCGACACCATCGGCAGGGTTTGTGGCATCCTCACTGGCGGAGACAAAGCCACTGTCTCTGACTGTACCTTCGTTATCTCTATTAATTTTCTCATTAAGCGCTTGGCCGCATCGGTATCCATGCTAACATCTTCCCCTTACCCGCCAATCTTTAAATGCTGTCCCCTCTCCAGATCCCCACATCCGCTCGTCCCTTCTTCACACCTCCTTTTTATATATTCTTCTTCTCCCCGTCCCCCCACTTGTTTTTTCTTCCACGACCTCGCTATTTTTCTTTACTTTTTACTCTCCTTGTTCCATGGACTTGTTGTCAGTTAGACTAGGTACCGGATAGTTCCTTCGGACAGTACTTGGTACTTGCATGGTATATCATTAGTTTATGGATTGAATACAGCAAAGAATCACCTTGATCCACCAGTATGGGAGTGGACGGTTCAAACCTGACTCTGCACAGAGCAAGTTCAGTTACCATCAGCAAAAGCGGGAAATTTTTATGTAAGGTTACACCAGTTACATCGGGGTAGCAAGGGTTGTGTAAGTTACACAGGACTAGTAATATTTAAACTGATTTGTAATCAAAGTAAAGGTAGTAGAGGTCTATAAAGAAGATAACATAGAACAGAAATTGATACACAAGTTAGAACAAAAATACATGTCAACAAAGAGTTGTTGAGCGATGTAACCCAAGTCAAACGTTGCTCACCAGGTTACACAGTCGGAAGAACTTCTAGATGACTAGTGCTCTCTGCAGAACTCGCTCCGAGTTGCTCTTGCATCGTTCATATTCAGGCCCCCAGATACCGCACCAAATGCAAGCATTAAGGCAAGGCTCTTGTCCAGGCCACAGTGAAAAGATGCGAAGTTGTTTCGAGGCAATTCTGAGGCAATTCTGAGGCAATCTGAGGCAATTCTGAGGCAATCTGAGGCAATTCTGAGGCAATCTGAGGCAATTCTGAGGCAATCTGAGGCAATTCTGAGGCAATCTGAGGCAATTCTGAGGCAATCTGAGGCAATTCTGAGGCAAGTCTCGATGCATCGCGACTACCGTCTGCCGACAATTCTTGCCACCCTCACTCGCGTATAAATTCACAGCATCTGCCACTGCAATGTGCCTGCCAGGTGAGTGCCGTTACACGCGGCTAACTGTATCGCACAGGTGATACCAGGCTGTTGTTGCACGCAGCTTGGTTGGGCTCCCGTGGTTGGAGCGACACATGTGTGTTCTATTTCAATCTCTATTGTTTTATGCCTGTGGGCGGAAATGTAAGTGTGTTGATTCCTAGTGTTGGTTGTTACAGCGGTACATGGGTGTTGATGCGGTAAGTAGACCTAAATACTTATTTGTTATGGCGGCACGCAGGTGTTGTTACGCGGTAAGTGGGCATTTCGACGGCACATGGGCTTTGGTGCAGTGAGTAGGCCCAAGTAGTTCTAATGTAGAGCACTTTGTATATGTTGTACCGCTGTAATATAATATGTTGACATAATTTGGAATACTTTGAGAGCTATGAAACCGATCCGAATGAATCAGTTTCGGTCTGTTTAGGACGGTCTGTGCCTACATGCTACAAGTGCATAATAAATTTTGCAGGAAGTTATATGAGCTTCATAACCTGTAAAATGTTTCCAGAGTTTATAACTGATTATGCCAGTTGGCAACTCTGCAATCTGACTCAGGATTACAATGCAATGTATTGCTTAGTGAAAAATTGCACAAGTTACGTGGGATTACACCTTTATAATCTCTTTGGAGAAAATTCCCGGTTTTGCTGATGACCGAGCACGAGCTGTCACAGATAGTGACTTCATGTCACCAATGATAGTCGTTACAAAGGGAGGTTCAATTACACATCACAAAGGCCATCAGTCTCTTAGCAAATATATCCTGAGGGTTCCAGAGGTGTATAGCTATCATTTCACCTCTTCCTTATGTCAATACATGTCCTCAAAGTTGACAGGTATTTTTGCAAAGTCGGAGAACAAGTCACAGTATGACATGTCACACATAACCCGCGCCTCGCCAGATCAAGATGAATGAAGTATACATTATGACTTTGAAGTGTCTTGCTGCTACAAGAACAGGTGACCGTGCTACCTCGATAGGTTGATTATCTCACTCATCAACCAGGAGGTGAAAGGGGAATAGTCATAGCTTACTTCCATGAGGATAGAGGAGACTTCGAAAGGGGGTGAGTCTGTGTTTTGAGCTCTGAATGTGCCTAGCGGCAATGACTGGGACGGGAACGTCATACTGTATGTTTCCCTGATGTCTCTCTCCATTCTCATAGATCTGAGCCTTACCTCCAGGCCCAACGAATTCTTACAACACACGTGGACATCACTCGCGCTCACGCCCCATTATCTAGGCGTCGATCTCAGTGCGTGCGGCCCACTGTGCTCTACTGTGCTGCAAAACTCAACCTTTGCTTCCTGCATGCCCCAGCATTCGCAATTCCATATTTCCTTCATCTCCCAAGCTCGGCCGTGATGCGACGGAGCCGCATCTCGCACTGCTTCAATACCACAGGTCCCTTGCATTCGAAAATTCGATTTTTCGACATCCACCGAGCTGGGGCATGGGCGTCGTCCACCCAGGTGTCCTGCAGTCCTCGAATGTCAAGTATATCTGCAGCTGCATCTGGTGTGGCACAGCCGCACTCTCCACTTTTCTCAATGCGGACGTCCCGTGCTCCCAATCCATGCACCACCCTTCGAAGCCGGGAATGCTCGTCACTCGCGAGTGCACTCTTCGCATTTCAACACTCGATTGATGGCGACGTTTCGTGGCTGGCGAACCCTGCCGCATTCGAAGTTCAATATTCCGCCATCTCGCGAGCTTGGTGCATCGCAACCTCGGCGCATCGCGACCTCCACGTCAATGTCTCCAATGAGTGCCCCGCGCTAAAAATTCGATTTCCTATCGTCCGACCGGCGAGGCTTTGCGGTCGTCGTTTGGGCATCCCCTGGCTGTACTCACTACATGTCCGCCGCTTTTCGAACGCGATATTTCGATGTCCTGTGAGTGAGGGTACGTTGTCCTCGTGCAGGCCGAGCAAGCAAGTCCTTATCCTGTGGTCTTTGCAGGCTCTTCATCGCGCGGCTACACACTGGAGGTCAGCGCGGTGGAGGCGTGTCCTCCGCCTTTCAAACTCGATATTTTGACGTCCGGTTGAGCGAGGTGGTTCCACCTGCAAGCTTGACGTCGCACACCATACGCTGTTGGAGGTCAGCTCGGCACCGTCGCACTCTGTCTGCTCACTCAGGCTGCGAGTATCCCGGCCCTATGGACTGCATATTTCGACGTTCAGCGAGCAAAGGTGCGCGGTCATTGTCTTTCATTCCTGTTTGTTCTTTTTCTGTCATGCTGACTTAGCCGTCTCTTTCTGCTGCGGTTTCAGGCTCATCTCCAGTGTCGACACCTCAAGTGCAAGGCTGCGAACTCCAGCCCCGTTCACTGAGTCGCCGCCGTCATCGAGCACACGCGTGGCATTGTCCGCATTCAACTTTCGAATTTTCGCTGTCCGGTAAGAGAGGGCATGACGCCATGGCTATCATCACTCCTGCGCGCTATGGACCTTGTTTTTTGGACGTCCTGCGAGCTGGACGACGTGTTCGATGGCCAATTCAATAATACTCCGGATTGAGTGCAAGTGCTTGATGGCTAGCGGTGACGGCATCCAACGCCCACAATCCCATGGCCCAGCTTGCGGCACAGGGCCAGCGTGCGAGATCTGCAGCCTGGGGGTTCGCGCGACTGCTACAACAAGCTCGGGGCACTTACTGCGCAATGAACGCACAGTCCGTTCGCCCAGCTCGCAAGTTTCAAATTCAAATGGTCCAGTAAAATACCAGGGAATATAACGCAGCATAAGGTATCCATAGGTGTTCAAGGCAACCATATTTACGCGTACCCATGTCAAAAATCCCGCCCTGACAAGTATGTCCATCATAGATCTGATCCTACAGTGTCGACCACATGTGCTGCGGCCGCAGGAACAGTCCTCTCGATTCCGACGCTGACATGTCCAACACCGCAGGCGACGTGCTTGCAGTCTTTTCGCTGGTTCGATGCTTAGCTGTTCACCCTAGTGCAGAGCAAGGGTTATGACAACCCATGAGGGTCATGGGTAAGGGTATCCACGGGTACGGGTAGGGGATTACAGTCCATTGACAGTCCCTCCTGCCTAATCTGTCCACACACGTCGCACGAGCGCGAGTCCCCGGCCAGCCTCGGTGAATGGAAGGAAACATGCGAGAGGACATGCGCATGCTGCACGCTAGTGCAGAGCAAGGGTTATGACAACCCATGAGGGTCATGGGTAAGGGTATCCACGGGTACGGGTAGGGGTCACGGTCTGCTGACCCTTAATACCCACCACGTACCTGTAGGCATTAATTAGTCTTAGACTTTGCCCGATCTGTTGCACAAGTGCACATGGCCTAAAACCTTATTTCATAAGCTACATACTGCATATGGATTGACTACATAAAGGTGAAAGAAACCCGAGCAACGGTACCATCACCATCATGCTGAAACATCGTGGAAGTCAATCAAAGAACACACAAAGGAAGAAGCAGTGCATTGACAGCCAGGATCCCGATGCAGCTCCATCTGCGCCCGACCGGAGATTGCACCCCAAGGATGTCGAACCACCGAAATGCGATCGTCGGGCGCATGTTGAGGACGCAGATGATGATGATGATGATGATGTCGAACCACCGAAACGCAACCGATGTGCACATGTTGAGGATGCAGATGATGATGATGATGTTGTCAAGATCTTCGAGTCTGATAATGAGGCCACGGAGAAGGTCCGGGCAAAGAAGAAGGAATTGATGACACCTGAGGAAGAGCTGAGTGAGTAACTTATGATAATATCATGACTGAAGATGACTTACCAAGCACACGGACAGGCGAGATGCAGAAAGACTGGACAGCGACAGCCTATGCTTTCTGTAAGCCTGAAGTCACTATTGAGACAGATAAGGCGGGCGTACGTGGACATGTTTTTTGTTGCGCGAACCACGGCTGCAAGATGAAGGTGAAGCGATGGCTTGATAAAGGAGATCAAATGTCGACGGGGAACATGCGTAGACATATCCGGAAGTGCTGGGGTGAGGAGGCTTTGGCAGCGGCTGATGAGATGAACACCGCGGCTGATGAGATGAACACCGCGGCTGATGAGATGAACACCGCGGCTGATGAGATGAACACCGCGGCTGATGCGCGCCCATCTATTGAGAAGTTCAGATGGTCAGGAGATATCACCGTGGCATTCGAGCGCAAAGAGAAAGGGAAGGTAACTTACTCTGTGTGCCAGCACACACGCACCGAGACCCGGTGAGTTCCAGTGAATGCCAGTCGGGTCTGTTGGTGGCTGAATGCAGTATGCCAGGGCGGAGATTGTGCGCTGGGTCTCGGAAAGCCTTCGCCCATTCACGATCATTGAGGATCATGCATACCAGTCTTTGATGAAAACGGGTCAGCCAGAATATTGGATCCCCTCGTGCTGGACGGTAGCACGAGATGTGCACAAAGTATTCGCATGCTGTTGGGCACATGTCGCGAAGATGCTGCAGGTCAGTGATCAGTATGCAAGAAGGGGTAAGTCTGACACTCACCTGCAGGAGTACGATGGCGAGTTGAGCTTCGCCACTGATGCTTGGACCTCGCTGAACCATAAGGCAATCGTCACGTTCACAGTCCACTTGCAGCATAAGGGCATGCCACTCCGGATGGTCCTCGATGTTGTTGAAGTCGCGGACTCCCATAGTGGCGTCAACCTTGCCACTGCATTTGCGAAGATGGTGGATGATTTCAAAATTGCTATAAAGGTATGTCAATATTCACCGAGGCACTCAAATTGCGAGGAATTACTCACCAGAGGGTTAGATGCTCAGCATCACCGTGGACAATGTGTCGCCAAATAATGTCATGATCGATGAGCTCGCCAAGTTGATCAAGTCGTTTCAAGGCCAGGCAAACTGCGCGCGATGTTTCGACCACATCATTAATCTCATGGCCAAGAGCCTGCTGCGCCAGTTTGACATCCCACAGAATGGAGCTGATGCGACACTCGACGACACCAAAAATGCCCTTCACGAGCTGGCAAAGGATTTGGAACTTGGAGTGGGAGAAGGAGGTGAGAAGGGGGAGCCACCGAATGATATTGAGGGCCTCCAGGACGAATGCGAGGGGATGTCCATGGAGGATCACGCAGCGCTCGATGCGAGTGTGCGGCCTGTTAAGCTCATTCTTGTTAAGGTGAATTCCATATCAGATATATTGTGCACTCACCTTGGCTTGACTGCCTTTGCACAGTTGCGTAAGATCGCGTCCGTGATCATACACTCATCAACGAAGCTCTTGCCAGCTTGGTTGAAGGTGCTGGCAGACTTGGAGCTGGCAGAGAGAAAGATGCCTCGGGATGTCATCACGCGATGGAACTCGACCTTCCGGATGTTGGAATTTGCACTGGAGTACTGGCTGGCAGTCGATGAGATGACAGGAGACAGAGCGATGGAGCTGTGAAGATATGAGATGGACGACGATGAATGGGAGATAGCAAAACAGCTGTGTGACATCCTCAAGGTGAGTCACATGTGACTCTCACCACGCCTCCTCCTCACGCCCGCCACCAGGTCTTCAACGACGCAACCTTGTACTTCTCACGCGACACACCTAGCTTACCTATGGTCATTCCGGCCATGGATATCATCGATGAGAAGCTGACAAATGACTCTCTCGACTCCGACTATGAGCCCTGTATCTGCGCTGCCCTCGGGATGGCGAAGAAGACACTGAATCGCTACTACGACAAGACCGATCTTTCCAACATGTACCGCATCGCAATGGGTGAGTTTCCAATTGGTAGCTTTCAACATCATACACTAAATACAATACAACGACAGTGCTACACCCCTCCCACAAACTGCAGTACTTCCAGAATGCCGATTGGCAGGCAGAATGGATCACGACAGCAAGGGCGCTGGTCCATGAAGAGTATGACTGTGCTTATGCGCAATGTGCAGTGAATGTCAAGCCTACTCAGATGAAGCAATCGGAACACATGGTAAGTCCATCCCCATTGTTTGCGATTGTGGCTGATTTCGAATGCACACGCGACACGTTCTGTCGCCATCCCCTCAGCCATCTAGCAACATGTTCGACAACCTCCTGAATGCGAATGTCTCCAAGGGCAAAGACAATCGCGATGAGCTCAAATGCTATCTCGATGCTGACACAGAGCATGTTGATGGTGATGCGCTTGGCTGGTGGTACGTGCGGTGCAAGGAGTTCCCTCATCTATCGTGGATGGCCATGAGTTATCTTACTATTCCCGGTAGGTGTCTCCTGATCTCTGATTGCATTACAACCCACTGATGCACTTATCTGCAGCCACGTCTGTTGACGTTGAGCACATCTTCAGCAAGGGGCACATATTGTTACCACATCTGCAAAATGGTCTCTCCGTGGAGTCTATTCGTGCTCTTCTGTGTCTTGCGGAGTGAAGCCAACTGGGGTTTGTACATGATACTGATGTCTTGGCTGTTGTCTCTCTCCCTGAGGCTCAAGAGGATGATGATGGCCTTGAGGATGGGTGGGATAACATTCTTTGAGATTAGATAGCTCTATACTATGTTGAATGCACCAAAGGTCCACAGATCTACCCTCAGGGTACATAAACCCGTGGGAACCTGTGAAATCTGTGGGATACCCGTACCCGTGGGCACGGGTATGATACCCATGCAGGTACGGGTACAGGTACACCTTGGGACACCCAAGGGTACACCCTTGCTCTGCACTACTGTGTAGTACTGTGGATACCTTTTGTATAAGTAGTGGACCTCATCGAGCTGGATCCCCATCTCGACCTGGTTACCATTAAACCAGCTTTTCACTTGCCTTTGACTGAGGTTGACCATTAGTAGCAGACAGCTACTGCGAGTGATAAGAACAAACTCTGATCGACCTTCAGTGCGAGGACATCACCAGAAGTGTCTCTTGAACAGACTTGTGTCTTAGACTAAGATCTTGTCTCATGACGACTCAACTTGATGCTTATGTTTCACTGCCGCGTAACATTAGGTCGAGATCTTATTACTCTCCATGACTTCCCAAAGTCTAACAACAAACTACAGACCGGACCGAACCTTGAAGACTAAACGATACACCCGATTTGATTGCTAAAGCACCGCTTGAGATTACTCTGTAATCAAGGTAGCTGAAGGGATAGACTGATCACTCATCTTCAGAGAGGGGTCTGTCCGAGAGACCAATAGGCCGAGGAGGCTGAGGTAATCACTTGAGCAATCAGCAAAAAAGTGTATCAGTTTGAAGACAGAAGACACTCTATGGGCTTATTAGCTGACGACGAATGAACCCACTTAGTTGAGGACGGTGTGCAGTCTACGTGTAGATGTAGGTCACACAGAAGAATTTATCCACGCTGGATTTGAACTTTATCAACCTGACTGCTCTTCCCAAGCAGTACATCAATCTCCTCCCATCTCAGGCAGAGTGGGACGCACAGAGGAATGTACACATTTTAAACGGATGACCTTTATTCATCAGACCAGATCAACACATTGATCACCCAGGTGGGGACTACAAAGCAAATCTACCTCATAACGTTGGAGAGTTTGTATTACGACATATCGCAGACAGTGGTATACCAATCTCTTATCAAGGAGAAAGACCAGACGCCCCTTGGAACCTCCCTGTCCAGAATCCCATACCCCAACCAACTCTTGCACCAATTGTACCCATTGACATATCACCAATGGCTACAGTTACCATGGATGAAAGTCATCACCATGTTAGCCCGAAGGAACTTGGTTTTAGAAAACCCAAGATCTTCAACGATTCAGACCGTTCGAAGCTTAGGGAATTTATAAACCAATGCAAGAATTACATGGCCGGAAATAGCCATGTCTACCAGGTGGACAATCAGAAGATTGCATTTGTGCTGTCGCACATGCAAGGAGGAACAGCAGGATCATGGGCGCAGAGCTTCATAGAAACGGAACTTACCGATGATGACTTCCTTTCTTATGGAAGTTGGAAAGAGTTCATTATGAACATGAACAAAGCATTCGGCGATGAAAATATTGAAGAAACCGCTTGTACCTTGTTGCGTAACATCAAGTAAGGAACTCGTACTGCGGACAACTACATTGCCGAATTCTGATTGCTTGAATCCAAGGCGAAATTGGAAGATGCCGGAAATATTGAATATTTCAAGTGGAGACTTAATGACCCACTCTGACAAAGGATATATGGGATGGAGAGCATGCCCAAAACATTGGACAAGTGGTACGAATACACCTCGTGGATCGACAACCAATGGAGATCTGCTCAGATCTTCAAGCGAGGAGCCACTACAATGACATGAGAAAAAGGCCGATCTACCCATCGTCCCTACTACTCGACTTCTACGAAGGATCCGAATGTGATGGATGTTGATCACCTCAACATCTCACGCTTATCCCTGGATGAACGATGAGACACTCCCAGACCTCCTGGCCTCTAAAAATGCATTTTCCAGTGATTGCTCATACCTCACTACTCTAGCTCTTAGCCTCCGAGATGCATCCGACCCTTTCACGACCTTATGCAAACTTTGGCGGCTTTGTTCGACTTCGCTCAATTTCTCACGACTTCTCTCCGAGATTCGACATTTTTTCATCACTCATACGCCACTCTTGCATCTCCCTGCTGTCAGATACCACTTATCCATTGTCCTTTGGCCTAGTCTGATGCACCCTGGCTGATTTTCTTCTAAGTCCATACTTTCCCGATGTCGCACCGACTTACTGGTTCATCGCGCTGACTTATCGGTGTTGCACAATGGTCGCGACCTCTTCCTTTGCAAATCCCATTCCCTTTATCATTCGACCTTCCCCTTCAAGACTCCTACCTTCGTGCTGGACCAGAGATGCCGTTAGAGTATTCCATGTGGTTCAGGACAAGTAGCATATGTTTTCTTTCCATTTCCCTCTACTTTACCATTCTTTTCCATCGCTAACGTACGACATTCACCTCTCCACTCCCTTTACCTATTTTTCCATTGGTCCTAGACCATTGCAACTCTTTCCGATGTCAGGATCCATTTTCCGACATTTTGCGACTTTCGCATTTCACCTCTCCCATTTTCCCCTCTATAAATAGCTGCTATATCTACATCGATTATCATCGAAGACCAGTAGAAGACTTCCCCCTTCACTTCAGATCACCGAGAAACTGTGTTTACTGCGATAGCGACTTCGAACTGCGATATACCCCACTGCGACATAGCGACATAGCGAGACTGCTATACTGTATCATTACGACCACTCCGGTGTTGGGTGTGACATGTGACCAGAAGTTTCAGTCTGGCGCCACGGTGGGCAGCTCAGAGATATGTGACACGTTGACCTGACGGCGCTGCAGGCGGCGAAAAATGGGTATAGGAGGCCCGGAAAGCCCGAAAACTGGTGTGACACGCCGCTGTCAGGCGGCGGAAAGCCCAGTGACACTGTGACACTGGTCAAATACTGGCAGGGATGGGGGCCATGTTATGCGTGACCGCTGGAGTGGTCATAATGATACAGTACTTCGAGACTGCGTACTGTGACTGCAATAGCAAACTGCAACACTGCGATAGTGACATAGCAATATAGCGATATACCACCTGCATTAGTCTTAATCCGACTTTTGTGTTAGACTGACCATGTGATAAGGACTGACCATGTGATAGTGTGATAGGTTAGACTGACCATGTGATAAGGTCTCGCCCCCCATTACACTTTTTTACAGTCCATTTCACCCTGAGAAAAATTCTATTCAACAGCGAAGACCCCCATCAAGAAATCAAGAACCTTAACTTGCCACCCAATGGCAAGTCAAGGCCCCAAAAACACATGGATAACACACTCCCAGTCAAGACAGGCAGAGCACGTGGCTCTGGCAGATGTGGCCGAGAGTGCACCCCATGATGGCATGCATGTGGACACTGGCATGCCAGCCCCAGAAATAACGGACCATGGGCAAGAACTGGCATCACCAGCCCCATGATCCCCTACTCTATCGTACGTTGAACCCACATGCTCAACACGAGGAGGCCGAACGGACGAACAGCGGTGGGAATCCGCCTCTGATCATACAGCTGTGGTTCCCACCATTGTATTACAATTGCCCACAACACTGGGGAGGCCATTGTGCACAACTCACCAGCCATTGTAATTGTAATAACACTAGGCACATTGTAATATAATGGCAATTACAATGCTGGCTAGTGCAGAGCAAGGGTGTACCCTCGGGTGTCCCAAGGTGTACCTGTACCCATACCTGCACGGGTATCATACCCATGCCCACGGGTACGGGTATCCCACAGATTTCACAGGTTCTCACGGGTTTATGTACCCTGAGGGTAGATCTGTGGACCTTTGGTGCATTCAACATAGTATAGAGCTATCTAATCTCAAAGAATGTTATCCCACCCATCCTCAAGGCCATCATCATCCTCTTGAGCCTCAGGGAGAGAGACAACAGCCAAGACATCAGTATCATGTACAAACCCCAGTTGGCTTCACTCCGCAAGACACAGAAGAGCACGAATAGACTCCACGGAGAGACCATTTTGCAGATGTGGTAACAATATGTGCCCCTTGCTGAAGATGTGCTCAACGTCAACAGACGTGGCTGCAGATAAGTGCATCAGTGGGTTGTAATGCAATCAGAGATCAGGAGACACCTACCGGGAATAGTAAGATAACTCATGGCCATCCACGATAGATGAGGGAACTCCTTGCACCGCACGTACCACCAGCCAAGCGCATCACCATCAACATGCTCTGTGTCAGCATCGAGATAGCATTTGAGCTCATCGCGATTGTCTTTGCCCTTGGAGACATTCGCATTCAGGAGGTTGTCGAACATGTTGCTAGATGGCTGAGGGGATGGCGACAGAACGTGTCGCGTGTGCATTCGAAATCAGCCACAATCGCAAACAATGGGGATGGACTTACCATGTGTTCCGATTGCTTCATCTGAGTAGGCTTGACATTCACTGCACATTGCGCATAAGCACAGTCATACTCTTCATGGACCAGCGCCCTTGCTGTCGTGATCCATTCTGCCTGCCAATCGGCATTCTGGAAGTACTGCAGTTTGTGGGAGGGGTGTAGCACTGTCGTTGTATTGTATTTAGTGTATGATGTTGAAAGCTACCAATTGGAAACTCACCCATTGCGATGCGGTACATGTTGGAAAGATCGGTCTTGTCGTAGTAGCGATTCAGTGTCTTCTTCGCCATCCCGAGGGCAGCGCAGATACAGGGCTCATAGTCGGAGTCGAGAGAGTCATTTGTCAGCTTCTCATCGATGATATCCATGGCCGGAATGACCATAGGTAAGCTAGGTGTGTCGCGTGAGAAGTACAAGGTTGCGTCGTTGAAGACCTGGTGGCGGGCGTGAGGAGGAGGCGTGGTGAGAGTCACATGTGACTCACCTTGAGGATGTCACACAGCTGTTTTGCTATCTCCCATTCATCGTCGTCCATCTCATATCTTCACAGCTCCATCGCTCTGTCTCCTGTCATCTCATCGACTGCCAGCCAGTACTCCAGTGCAAATTCCAACATCCGGAAGGTCGAGTTCCATCGCGTGATGACATCCCGAGGCATCTTTCTCTCTGCCAGCTCCAAGTCTGCCAGCACCTTCAACCAAGCTGGCAAGAGCTTCGTTGATGAGTGTATGATCACGGACGCGATCTTACGCAACTGTGCAAAGGCAGTCAAGCCAAGGTGAGTGCACAATATATCTGATATGGAATTCACCTTAACAAGAATGAGCTTAACAGGCCGCACACTCGCATCGAGCGCTGCGTGATCCTCCATGGACATCCCCTCGCATTCGTCCTGGAGGCCCTCAATATCATTCGGTGGCTCCCCCTTCTCACCTCCTTCTCCCACTCCAAGTTCCAAATCCTTTGCCAGCTCGTGAAGGGCATTTTTGGTGTCGTCGAGTGTCGCATCAGCTCCATTCTGTGGGATGTCAAACTGGCGCAGCAGGCTCTTGGCCATGAGATTAATGATGTGGTCGAAACATCGCGCGCAGTTTGCCTGGCCTTGAAACGACTTGATCAACTTGGCGAGCTCATCGATCATGACATTATTTGGCGACACATTGTCCACGGTGATGCTGAGCATCTAACCCTCTGGTGAGTAATTCCTCGCAATTTGAGTGCCTCGGTGAATATTGACATACCTTTATAGCAATTTTGAAATCATCCACCATCTTCGCAAATGCAGTGGCAAGGTTGACGCCACTATGGGAGTCCGCGACTTCAACAACATCGAGGACCATCCGGAGTGGCATGCCCTTATGCTGCAAGTGGACTGTGAACGTGACGATTGCCTTATGGTTCAGCGAGGTCCAAGCATCAGTGGCGAAGCTCAACTCGCCATCGTACTCCTGCAGGTGAGTGTCAGACTTACCCCTTCTTGCATACTGATCACTGACCTGCAGCATCTTCGCGACATGTGCCCAACAGCATGCGAATACTTTGTGCACATCTCGTGCTACCGTCCAGCACGAGGGGATCCAATATTCTGGCTGACCCGTTTTCATCAAAGACTGGTATGCATGATCCTCAATGATCGTGAATGGGCGAAGGCTTTCCGAGACCCAGCGCACAATCTCCGCCCTGGCATACTGCATTCAGCCACCAACAGACCCGACTGGCATTCACTGGAACTCACCGGGTCTCGGTGCGTGTGTGCTGGCACACAGAGTAAGTTACCTTCCCTTTCTCTTTGCGCTCGAATGCCACGGTGATATCTCCTGACCATCTGAACTTCTCAATAGATGGGCGCGCATCAGCCGCGGTGTTCATCTCATCAGCCGCGGTGTTCATCTCATCAGCCGCGGTGTTCATCTCATCAGCCGCGGTGTTCATCTCATCAGCCGCTGCCAAAGCCTCCTCACCCCAGCACTTCCGGATATGTCTACGCATGTTCCCCGTCGACATTTGATCTCCTTTATCAAGCCATCGCTTCACCTTCATCTTGCAGCCGTGGTTCGCGCAACAAAAAACATGTCCACGTACGCCCGCCTTATCTGTCTCAATAGTGACTTCAGGCTTACAGAAAGCATAGGCTGTCGCTGTCCAGTCTTTCTGCATCTCGCCTGTCCGTGTGCTTGGTAAGTCATCTTCAGTCATGATATTATCATAAGTTACTCACTCAGCTCTTCCTCAGGTGTCATCAATTCCTTCTTCTTTGCCCGGACCTTCTCCGTGGCCTCATTATCAGACTCGAAGATCTTGACAACATCATCATCATCATCTGCATCCTCAACATGTGCACATCGGTTGCGTTTCGGTGGTTCGACATCATCATCATCATCATCATCTGCGTCCTCAACATGCGCCCGACGATCGCATTTCGGTGGTTCGACATCCTTGGGGTGCAATCTCCGGTCGGGCGCAGATGGAGCTGCATCGGGATCCTGGCTGTCAATGCACTGCTTCTTCCTTTGTGTGTTCTTTGATTGACTTCCACGATGTTTCAGCATGATGGTGATGGTACCGTTGCTCGGGTTTCTTTCACCTTTATGTAGTCAATCCATATGCAGTATGTAGCTTATGAAATAAGGTTTTAGGCCATGTGCACTTGTGCAACAGATCGGGCAAAGTCTAAGACTAATTAATGCCTACAGGTACGTGGTGGGTATTAAGGGTCAGCAGACCGTGACCCCTACCCGTACCCGTGGATACCCTTACCCATGACCCTCATGGGTTGTCATAACCCTTGCTCTGCACTAGCGTGCAGCATGCGCATGTCCTCTCGCATGTTTCCTTCCATTCACCGAGGCTGGCCGGGGACTCGCGCTCGTGCGACGTGTGTGGACAGATTAGGCAGGAGGGACTGTCAATGGACTGTAATTCCGCGGGTGACCCGTGTGACGAGACCGTCAATCTGGCGGAGGAAGGGTTGTCAGAATGTCTGGTGAAAATTGTATAGAGGGGGGGGGGTATGTAACGCTCTCCCCACTGTAGCTCCTGCACAACTCGTGTCACACTTGTCGTCCCGCATGTACCTGTGCATCCCCTGACCTCCGCTGGAAAATTTTGTTCATGTATGCCACCATATGTGTACCTTGGACCATATTTGAGGCATTGTGACCTGCGAATGTGCCGCGCTCAGGTTCGGATGTTTCGAGTTTTGGCTGAGGTCACGCCCATGTGACATACCCCCCCCCTCTATACAATTTTCACCAGACGTTCTCGGGAGCGACCCAACATCTTAAACGCCCAATTTGGTAACCGCCAGGTTGCTCACGTGAACGTCTGGTTACGAGACTACTGTGCAGGCAATGTGAACTAGAACACCTGCCAGATCGGGTACGTAGGCACTGGAAATTTCCGCTTAAGCGCCTTGTGCTCGTGTTTCCCGCCCATTTCTTGGCTCATTCTCAAGGAGCTCAGCAGATCACAGTCTGCTTGTATCGTATCTCTTCGATTGACCATGGCTTCTGAAGCGGCAGAGATTATCGACCTCACAGTTACTCCCCCACCGGTATATGCTGACCTGGAGGACGAAGAGATCATCCTCGTGAACGAGGAGACTACAACCAATTCGAATGGAAAGCCAAAGAAGCCTCGAAGGAAGAAGGGACGCATGACAGAACCTGTTGAAGTTGGTGTTGGAGCGAAGGCCAGTATGAATGGCGTCCCTCACGTTAACATTACGAATGGGTGCGATGGAAAGCGGACTCCAGCGGAGAAGACGCTGACCAAAAAGTCGCTACTCGAGCGTATGCAAGACGCCAATTCAGTCAATGCCTCTACCAGCGGAAGTGGGGGAGTAGTCAATCTGGAGGAATCAGAACGCGGAACGAAAAGGAAGAAGCGAAAGCAGAAGAGAAGTGGGTCGTTGTTACAGGACTCAGAACAATATCAGGGTCGTGGACGACGCTCTCGCTCACCCGATCGACAGAAGGAAGACAACAGATCATCTAACTCGGCGATAGATGACAATAACTGCGCCTCTTTGTTCTTCGTCGATGTCAATCATTCTGACCTTCCATCCTCCATGAAACTCAACGAGCAGCAACCAGGGTCTTCGGGGAAAACACCAGAGCAGGAAGAGACACCTATGCTGCTACTTCCGGCGCACGTCTCTGTGTTCGGCGAAGGTGGCGTGGACCCTGTAGAGATTCTTCCACCATCGAATCCGGTTTCCGACGACGACGACTACATTGAATATCTGGACTATGACGATGATCGCAAGGTATGTCGCGCTGTAATCATTATGCAATATTAAGTGTTGACAGTGTGATGCGTGAAGGCTCCGTGGATGAAACGGTATTTCGACCAACCTGAGGACGAGGAAAAGGTTGCGAAACCGACAAAGATCGTGTGCAAGAATTGTGGGGCAGAAGGCGAGCACAAGACGTACCAGTGCCCCGTCCTAATTGTCAGTATGTCAATCCTTCCCATACTCAGTGTTCAAATCTATCAGACGGAAGCTGACTTCACTTGAACTTCCTTCGTCGAAAACAGTGTCTAACGTGTGGCGCACGAGATGAACACTCCACACGGAGTTGTCCCATCAGTAAGACGTGTTTCACATGCGGTATGAAGGGACATATCAATAAGGTCTGTTCTTTCATGCAGGATCAATTGATTCATCGTCTTATTTAGCATCTTGTAACAGACATGTCCCAATCGGTATTCCAGTCGAGCTGGCGTCAGCCAATCTGAATGCGATAGATGTGGTGCACGAACACACAACACCAATGTACGGCCACCTAGAGTCGTCATTGTTGCTTATACTGAATGAATACTAGGAATGCCCAACGCTGTGGCGCATGTATGAGTACGTTGGCGATTCAGAGCGGCAGACTATCTTAGTTGCCCGAGATGCCAAGAAGACACTGGCGCTAGGACAGGGCGGTGAAGGCTACATCGCCTCTGACGAATGGTGTTATAACTGTGGCGCCTGTGGCCATCTAGGAGATGTACGTCCAAGTTACGTTACGCATCGTTGATACCCCATGATGACATGCTATACTTTCAGGACTGTAGAGGGCTACCATATGCACCGGATATCCCCCGCGAGCCCTCCGCGTTCGGTTCGTACAATACCGTGTCAGGGCCCTTCTATGACACTTCATCGGCATCCAACGAGAAGCGTCCGCCTCGCGACTGGGAAGTTGCGTCTGCGTTCGCTGACGGGTTCGGATTCAATGCACCCATGAATGTCGGCAAACAGGGTCGGCAGAAGGAGCGGGCGCGGATGGAGATGCGCGCGAAGGAAATTGAAGAGGAGGAGCGGCAGGATGATTGGTTCGCGCGACCAAATGGTCGCAGGAGCGGTGAAGGTGCTGAAAATGGGCAAGGACAACCCAAAGGATATGCGGGTGGGAAGAAGATAGAGATTGGCCTATCAAGTTCCAACTCAAGGAGAGATAATAGACGGGACAACAGAGATGGGGTTGACCGGCCACGCCTGGTGTATGATGACCTACCCGGACCATCACGAGAAACGGATTCAATACGGTTGCTTGGGGCAGCTACGAAACAGTACGATGACCGGTATGGTGACCGGTATAGTGGCAGTCGGCGCGGTCGGTCGAGAGAGCGGGACCGAGGGAAACACTGGGACAGACGGGACGATAGACGAGATGAAAGACGGGGAGAGAGAGGGCCGCGGTATCGAGGAGGCTATGCTCGATGATTGGCCGGCGTCCGTTGTTAGTATTCTTTGCATATATACTTAGTCTCTGGCTTCCGAGCAAAGGCTTTACTTATATATACGGGCGCATGTCAGAACAAAACTAATATTCGTAACATATGGCGATGCATTATGTACAACCGTGTGGGAGCAGGCAGGAGGAGCGTATAGTTGATTCTGCTATATACATCAGTACAAAGTATACAAGGATGCCAGTTAAGATACAGGTACCTACGATAGAGCACGACCGTGAACGTCAGATTCCCGGAGAATGAATGGAATTCCAGATAGTCAATTGTGGAACTAATCTACCTCCCCTTCACTTTTTTCTTGGTCTTTTTTGCCCCCTTCGACGTGGCGTTCGACGGTGCCAGGGAGATAAAAGACGACATAGGCGAAACACGGGAGAGCTGCTCGGAAGGTATTACAATAGGCTCAGGCATAGGGATGGGAGCGTTCATGAAATCATCAGTAGGGTCATTTCCGAGATCGTGCGGACTGGTAGAGAGGAAGATCAGTTAGCATATATATAAACCGCAAGTGTGAGCACGCACGACAACCTCTGTTGGGCTTGCTGGAGCGGCGACGGGAAGGGCATCGGTATTGGTAGAGGGGTTGGGTCCGCCCGTGCGCTACCCATGACAGGTGATAATGGCGTGTTCATGCGGCCAGATGTCCTTCCACCATCTAATCCAAGATTGCTGTGGCTGTAAGGTGTTCGCGAGTAGAGATGAGATTGCGATGAGCTAGGGCTCATCACGGATCCAGCTGCTGAAGCAGGCAAGGGTACCCTTGCCGCACCAGAACTTACAGATCCAGCTGCCGAGGGAGGTAATGGTACCATTGCCGCACCTGAGAGAGAGCTCGGGACCAGCCGCGGTGTGGGCACAGGGTAGATGATATTTGGCGGGACAGGCGCGACGGCGTAGGTGGGACCTGCTTGCTTTGGGAGCTTCTTACGCCGATCGGGAGGTGTGGTCAGTGTGTTCATAGAGCTGCTGATGCCAGAGGAGACTGCGTCCGATTCCGACGACGACGAATCTCTTAACGCAGAACGACTGTACCGCCTTACGGGCTGCGCATTTGGCGCGGGAGAAGTCCCAGGCAGATGAGGGATCACTACAGGTTCTGAAGCAAAAAATGCACCCGGAGCCATATTCGGAATGATTGAAGGCGTCAGAGTCCCACCGTAGGAGGAAGGTGGTAGCGGTACACCTGCAGGGCTAATCGATTTCACATACATATCTTGAGAGGTCAGTCTCAAGGAAGGCGGTAACGGGGGTGGCATTGACGGTTGAGGGGTGAACGTACTCGGCGGGACAGGACGGCTATTAGGCACGAAGCCTGGCGGTAACTGATCCTCTAGCACTTCCGCAGACGCCGATTGCGATGAAAGAGAAGGGATTACGGGCTGTCCGAAAGATTGTTGAGCGTTGACGCCAGTGCCGGCCGCATTATCCTCTGGCAAAGTAGGCAGAGGTCGATCAGCATCACCTGCACTCAAGAGGTTTGGCGTCATTGGTACAATCCCAGAATGATTGGACTCTGGACGGGACTGGAATAATACCAAAAAGTGCGATAATCAGAAACATGTTGAAGGCACGTTTGAGAGAATACGCAGCAGCAGGAGTCAGAACAAGAGATACGAGATGAAGAGAAATCCATACAGGGGGCTCAACCGTGATACGATATTCGGAATTAAGGCTCTGGCGGCGATCACTCGCCTGCGAAGGAGGCCTCAACGACGACTGAGATCTCAACCGCGACATCGGACGTGCATTCTGTGCCGAGTCAGACGAGGAATCGGGAGAGCGTGGACGCGTGTAGATGTTTTGGTTATGAGAGAAAAGACGTATTGGAGTAGTATCCACGCTCTGTGTCTGCGTTTGCGGAGAAGGCCCTTGAGGCATGTAGAAACTTGAATTTGACGATTGCAGGTAGGGCGACTGATAGGATTCCTACAACGGCTCAGTACGGTTTTGAGGAAACATCATGAGAAGCTTGACTTACCCCAGGTCTAGGAACTGGAGAAGACGCAGATGACGTCCGCTCTCTTTCTTCAGCAATTGCGCTTAGTACGACAGGTCGCTCTCTCAAAGCACTCCTCCCATTCGGCGCGACGGGCGGTCCCAAAAGTTCGAATTGAGACATCGTTGTGGATTGAGATTCGGAAGACCTACGGCGAGCGTGCCGGGGTCGGCGATGAGGAGGTTCAGCAATTGATTCCGTATCGGACACTGCAAACTCAGCATGATCTATGGGTGGAGGAATCATAACAGGTTTAGCGTCTGCAGTGTCTGCCGTGCCCAATAGCACCACAGACGGTGGGGGAGAGGGCGTAGGGGGTGGCGGTCCCAACTCGTGCGGAGGCGGGATACGAATGCGAGAGTCACCGTCTTGCATCGGGATCCATCCATCCGGAGGTATTTCGACATAAGGATGGGAAGGAGAGGCGTTGAGCATATGCACCGGGATAGGATGTATCTCGTTATCGTGAGGCGGATTAACGTGAGGGTTCTGAGGGAACGGAGGATCAGTTGTGACGACGGTGGGTGCAGGTGTAGTACGACGTAAAGGTTGTGAATAATTCGAAAGACGCTCCTGCTCATACCCTCGTGAGGATGACCCAGAAGACCGAGAAGGCTGTCGAACATCTCCACGCTGTTCGTCAGAAGGAGTTTGAGCCGCGTCTTCGACATCCTCCACGTATGGGCGCATTCGCATTGCAGCATCCTGCCCTCGGGCGTATCCCTCAGCCCTGCCTTCTTCGTACCCAATATTTTGGCCCCTCGCAAGACCCTCTTCCATACCGAGCCTCCGTCCCTCCTCCCTGGCAAGCTGCGCGAGTTTCTCCTCTTTTAGCTTCCGCGCCATACTGCGAGCCCGCGCCGCCGATTCCTCGGCCTCCAATCGCTGAGCCTCCAGGGAATCCAACAATTCTTGCGCCCTGTGAATTTCCTTCTGCGCCGTCGCGAGCTGTAGCTTGTACAAACCCAATGCCTCTTTGGCACGTGCAGCCTCCTGCTGGGCAAGAATTCTGTCTTCGTTCGCGCCCTTAAAACGAAGCGCAGCTTCCCTTGCTTTGTCCTCTGCAGCGTCCGCGCGCCGCGTCTCGCCCTTGAGTTGCTCCGTCACAGACGAGAGCATCTTCCTGAGATCTTTGGCATCACGTTCCTGGTATACCAACAAACGAGCGAGCTCCCGACTTGATCCTCCTAAAAGAATCTTTTCGCGGTCCTTTGAGGACCGATGTTTCCGGGGTAGTTCTGTCATCCTTCGCGATAGCAAAGGCTCTTCCAGTGGTGAAGGAGATTCCGAGTCGTCCATATAAGCTGATGAAGATTGGCAGTACGGTATGATCTATGTAATGATGTTTCTCAATTTGAGCTCTCTAGAATGCGATAGATGGCACCTGGCTGCTCACCAGATAGTTCTGTTAGTATCACAAGACATTCCAATCCGGTCTGAAATCTTATGAAGGTCGTCGTTAGATCTTGCAATCATTTGAAATAGCAAGCGAGGTACCGTGAAGAAAGTAAATAGAGAAAAAGGTCACAGCATTTGGGGTCCGGTGGTGGATTCAACTTCACGAGTAGACGCCCATAACACATGCATGCCGCACGCCGGGCGCTCTGTGATTAACCTGAGAAACAAAGGAGCTGCGGTGATTCGCGCTTGAGGTATGGTAGCGATATATTGACGAAGTGTACGCAGCCGTAAATACACGCAGACCGGAACACCATCAAGACAGAGGAACAACAAGCAAGCAAGCATTAGAATTTGCTGATAAAGTACACTAAAAGTGGTCCACCGTGAACGTCCATTTCCCCTCCTCGATGTCAAAGCTCTCGAAATGGGTATGTTTCATGTTCTTCAATCTCTTCGAATGACGCACCGCCATAGGATGTTTTTCGTCCTTGATCGGCTCTCGCGTCGCCTTGTCCAATGCCCAGCACCGCACAAGCTCGATCCTCGCCCTCACGTTTAGGCCCGACCCTGCTGGTGGTTTCTCCGTATCGTCGCTGTCGGGGTAGACACTGCACTCCTTGTCGTCGAAGCGTACCACCTCCCCGAGTAAGCCAGCCAGCTTCGGAACATTCGTGAGGTCCACGGGGTCGAGGAACGTGATTTCACCATAGCCTACACGCCCGACGACAAGGCCCTTGAACGCCACCAAATCATCGTAGCCAAGCTTCTTCAAGGTCTCCAAAGGTGGCTCTACCCAGTAGTCACCTTCCTGCAGTTCTGTCGGCCCTCGCTCCGGCTCAGCCGCCGGTTCAGGTGCACTCTTCTCGGCGTTCGGAATATCAAAGATATCCTGGGTGCCTTGCGCCGAGAAGCGATTAAGTGGTCGTGTAGGTTGTGCCCGCGCAGGAGTAGGTGACTCGGGGGCACGCATGTGAGTTGACGCCGCCGCGGCGGTGGCCGCAGCAGTAACCGCTTCTTTTTCCCGTGCAGCGATGCTCAACGCGGGGCTGAATTGAGGAGTCTTGCTGAACAAGTCGTTCGCCGCAGTTTTCTTGTCCAGAACCAGCTTCTTCACGTTCTGCCGCGAGTTGCTGCCCAACATTGGGATGGGTCCGCCTCCACTCAAGAACGAGTCTGATCCGATAACGCTCTGCGCGTTCGTCGACTTCGTCAGCGACAGCGCGTTCGGCTTGTTCGTCGAGAATATTAAACTGCTGTTGTTGACACTCCCGCCAGGACCCGGCGTGCCAGACGTCGATCCAAACCCACGAAGCTTCGCGCCTGCAGGAGAATAAGTCAATTGCAGGCGCGGGCCGGTGGGTCGAGTGGGCACATCTACAAAGTAATTTCCTCTTTTCTTCGGCTGCTCCATGTCGACAGCGCGCGGGCCAGGAGGCAGCATGCTGAAGATTGGGAGATTGGAACCAATAGGCTGTGCGATTGACGCAGTGAGCGAGCCCTGTGCACTTGGCCCCAGGGCAGACGCTCCTAGGGTACCGGTGGAAGCGCCAAGATTACTGCCAAAGAGACCTCCCTGTGCTCCTGTGGACTGCGACATGCCCAGAGCTGGAGCCGCAGGCTTCGCAAAGAAGGAACTCGGCGCTTGCGTCCCTGGTTGCTGACCAAGGGCGGTACCAAAGAGGCCTGTCGTGGGCTGAGTAAAGGTGTTCGTGGTTGAGGATGGTTGTCCAAAGGCGCTTCCGAAAAGTCCGCCAGTTGTTGGTTGTGTGGTGGTTGTAGCAGGTTTAGGGCCACCGAACAGACCGAAGGCGTTCGGGTTGGATGCAGGCTGCTGCTGCTGTTGTTGACCTTGTTGGCCAAGGTTGCCAAACAGTCCGCCACCACCACCTGTGTTACCGAACAGCCCACCGGTTTGCTGCTGAGCAGGTTGGCCAAACACTATCGATGCACACGCTTAGTGGAAACAAGGATACAGTTCTGCAAATGATGAACGTACAGGAACCAGTCGGTTGTTGCTGCTGTTGCCCTTGCTGCTGCTGCTGCCCTTGCTGCTGCTGATTTGTCTGTCCAAACAATCCTCCCGATCCAAAGAGGCCACCAGTTGGTTGAGTGCCTTGTTGCTGCTGGCCAGTCTGACCTTGTTGTTGCCCGAATGCACCAAAGGCGGATGGCTGGCTCTGCTGTGTTGTCGCAAATAATGGAGGTTTCGGCGCGTTCATACCTTGACCTGAGGAATGAAATAATGAGTGAATACGCTACGAGGCAATTCACCCCATGAACTCACCGAAGGCATTGAATGCGCCTCCGGGCTGCTGGGGTTGTTGAGGCTGACTGAACAGACCACCGCCTTGCTGTTGGTTCTGAGGCTGACCAAAGGTACTCCCGCTTCCAAACGCACCGCCTCCTGAGCCTCAGGAACGATAAGCGCCATGCGGTCGCGCGGTCTGCATCTGAGACTTACCAAATGTGCTGCCGCCGAATGCGGACTTCTGTTGTTGGTTGGCGCCAAATGTGTTTCCAAACAGCCCTGCTCCTGGCTGCTGCTGCTGCTGCTGCTGCTGCTGCTGAGGCTGCGTCTGTGTCTGTCCGAATGCACCAAAAGCAGACGGTTGCTGAGGCTGATTCTGTGGCTGGTTCTGCTGACCGAAAGTGCTACCACCGAAAAGACCTCCCCCGGTATTTCCTTGGTTCTGGGGTTGAGCGAAAGCTGCAAATCCACCACCAGTAGTGCCAGTATTCGAAGGGCCAGCGGTAGGGGTGGATCCGAAATTGCCAAACATAGGATTCGCCGCGGGCTGATTTTGGGCTGACTGCCCAAAGAGTCCTGTTGTTGGTTGAGTAAACGAGGACTGGCCAAATGCTCCTGCAGTCTTCCGCCCTTGTTGATAATCTTGCACACGAAGTTCCTGTATACGGCAGCTCATAATGAAGTAACCATAGCATGAACGAAACGCATACTGACCTCGAATGAAGACCGACTATATTGGGGCATGCATGTGATACTTTGGTATTGGAGTGTTGCGCTCGGGAGAGCTGGATCTTTCTCATTATGGACGATGTAAGGTGGGTTCGCTGTGCCTGTCGTCACAGGCGCAACACCGTCCATAGACCCTAATACCGCTGAACAGAGACATCAGCAACGTAAGCCGCATGGATACCAAACATTACTCACGAGCAGTGGATCCGAAACCAGTGGCAGGCTTATTGCCACCAAACGCACTAGTGTTTCCGAAAGCACCTCCAGTGATGGTCGACGGTTGAGTGCCAAACATCCCACCGCCCGTGCCAGAGGGCCCTGTACCAGTTGTGCCCGAACCAAAAGCGCCACCTCCAGTTCCGCCAAACGCAGACGTACCGCCTCCAAATGCACCAAAACCGGTGGCCGGTTTCGGCTGTCCGAACAAGCCACCAGTGTTGGCCGTGTTGGTGCCACCGAAAGCGCCTAGAGTGATGGGAGATGAGCGAAGATGCTGCATGAAGGCAGCACGCCACAGAAAGCTCACCGAATCCAGTACTAGTGCCGGTAGTGCTGGGATTGCTAAGATTGCCAAACATGGGGTTAGCCTGAGGCTGTGGTTGTTGCTGTGGTTGGCCAAAGGTAGAAGAGGAACCGAATGCTACATTGACACGTCAGGTTATAAGGGGCGCGCGAAATGACTCTGACAATTAAACGAACCTCCCCCGGAACCGAAACCTGAAGGTTGCCCAAAAGCGCTAGGTTGCTGCTGCTGCTGCTGCTGTTGTTGTTGTTGTTGTTGGTTCTGCTGTGGGTTCGCCCACGACGAGGAGATGCCAGTATTACCGCCGAACATTATCCAACTCGTCGCAGCAGGTTGTTGTTGTCGTCGATGGTCGGTTGAGGAGCTTCCTGTAATCCAAGGGCACAACAACACGCGTTCAGGCGGAGATCCAAATCAGACGCGCCTCCGCGTGACGCTCACTCTCCGCGGCAATTTTTGCTAAGTCTGAAAGTGCTCGGGGCATCACCGCAAATTCTTCCTGTTAACGTTTGCCATGCCGGACGCTTCGACTAGGTCGACGGGAAGCACGTTCCACACGCTCACCCGAGAGAAGCAGTTCAAAAATCCACCAAAGAAAGGCTCAGTCGTTCCTATCCTGAATGAATTTGTGATCCCTCATTTAGAATCATTCAACGCGCTTTTCGATGACTCCGGTTTACCTGTTGGCGATGGAGACGGTCAAGGATTACTGTCTTTGGCGATAAAGGACATAGGGGAACGCGTCGTATTCGATGGCAAAGGAGAAATCGGTTCAGAGAGCGGTCTCAAAGGTTGGGGGAACAGGTTGAGCAGTAAGTACTCGAACTACTTTACTGGAAGTGTAAAATATAACAATTGTCCAGTGTGTTATGAACAGGTTCTTGTGGCACGACCTATGATCTCCGACAAAGTTCAAAACGATTACGCCCGGCTATTCCCCTCGGAGGTGAGATTTTCTTCATGTGCGCTTAGTGATCGTCATGTTTTGCGTGGTCATCATACGGAGTGCTTCAGAAGCTCAGGGTGCAGATTCATGGCCATGGCTGTCTTGCAGGACTTCTCACTCGGGAGAGTAGATGCTGTCCATGCCATGTTTGCTATGTGCTATGATTTCGCTGCGAATAGACATTCTCCTCATCTATGAACGTCCGCGCGTCATATATGTTGCACCTAGTGAGACGCTTCTTCACTATCTTGCCTTCAAGGCGTTGATGCGGTGTGCGTCATCAGCAGCGTTCCGTCCAGGTTGCGAATGCTGTTTCGGTATCGATGCTAACATTATTTCATGTACAGGCTCGCGAACGTGTGACATCTTACCGTGCCCGCATGACAGTCAAACTCCGTTGGAGAGTTAACGATGGTCCGACAGAGGTCGAACAGCGAGACTGCGGGCTGCTCCCGATCATGGTTCGAGTAAGTGCGTCTATATGGCTAGTTATTGTCGGGTAATGACCACTCAACACAGTCAATAAGGTGCAACCTCAAGGGTATGTCTTCAGCCGATCTTGTGAAGCACCACGAAGAGCCCGAGGAGTTCGGCGGCTACTTCATCATTAACGGAAACGAGCGGCTTATCCGATACCTCATCCTCCCTCGGCGACACCATGTTATCGCACTTACGCGCCCATCCTTTGCGAACCGCGGGCCGTCCTATACACCATATGCCGTGCAGATCCGGTGTGCTCGGCAAGACCAGACGAGCGTAACAAACACACTGCACTACCTCTCAAACGGGAGCGCCATGCTGCGTTTCAGCTGGCGGAAGCAGGAGTATGTCATCCCTATCATGCTGATCCTGAAAGCGCTTGTTTCCGCCTCGGACAAAGAGATCTTCGAGGGAGTCATGATGCAGGACTATGAGGACACGTTCCTCACGGACCGGGTGGAGTTGCTCTTGCGCAGCTTCAAAATGTACAGTTTGTACGCTGGTGATCAGTGCCTCGAATTCTTAGGCTCCAAGTTCCGCGTTGTTCTCAGTACACCTGACGATATGACCAACAAGGCCGTTGGTGCCTGGCTAGTGCAAAAGCTGGTGCTTGTCCATCTCGACTCACCGCGAGAGAAGTTCCGGATACTTCTGTGCGTGTGGATAACGACGCGTTGTCTCGTCCTCGAACGCTCACGGAAGTTCGATCTACCAGCTTTATGCTCAGGAAGCTCTATGCGCTGGTGTCAAAGTCATGTTGCGTAGATAATCCTGATTCCCCGCAAAATCAAGAAGTTCTACTGCCGGGAACATTATACGGGATGATTATCAAGGAACGGTTGGAGGAAGCATTGCACAATGTGTCTCAAGCCATTGCTGCTGACGTCAGGCTATCGAACCCATCCGTAGACTTCTTTGACAGTGCGTACACCTCCATTTCCATTCCAGCTGCGGGTTGAGCACCAGCTGTCTCGCGTAGATCGTTATTTCAGAAAAATCCTAGCGCGTACTAACTTCGACATCGGTGCAAAGATGTCGAACTTTCTCGCGACGGGCAACTTGATATCACCGACTGGTCTTGATCTGCAGCAAGCTTCTGGATTCACGATCGTCGCGGAGAAGCTCAACTGGCAACGTTATATCAGTCACTTCAGATCCATTCACCGAGGGGCATTTTTTGCCGAGCTGAAAACTACGACGGTCAGAAAACTTCTGCCAGAAGCCTGGGGTATGCGTGACTATCGCTCCACTGAATAACGACGGCTAAGTTGCTCGGTGCAGGTTTCCTCTGCCCTGTGCATACTCCTGACGGCTCTCCGTGCGGATTGCTCAATCACCTGTCGCGTACGTGCCGCATCGTGACTGCGCCATTAGCAGTCGCGCATATACCCGCCCTTCTAGCCGTCCACGGCATGACACCAGCCTTTGCCGCCTCAATCGACGGCCGTAGAAACCTGTGCGTGCAGCTCGATGGACGTCTGATTGGCTGGGCCCCTTCCGCCGTCCTCAAACAACTCGCGACGAATTTGCGGATATGGAAGACGGAGGGAAAATACAACGTACCGCTCGATCTGGAGATTGCATTCGTGCCTGTCTCCAAGGGCGGGCAATATCCTGGGCTGTACCTTTTCGCGTCGCGGGCGCGAATGATGCGGCCCGTGAAGTACCTCGCGAATGGACATAATGATCAGATTGGGTCGTTCGAGCAAGTCTACATGGACATTGCGTGTACACCGGAGGAGATTGAGCAAGGTGTTTCGACACACGTCGAGCATGCCCCAACAAATTTCCTCTCGATTCTGGCGAATCTCACTCCTTTCTCTGACTTCAATCAAGTGAGTGGTGTCGTCCACGTGTCGTCATGTCATATAATAACATGGCCCTGTTCAGAGCCCCCGTAATATCTACCAATGTCAGGTAGCTAATACCACGTTTTGTAAGGAGGAGTGACTAACCGGGTGCTTTCAGATGGGTAAACAGACCATGGGAACACCGGCCACTGCCCTCCAGCATCGGACAGATAACAAGTTGTACAGACTACAAAGTGGTCAAACCCCAGTGGTACGTCCCGCGTTGCACAACACATACGGCATGGACTCGTTCCCAAACGGGACCAATGCCATCGTCGCGGTCATCTCTTACACTGGATACGACATGGAAGACGCCATGATTCTAAACAAGTCAGCGCACGAGCGAGGCTTTGGATATGGTACTGTCTATAAGTCGCATACCGTAGACCTCAGAGAAACGCAAGGGTCCGCAAAATCGCAGACAAACCCGACGCTTCACTTTGGCTTGGGGTACGATGTCAGGACTTCGGGTCCTAGGCGGCATCCCTGGTGTGACTTCGTAGATCCCGATGGTCTACCAGCTGTTGGAACTCGACTGACCGCTGGCGATCCACTCTGCGCTTATATTGACGATACGAAGAATCGCACGATATGGGTAAAGTACAAGGGTGACGAGGTGGCCTATGTAGACACGGTGCGCCTGCTAGGTAAGTGCGTCAATCCATCATACAAGCAAAGATTGACAATCCATCCGCAGCCAGTGACGGTGTTGAGACCGAACTACAGAAGATCAATATTACTCTCCGGATTACGCGCGCCCCAGTCATCGGTGACAAGTTCTCTTCCCGGCATGGACAGAAGGGTGTCTGTTCGCAGAAATGGCCTGCCATTGACATGCCGTTCAGCGAGAGCGGGATGCAGCCGGACGTCATTATCAACCCGCATGCCTTCCCCAGTCGTATGACGATCGGTATGTTGGTCGAGAGTATGGCAGGTAAAGCGGGCGCGATGCATGGCCTTGCACAAGATGCCACTCCATTCCAGTCAGTCTCCTGTCATAGCTTCCGGTGATCGTTGACCTCACACAGTACCTTAGATTCACAGAAGAGGACACAGCTGTGGATTACTTCGGCGAACAGCTTCTTGCTGCCGGCTACAACTTTTACGGCAACGAGCCCATGTACTCAGGTATTACTGGACAGGAGTTTGCCGCCGATATTTATATTGGTGTCGTCTACTATCAGCGTCTACGACACATGGTGTTGGACAAGTTCCAAGTACGTACGACGGGTCCTGTCGATCCCTTGACGCGGCAACCTGTGAAGGTGAGTTTTCAGGTCTAATATGTCACACCAATCTTCATTTGTGTTGCAGGGTCGTAAACGTGCAGGAGGTATCCGATTTGGTGAGATGGAGCGGGACGCTCTCATCGCCCATGGTACATCCTTCCTTCTCCAGGATCGACTGATGAACTGCTCCGACTACTCAACTGCCTGGGTCTGTCGGACGTGTGGAAGTCTGATATCGCTGGGATACGACGACATCAGCCTAGGAGAAATGTCCTTGGGTCCATCGGGACAGCTAAGACCCACTGGGCCAGGAGGGGAGTACTGCCGAGTCTGCCGAGCAACTGCAGAAGCGGAGGATGAATGGGCACGAAAGTCGCTTGCCAATGCGCAAAACGGGATTTCCGCCGGTCACAGTCAGAGCGACCTTAGGGTCGCCATTCCCTCACACAATATCTTGGGACCCGCGTCGAAGGGTGGCAATCTGGATATCGTTGCAGTGCCGTATGTCTTCCGGTATCTTTGCGCCGAGTTGGCTTCCATGGGGATAGCGATTTCCCTGGAGGTCCACTAAGTTGTACTCGAATTTGTCTTGCGTGTGGCTTTATTGTTTTGACATACGTTCTTGCATTCCTCGACAACTCGTGATTATTATTGTACTTACCGAGCTATCTAACCAGAGTGCTCAAAAACTTGGAAGCAGGGAGTGTAATATCATCCTATATCCAAAATAAACCAGATATACCTGCAGAACAGAAAGGAACAACGACAGAGTAACTATACAGGCGATTAACGCCACGAAAAGTATGCAAACGAAAGATAGTGAGCAATCATGCAAATGAAAGTTACGGTATAATATTAAACAGCAACGGGTGGTGGGGCCAGCACTTCGACAGCTGGCGATTCAAAAGTGTCCACGAAACATTGTGATGGTATCTTCGCCTGAGCCACAGCATCCGGCATCAGTAGCACTTGGCCTGTGACATCGACCACGGTATCGTTGGTGTCTTCCTCAGGGCCGCTCTCCCCCAGAAACAATTCGACCAGCGAGCTTTCAAGATCAGCGGCAGATGCTAACTGGGTATATGCACCGTCCGAGGGTAAACCCACGCTAGAAGATACTGCAGCGCGAGAAGCTGATGTAAAGGGAAATCCATTCCTCGCGAAAAACATGTCGACAAGCAAGCGACACTCGTCAACGGACGTCGCACTTGATAAAAGTCGCCGGAAGTCATCTACTTCGGCAGTGGATATAGAGGGCGAGCTCTTCTGTGAGACAACTGCCGAATCTTGGGGTATATCTGTGGCGACCGGAGTAGGCGGGGCCTGGGTATTTCGAGGACTATTCTCGCTGGCAGAACGGAGAACTGATGTGCGAAGCGCATTGTCCTCCTCTTGCTCTGCAGCAGGACTCCGGTTGTGTCCATTCAAAAGCCCAAGGGGCCGCTTGGAAGAGATCTTGCGCACCGGCGCCATCGCCAGCGTACCGTCTCTGCCGCCTTCTGCATGCCTGACTGAGGTGCTCTCCACATGGCCGTTGGCTTGTCCGTTCGCTATCTGAGCCAGGGTTTGTGTCGACTCATCTGCCGAAGGCGGCGACACAGGTAAGGTTGGCTGTATCTCAGTCCTCTCGTCGTACGTGGGTACAGCCTTGCGCATAGTGGAACGACGAGGGGACAGAGCAACGGGGCTTACACCGGCCTCCTGGATCGAAGTTTGCGACGATGATGCAGACGATGATATCATAGGGGATGCTGCAACGGGGGATGGAACCGCCGGCGACGACGATACAGGTGAGGGTGCTGCAATAGGCAACACCAACGTACTTGGCACCTTCACCGACGGGACTACAATGGACGGTGCGGTAGACAGCATCGGGGAAGGTGGTGGTGGTGGACGGGGAGGCGTCGCAACGATCACGTTGGGCAATGACCTCTTGGGAGACAGCGACAGCGACTGCTGCATGTACGCTGGCGGTGGAGGCATAGCGGACTTGCTCGGTTTGCGCCCAAGCGTCCGCGGTAAACGCGGCATGCCTTGCGACTCGTAGCGACCACTCAGCTTCTCCGTTGAACCACCAATAGTCAACTTCGACATCATGCGGGAGAACCGGCCAGCCTTCGACTTCGAAGACTCGAACGAGATAACACTAGCGTTGGCGCTGATAGCGTGGGGGAATTTAGGCTCCTCAGGTGGTCCCTCGTCTAAGAAGTCGATTAGGTCTCTTGCAGACTGTGACACGTACGGATCTTTGGCCTTTGGTCGAGGAGAAGTAGGCTTGGTCGCCGCTTGCGGCACCACTCCGACCGTGTCGTTGTCCGACCCTGCCATCACATCCTCTAGGTCTATCGACTCCCGATTCCCCATCACTCTCCGTGTACGCTGCGGCTGGCCGGGTAAACTTTTGAACACGTCGACTTTGCGCATATCCCGCTGTGGTGGTGCAGATGCGACTGGGGAACCGGTTCTTCGAGACAGGCTATCGTCATACCTGGGGTGAGGTATGTTGGAGATGGAGATGGAACGATTACGCCCGTTGGCAGACGTTGAGTGTACCGTGCCTGATGCGCCTGTGCTTGAAAGGCTACCCTGTCGTACCCGTAGCGGTGCGCCGGTGTGATAAGACGTGGGCGGAATATTGGGGCGTGCAGGCTCTTCCTCGTCCTCGATAATGGAGTCGACATGACGTAGATGAGGACGTCCGGCCAAGCTATGCGGACCTCGCTTCGATTCTGGAGATGCTGGGGAGGGCATTGGACTGGTGTTTTCGGTCTCCTTATCCGTTGACTGCTCACGCTGGCCACGTCGACTCGCACGCTGGGCGCGCTCCTTATTGTATACCTGGGAGGATGCCTTCAGCGCCGAAGATAGCGGTCACAGAATCAAATTGTGCACTTGCCTCCATGGATTTCAGCCTGTCTGGAGTGAGGGATACTTTGACGGTTGCGCCAGAGCGCATCAACTCGTCGAACTCGTTGAGCAGATCACTGTCGTCCTGGGAGAGAATAATTTTGAGAAATAGCCGGAAGGAGAGTGTGAAAAGGTACCTCGAATTCGGTAGACGCGCGGGACCTTCCAGATTCGGACTGCGCCCTGGCCTCGACTTCCTTCTCGCTTGACGATCGGCTGTGGCTCATCAGCTTCTTCATGGCCCTGCCCTTCTCCAAAGACGTTCGCCCCTCCACCGTCGTCGTCGCCCCCGACTTCATCGACTCGGACGACATCCGCACACGCCCCGTCGACGACGACTCTCTCAGCGACGCAATCTCAGTAAACGGCGACGACGTCTGCGATCGTAACGTCACTTTCTCGTTGCTGCGTGAGAACGACTTACTCCGCCGTGGTTTCTGGGCTTTGGATAACACTTCGATCTGATCGTACACTGTGTGCGCACATTGAAGAGAATTGTCCGACGAGTCACACCGCAGAGACGTACCCTTCATCGTCTTGAACATACCATACATCGAGTCGTCCTCGCACAGCGCAATAAATACGTCTTGTAGGATCGCGGTAGTCCGGCTACTATCCCTCGCAGCGACGCGACTGACATTGGAGAGGAGATGCCTGGACGAATTGTTAGTAAAACCGCAAACGGTTGGCCAGCATTACTCACTCGCAGGTAGACCTGCAGTAGCACAGACGGTCAGCGGCGCGACGAGACCGATGGATGGATATACGTACTCGAGGATAGCTGTTAGATACAGTGCTGCCGGTGCCAACAAAGATGCCTTTGGAGGGGCAGAACTATTGTTCGTCCCCATCTTCGCATTCAGGCGTTTCTCCGCATCAGCGTCTTCATCGGAATCATTCATCGTGGAATAGGCTTCGCATTTTAGGCGAAGCAACTGCAAAGACTATGAGAACAGGTATAGCGACGCGTCACAACGCGTACTCGCCTCGAAAGCCCACTGCAAATTGAACTCTGTCTCCGCTTCGCCACGAGCAGAAGCCGGCGGTGCTGTACTGCGTTCCCAGTACGCCTTCAGCTCAACTTCGGCTTCCAGCAACGCCTCTTTGCCCAAGTTCGTGGGGAGTACTTTGCTCAAGGCGCCCTTGAGTCTGTCCGTAGATATTGAACGCGCGGCGCTGAGGATATTGTACAGGAGCTCGTCCAGCAGAACATTAATGGATTGCAGCGCTTCGGCATTGAGCTTGATGGGGCGGACGTCGGACAATATGGCATCGGCGGAACGAGAGGATATGTATGCAGGACCTGGGGAGGCCATGGATGTTGTCCATAAAATTAAACCAAAGGCAGGAGAGAAAACTAACCAGGTCGAAGGCTCTCAGAGCCTGCAACAGTCATCGGGAAAGTCGAAGGAGAAAGAGAGCACTCCGGTGGCACAGTTAGCACCTGCCTGATATAGCTCAACAAGTCGATTAGATAAACTCGACCGTTTGCTAGTTAACTCATGCTCTCCGATCTAATCCTGCACCGTGACTGCATAGGCCATCATGCCAGAAACGGCAGAACAATCAAAAGAAAATCCCACATGCCCCGAATGCCCCGAAGTTGATGGAAATTGTCGGCCTTTGAGACATGGGTCTGACTGCTTCAACGCAGAAATTGTCTATCAGGTGGTATCCAGACAGCTCTGCAAACCAGTGTGCAGAAACTAAACGTTACGCCAAAAGAGATTCTACTGCAACCTCGTCGTCTCCATTGCTCTGCACGGCGGTCCACTCCGGCTGAGACTGCTCGTCGCCATCTTGATGCACTTCTGGATCATCACTGGCATCGTGCATCAAAACGTCGTCGGCAACGTCCTTAGTCCCATCGTGCACCTCGTCCGGACCCTCCACGCCACTAGCAACCCCCGCAGCGCTCCCAGCGGCTACAGCCTGATCTGCACGTACCGCTCCTTCGCCGTCCACGGGCTCAGGAGGGCTGTTATGTCCGGATTCCAGAGGCAGCTGATCCTCTTCCTCGTCCTTTGCTTCGGCCTCAGCGCTCGCCTCCCGCTGCTCGTCAGCGGACGGCCATAGCACGAGGCCATCATCGCACAGTCGAGTGACCTCGCTCGAAGGTATGTCATCACAGCGCTTGGATGCCTTCTGCGTTGTTTCTTGAGCGATGAGGTCGTATTCGTCGTGCGTCATGCGCCGCATGAGCTCCAGAATAACGGAAGGATCTGTGCTCTCCTTTTCCACGGCCGCGAGCTTCTCAGCTATACGACGAGACCCGCGCGACGGCGTGCTGTGATGAGATCTGAGTCCAGGGCAGTAGAAGAAGGAAATATTCGCCAAAACCTGAGCACAGAAGGAAGGTTGAGAATGTGTCAGAAGCTGATCAGCGGTAAACGCACACGTGGACCCAGCCAATTGTGAAGCTCCTTGGATATTGGATGTCTGGTGACACGCCTCGGGAGCGACATGTAAGCTGGAAGCGTTTCTGGTAGAGGCGGAAGATTCACGTCGACATGCTGGAAGGGCATCGGTGTCGCTCTGATATTCTGCCATCTATGCATATGACCGTTGTGGTGACCAAAGAGCTCTCTGGGTGTCGTGAAGGAACGATTACAGCCTATGTGGCAGACGTTAGGATATTTGTACAAAATCGGCAGCCGCAAAATTACCTTCGTAGGCACAGAAAAGGGAAGTCGAAGCATGTCTGGAGATATGGTGCAGAAACGCTGTCTTGCTGGTGAACTTGCGAGCGCACTCCTGCCAGTCACACACCAAAGCTCCCTAGAGGTGACCATGACTTAGCACATATTTCCTAATGTCGATGCATGTACTAAAAATTTAATGCAAACCTTGCCGTCTTGTTCTTCTACATGCATCGCTAGATGCTTGTCAAGGCGTTGGGCGGAGTTCAACAATGCGTCACAATTCCTCCACCGACACGGAGCCTTGCGCAACCTGGTGTATGAGAGTCGAACAGCATCCTGACGCATTGCCTCTGTTTAGTCGTCTACGATGAGGATGATGAACAATGCAGACAAATCTACAACAACAGACCTTCCCTCCTCCGCTCTTCCTCATTCTCTGCATCATCGAGGTCAAGTAGGTCAATTAGCCCCTCTCCCCATACCTCGGACATCAACGCCACGCACCATCATCGCCAGCCAGCTCATCTGTCTCGGATCCCGCGGCCTGAGGAGCACGAGCTTCGATGCTGGCATTCATTCGCTTCGCCCATGTCGGGAGCGGGGGCACAAGAACGTAGACGTCCTCGGAGACACGAGGCTTCGCTCTCTTGACCAGCCTCTTTGGAGGAGTCGGAGTGAGGTCGATGGCATCAATGTCTATCGATAGAGCTCGTCCTTTGCCTTTGTCTGGTCTAGAGCTGGAAGCCGGCCCCAGTAGGCTCGTATTCAACACGAATGATCCTGAACCCATGTTGAAGTCACCATCGGCGTCAACCGTGCCTTGTTCTGGTGCACCCGCCAGCTCGTCATCTTGAGCCCCGACAGAACTCGAGGGAGAGGGGAGGAACAGAGGCATTTGGGACAGACCTGAGTCTGCTTGACCCGTACGAGCGATTGCTGAGGAGGTGTCGTCCTCATCACTGTCGAAAATTTCAATCACGTCGACCTTTGGTGCGGGCTGGGAAAGTGCTGGTTCTGCATCCGGATGTGAGATCCCGAACGAAGGCGCAGGGGATGCTAGACTGGGTTGCACAGATGGTTCATGACCGGACTGAGGGATTTCCGGGGTACGAAGCGGTGCTTTTTCCAAAGACGGGCCTGGCGATGTCGTCTTGGAGGATGGCGGTTGCGAAGCGACAGACTCCGGAGGAGTATGTTCCACGGCAGCGACCACCACCTTCGCAAGCTCCAAATTGTGCGCGCTTTGCCCTTGACGCTGCTGCTGCTGCTGCACGCCCGCGTCTTCCAGCTGAGCACCTGTATTCGAATTTTGCATCTCTTTCCGTTGACTCTCTACCGCACCGATGGTTATGATTTCACCGTCGACATCCATCGGCTCCCTCGTTTTCTGCTTCTTGAGAGTCTCCGGCGAATCCGTGGCCCTCTTTCTCTTTGCCTTTGCATGAGCATCCGAATGCGTCCTCACCAGCGGTACAGACGGCGAACCCGTCGGACGGCCAAGTGATCGTATAATATCCTGCGCAAGCCGCCCCTTGTCGGCTTTCGCAGGTGTCCACGGGCTGTGTGGCCGCTCTGCAGGACGAGGGGGTGTCTGAGGCTCTGGAAAGACTATAAACGGAGACGGGTTTGGCGCCACGTTCACAAGTACAGACGAGCCTGATGCGATAGCGACAGGCTGAGACACGACGGATTTCACTGGCGGTTGTAAACCCGGTTGTGCAGAAGCAGTGCTGGTTCCGGCTTGCACAAGAGAAGTGTTTGCGATTCCATTAGCGTAGATCTGCCGCGGCAGTAAATGCCGGCGATCAAGCGAATCACCTCTGCGGTCATGTTCTGGAGGGGGGAGCTTCGATTGTTTATTCCAACTGAGCCCTATCTGTGATGCTGTCACATATTGACCTTCGCTTTGTTGTCCTCCACCTGCCAACGGCGCTGTAACGGGCGGAGTGGATGAAGCCGGCGGGTGCGAATGCGGTGCCGACGTCGAGGTTGGAATGTGTGTTAACTGGGAAGATGTGGGCACCTGCGAAGGACGAGAAACTGGTGGTAATGGAGCTTGAGGGATTGCTTGAGGGCCGGTCTGTGGTAGCTGAGAAGACTGCATGTTGTGTTTTACAGTCATAAGAATCCGTATAATTGCATTGCGATCCAGACCCTAAACAAACGACAAGTATTACACCACTGAAATGAAGAGAAGAAGAAACTTACTTGTAACTGACTAACAACATACTTGCTGACTTTCTGTATATGCTCTTGTTCCGCAGCAGACTGGCTTTGCACTGTTGAATGATCAGGTGCTGCAGTCACATTCAGCTTCACTTGCAAAACAGTGATAACAAGAGCAATGATAGTCTGAATGGTGGTAGGCCTAAGATTCTGGATCATCCATATTACAGTCAGATGAACAAAATGGAAAGTATATGTATGAAAGTTACCTTCAGAACATTGACAATATTACCACAGATTTCAGCATCCTTCTGGGTAGCTGCAGTGCCAATAAGTGGCGTAGGTTGTGCGGAGGCTGCCTTAACTGAACTTGAAGAATATGTAACCTTGGCATGATTCACACCTTCCGCAGGTCCAGATGTGAAAGAAGCGCCCAAAGCGCCATCCAGAGTTGATGTTATGCTTGGAGGTATGGACTGTGCGTGAGATGCAGATGGATAATCAGCTGAAAAGAGCATGAGGACAAGATACTCTACTAGTAACAGGCCGATCAATTCACCACTACCAAATCTGTTGGTTGTACTTGATGAATGGCCCCCAACATTTCGAGGCAGTTGAAGGTGTGAAGTAGAATGTCGGTTTGAGTGAGATCCAGACAACACAGAGTCACTATCTCCTGGTAATTGTCCCCATCCATCCATTGGGTTGTTGGGCTGATGAGAAGGCATCAATAGTCGACTAAGTACCCGACCGAGTAAAGTAACCTTAGGATGCCCCAACTGTGACCAGTTCTGTGCTTGGACATGCTGCTGTTGGGCCCAAGAATTGTAGGCAGGTTGGGTAATATTAACGCTGCTACCAGTGGCAATGTACGGTTGTTGCTGATGCGGCACACTTGACGGAACCTGATATGTGGTTGAACTAGACTGCTGTCTGCCCGCCTGGAAAAGAGCGTGAAGAACGAATATGCACAGTACTATGTTACGAACATACATCTGGTGACTGCTGTCCGGAGCTGGGGAGCTCAACAATCCTAGAAGCTTCCTGGTACGTAGATTGGGCATTTGTGTAACCAAAACTGGGGCTACTTGCATAGCTAGGCCCGGGGGTCGTATCAAGGGACGAACCCACTCCAACCGGAGTTGATCTGCGACGCAACGCTTTTCTCAGTATCAACAACATACGATTCACTTACGCTACGCACTGGCTTCCACCTTGTATGCGAGATAACAGACGCCTTTCAGAGGGGCAGAAGAACACTCAGTACCAGAATCGAACGGACAGCATTTCGCCACTCACTCGGCTTCCCGACCCTCTTCAATACGTCTCTTCAGTTCCTGCTCTTGACTATAGTACTTCCGCAAGCCTGCTTCGTTGTGGGCCTCATAATTCGCGACGAACTCCTTCATCTGTCTGATGCGGTCCAAGTTTTGACCGTAGTCATTCGGGGTAACGACAACATTGCCTGGGATCAAAGCGAGCTGTTTTGGTTCGTTGCCATCCTGCCCATAGCTCATTTCAGCCAGAATGCGCGTCCTAAAAGCTGCAGCAATTTTTGGGCAACGAACAGAAGAGTACAGATGTGATGGGAGTTAAGAACGATTCGCGTCTTCTGCAGACACCGTGCGGGCTTGAATAGGATGATCTGACTAAGCAACGGTGACACTGTCACCGCGTGACGCTCATGACGCGTCGGTGGCGTGTTCAGCGCTCAAGCGCTTGTTTACAGCTGAGCGCCATCGGTGTGCATGTGAGTATCCAGAACTCTTTTCGGATCTGATGTGCCTTTATCCTGCTGGTTATTCAACACGTTCAATCACCCTCACTAACTCATGCCAAAAGTGCGTTCACGATGCTCATCCATAACGTCGCACGTCGGTGCTGTTCGACCACGTTCAAGCGATCGTACGCGTCCGTGTCGTCATCCTCGTCGCCCATAAACCCAAACACAGTACGCCCGTTCCAGGTCTTCGACCGTAACGCGAAGCGTCTCCAGAAAGACCGCGCAGCGTCTCGAGAGGATGGCGTTCGTAGCAGAATAGTGGATTACGTCCGTGATGAAGTTGCCGACAGGATGATTGAAAGGCTCTTGGTGCGTACCTTTTATGACGGAGCTTTGCCTCCCAGTTTGACGTCAGAGAATAGGACATCAAACGGAAATTTAACACGATACTTGATCTCGGCTCAGGTCCTGGTCACTTCTCCAGATTGCTAGAGTATGAAACGACTAACAAGGTGGTAATGCTCGAATCGAGTGGTAATCAATGTTTCCGTGTGTGAAATCACTCCACAACCTCACTCATTCTTGTTAGAAAAGCTTCTACATCGTGATCCGGACACTGAGTTTGATGGTAGGTAGCCTTAGCTCACTCTATATCTGCCAGCTATTGAAATACGCTCCGTAGTAGAAGTGAAGAGGATTTATGCAGACGAGGAGGACTTGCTGAAGGTCGTGGAGCCAAACTCCCAAGAAGCCATCGTCTCATGTCTTAGTTTACACTGGGTAAACGACCTACCCGGTGTGTTATGCGTCTTTCGGTGGATGCCTGCGATGAAATAGGCCGTACCGACGAATTCACCGACACAGGAATCCTCATCCAGATAAAGGAAGCACTTCAACCCGACGGAGTATTCATGGCGGCACTATTTGGTGGAGATACGCTCTTCGAACTCAGGTAGGACATTTTTTCTACTATCAAACCGTTTACATATCACAAGCAGAACTGCCCTTCAACTAGCCGAAGTTGAGCGAGAAGGAGGCATCTCCCCACATGTTTCACCAATGACAGGTACGCGAGTTGATCCCTTCAGTTCAGCGTTCTACTGACTCCTTACAGATTCACGGGACATGTCCAACCTCCTGGGGCGCGCCGGATTCACCCTTTTAACAGTAGATGTAGATGAAGTCAAGGTGGCATATCCGTCCATGTGGGAGCTGATGGACGACCTGCGTGACATGGGAGAGAGTAACGCAGTGATTGGTAGGTAAGATATCGCTCCAAGCTACTCGACGAACGTGAAGTCTTCATAAATTGAACAGACGGAATTTCATACATCGCGACACCCTTACCGCTGCTTCTGCCATATACAAGGGTCTGTCATCGTTCTCGCCGTCTTTCCTACAGTGCTTACGGACATCGTAGAGTTGCACGGTCATGAAAACGGGAGTGTTCCAGCGACTTTTCAGATTATCTATGTTGTAAGGATCTAAATTCTGCTATATGTCTCGTACCCTCATTGCGCAACAGATCGGGTGGAAACCTGCTCCTACGCAACCAAAGCCCCTTGAACGAGGAACCGGTAGGACAAGTCTGAAAGAAGTCCTGTAACGATAGGAATAAGCATAATGCATGCTTTCATGTTTTCGGTTGCAGAATGTATATTGCGTGCTAACAAGTAGAGGGGCAACTACACAATATCTGGAAGTTTTGGCTCCTCACCGCCATCCATACTCTCTGTTTCAGCTTCTTCCAATGCTCGCACATCGATCACCATCCTCTCGACGCCATCGTCACCGTTTTGGGCCCCTTCAGCATCTGCGTCGCTCTCATTTTCCTCGTTAGTGATAACTGCACCATTTCTGCTCCTCTTCTCTTGGAATTTTCTCTTTGGTATAACGTCCCAGAAAGCCTTCTCCCAATCACGAGTCTCAATCCATTTGAGTAGAATCTCGATCGTCTGATTCACGGTAAGCACCTTGCGCGTGCGAAGCGTAGACAGGTATGTCCCAATAGGTAACCGCGCAGAACGAACCCCGCTTTCCACGGATTTCTTCTGACAGAGGTTCTGTGCAAGGAAAGTATGTCAATCGAGCACTTGTCCGCGACATCACAGTCCATTGGCGTTTCATGGACGACTGCGTACCTTGTACCGATTGTGGTCGCATATGCCACCGATGATGTATGTTTTGCCTTCGTTCAGTTCCGTCAACTCTTCTGGAGAGTCTGCTGTGAGGTATACTACGGTTTCTCTGTCTGCGGTTTGTGGCTTCTGTGCGAGCTCCAAATGTCTAAATTTCGCATCCGCCTCCTGTAGGTCATGCCCACCCTCTATCTTTCCGGTTGCGTCGTGCACCTTCCCGTCACCGTTGCCGTTCTTCTCACCTCCCTCTGTCACTCCTTCTACGTCCGCGCGTTCTGCCTTCTGGTCCTCCCATAATTGTTCGTATCCTTCTGTCCACCATTCGGTATCCACCCAACGCTTATATGCGGCATTGGTGAGGTTTTCCAGTCGCGTGAATGTTCGGCCGTTCAGCGAGGTGAATAAGAGTGAAGCAAATGGGCGTATTGCCTTACGATTAGCGCTAGAGGTGTATGCCAGCTGCGACGTTAAAGATATGATCTCCTGGTTTTGATGATAAATGATGCACAACCATTCCGGCGTCGTGATGAGTTCAAATACATATAACAATACTTAGGACTCACCTTCTCACTCATCAAGTCATCGAATCCCAGGTCCACCACCACCCTTGCACCGAAGGGCTGTCTCAGACCCTTCTGCTCGTCTATCCTGCGCTTCTTTCTGCTTCGGCCGTCTACCTCCTCGTCGAGCTCACCGGCGACTCGCTTTTCCGCCTGTACGCGCTTCTTCTCTTTTTTGCGTTCCTTCTCTGCCGCGCGTCGCTCCTTCTTCTGCTCCGTTCTACGCGCTGCCTTGGCCAGTCTCTTCTGAGCGTTTTTTGAGAGTCCTTGGGCGGATGAGGATCCGATTTCGGGAGATTCCTCTGCCGGCGGGTCAACGATCGCTTCTTCTGCAGCGTCCATTGTCCGAGAATATAAGATATTCGATACTCCATAAGTCAGATGTGTCAGATGTGTCGCAATGTAAACTTTGGAACGTCAACTTACTACCCTGGTAGGACCCTGGTAAGGATGATATCGATTGTACAGTGAATCTCGCGAAAGAAGATGATCTCCTTTCCCATCTCCTCGATCGCGGCACGAGCGCCCTCCAAGCCCGGAGAAATTTCATTCGAATACGCTCGGTTGCGGAAATGAATGAGTATAATGTGATTTGTAACCGTCTCTGTGATTGCTGGTTTGCATCTGCACGGCCGGGCTATTTTCGAGCACAGATGGTAGTTCGTATTGCATGGAGGGGCGATTTTTGTTCAACTACTAGGCGCTCGATATGTTTCCTCCACTCAACATTTTTATAGTCCCTTCGAAGTTTCTGCATATCCAAACTAACGTCTCAACAGAGCCAGTGCCTAAGTATGTGCCGCAAAAACCATGACCGCCAGGCGTAGATCCTCCTCCCACCGCTTTGCGACCTCCCGCGGTATATCGTATTTTGATCCCAGCTCTGCCACCTCCATAAATTGGGATTTCAGCTCACACAAATCCCCTTTTATATGTAAGTTGGAGCTTGGCTCGAGGATCTTCTGCAAGCGCTTCGCGTCCCTAATAAGTGACCTAGGAAGAGACAAGGTGAGCACAGGAGGTTTATGCCTTTTCGTTCGCCCAAGACCTACGTATCCTTGGTGAGCTGCACCTTCCACCTATCTTGTTCCATGCCCACGGCACTTGTGAAATGTGCCTTCGCCACCTTCTTTGAGGATTCCGCATGAGTCAATATACCTTGCAGCGACAACAATATGTGTGGCAGTGGGCCCAGGAAAAACAGACGGTACCGCCCACCCCTCACGTTGGAGCTCTCGGCCTGGTTCTCCAGAAGACAGGCTGAGAAGAGGCGGGAGACCTGTGTTTCTGTTTCATTCCGTCGACGATTAAGAATACGCCTGTACGTTCGAGCGAAGTAGCTTGCAGCAGCGATCTTCTCCTCAGAAACAGCAATGCTCATTGCCTCGTCGTCGGCGGGTTCTTCGAGATCGCTGGCAGTGGAGTGAACGTCATCGCGGTCTTCAATCTGGTCTTCGGCCATCTCTATAAGATCTTGTCTAGGTGCAGGCCCCACTGTGATACTCTTATGAATAGCTATTACAGGCGAGGCAGGCGGCTCGACGATCGGGTTGGTCCTCGCGGTCCTCGTCGCTCTCGCCGAGAATTCCAAATCGGCAGCCACTGACGGCAGAATCTGCTCTGAGTGCCAAAATGTCACTCTGTGGATCCCTTTGAGTCGTTTTCCATGGATGACACCCTTGGTCATGTCTCTCTTGCTCAAGTGAAGTAGCTGATCCATGCAGGTCTCAGGAAAGGTTGGTTGTAGAGCGTCCACCACATCATCCCAGCCAGAAACATTGATGTAACTGCGCAACATGTTTTTCGACTAAACGCCTACTCGCACGTCAACCAGAAAGGATGGCGCACCTGCTGTAAGGCAGTTTAGATTGAAAGTTGGTACTTCGTAGTGATTTCAACACTGAGAGGACATCCCATTTGAATTCTTCATTCTGAGAGTTGTACCCCACTGTAGTGCACCGTAGTCAATGCCATTCTGCATAACACATTGAAACACTTACGGAGAGCAAGCATTCTGCAGCTACATTGGACACGTCAACTCAGTGTGAGAATATCCGTACATACAAGTTGCACTCACATGCGCAATATGAAACGACTACCCTGGTCGCTGTCGATTTTTGAACCATCCAAGCTGAGATAATCTGCAGAGGGACCAAACTCAATATGGACCGGATTCTCGACGTGTACGATGTACCTATGTCCTGCCCCGTGTAAAGGCCTCCCAACAACGCGGACATCGGTCGAAGAAAGATCGCCAAGAATTCACAATCATCGTAGTCGACACGTTCGAGATTCCATCTTTCGAAATTCAACAGCCACCTCCGAGGAAGGGTAATATCATGAAGTTGGTGGACAGATTGGGTGCGATCCAACAGGACAAAGGAACCGCATAGGTATTCAAGCAAATCGCACAAGACATTCAGATCAGCGGGAAGCTTATGATCTAGAATGTGCCTGAAAGAACGATCGTAAGTTCAGATTTTCGCAAGCAGATGATCTACAGCGTACACAGCATAAAGAACACCAAATGATGTCCCTGATGATCCAAGTGCCTTCAGTGCCCATAGGAGATCTCGCACTGTATCGCGCCGATCGTCTTCCCATCCACGGAGTAAATGGATGAGACTGCAATTTCTGAAGATAGTCGCAATTTCAATGTCTCTTTTGACTTGGATCCGGCTGAGGAAGAATTCTAATGTCATAAGCTCTGCAGTGGTGAGCCACAAGTTCGAGCGCAGTAGACTTTGCCGATCGCAAATGAGGCTTTGAATCCATCGTTTGACAACCTGTATCCCTTCGTCGAACGCAGGAATACAGTCTGCAGTCAGCGCTGGAACGGATGTGCAGACCAACATTGAGGGTATTACTGCATGATACAAGTCCTCGAGAATACTTGACCGACTGGTGAGCCGAGAAAAAAACAGGACATTGACGTTCGCGTTCGCAACGTACCTTCTTTGCATCATTTGATACCCGAATTTGTCATCGGAGAATACCCAATGAAACCTCTCGTAGATGACGATCCGAGACAGTAAAATTCCAATCCGTGTGTGATATGAACTACTGTCGAGTGAATCAGCAATTGAGTGGTCTCGAAGGCATGTTGCTGGTCCATCATTACAACACCCAAAAATCGCGAAGGACAAGCATGGGGCGAAGATGTATGTCTGACGGAAAACTCCATCTTCCTGCGTTATTCTACTCCGCAGACGGTCTTGTAGAGAATGTCGGATAAGCAGCACCAGTTCGGCGATTGATAGTGATATCGATTTCTTGGGGTGGCGAGTGCGCTCGGCTTTGACGGAGTGTGAGCCAAATACCGCAGCCATCCGATGCAGGAAAGTCCCAGCCGACAACACATAGCCATTTGGTATTGAATATTGTATTCCGAACAGTTGTCGCAGGGCAGGATCAATGCCACTATATTGGCCTTCGGCGACCTTCGCCATCAAGTTGAGGTACAAGCGAAAGTTTTCAAGGATAGTAGCAGCCTCAGCTTGGTCCGATTTCTTGAAACAAGCCGTGCCCATGAAAATGTGGTCCAAACAGAGCAGTCTGGCAGCAATATCTCCGCTGAGCAGCGTAGGATAGAGTAGGTGTAGTTGTTTAAGATCGTCTGTAAGGGCTGCCCTAAACATACTAATCTGTGACGCAATGGATCAGTGCCTGGACCTGAGGAAAAATTTGAGCAAATACCAGTCTTTGACTATTCGGAGTGGCATTGGATAGGCCTGAAAATTGAGTGGTGAAATCTGCCAAGTCCCGGAAGATCTTTTTTTCAGTGGTCGGCTTGACCCCAAATGAAAGATGCAGCCAAAGTTGTCCTAAGAGACACTGTTCTGCTCGTCGGACTGATCGCATATCCTGGGGACACTTCAGGTAGAGCTGAATTGCCTTCAGTGGGAGACCTTTGGCGAGGTGGAGGTCTGCAGCATCTGAGAATCGATTAAGTCGTTCAAGATACTTGACTCGTTCAACATCGAGATCACATTCTTCCATGTAGGCAAGTGCCTTGTCAGGTGAAGAAAATAAAGGGATAGCTTTCCTAAACATCCAAGGTGTCTCAGCAAACGGCAGCAGTACTACACAAGCTGAAAACGTACCTCGCTTCTGATTTCTTGAAGTAATAAGATATTGCAGAGGAAATCACAAGATCTGCGTCAGCTTCTTCCACATGAATCCTATGACTCTGGATGATCTGGACTGCTTCGTCAAACAACTCTGCATCCCTGAGAGACAGGGCAGCCTCAGCGTAGTCATCTGCATGGATGTAGCACTGCGCTGCTGGTCTCGGTTTCCCACTTTCCCCATAACATTGCGCGGCAATACGGAAATATGCCTTCCTCTCTCTGGCAGTGGCTATTTCTGCACGCACTCGGAAAGCTTCGGCAGCATCACCAAACGCAATGGACCTAGCAGTCCCGCCGACATCCAATGTATTTCTGGCTTTCTCGCGTAAGTAGAAGGCTTCAGCAACGGCCTTCTCTCCTGCCATCGATGCCTTGTCGTATGCATGCATGGCCTGTGTGTAGTGTTTATTTTCAAAGTGAGTACGGGCGGCATGCGCCCATTCCTCTGATGTTGAAGATGTGGCGAGCCGTGGGACCTTTGAACCAGGTATCCAGACGTCTATCTGATCTCGTGAAGTCCAAAATATCTGCAGCTAGTGAGAGCCGATGCTACAAAGTAAACATTAGTGAGACCTACCCGCATTGGATCAAACTTGTCAGGATTATCGGCAATCCATAGAGTTTTTCGCGCTCTAGTGATGGCAACATAGAGGCACTTCAACTGGAAAGTATTTGTCAGCATACATTTAGTAGAATTGATTTCATCTAACTTCGTGGCAGATCGAACTATGCCCGATATCGTCAAACAAAGGAGCTGGGGTAGAATATTGTTGTGAATATTGTTGTGGCAAGGCATTTAGGACGACGCGGAATTTGGCGGAATCAACCGTCGAGTCTTCAAAGAAGTTGTACAATAGGACCTTCGTTGCTTCGTGAGTGATTTCATGATAAGATGTAAGAAAATCTTACGTCGTCGAATTCTTGCCCTTTGCTCTCATACAGTGTGCTATATGTTATGTCAGACAGAGCCAAGTAAGAGGGAGGAATAGGCTCACAATATTGTTCCGACTTCCCCAACCCTGGCCCGCAGACGCTCACGAGCCGCATCATCCCGGACCAATATACCTGTTGAAAAGTATTAGACGGTAACAAGCTTATGCATGAAATGTAATATCACATTGTTTTGCGCCAAATTCAACAGAATTGCCACTTCCACTAAGAATGTGAATACAATGCTTCGCAATTGAGGAACACGTACTCACCTATCGCCAAACAAGAACTGCTCATACTGAACGCTGTTCTCGTCCCGACCGTTGAAAAACATCGGCTTCGGTCCATCTATCAAAGCTTTCTCTTGTGTAAGAGAATCAATGGAGTTGGGCCAGAACAGCATCAACAACTCAATGACAGATTGCGCGCAATTGACTATTCCTGCGTGAGAGCGATAGTTTACACAGAGTTGGAAAAACTCAGGTTCAGCCCGAGGTCTAGAAGACGAAATCACGGTAGTCTGACAAGAGTGGATCAAACAAGTGAGAACCCATGTCCAATACAGTAGATGGTACATACCTCAACTCTGTGCATGAATGCCCTCAAATCATTGAACTTGAATGCGCTGCCTACGGATATCGTCTGAGCAGTGTCTCCAGCCCAGAACAAGCCACTCGAATTCCCGCACAACATTCGTAGAACTGCATTTTGATGGATTGTCATTCGTAGAAAGGAAGCTCTGCTGCAGCATCTTACCAAGTAGATCAATGAGCAAATTGTCCTGAACCTCATCGACATATCTACGGGGGTATGTCAGGACAAGCTGACCATGTGCGCAAGATTCAACTCACAGGAAGCTAACCTGTCGGCCGGGAACCCCATCGTCACGTAGACCATCCCAAATCCTATGTGTTCTGGGTTGCAACCTGAATTAGTTGCTTAATGAAGTAATTGATAGTGAGCAAAATACCTATCAGCAACGTCATATTCTCCTCGTTCACGTTTCATTCTGGAATAGATCAGGAAGAGTTGATAAATTACATCCGCTTGATTCGCCACAATCGCATGAGACCGGCGGTTTTTTAGCTTTTGGTAATTGTCCTTGTCTAGGTATTTGGCGGAACTCGCCAAAGCTTCCTCGGATCCTTTGATGACCCCTGTTGACTGTAAGTAGAGAAAGATACGCCCAGTCTAACCGACTCACCCATGAACTCTGCGAACACCAAAGTGGCATCTAGAGTAACATCAGAACCAATAGTCAAGAAAATGCAGATACAAACTCGCCTAGACCCTTAGTCAATGGTTGAGGGAAGTGTGGCCAGTATGCCATCCTGAACCTATCGTAAGTCACAAACGAGCGCCGTTGCTTCGAAGAGAACCATCAGGTGAGTAAATGTCTGCCCATCAATCATACGCAACATTGTCCTTACCCGAGCAAGAGCTGTGCTCTGGGTTATGCCTGATGTGGTCATGTCGTTCTCAAGCAGTCGTGCCAGCTAAATACAAAGTTAGTAGGACTCGCGACCTCCAACCATGACTATTCACCTCATCATATGTGATAAACATCGGGAAGTGCTCATCCCTGAGCGCAGTCCATCGCTTAGGCAGATAACTTCCCAAATCAGCCATCTCGTCCGCATCATATAGACCACTAGGCAAAATATTCATCTTGGTTTTCATCGCAGAGAGCGCTTGTAAAGACAGATCTGCTGCACCATGTGCTTCAATGAGCTGCCCGAAGTGTTGCTGTACCTTCTCGGCAAGCACTCTCGACTTCGTGACAAAGAGTTGGCGTGGTTTCGGTAAACGATCTCCGTCTAGATGCCACAGACGCTCAATGCGGAGCATCTTGAACAGCATTGTTGTCGTTTTACTGTGTGGTATTTCAAAAGAATAGCGATACTCCATCAATGACAGTCTTACCCAGTTCCGCTCCTTCCGATAACATAACAAGAGTCCTGATGTTCGACAATGCGTTGTTCCTCAGTTCTGGGACGAATAGTTAGATCGCAGGGAGTAGCGGCAGTGGAGCGAAATACGCACGAGACCTGGAATACGAGCGAAAGCTCGAGATCGCCGAGTATACCTAAACGAAGCTCACGCACTTATAAGTTACATATAAACATAAAGACTCACTATTCAGGAGAGCCTAGAAGACCAGGTGAGAATTCGAGACGGTCATGTCAAGGTAATAAACAGACCTTCGAAAACGGATAGTACTTGTCCAATCTTCAATAAAGTCAGACTGGCTATAACGGAGCAACAGAGCTGCTTTGAGAACTCACACCAGCAATTCATGTAGCTTAGACAAAGGTTAATGAAAATTGGCACGAATGTCACTTGGTGCGCACCTTGCCAAGATCTTCTTTGTGTAATGTAGGCAAGCTTGAAGAACGCTGCTGAGACTCGGAAACAGACAATGGAGGGAAACAAGCTGGAAGAACGACGCTGTTCACCGACTGGTTTCGAAACACACAACTAGGAAGCATTCAGCGACAAGCGGTCTGAGCAACATGCGAGTTATCTATACCGTCGCTTATATTCGCGCCCCTTCCCACTTAGTGAATGTCCGACGCTGTCCCAGAGATGTTCTCCCATTTGCGCATGAGTAAAAATGCCGAAAATCTTCAAAACTGCCACGCTTGTTACTATCTTGCGAAGTCGCCATGGTCGATGCTCTCACCCTGAGTATCAACCTGTGTACCCTTATGAACACATTTCTTATTCGTATGTTATGCGAGCACTCACATTTCGCTGAAAGTCTGGTACACAGTCAATTTGATACTAGCCAGAAGAATGAGTACTTTTGATGAGTGAGAAGAGTTGAGTCTTACTATCAAGCGGGAATCCCGGGCTAGCTTCGCCGCATAGATCGGTACGTCAAACTCATTCCTCACATTCATGCGCTTATGGTTGTCTTGCGTCCAGAAACTGGGACCGTTTGATAATTCTCTAAATCAAATTTACTCCTGAGCATAGAACAACATGCAACTATGGCTTCACTTTTCTTACCTAATCTTCTTCATGATGATCCTGAACAGTTCGGGATCCTTCTTGAATTTTTGGCGTAGATCGCTCGCTGCTGGCTTTGATATAAGCACACGCCACCCACCAAAACCATCGGCGTTGTCTGCATCCAGCGTCATTTGCGCGTGCTGCATCGTTGGGAATATTTCTGAACCATTGTCAACTGTCGGTTTCGATACCTCCTGAGACACCGAAGCTGGGCCGTGGGAGGCGTGGCACTTTGGAGAGACCACCACCACATCGTCCGAGGGCGCATGCTCAGGGATGTATGTGCCCTTGAAGATATTGCGTAGTTGAGGATAGCGAAATACATTCAAGTAGTACTCAATCGAATCTCTCAGCCGAAGTTGATAGAGAAGTGTAGGAGAAATCGGGCTAACCTGCAATACTTCCTTCAAATTCCTCATTATGTGATCGGCCAACCCCTCGGCTTCACGTCTGGAGTGCGGTACATCCATGCGAAGGTCATGGAATGGCTTGGATTCCAAAGAGACACCGCCTGGTCGAGCCGAAGTCCCACTCGCCTTCTTACGCTTAGAAGGTTTTGAGCCGGAAGCCCCGAGATCGTCTGCGAACAGTGACGATGTCAGAAGGGCCTCCAAAGCTCGCGTAGAGAGTTGAGCCGATTGACGACGTTCGCGTAGGTCTAGTGGTTCTTCGGATGGCGGATAGGACAGGAAGTAGTGGTAAAGAGAGAAGCGCTCAATCAGTTTGCATGCCAATGAAGACGAGAAGATTCGAGGGTCCTTGGGGAAATTGTCCAAGAGACGTTGAGAAACAGCGATGAATGTAGCATCGCAGATGACTGTGGTGCCTCGTCAGATACGAAGCGGAGTACGAGATTGACGCACAAACTCACCAGATAATGAAAACTCCAGCAGGTGTTGGGAGGGAAACAGATCCTCGACGAGCACTTCGATGTCAGCTGCTCTGTTATCGAGGTGTGTCTCGAGGACGCCAATGGCGATCTCGAGTGCGACCTCGTCGCACAGCAACCTGCCATCGAGGATGTTGAGATCGAGACTCGCGTGGGCCCTCTTCTGCGTCTTAAAGTTCTTCATGGTGAGTCCGATGAGAGCGACAGATGAGGGGGTGAGAGAAAGCCAGCTGGAGGGTATCTCTCCTTCGCATTTAGAGTTCACTGAAGGCCTCGTGTGTTGATGGAAGAGCTACCACGCCGTGTCAAGGTGGACTGTGAGGGTCAATGACATATTTACGGTCGTCGTTTGCCATATTCGCAATAGATGCCAGAGTCACCAGGAACGAGGACCAACTCGCAGCGGTAGCAAAGAGTGAAGACATTGGAGAAGACAGTAGCTCTGTACATACCAGCATCTGTTACCGTCTCAGGCTGGGAAATTAGACTGAGGGAACATAAGGTATTTTGTAAGGTGTTTCCAGATACAAACAAGCTGCCACACGATCGCTGAAAGTTGGACGTTCACAGTTTTCTTGATACGGAGTACCTAGTATTAATGTGGCTGGATGGGACAAGCGAGCCGCGGCGCTTGAATTAACGGGATCCGATCAGTTGCCTATTGTAGTTGGGTGGGGTATCTATGCCAAGTCGTCTCTTCTGGTTCTCGATCTTCGTTGCAGTCTTCTGTTCGTTCACCTACGTCTTTCGGGTCAGATTTACTTCGGAAAGCTCGATACAGGTCATACCGTTACAAGAGATGGCAGCATTACAGCCTTTGAAGTTCCTGACAGTCCAACCTATCGCTAAACACACCGCCACAGTCATATTCGTTCATGTACGTGGTTTCCCGTTATTGTTTTCTACGGAATGCAAAGAAATCAACTCTTACTTCGTAATAGGGCTTGGGTGACACCGGATTTGGTTGGAAACCCGTCGCGGAGATGTTCAAAGCGGATTCTACATTGAACCACATCAAGTGGGTTCTACCCCACGCGTGAGTAGCAAGCGGTCCGTCGATACTCTTCTGGTGCACAGTCGGTTGGTCTTACCATATTGTTTGCAATAAGCCCCACAATGCGCGTCACGGCAAACATGGGCATGGAAATGCCCTCCTGGTATGTATCACGTTGCCTGTTGCAGTTCCAATCCGACCCCGATCGCACTGACGTATCCACCTAAGGTTTGATATCTACGACTTCGGTTTTCAGAGCACCGAGGACGAGACGAGAATACTGCACACGGTGCATTCCCTGAATCAGATCATCACTGCGGAAGTGGACGCTGGCATTCCAGCAAATCGTATTGTCCTGGGAGGCTTCAGCCAAGGCGGCGCAGTGACCATATTTACGGGCTTGACATCTGAACGCAAGCTAGCTGGACTTGCTGTCCTCAGTGGATGGACGCCTCTCGCGAACAAGCTCAAAGCGGTGAGTGCACTCTCCATGCGCTTTGCGGGTAACATGGGACGAACACTATTCACAGATGGCGACACCAAGCATGAAATCAGTACCCATTTTCTGGGGACATGGCAAGGCCGATCCGTTGGTTAAGTTCCGCTTTGCTCAGCATTCTGTCGACTTCTTGCATAACGACCTCGCTATCTCATCTGCCTCTCCCGATGTTCCGGAGAAAGGGGGGTTGACTTTCCATGCATATGACGATCTCCCGCATATGACGAATGAAGAAGAACTTCGCGATCTCAGTGCCTGGTTAAGGAGAATACTACCGAAGGAGTAATCGGTCTCGTGCACAAAGGTTTAAGGCAGTAGAATCCTTTATTTCTTTTCATACGTTGTTCCACTTCATGCAAAGCTTTCAGAAATAGATGGTACGGTCCAACGAGTTTAGAGGCTGTACAGATACTGGGAAAAAAAGTCCAAGAGAAACAGGCGCACCAAGTGGATCACTTCCTCGCTCGCGTCGACCGTCGCACCGTGGTGTCAGATGCTTCATATTCCTCCACGAACTTTGCCTTCCGCTTGCGAGTCGTTGGTTGCTCCTCGTTCGCTGACGCCTTGTCCTTGCTTGACCCCTCCATATCCCCGGCCACCACACTGCTCCCTGTATCGACTTCATCCCGATCTTCCTCGCTCTTCGTTGCCTTGCGCCTGCTCCTCTGCCCTTGCGCAGTTCCGGTTTTCTTCCCCTTCTTTTTGCTCGCAGTAGCATCCTCCTCAGTCCATCCGCCTTTCGCGGCCAATTCCTCGATCACACCCCACGTGTCTTCCTCTACTCTCTGCACACTCAACCGCCCACGCGTCACCAGCGCCATCTCTGTCATGCAATTACGCTCGCAGCTTAAGAAGAACTATGATAGCATAGCACGGGAAGCGAAAGACTCACGCTTGATTGCCGATGTTCCTGATTCGCCGATGTATGAGACGTCAGTGGGGGGTTCTGACCCTGCTGCTGCGATGCGCCGTAACAGCGCGAGTGGCACGAAATGGGCTGTGCGGTTAATGAAAGTCACGTCAACCATGTACCACTTCGGGTTCTCTTTATCAGTTTTCTACAGCAACGAACTTCGTGAGCGCGTGTAGGCAAATTGATAGGCCTCGGCGTACGGGATCGTAATAAGGATGTGATCTATCGAACTGCGTCAGACGGCTATATCCATCGCGACATCACGCAAGGGTGGACGTACGAATCCCATGCAGTGTCTAAATTTGCTGAGAGAATTAGCTCACCGCACTAACCGCACTATGTGGAGTCACTTTTGCTCACAGTCAGGGTACGCCTCTCTAGACACCTACGCGAGTCAGAACCTGCATGAGAGACGGGTATCTGAGTAGCACACTTCCAAGACAATACCTCCGCAAAACCCGCAATGCCTAACGGTCACCACTGAGATCAACAAGCAGCGAGATCGACTAGGGTGGCGGGCTAACCTGGTTTCTTGCAATTCGAGTGATAGAACAACACCTAGATGAGTTGGATGCATACAAGGACATGGACAATTACGGAACGAGGATAACAGGATCTGACTGACCTTGTCCCCAACTTCCATCTCCCTCATTAGATTGCGAGCTTCCGCATTGCGCACCCCCTCCCATGGCGTTGTCTTGACGGACTCAAAGTCGTCCACGCTGAACTGCGTGGATATTACGTCGCCGGGCACAGGTCATCAAGCTGTACAGACCTTGACGTCCTTGCCCTTGACGACGCGTGAGTCCGGCTCGGCCTTCATGAGCCAATACCTCGGAGACATGGTGGCGGCGGGGCTCGTATGCGAACCTGTACGAAGCCGTGGCGTGTCCTGAAATTTCGGAGATGACGATTAGAGATGAGATCAGATGGCCGTTAATAAACACAAGAGGATGACGGCTAAGCGACGAGCAGCCGCGTCAATAGCGAGGCAACGGTGAGGGAAGACGGTGGCAAGACGGATGATGGCGCGGCGGGCGCAAACAGCGGTCAACACGCCTTCGACGCCAACTTCCACCGCCCTCGACAACCTCATTCCTCTGGCCGTTGCCGTTCTCATCTACGGCGACTCTCAATTGTCATGAGCAGCGCTGACGCTGCAGCCCGCACAGAGACCCAAACAGTTTCGCCCGTTCCGCCGCAGCAAGTGCACGCACTATTGCCTGCCCACTCCGGAGAAAATGTCCTTAATACTAACCAACCGTCGACCACGACAGTAAATGGACGCGTCAATAGTGCAGAGAAACTCGCTGAGGGTCAGGGGGGCGAGACCACGGGAGCAGGCCCGTCGTGCGAGGTTACGGGCGCTGTTCATGTTGGTGCAGCCGACCATCTCGAAGGAGCAGAACAGACGGGAGATGACTCTGGGCAATGGTCTGACGACGAGAGCCATGATCTAAAGCGCGTAAAAGTGTATCAGCTAATTGCCAACCGCTGGGTCGACCAAGGGACAGCATTTTGCTTCGGCGACTTTCAGGATAACGAGGCCCTTCTCGTCGCTCGCGCTGAGGCTGATTTCAACCATATAATACTCTCTACAGTTATCCGGAGCAGTGATGTCTATCAGCTGCAGCAAGGTGTGTGGTAGGCAAACTCGTGCAGTTTGAAATGCTGAAGATATTCGGATAGACACCCTCATTGTGTGGACGGAACCAGATGGGAACGATTACGCGCTCAGTTTCCAGGATCCGGACGGCTGTGCAGAAGTCTGGCAATTTATTCAGGAGGTACAGCGGCACATGAACTCGGGAGGTGGGCATTAACTCTATGTTTAGGTCGATCATACGCTGAAATGTTGCAGAAGACCCAGTGTTGTCCTCATCTCCTCTCATGGGGCACGACCAGTCAATCACGACTGCAAGCATAATTCGTTCAGGGCATTTACCACAGCCTCAGTTGGGAATCATTGGCGAGATCGAGAAGGCCATCAAGGCTCTTTCACGCACCAATGCGCTGAAGGAACGCATCTGTGAATACATTCAGACGGAGGTACGTAACTTTACTCTTAGTAAGCTCGTCTTTTCCTTACGAGCTCATGCAGGACTACATCAGAGCCATGATTGATGTTATGCACCAGGCAGAGGACTTGGAGAACCTGGAGAATTTGCATGCATTATGTAGCTGTATGCAAGCTATTCGTAAGCATCGCCCGATTATGTAGAGTTGATTCCTATCACTAACTTTATGTGGTAGTCATGCTAAATGATCACAGCCTATATGAACATATCCTAGAAGACGATCTCTTCTTTGGCGTAGTCGGCATGCTCGAATGTCCGTCGCGCTGATCTGCATGTCTGTCATACGATCGATCTGACCGAACTTACCAGACGACCCGGAATTTCCGACGCACAAAGCCAATTATCGTGACTTCCTGCGGCAGACGTCCCAATTCCACCAGCCAATTCCGCTTGGCGATGAGACAATTCAGAAAAAGATCCATCACACATACCGCCTCCAGTTTCTCAAGGATGTAGTGCTTGCCCGCGCAATCGACGACTCGACATTTAATGTGCTTAATTCGTGTATCATCTTTAACCAGATCGACATCATCAATTACGTCCAGAATGACCCCTCATTCCTCCCGGAAGTCGTCGCCACCTTCATGGACGATGAGCTCTTAGCCGCAGTTGGTCTTCCTGCGAAGAGCAGGGAACCGGAGAAAGAGAAGAACTCTCAGATGGACTCGGAGAAGATGGACGTTGACCAGCCCGAGGCGAAGACAAACGGCGCTGTGAATCCAATCGGGATTGCTGAAGGTGCCCCGTCGTCCGCTCCACCATCGTCAGACGATGAATTCAAGCGTCGCTGCGAGGTCGTGCTGTTGATTCAGCAACTTTGCGCGATGGGCAAGAATGTTCAGCTGCCCGCGCGAATGACACTATTTCGAGCCCTCGTCGAGCGCGGCATAGTCTTTGCAGTCCAATGGGGTCTGGATCAATCCGAGACAGAGGAAAATGGCCGGCAGATGATAGCTGCATCGGGGGAGATATTGACTGCACTACTTGACCACGACGTGGGCGGAGTTCGCACTCATGTTATGAAACAGCTGACGAGGATGGAGCATGAGAAAGCCAGCGGAAAGAAGATCGTCGCGAAAGAGACTGTGTTGGAGTTAATGTGCAGAATCTTGGTAAGAAGTCGGGATTTGGCTGTGCAGAGTCAAGTTGGCGAAGCCTTGAAATTGCTCCTGGAAACTCAGCAGGATTCATTGGAGCAGCATGTAAGTTTTTTCCTTCCTTCCGTCTAGAGGACTACCGTGGCTAATTTCTATGTGAGGCTCCTCCGGGTACGAAGACGCTTCAGCGCCCTAAAGATGAACCAAATACTGAGAGGTTCCTGGACTTTTTCTACAAGCATTGTATTGGAACGCTCTTCAGACCCCTCGACGACATCCCTGTGTTCTCAGAATTGACAGGTATGATCACTTCATACATTGTCTCTTGTCGCATCTGACGACGGTGTTGATAGAACCCGTTCTCGTACTTTCGCGGGAAAGGGCGAACCTCTATTTTTATCTATGTGACTTGCTATCCACATTCATTTTGCAGCACTCATTCCGCAGTCACTTCTATATACTTTCCTCCGACATTTCTCTACGTGTAGCTTCATTACTCAGTGCGCGGGACAAGCACCTTCGACTGGGTACGCGTTCTGTTATCTTACCGCTCTCCCATCTCTCAAACCGATTTACATGCACCCAGCCGCATTCCGCGTCTTCCGCACATGTCTTAAGCTCAATAATCCCGGCCTCTTCAATCAGCTTATCAGCAAGCACTTATTCAAGCCCATACTTGATCTCACCCTGCGAGAGTCACACCGTGATAACCTGCTCAGTGCATCCTGTCAAGAGTTCTTCGAGCATATGCGGAAGGTATGCAAAGTCTACGATACGCCTAGACGGGCTTTGCTAAGCACTCTACGCAACATAGGAAAATCTCAAGGATCTGATAGCCCACTGTATGACTGTATATGGGCCGAGGGTGCGGGAGTTAGCGGAGTCTCCCATGGGCGGTCCGCGGTTCAAGGCTTTCATCCGTCGCTGGGAGATGAACGTAGAACCTCCCCCGGAGGAAGAGAAACCCGAGAAGTGAGTACAATCTGAGAAGAGCATGCTGTCTAGATGACTTAATTATTCACCGCCTCAGATTACCATTAAACGGTCCGCGGCGGTGGGGTGAAGGCCGTTTGCTGGAGGCGGAGGAGGAAGACTACTTCAACGCCGATGACGATGACGACGAGATCGTCCCTGTTGTCAGCACACCTCCACGAGGAAACGCTCTCAAGCGAAAGCGTATGCGCGGCATGGGGCCTTCCGTCCGATCCATACGTCCATTCACTCCCTTACCTCGAACCCCGCCCCTCGCGCGTCTGGTCGACTACGACGAAGGGGACAATCTCGGAGGTCCGGTGGAGGACAGTCCTATGCAATCGTCTCCTAGTATATCGAAGACGGCATCCACATCAAGTGGGTATTTCCCCCTGTCTTCCCCCTCCGTGGATGGTCCTCCCAGTTCGCGCATGATTCGACGATCACTAGTGAAACCTTCCTCGTTCCCCGACGAGCAGGACGACCTGCTGGAGTCACTCTTCACTAGGTCTGGTTCGTCATCAGGCCTAACCGGACCACCAGAGCTCGGCGCGAAACGACGGCGGGAAGACGAGGATGACGAGCTGCTGGAGCGCCTAGCGAGTAGATCTAAACGGACTAGCGTTGGTCCCGGCCCGAGCCCAGAGAAGGAGAATGCGGACTCTCCCGTGGCAGGTAAGGCAGGCCTTGCCAAGCCTATAGAAGAGAGTCCGAAGAAGATGAAGGTTAAGATCGGCTCACTGGGTGCCGCACTCGCCTCTTCGTCCCCGTCTACCTCCGTACCACCTGCCCCTTCAAGAGCTGGCACGAAGGATGGCGACAACGGCTAGCGAAATCAGAGACTCATGTACACATGCTTATCTGCACATGTCCCATGCACTGTAGCTACTTACCGTTCCCTGACATGTACATACAGCGCTGTTGTATGTACGACATACTAAGCTCACTTGCTTCAGATTCATTGGCGGTCTTTGCTCTCCAACGGTATGAAAAGCAGCTTTCGTAAATAGTACTATACATAATCTTATCGAGGAAAGTAGTAAACAGCGCAATGTACCCTCGTGATGACTAGCCAACATATATGCAAGGTATGCAAGAGCAACGGAACGAAAATGACCTGATGTGCGAATGTACGGACGAAAGATAAACGGTGCGACGCAGAACGGAAAAGGTGGGACACGGATATTAGCATATGTAAGTTTCGTTTATGGGGTTGATATGGATAACCCGATGTACGCTGAAGAATGGTCGGTGCGAGGATATTGCCAGTGTGAAGGAGAGAACGTCCGAAAGGCGAAGATATTGACCGGGAGTAAATATGCAGTGAGGAGATGGAGGTTGTGTTCATAGATAGTACATGCACGATTGCCATATGCGACTTGCTGGCCTCAGCCGACACGGCCGGCCTCTATGTTCGCTGCGGAAGAGGAGAGATTGGGAAGATAATCGTGGTTGGCATCAGCGCTGGGCTGATCGGGTATCGTTGAACGAGAAGGGGAGATGCCGAAAGGAGAGAACGAGCTGGAGCCGCCCAACGTCATACCATACCCCTGCGGGTTGGCTCTAGGAAACGCCGTCGAGCTCGACAACGGCGTGACAAATGGAGCAGACGGAGGGGGGGAAACAAATCGAGGAGGAGGAGGTGATGTCGTATAATGATAAGAGGTCGTAGGCGATGTCATGCCCGACATGTCACGGCGTAAAGATCGTCCAGCGTCTTGAGGGAACACGTCACCCATAAATGACTGCCCGTGTGCGATGATCTGCTGCTGCTGTTGCTGCAAGCTTGAGGCGTTAGTGCTACTGGTGGGAGTTCGGACGCCAAGTGGGTTCTTGCTGTACGACAACCGTATGCCACCACTCTTGACCAATCCGTTTAGCGTATGACCAGATAGCTCATTAATGGCTTTCGTGGCTAAGCTCACGTCCTCAAACTATACGCAATGATCAGGTTAGAGCTTAGGTAATCGGTGAGGTTCCGACATACCTCGACAAAGCACATCGGACCATTGCTCTTCTGCCTGAATATGAGCTTGCGGTATCCCGGCCTTTTGGAGAACAAGTCCCTCAAGCGGTCTTCGAGAAAGTTGAGGGATGTCACACCAGCAGTGGAAGACGTTGGCAAATTCCCGACATACAGTGTGTTGATCTATAGATCATGTTAAATCAATTGTTGTCCGAATCAAGCATGCGATTGAGCATACGTACAGGTGGGTTCTGATCACCGGAATTCCTCCCTGTGCCTGAACTAGCTCCAGAGGATGGAGACGGTAGTTGAGGAGACGTCGTGCCTTGGGCTGTACTCACTGCTAGCGCAGCCACAGACCGGGAAAGTTCCTCTTCATTACCACTCTGAGAACCACTGACGCTGGACGCACTAGAGGTAGGTATCGAAGAATTGATCAGAACCTGTCCCAATATACTTGGCTGTGGCTGTGGCTCGCTGCCAGGTGAGTACGGCCGCGGACGAGACGGAAGCGACGGGTGACTGGGGAGTGAGGAGGAACTGGACTGAGGCGAGAAAGGGGCACTACGACTACCCGGCATCGCGCTGCCATTCTGGGACGACGCTGACACAGGAGCGGACGGCGGATTGGTCGCCGTATCCGCGCCAGGGGAAATCTGTGAAAGGGGAGACGAAGGACGCGCAGGCAGGTTCGTAGCCAGCATAGACATCTTCCTCAAAGCAGCACTGGCGCTGACATCACGCAGCGAACCCCAAGGAGCACCATTGAAACCCTCCGGCTGCGGAGGAACGCTGTGTGTCGACTGTGGGGATGGCAAACCCGTTCCGCTGAGCAAGTGACCACTCTCGACGGACAACAGGGAATTCGCGCCTTGACGTACCATCTGTTGCGGAACAGAGTGGAAAGCCTCAAAGGCAAACGAGTTCTGTCTCAACCGCAACGCCTCCCTCTCCTTGCGTTTGCGCTCACGTTCGCGTTCGTCTTCCTCAGCTCGTTCCCTGGCTCCACGGGTACCGAGAGCGCCAAGGCCGACCACTCCGACGTCCGGACGTCTCGAGCGTTCTTCGTCCTCTCTCCCGTCCATCATCCTGCGCTGGTTCAACGCGATCCCCATAGCACCCAGAACACCTAACTCCCTGTCCCTCTGAGCGAAGGGCTCGCCATTACCAGTGGTCCCGGAGTTCGGGCCGATGCCAGCTATACCATTAAGACCCGCGATACCAGACAAAGACTCTGCCTGCCCCGGGCCAGATTGACCGTTAACCAGCGAACCAAGGGGAATGCCGAGAGGGCCAACGCCAGGCCCCCGCTTCGTGTGCAAATTCTTCTTGGCCATCTCTGCCTTCAGTACTGCACCGCGCTCAATATCAACCCGTCGACCCTGAAGGGTATCGCGTGCATCGATAGCCTCCTGCCGCGAGCGAAACTTAGCAAACCCAATGATCTGCTTACGGGTGGTCTGCGCGGGGACGTTGGATTGAAGGTAGTGGCCGTCGTCATTCGGCTGCAGGGGTGCTGCCGCCGGCCACGACGTTGTGGTACCGTCTCTTCCACCATCTACTACGACCCCGCCTTGATTGACAGTGACGAGGTTGTATGGATCGTTAGATCCTGGGTACGGGAGACGACCACCAACGGTCGGAGTGCCCGCACCATAAGCAGTGAATTCTTTGTTGGGAATCTTTAGCGTGGCAGCTTCGAAGCCGGGTGAGAACGTGAACATGTTTTGGAACTCACGCTCCTAGAAGTGAAGAGAATGCGCATCAGCATGAATCACAACGACGTCAGACGAAGCACAAAATGAAACGTAAGGCACCAACACTGACCTGCATGTCATCGGGGAAGCCGACAACAAAGATGGTGGATATCTCCTCTTGTGGCTGGGAATTCTGCGCACTACCGTTCACATGGTTCATCCCAGAAGCGCCCCCAAGGCCCGTGCTCTGCGCGCCAGCGCTAGGTCCGGATCCTGCGCTGACAGCAGGCAATGTGGGCCCAAACTGCGTCTGTGATTGTAACGCAGTATGGGGCCCGTGCCCAAGGTGGGAAATCCCGTTAGGATAGGCCCCTTGGTAGGACTGCTGCGAGACCTGATGTTGCATAGACAACTGCGATGCCTGTGTACTGGTCAGCATGCCACCGGGTCCCTGCTGATTCGTCTGATGATTCTGTTGGAGCGATGCTGAATCAAGTCCCTGCCGATAGGGGTCCAAACCACCAAAGGACTGTGGGATCCCATTGATCGCCCCACTGGTCGAGGATTGGGATCCAGGGACGGCGTAGTCGTGTACACGCCCAAGGTGATGCATAGCTTCAAAACTGTACGATTGTGGTGCTTGCTGGGTCGGGGATGTGGGGATCTGAGAAAGCGGGCTCGAGGTGTTGAACGTATCCGCAGAGGGCGGACCGAAAGCAGCTGCACCAAAATTGGAAGATGAGGTGTCGCGAAAGGTGGAGGTGAGATGGCGCGTACGGGACGAGAAAGGATTGAAGGACGTGGACGTCCTGAACGGCGCCGGGGCAAAACCGTTTGCTTTAGTTTGAAAATTAAGAGCATCAGGCTCCATCGAAGATAGGGAGGTGTAGTCGGGGGAAGCGAGATGAATATTGTTCATGCTGTTATACATTGGATGATGGGTGGTATTGGCGATCGGCACGGTCTGTATGTACTGGTCGGCACTATGCGGAGTGGACTTGTGATGGGAAAGCATGGTATGGTTCGGCGAGTCTGAGTGAGGTGGCTGTTGCTGGGTTTGCGTAGAGATGCGGTATGGCAAAGTCGGGGAGGTGGATGAGGTAGTGGACATGGATCCAAATGTCCTTGCGGAGACACCTGCGCCTTCGGAGTCGGAGGAAGAAGAAACAGGCTCCGCGTCACCTTGAGCGTTAACGCTTTCTAGCAGAGAGCGATTAATATATTCCTCGTCCGAAGATGGGGATGCCACGGAAGGAGAGAAGGTGGAAGGGCGGCGGGCAGCTACAGAAGACGCCAGGCTGGGCAAATGAGACAACAGTATGGTACTCTTGGGGGTGTGGGACGACGAGATAGGACGAGGCGACGAGAGAAAATGAGACGGAGACAGGTTCAGAACATCAACAGCCAGGATGGCAACAAAGACAGCAGAGCGATGAAAACGCGTATAGCTGTCGGTATAAATACAGAGGAAGGGCGACTAGAGCAGCTGGTGATGATAATGTATGTGGTCGAGGGCGTGCACGACAACGAAAAGGATGCGCGACGCGTGAGACCAGATGTGAATTGTATTGAGGGCGGCCGGCTGAGCAATGCGGGCGGAGTGGAAGGCGGTAGACAGCGAAAACGAAGTGAGAGCAGCGAGGGTGGAGTTGAGCAGGGCGTATGTGACGATGAGCAGATGTGTGCGCTCGCTGTGGCTGGCGACGAGCAGGGGCTGATCGAGGATGGAGACAGAAGGCGGACGGCCGGAGTCCCGGAGTATAGAAACCCACCCAATGGTCAACTATTCTTTCCCACGCACAGACCATTTGCCTTATATGGACGGCAAACCTACCAAACCTAACCTTAATTCCCAGAATGGACCGGGTTCCCACGTGGCCGGCCCCTAACCAGCGCCTCCGACGTGAACAATGGGCAGGCGGGACAGTATGCCGTCGTCGCCATTGTCTGCGACGAAGAGTCGATGAACGAGGGCCAGAGGGGATATGCGAAGTCTGCGTACCGGCCGCCATTATCCACGTCAATGGTTCTCCATCGCTTGTTTGCCAAACATGCCCCTCATCGAGCATCCATAGAACTGCCTGTACGGCAATGGCAGAGTATCTCCAGTGAAGAGCAGCACAGCGACCTAAGAACTAGCAGCTGACCGAGGTCGGTGGTAGAGGATAAAGAGACGGTAAGGGGGAAAGCGAGTAAGGGAGGTGAAGCATGGTGTGAGCCAAGCAAGTCCACGCGAACACCTTCACAGTGATATGCAAATTGTGCCGGTGCGCCGCAACATATTTCTTTCTTCCTTACCGCCCATTCTCGTCCAAAATATCATTGTACTCGTAAACACAAAATTGCTAGATATCTAACTAAACATTTCTAAGGTATCGTCCCCGTTGCCCCGATGAGTCAGTAAAGTCCCAAACAATTACACGTCTCCATCACGAGCCTGACGACGACACAGCACTGAAAAGTAATCCGCAGGAATACCTGCCCCGGCGATAACCATAACATCAATCAGCTACGCCCATGGCACTCAGCGAAGGCCGTGCTTATACGGTGGTCTGACGCAAGCCAACGTTCATCAAGCCACAGCGCGGCGTGTTCAGAATGATCCGCTCACCAACAGAGCACCGGGCAGCCGTCTACAACGCCTGCCAAATGTCCGTGTCCCCCGACGTCGACTGTCCGCCGAGCAAGGCGTGATGGATCTTCAGGTGCACCTCGTATCCCGTCACAAAGCCTGCAAGCAGCAAGATGGCCACCGCCCAGACCATGGCGCCCACGAACCGCCAGCGTGCTCGTGAGCCAGCCTCAGCCAGAGCGTACGGCGAACGCAGGTCGTAATACGGCAACAGATGTGTGTACTGGGCAATTGGTGTTGGACCGTAACCTGCGTGGCTCTGGCTGCCAGACGATGCTGATAAAACAACGTTTGTCGCATCGCGAGACGGAATATATGGCTGGTGCTGGGCGGACTCTGCAAATTCGGAGTACGCGGGTGGAGGAGACAACGTTTTCGCTGACGAGGATGCACTCATGGCAGAAGGTGAGTTCGAAGACAAACGCAAAATCAGAATGACTTGCCTTCTTCGTCTTGCGAATGATGTCATCATTGACCCTAACCTCGTGTCAATTTTACGCGTTGTTTACGCGCGTTAACCTGCAGCGTCGTCGTCTACGGCACGTCTACGGTCACTACAGGTGATTTCACAAGTAGGGAAACAGTATTTTTGATAATATTGGTAGGTAGATTCTTTCTCTATGTTGTCTTAATTCTCTTATCCCATAATTCAAGGGCGACCTTTTTACAGTAACAACATCATTAGCCATTTGTTGTGCGATAAGTAGTAGCCATCCGAGTCCTTGACAAGAAAGAATTGCCATCGAACTGGTCGTGTCAGCTTGGCTCGATGCATCGCTGCTTGCAGATTCCGGAGGTTGTCCACTTGATAGTAGATGCATTTACCATGCAGGGGCAGGTGGTACACCTGCAGTGTGGTCCTTGCGTCCGCAGGGATTATGAAACTCTCGCGACTCTTGCACGGACCAGTCGTGTATTTCATGAACCTGCGCTGGACATCCTTTGGTCTTACCAGGCAGATCTTAGTAACCTCGTCAAGTGTTTCCCTTCTGACTCGTGGATAGAAATTCCAGGCGTAGACGGTGCTCCCACTTCTCTCGTGAGCATACCATATTCATGATCATTGTGTTTTGCGAATTTGAAGAGGTATGGTAGACTTTCATGCGACCGTTGTTACCAATCGACTTCACGCGATTTGACCAATATGCCTTCCGCGTCAGAGAGTTATGCTTCAAGCCATTTCGCAAGGGTGTGCCCGTGATGTATCCATCGGTGGAGCTTCTGAGGTCTCTCATCTTGTATCTGCCGTCCAGGCCACTTCTACCAAACCTCCGTGCCATCGTCTGGGACCACGGACCAATCGGGAACGGCGCCTTCCCTTTCTGCCAGTTATTCCTGGGGGCAAATATCAAGATTATGTCATGGCGATCCACAAATCCCGCCTCAGACCTTGTCGTTGCGTATGCGTTGCTGCAGCAGCAACAGCTTTCACCTTGTGCTCACCGCATCTCGATGGAGCTGCTGAGTTTCCCTGACATCCTAGTGAAGGCACCCGGTGTGCTCAACGGGTTCAAAGAGCTCCGCTCTTTCTCATGTATCTCCCCCGCACCACTCCCTTACGAGCTCTTCGGCCACCTGGCACAGCTGCCCCGTCTATACCGACTGCTCTTATCTTCGCGTGGGGACGACCTTGTCATCCTCCCAAAGGATCCTGCTCCACCCATTGCATTCCCAGCGTTAATGCATCTTTCTGTCAGCGCCGTCTCAATCAAGGCATGCGCCGCGCTCCTGACCGCTACAACATTTCCCTCCATAACAAATCTCAGAGTGACCGCCTACCACACCAACACAATTTCTCCGCTGCTAGAAGCCATTCAGAAACAATGCTCACATGTGACCCTCGAGTCCCTTACCATCTCCGGGCTGAAGCCTCCGGGGACAGCCGCTCCAGCGAGCACCGCGCCCCTCGCGTGCCTGCACGCCTTTTGCAGCCTGCGTGAACTCACGCTCGACACACTGGAGCGCCCGCTCGCGCTGGACGACGATGCGTTGCGCGGGATGGCGCTCGCATGGCCTCAGCTGGGCTCGCTGAATCTCATCGGTACGCGCAGCAGGGGCGCCCAGACCGCCGTGACCCTCGACGCCCTCGTTACGCTCGTGCGACACTGCCCGCACCTAGTGACGCTGCAGATCCCGCTGAGCGCGGCACACACACAGATGACACCAGGGCGCCGGCCTGGCGGTGGGTATGTGAACGGCAATATTCAATCACTGCACCTCGACGCGTCTTCCGCGGGCGATGCGGCCGAGGTGGCAGCGTTCCTGTCGGACTTGTTCCCTAATCTGCGGATGATTCGCCCTTATGTGACTGGGGAGCCGAGTCTCGATTGGAAGCTGTTGGAGAAGCTGCTGCCTACATTTGCAGCTGTGCGGACACAGGAGAGGACTCCGTTGGAAGACGAGTGACAGACTATGTGTGCCTCGGTGCTTCCGAATTACCGATTCATTCTCAAACTGTGTTCTTTCCAATATACCTTCTCCTCCTCTATATATTCTGCCCCTATTCGGAAGCTGCCACGTACAGCACTAAATAACTGTGATCATCATTTGCCCCTATCCGCGACCTTAGCCCACAACCACATCGTCTACCATGGCACAACCCCTGCCGGCGATCTCCAATGTTCCACCCGAGGTGCACAACTTATTCATCGACGAGTTACGCGACGACAAAGCGAGCCTTGTGTCTTGCGCGTTGGTCTGTCGAGCATGGAACCCCTACAGTCGCCGCCATCTCTTTCACAGCATCTGTGTCATAGAAAAGGAGCACCGAAACGTGGCAGCATTCCTGAAGCTACTGAACAGCTCAGCGGATGTGCACCCGCATATACATGCCCTGACCCTGCGAGCATGGCCTCCTGTCCCGATGGATCCCATTTACTGGCGTTGCGGTACCCGCGAAGCCAGCAAGCCTAGCATTCCTCTCGACTTGCACGTCCTGGCAACGATTCTCTCAAACCTACCTAATCTCCAGACATTGCGCCTGTTGGAGTTCGCATACACATACGCCCCTGAGTACGGTCTCCCACAGACGGCCTTCAAGATAGAGGAGCTCTCTGTGCGGCAAACCCCTCGGCAGCGCGAATGCTCCTTCAAGACGCTCGGAGTGCTTGCTCTCTTCGCTGAAGTGGACAGGCTCTGCTTGGAAGATGGGTCACGGCATGACTGCGATCCGAGGAATGACTTCACCAGAAGGCCGGAGCACGAGTTGCTGAGTATGCCCAAACCCCGGGTCCATAATCTTACTTTCGGCTGGATCCAGGAGATGGACTACTATTGGCGTTACCTGCTCCCCTCGTCATCGTCATCGACCCTCACTGGGCTCGGGGCGGTATTTAAGCACAGCAAGGACTTCGGGGCCTTCGGGACTGTACTGTGCAAGGCCAGACACAGCATCCGCTCTGTGGAGCTCCGCATAACTTCCAGTTGTGAGTATCAATTCACAGACAATGTCGCCCTGATTGATGATTTTTGTCGCAGTCATCGCCAAGAATTTGAAGGCAAAATGTTTCGGAATCGATCTGTCCAAATGCCCGTCCCTTGAGTCTCTCGTTCTCGGCTTGAACCTGGTGGGAGAAAACAACCCGCTATGGCCAGTATACACGCACCTTCTCCGCCACGCCCCCCACACGCTGCGCGAGATCATCGTTCGCGTGTCCGTAATGTGGCTGTACTCCACTTCCAAATTCTTTGCCGCGTTGCAGAGTCTCGACGGTGCGGCGATGGACAAAGTGTTAGGTGTGCGCGAAGAGCTTCGGGCGGTGAAGTTCGAGTTCACATGGGATGACAGGGAGAAGAATATTCCTGTGCACACGGCGCCACACCCTGACGTCGATTCATACCTTGTTACAGCTTGTCGCGACATACTGCAAGAGATGCTGCCCACGATTCACGCGAGAGGCTTGCTGCGCGTTCGTTGAAGACCTGACGTAGAATCTGGCACTAGCCGGGCAGTCATTGGGGCGGTCACCTTAGCTGCAGTTGGCAAACTATTTCCTTCTATCTGCTATTGATACGAAGTGCATGTTACATATAAAGAAGAGGAGTATTGAATGTACACGATACCTTTTTTCCTTGAATCTAGATTTGGTGCACGCATATAATGCCAGTACCCATGGGTTCTCCAGCAAGTCACCGCGATGGTTCGTTCATGAGTGAGGTCCAGATCTCAATATAGCATATGTATGCAATGACTTTCCTGGTCGTAGACGTACTGGTTGCTCGAGAGGAGTACAACCGACTGTATGTCTTCAGTTATAAGGCACCTCGCTGCCGCCAACATGCAGTGTAGCTGGCCGTTCACATACTTCATTAGAAAATGAGACGAATGCATTCTCGCAATCATACCTGTGATCAGTCATAGCTCGACGTAATTCAATCCGAGTGCATACTGATTTATAAATTGACTTCTGAAAGTGTCGATGTTGCTCTTGGGAACGATGAAAACAAGCAACCACTGTTTCATAGTCTTATTCAGCAGCCCCAATAACTTCACAGCCTGCTGGAGGCACCTTCACCGCATACCTGGGTTCAACTGTCATCTGGATGACCACAGGAGGACTGTCGACAATGGTGAATAAGTCTATTCCGGGAAAGTTGAGTGCTCCTGGCCTGCAGTTGATATGCTCCGTCCGGTTTTCTTGTATGTGTTTGAGACTTCCTGCATTAAGCGTCAAATCGATAGTGAACATAGAAGAATTCATGAATGATGTGGGTTCCTGTTGAGAGGTGCGCATCATGTCTGCATGGGCAGTAAGTGTAAAGGCGGTTCCTGAGAATGCCAAAACAAAAAGAAGACAGATGAGGAATCAAATATCTGACGAAGCTCTACATCCTGGATAGTAGCAGTCTGCTTGATTAGTTGATTCCAGATGAAGCGGGTCGTAATGTTCTGGAAATTGCAACCCCAAGTTGTGAGTGTAGACGATCCATTGAAAGGTCAGGTGCTAGTATGCAATTGGTGTAGACATCTGCACAGCATGCTTCCTACAGTATATCTGTGTCTAGTAGGGCAATGGAAGGCTGAGACATCACTAAGATAGGATGACTTTCGCTTGGTGAGTCACTGAGTGAACGAACCGCCGTGATGAGTTCCTGCTCGGTTGCTCAGAACGGTAGGTTTCGGGAAGTCAAACACCGTCCAAATAGTCCGAAACTGTGTGAACAGAACGCGCACGAGTATAACGGGCGCGAGAATGTGACATCACTACCATAGTCACTTAACGGCTGCCTTATAGCGTTGCACCTACAGGACGTACCCGACGACAATGATGCGATAGACCGCCTCCCACTCGGCCTGGTCCATGCTCAACAGCCTCCCATGGAGAGCCTTCGTGCTCTCGTTACCCTTCACGACTGAACTTATCCCGAGGCTAATGCCTACATTATTCACGAGGACGTCGACCAGTTTCTCGTGCTTGCTACCAGAGAGCCTCTTGATGGGCGCCTTGTCGGTGGTTGTCCAGGAGATGGAGGCAAGGTTGCCCTGTGGGTGCAGGTCAAGAACCGCCATTTCTTATCCGCAGTCTCGATGGCGTCCAAACGCCGCCTAGTGATGCAGGCGCGGGCGCAATTGGCAAAGGCCCAGAGGACGGAAATCATGGAGGCGGGGCAGGGAAGGAGCTTTTGTGGTGAACCAAGTCGGCTGTTGAGACATGGTTATGGCAGAATGGTACGTTACAGAGTTGTCGTCGTGAACATTGACGCGTACCGCCGCAGTCGGACGCGTCGTTCATGAGCTCATGTGACCGATCTTGAAGATGCGAGTCACATGCTCAATACTCCTTTGGCTGTCTCTCAACTGTCTCTACTGCTGCTGCACTCGAATACAGTTGATCAAGCTTCAAGCAAAACATAAATGCTCGAGCACCGGGGTTTTGGCGTTTAGCTCGTGTGCGAACGGGACTTAGAGGAGTTTTCGGTCAATGTTGAAGACGAGCGGACAATTGGCTGTTACATTCCCAGTGAGGCTGGAAAGGTATGTGTCTTTGGTTGCTGCTTTACTAATGTTAGTGATGAATGATCATTCACATAGACCTTCTCCGTGGTTGTGAAAAGCAACTTTGATGCCTTGGTTGTTGCTCAATTTTTTGTGGATGGCGTCTGCGCGAATGAATTGTACTTGCATCCAAAACGTGAATGCACTTCAAGAGGACCATAAGTAATTGAGAGAACCCTACAAGTTTGTTCCACTTAATGTCACCGGTATGGGGACATGCAACACCATGGGCGGTAGTATCTAATGTACTTTTTGCTAGATGACGAGATGATCGTGAACCCTCGTGATCCAGTGCTACGTGACCTGGGTACGATCGAGGTCCGTATCCTTCGAGCAACACAAGGGAAGCCCGCAGAGAGGGTTAAGGAGGGTGCCAAGTTGGAGGGCCACGGACCGGTGCATGAACGATGCAAGAAAGCAGGAACTCACCAGGTCTCGTACGTCTTGTCACTAAAATATCGAATATGGTGCGACTGAAGCATGGTATATGTATGATGAAGCCATAGAAGTGACAAAGGCTGCCTTTCACTTTCCAGTTTACATTGATTCACTTGAATCTCCGTATGCTACATTTCGTTTTCGGTACAGACCCAAGGGTGAGAACTTCAATCTTCTGCAGTACAAACTCATATCATGTTATTTTCGTACTAGACATATTGCAGGCCCAGGGCATCATTACGGTGAATAGAGCTGATGTTAATGATCAACCTTCCGGTTCGGGACTCTCGTTATACGGCACCTACTGCGGACACAGAAAGACTCAGACATTGTTGTGCTTGATGGTCCACCCCCGAAGAAAGAATGTTGCTGGCACTCTGCTGAAGAGGACGTTAATCCTCTCGTCGACATCAGTGCTCTGCGTGGAGATGGCGAGATTGGTGACGATGCTGACCTCGCAGCCATAGAGGTGAAATTTTTTGTTGTGTGGCGTCGAGAGTCTTCTAATGGAATGGTGCTACTAAAGAATCAAATTCGCTCCCTTACAGAGCAGCTAGAGCGCAAGAGACGTAGTAAAAAGAGACGGGCAATTGCAGATACCCGGGTCAAGAAGGAAAAGCTGCAGGAACTTGACATACACATAGGAGAGTCCGACATCATAGAATTAACGTAGAGCTGATGCGGGCGAGGCTGAGCACTAGCCGTCACCGCGTTGTTCTACCACGCGCAGGCTCTTGGTCGCAGCTTACACCGAAATTCTAATATTCAATAAAATTATATTGAGTACTCTACGTGATATGATTTATCTCTGCAGAATTGTTTCCGAGACTGGTGTTGCCTTGTTCTCGTCTTGTTTCCTCGATGTTACCAATACTGTCGCGTCGCGGTTCACGACTATCAACAACGCGAATGTCACGACTCGTCATCACGCTTGATCTCTCTTCAAACCGCCGCCACACCTACTTACCGCCCTCTATCTCGAGCAGTTATGCCACTAGAACTCGGCGGCATTCGTGTTGGGCTGGTCTGCGATGCCACACCGATGGATCAGTATGCAACGCAGCTTGAGACCCAACCTAACGGCAGAACGCGCAGACCCAAACAGATGGGCATGGCCAGTTGCTACGTACCTAGTGTCGCTGGGAAGGTGAGATGACCGACCCTTCTCCTACTTCATAGTATAAATGTGGTTTTTTGACAGACCTTCTCGATCGCTGTGATCAATATGCGCACCGACGTGTCGGTCTCCGTAAACTGCTATCTGGACGGCCGATGCGTCCATGGCATGCTCTTTGCTCCGGGCGTACAACATATCTCGCATGGCGTCTACGTGTCCGAGACTGATTATCGGCCGTACCGTTTTGCAGACCTTCAGGTAACTGGTGAGTTGTCACTTTGGTATTCCCAGGCCAGCTGCGTTACTGAGCAATGTAGATGACGAGGCGATCGCGAATCCGAAGGACCCGAACTACGAAGACCTAGGCATGATTGAGATCCAAGTGCTTCGGGTCAGACAAGGAAAGTCTGTGCATGCGAATATCGGTGACACAGCCGAGTCCCGGCCGGTGCATGAGAGAAGCAAGAAGGCCGGAACACATCGAGTATCGTATGTCATAAAGCACGTTCAATATGTCATGCACAAGCTCATCCTGCAACTTCAGATTCGGAAACAAGGTGCGAGGAGCGAAAGCTACCTGGGTCGATATCACCTACATCGATTCTGTGGAGGAGCCGTTCGCTACCTTCAAGTTTTTCTACAGGCCTCGAAGTAGAGTCATAGCGTACTCTTTTTCGCCAATGAGCTGATAAGTCGATCCCCACAGCGCTGCTACAAGCTCAAGGAATCATCCCTACTTCACCAGCGTCGAGGAAAGGCAAGCAACGAGTCCCCGATCCAGATTCCGTAGGAGGTCCCACAGGTATCAGTACAGGTGTCGGGCTCAAAACAGAAGATAACAAGGATTCGCTCCGTCCGAACTTCAAGAACGAGGCTTTAGATGCGGATACCAAGAGACGTATTCCAGATGGAGAACCGAGCAACCGAAGTCCCCAGAAGAGACGTCGCATCGACGATTCGGGTGATTCTGCATCGGTCGCCCTTAAAACGGAAGTCGGAGAAGGATCGTCCAGAGCCAATCTGCCCTTTATCAAGAGCGAGCCTGTCGACGAAGACATCGAACCTTTAGTAAAGCAAGAGAGTGTTTATCACATTGATAGCAGACCGACTGGTAATATGGAGAGTTCTTCGAATCCTCATGGGCAGTCTAGGGATCACGATGATGAAGTTGCGTCGTTGAAGGTGAGTCTCGTCCACGATTTGGATCCACTGTTTGCGATGGGTAGGACTGAATGCCTGCTTCTGCTGCAGGTGCAAGTTCAGACCCTGCAGGGTCGAGTGGACCGCCTAGAAGCACTTGTCCAGGAACTTCGTCAGCATGTCAAGATACCTATTGCTATTGATCTGACGGAGGACCCATGATGGTTACAATACTCGTCGTCTCGTCGACGGTTGACCGGCTCTGAAAGCCGAAAGGCTTTATCTGCCTTCCGTGCGCCGACGATACTTCATTTCCCTTCTGGCTGTGATAATGCTTGTATCGAGTTGTGATAATGATCTGTTGCTAAGTACATCCTAGATACCTATTGCATTACATTCTGGCATACATATTATCATGTACCTCGCTATCCAGTTTCCGGTTCTGCATCAGTGTGAATCTTGGTTATAATCGCCTATACGCGACTGTCACGTTCACGTGCTTCGCGACCACCGTGGTGACCATGACCATGACCGTTCCGTGTCTTCCATTCCGTTTTTCGACGTCGCTAACCGAGGAGGATCGACTATTATGCTGGAGAAGAAGGCAAGAAAAGTGTGGATGCAATGTGACATTAGAAGACGAGAAGACCCTTAGTAGCTTCATTCAGAGTAAGCCAGGAAGGGACTGCATCAGTATTCTCATATCTTACGCTAAGGAAAGTACCCACTGTTTACAGATCTGGAATACTTCCCACGACTTAGTCGCGGTAGACTGTTATATGGTCGGCCGATTCAAGTTGGACAGCAATACCCTGCGGGTGCAAAGGTGTTCGAGTGTCCTTCGCGTGTGTCCTCCGTCGGAGAAGTTATATCAGTAAGTCCCAATCGTCGTCACTGTTGTATTGAGTCTAACCTCTTACGGCGATGATTAGGCTTATATGTCCGATCATTGGTTGACGAACAGCTTGCATGTTGGCAAGGACTGGGTGACATTGAAGAAGTTCGCATATTACTCAAAAAGCTTGCTAGCCAAGATGAAATCCACCGTGTGGAGATCTTAGAAGAGCGCTGCTGTTTATGAGTGGAGAAAAAAGCTGGAAATCGTTATGTCTCGTGAGTTTGCTACCAGAGAGATCTAATTCTTTACCGACGATCGGCTACAGTCAGTGGTGCAAAAAATGGCAGAAGAAGGACGAGTGGAAAATGGAGCTCATAGACCCTACAGCATATACCCTTATGCGATATTTCTGTTTTGCCACCTGATTCGAGGTAACATGATATCGTGCCACTCATGAGCCAATATGACTGATTGTATCATGGACGATTAGAGATGTTGGTGACTCGGGGAATCGAATCATTGCTCCTCCAATTTTCGACATATCTCTAGTCGCCTCATCAAGAGGCAAGTCAGACGAGAAGAAGGGCCTGCGGAGGCTTCGACCTACGAGCGAACAAGAATCAGAGGAAGCACCGGTCTGTATCTCCCCACGCGGAAGATCGGCGTGTTAGAGCTGAGGGCTCTTCGAACATAGACATGAAGCCTGCCGTCGAAGCTCAGACTTAAGATGATGACGAAGAAATGGCGTCCACGAAGGTAGGTGGCCACACGATTTTTCAGCATCACCTCGTGTTACTTGTTGCCTTCACTCTTCGAAGCAACTTTTGGCATGCCCAAGCCAGCGCATGGAAGCTAGGCGCCGATCTAGCCAGAAGGACGTCATCGTAGGCGATTGACGATGTTCGCAACCTACTGTAACTTCTGGATTGGATTATTTGTGCGTGGTCCACTACCCGCTTTCTCCATCACGCGTCACCCCTTGTCAATTAAAAATGGAAAGAACCGTATGATGGCTCACTTATACATTTTTACATGCCCCCAGCTGTTCTTCCATGTCATTAGGAGGGCAGACGAGGAGCATTGACGTGGATTCTCCCTCGAGGGAGAGCACTGCAGAGTGAGCCTACAGGTGAGCATAAGCGCATAACTTTGTATGTATACGTCACAGTATGACAGCATGATACAGCAAGGCTCTACACCTCAACCACCTCTTCCTCAACCTGCTCGATGACCTCGTCGATCCACACCTCGATCTCCTCCTTCGACTCCTCATGCCTCTCGCTTTCGCGCTCGATCTTCTTTCCGCGCCGCTTGCGCTCCTCAGTCATCTCCTCCTTGCACTGTGCACGCCATGCATTCCACTCGTCGACGAGCCGCTTGCGGAGGGCGATGAGTTCCGCGCTAACGTTGCTCTCCTCCGCAGCATCCTCTTCCTCAAACGTACGGCTGTACTCCTTGAGGTTCCTGCGGATCTGGCGCTGTTGGTCCTTGGTGAGAAGCGTACGCGGTCGCGGACGCCACAGGAACTGCTTGAAACGATCGAGGATGTGCTTCTCCAGCTCTTGACCCTTGAAGTCCCAAATTGCATAGCCATTTTCGAGCTGACGCACACAACGGAATTTAGCTCCTTCGCACCGACGTACACGCGAAGTATACATACTGTGTGTCTCCATGCACTTGCACTAGTCGCGAGGTAGCGGCCGCTGGGATCCCACTCGGCATCGGTGACGGCATAGTGGTCGGCGGTGCCAAGTAGCTGGATGCCACTGCCCCATTCCTCCTTCGACGGGCCTTCCCGACGGCCGACATCATCGAAGTTGAAGTCGAGGTCCCAGAACTCGAGCTCTGATTTGCTCGACGAACCTACAGTCGCGAGTACGACATGGCGGCCCCGGGGAGACCACCGGACGGTATTGCTGGTTCGTGTGGAGAGTGTTTCTGCGGTGACGGTGGTTAGGAAAGGATACGTAACTGCATTATCTTTGGTACACGTACTGAGGAGTTTGAAATCGCCCTTCCCTCGCTCTAGCTGGTAGAAACTGACATCAGTCTTGATGGTGACACCAGGGCCCGGGTTGCCAAGATTTGGATCGTTGCTAGAAATAAGAGCGAAGCGCTCGCCCTTGGGTTCCCAGGAGAAGTCGGTGACAGTGTCTGACATACGCGGTGAGAATAACACATCAATGCACCATACTTCACTTACCCTTCAGCTCCACGACCTCCACGGGGAAGTCCTTTTCACGCACACGGAAGATCTCCAGATTGCAGAAGATCGACTTCTTCGTTTTTGTATGACGATCCACCTTGACGCAGAGGAAGTCGCCCTGATTTTGCCAGTAGAGCTTACACTACATAGAGCACTGTTAGGGCTAGTCACATCGATATTACGAACGCTGTTACCTCAGTGACATTGAATAAGTTCTTCTGTCGCAAGATGGAGCGGCTAGGGAAATCCATTAGTACGACACGGGCAGGCTGGTTCGCCACTTCCGGCGTCCAGTATGCTAGCATGTTTTCCTTAGCCTTCTTCGTGCCCTTGCTTACTCCATCCGCAACCGCCTTCGTTTCCTTCTCGGCGTCCTCGCGGTCCTTGTCGCCATGTGGACACCACTCAAAGTCGATCACTCCCTCGATCTTAATACTCTTCTTACCCTGCAGACCCATGCTCGGCAGCTCGTACACACTGATCTGCTGCCCGGGCGTCACACGCGCGACGAACTTGTCGTCTGGGCTCCACTTCAGCGAGGGCCACTGCATTTGCTTCTTCTCCTCGCCATCGGGGTAGACTGTGGGGAACGTCCGCAGTAGATTGCCGGTCTTGACGTCCCAGACTGCGATGTTGTTGCCCTCGTCCTCGGGTGAGAAGAACTGGGGGCCCTGCTGCGCGCCCTCGGGCACCACGATGGGGTCGTGCGACCAAGTAACGAAGTACTTCTCGCAGGGCGAGAAGTCGATGAGCTTGACGAGTGGGTGTGCAAAACGCTGCTGCTTCTGCCATGAGGCGCCGCCCCAGAGCTGTACACCCTGACGGTGCAGGGTGGCGAGATATGTTCCAAGAGGCGACCAGGATACATACAATTCTGTCCAGTTCTAGCCGTCATGGGTGTCAGTAGATGTCTGCGGCAAAGTTGGCGTTAGCGTACTGGTCGATTGAATGCGACCTCGCACTGCGACGGCTTTCCGTGCCAGTGGATTTCGACTTCGTCGTCACGGTAGGTTGCATACTGGTCCCGACCTTGAGGATCGCCGAGCCAAGCACGGAGATGTTCCTACGCGCAGAAATTCAGCAGCAGCCGCAAGACCGGTGCGCATCGCGTACCTTTGCCACATATTGTTCAGGCTCCGGCTCGACATACGTCTCGTCCAAGTTGGCGTAACGCTCGATGTCAGTGAATCGATTGATCAAAAATGTGTGCTTCGTATCGAAAGGATGCCCGTGCATCGCATTGAGCGCGAAATTCGCCTCGTGGGCATTCTTGAATTCCACGAATATATACCTACACATCTGTTCTTTCAATCTCTCGCCTCACCAGAGAGAGAAGTAGACGGACCCTCTGCTCTTCCCGTTAGCATCGTTCCATGGTACTGTGATATCATCCGGCTTGATGGGCGCGCCCTTCCGCGAAAACTCCTTCGCGATCTTGACGAGAAGTTTCTCTGCCTTTGATTTATCAATGACCGGAACACCGTCGACGACCAAGACGTTGTCGAAGCCCTCCTCGTAGTGGACCTGGTATCTGGTACATTTACTCAGCCGTGCACACACCATCTCGGGATCTAGCCACTCACTTTGCTTCGATGTCGGTATAGTCAATTTCCTCGTCGTTATCGGCGTGGTGTGCGCCGTTTATACCGTTGGGTGCCATAGTTTTGTGTCTGCAGGTCGTCGGAGGTAGTCTTAGTGGGCACACTGCAAACTTTTTGTCGGTGTGACCCTGTTTTAGGGTTACGTTGCCCACTCACGCCTCGGTGATCGCTCGGTATGTCAAAAAACATATCTACATTTCCCTCACGCCCAACCAGGAGCTCGGACGGCGGGGTTGTACTTGTGTAGCAGTAGTCTACTACTAGGACGGACCTCACTGCTATAGCGCTTATCCGCATCTCACTGCTATAGCGCTTATCCGCATCCATTAGGAGAACAACGTCGATGACATGCGACAGGAACGATAGATTCAGACCACAGAGAAAACAAGAACAACTACACAAAACGGAACAGAGATTTCGCGAGGGGGTTTGTGAACAAATGTGGGGGAGCGCGCGTGGTGCTACGGAAGACGTATGTTACAGATCCCGCATGCAGAGATGGAACGTCGGGGCATAAACACAGAAAGGGTGCGTGAGCTGGCCGCAAGCGACAGCCATTCGAGAGCGTCGTAACAAACACAGAAGAAAGCCTACAATTGGAATGACGTCTGGCATGCATAACGAGAAGAAACGAGTGGACAGGAACGAACTAGATCACAACGAGAAAAGGAATGAGATGGGTCTGAGACATCAGATATTCAAGACAATGAAAAAAAAACCATGTCCACTCATGGCGACGCCAACGCGTGCGCGCCATCCGCACCGTTCTTCCAGATCCCCTGCGAGTGGTGGTGGTCGAGGTCGAGGCTCGCCAGCGTCCCGTTCAGATCCTGGATGTCGTGATCGTGGTCATGGCCTGAGTATTGCTCCTGGTTCTGAGAACCCTTCCTCGTCACATCCGGTCGTGCGATGGGCACAGGACCATCCCGTCGAGAAGCCGCACGGTCGGCCTGGAAAAGCGACTTCGAAGAGCCTTCGCCCAACAGGAACCTTTGTGAGGCACTGGGGGGACGTATTGTCTGCGCAGACGACGGCGAGATCTTCCCGCTCGCACTAGGAACCTTCTCGTCTTGACCAATGAACCACGGTGTAAAAGATTTCGCAGGCTGACGAAGAGTCTGTGATGAGGACGAAGCCATTGGCTGTTGTTCCTTTACCGCATTCACGAGATAGTTGGGATCAGGTGAGAAGGGAGAGAAGCTGGATGGTGCCCCTGAGCTGTTGCCGCCTGGGGCGGGGCGCGTGCCGAAGATGGGGTTGAAAGCATGGTAAGCTGCCAGGCGATCTCCGTCAACGTCGTTCAGGAGAGCAGCAGCGACCTGAGACTCGCTGCTACCATCGTTACCTGAAAAATCCCCACCATTATTATTGAGAAGATTCGTTAGCCCGAGCTTCTCTAGCAGTTGCAGCGCCTGCTCGGGAGTCAGAGCAGGAGCAGCACTCGATGGCGTCACCGGTGTCACCTGTGACTGGTATTGCGCTTGAAAAGCGGCAGCTTGGGCAGCCTGCGCCGCAGCCTGTGCAGCCTTGTCTGCACCATTCGATCAGAAAAAGAATTTGATCGTGTGAAGATGGGAGCCTACATTGACTACGTCCCCAGCTGAGTCTGATCCTGCTGCCCCCAATGGGGAAACCTTGCATCTTCTCGATGGCTCTCTCCGCATCAGGCTTTCGCACAAACTGCACGAAGCCACAATGCTTGCCAACCGGTACTTTCACCTGCAAGATAACATGTCAGACGACAAAGAACCCATAAATGGTTAAGCTCACGTAGTGGATGTCGCCGAAGGGCACAAAGAAAGTCCTCAGTGTCTCCTCAGAAATCAAGGGCGATAAGCCGCCCACGAAGACAGTAGTGTTGTACGGGTCCGACGACGTCAACTGCTCGCCATTCGGGCCAATCAAATTGGACAAGATCGCGCGTGCCTGAGCATGATGCTTCCACGACTCCTCAGAGATATTGTATTTCTGAGCCATCAACTGATCCTGGGTAGGCTGAGCGAATGGTACGGAGACGGACGGAGTCTCATCGTTGGTTGCGGATGGCGCACCGGCCATCGCACCAGAAAACTGTGCCTTCAGCGCCTCATCTGAGGCAGTGGATGCAAGCGTGGACGAAGAAGAGACAGTTGATCCCGAACTCAGAGATGGTGCTGAGACAGACGACGTCGACCCGGAGGCAGACATTACCGTACTCGTGATTGAGGAGCTCGAACCAGACGCAGCAGCAGTGGAGCCGGCAAGAGGAGCAGACACGCTCTTCGTTTGGGTGGCATTCGGAAGTGGTAAAGCGATAGTCACAGGGTTCATTGGTTCTGTCGCTGCGGGAGGCGTCGGCTGCGCAAGCGGCAACTGCATCTGTGCAATGTCCATCCCTGCCATTCCAGGCACAGGTTTGAACTTCGCAGTGGCAGGCGAAATCCGCACTGCATGCATACCGTCAGGCACGTGTTAGTATACGTGGCAAATGGTGCACTCACTGGGACGTGAAAGACAGTAGAGACCGTGCATTTCGATCAACGCACGCTGCTGATCAGCTTCATCCGTGAACCTGTAAATACTGAGTGTCAGCACAGGGAAAGCAAGAGCCTACACCAACTCGAGCACACCTGACAAACCCATATCCTCGCGACACGCCAGTGACAGGATCCAACATGATCTTAGCACTCTTGCAGCTCAAGAACGGCCGGATGAAGCGAGGCTCCCTGTCATTGCGAAGACCAAGGACCGGATTACGAAAGACGGCCACCAAGTCCGAGTTGGACACTTCCGGAGCAAGATCACCCACAAAGATACTGTACTCTTTGGGATATTGCGGGTTCTGTGCGCCCGGGACTGAGATGACTTGGCCGGGCTGTAAGGCAGCCATCGGCGTGGAAGGTACGGACGACGCCCAATTGAGCGAGAAAGGCTTGCTGGAATTGGGCATGGTCATGGAGGGGGCGCTCCCGTTATTGCTATTGTTGATCTGAGACAGAACTGACGCCGCGTGGGCTTGAGAAGGGAACGTTAAGAAGCAGTAGCCTGGATTGTTTGCCTGCTGGCCGGTAATAGGATCCGGCGCAGGGCGAGGAACCTTGATGCTGACGGGGTCCCAACCCATGAGGTTGCAGACCTGCTTTGCATACTCTTCGTCCATCCAGGGTTCGAGTTCGCCCCACCAGAGAGTAGAGCGAGAAGATGAATTATTGTTGGTGGGAGACGGGAGGGACTGGGGGCTCGCCGAGGAAAGTTGAGGGGAACTAGACTGCTGCTGCTGCTGTAGCTGGCTGAAGAAGTGCTCGCGATGGTCTCTCGTGTCACGGGTGTCGCGGTCGTGAAAGGAGGAGTTGTAGAGCTCAGAGGCGGGCGGGGCACGAGGAGGAGAGGGGGAGCGCAGGAGATGGTGGTGGTTATGAAGCAAGGGGGGGAGCGAGAGTTGAAGTTGGGAAGAGACGTCGGCGGACGGTCTGGCGGTAGACGGGGAGGCCGAGTACGCGGCCGGCTTGGTGGACCAAGTGTCACTGGGACCGACGCCGATTCCCTGCGAGCCGTGGAAGATGCCCGGAGCGACAAAGGACGGGAAGCCGGAGCCACGGAGCGTGCTCGACGCCAGCGGACGGCGATCGGCCGTGGCTGCAGCCAGCGACGGCGCACCGCTGCTGTAGACGTTCCCCGCAGACGGTCCAAAATCTCGCGCTGATCCATCTCGAGAGAATTCCCGGATGTGGCTCCCAAAATCTCTGGAACCATGCCCATTCTCTCGCCCATTAATCCGCCCATTTTCGCCCTGCGGTCGCCCATCGTACGGGGGACCATGGTCGTATTCGCGCGTGTGCGGTTCGGGTCGTGACATGGCGGATGCCGGATGTGAAGATCGGAAGGACGTCGAAGACGGTTGACAGGAGTTTTTTTCTAGTATTCCTGCTCTTTAACGGAGTCAAGGTAGATGGACGAGAAGATGCGACAGCGAGATGAGTTAAATGACGAAATGCAGAGAGGGAAAAAAAGCAGAAAAGAGCTATGCGCAAACGACGAGTTGGCGACAAACGGGAAAGCGATTCAGAAAGAGAAAGGAGGTGATTTTAACACGTATTCGACAGCGATGCAGAACGACAACAAGGGCCCGCGGCGTGGTTGTATACCAGATCTCCAGGGACCTCGATAGATGGAAGGAGGTGGCAAGGCAGAGTTCATCTGCGGAGTGCGGAATTGCCGCTGGCGGAGTTACCTGTTCGTCAATAAACAACAAATCAGACCCCCATCCAAACTCCTCCTTCTTCCACCAACACGAGGTTACCCGATAGCGAGGTGGGCACGCTGCTGGTTCGTCAAAGAGCCTCGGCGATCACGCCTATTGTCCCTAGGCATCACGATGCGCGCTAGCTATTTCCGGTTGGCCCATTGTTGCACTTTTTTGTCCACTTTGGACCGTACTTAGTGTCCCTTGGTTACAAGCAACGAGGAACATCCACCGTTTGTTCTCCGCAATGTTTTCGTGGTCGACCGACAAAACACTACAGCGCCTGTCAAGCTGTCAGTCGAGACCACAACTTCCTGATCGATCAAGCGTAGACGCAGAGAGGTGAGCCACATGTTCCCAGACTGAAGTCACCAAAGCTCGACTTTGCTCAGCTCCTTCCATTCATTCGTGCTACCTTTATTTGGCTTATCTCGAGACCACCCTCTCAATCTATTGTGGGTCCCCGTCGATCCTTTCTATGTGGCTGTGCGCATCTCATTGTTTCCAGTGATTGTCTTTTATCCCGTGTTCTTCCAAGATATGATTCCACCTTCCATCGAGATGTCTTTAGCCAATCCGCCATATCTCATGAGCGATCCCCTCGCTTCATGGTTAGTCTATGTAACTCTTTGGTCCCAGTGGGGTGCTTTGCTAATCGATTTGCTGCGAATCCCAGTCTCTCATCTTCAGCATACTGATGTGTCGGAGTTGGCGCAGCTAATATTTCTTACCTCTCCCAGAATTTGTCAGTTCATCGTTTCCCATTACAGCGCCATCGTAGCCATGTAACGTTTCCCGGAATATCCTTTGTGCACACCACCATCTAATCAATCATGTCGAAAATATGGCGCTACAGTGATTAGACACGGACTCGATGTGAGCTGCCTTCCACTTTCGTTGTAAACGCCCTCTCCAAACTCTCTGGGTGGAGTATTCACTGATTAATATTGCCTTTTAAAGCAGTCAGCTACATGTCAATTAGATAGGCCACTCCAACCGCGTCGTATCACTGTACCAGGTCCCAAAGAAGCCGCGTTGTCAAAGTAAGAACATTTTGTGCATTTTGGCCGAATACGCATTAATGACGTGGTACGTGGTTTGCTGCTTTGTTGAGATGCCGCCGGGATGGGAAGTACACATCTCTCCAACGGCGCTATCGTCTTGTTGTCCCCCGCACCACTAACTATGACGTGGGTAATGATGCAGATCTCATCTAGTGGTCTGTTACGGCAACCCGATCTCGGAATACAAAAAGCGCGCAAAGATGGGATCCTCGTGAGTAAGATACTATGAGTATGTTTTAACACTTCCGCAGAAGCTCCGTACACATGGGTGTCCATTACTCATCGATGCTCGTTCACGCGGACACCTACACTGGCAGGAAGCGCTTTATCTGGCGGGCCCCGCTTTTAAGCTTTATCCAAGCACGCAAAAATGACTGCGTACGTCTACATGATACAAGTTTCAGGTCATCAAAGGTGAGGCTCCATATATCTGGAGCTACTTACGTTTCACGCTTCGGCCATGCATTGGAACAGTGGGAGTCACTGAAACATACATCTCTCATACATATGATCATCGTGTATCAGCCTGGGCTTGTCAGCAGCACGGCGGGTTACTGTTAGAAATTGAGATAGCATCCTTCAGGAGGTAGTGAAATTTCAGAAATATTATGCCCAAGCTATCAGAGCCTTGGAGCTTTCAATGCTCAAGCGCTCACTTCAGAGAGCGGGAAGTGTCATTTTTACGTAATCACTAATGCGCGCCTGTCCCGCGCGCCCCGCCGTGTACAAGCTGCCAGAGCCGACGACGAGCACTTCCCTTTGTCTCGTCCACCGCTCTGCCGTTTTCTCCTCTCACCTCCACCTCCTCCAATAATCTGTCCTGGCCGGCATTCCGTCTTACCCAGGCCCTTCGGACCTTTCTTTATTGACTCGCAGCGCGCAAGCCATGCCTCCACGGCGCGCTTCTGCCGCCCATAACGTCGCGTCCTCCTCCACGCGGGCCCATAGAAGCAATGGGTCGAATCACAGCATCTCTGGGCAGTCTCCTGTCGTGCAGTCGCAGAATCTTCCTTACAGCTCCAACTCAATACCTGCGACACCTCAACAAAAAGTAGTATATGTTCTCGTGAACAGACTGAAAAACAAGGTGAGTGACTATGTCCCGCTCACCCGTTGTATCTACGGGGAGGATGCACGCGTGACGAGACGGCATGTGCTGACAATGAGGACTTCTAGCTCCCATGTAATTCGGGTATTACTTTGACTGAGCTGGAGACGGATGAGGCAACGCAAGAAGTGGTCGAATCTCTCGTGGAATTGTCGCGGGAGTCACTGGATATTATAGCGTGGGCGCTGAGTGAGTTGCTGGAGAAATTGGCCAAGGTAGATCAAATGAACTCGCACCGAAACGAACCAACTGAACTATTTCTTGCAGCAAATTGACCCCGACAACTTCAGAAATCTCGATGTTCTACAATCACAACTCTTTGTACTGAAGGTTCTCTCCATTGCAATGGCGTCGCGTTGGAACCGCCGTCCAGAGGCGAATAGGCCGGACTCTCGAAATAGCCAGCAACCGAGCCTCGCCACCTCCAGGACCTGTGTCCCAGATTCTCCCGTTCAGGCCAGAAGTCGCGATAAGGAGTCGTATGATCATCTGTCATCTCTGCGGGTGGAACCTCCTCCCCTGGATGACAACTGTGCCAAGTATGTCTTGAGCGTGATGGTACTTTTCCTCCGACAAACCGCTCCTCCGAAATACCGTCTAATGTCTTCTGCGAGTTTGAATTTTGTCGCGTCGTACCACGACTTTGAGTCCATCGAGCTTCCGGAAGTGGAGCCGTCCACAGACGTCTTCGCCAACAGCGCCAGTACGCCTCCCAGCATCTCGCCGTTCCCTAGAAGCATGATACGCGCAAAGCATTCGTCCTCAACAACTCTCAATTCTCCACCCAGCACAATTTCGTCTGCTTACATCTCGAAGCATTCGCTCGTCTACGAGACAACGTCTCTTGTTACCTCCAAAGCGATGGGCTCCTTGAATGCCCTCATCACCAGATTCGTCGGTCGTGTCGTATATCACTTGTCGGCTTCGAATTGGCCGATTGTCCTGACGCGCATCCGGAACAAGATCCATTCCCTCGCGAATACAACAGAAATTGATCCAGACGTCATTGACTTGCAGTTGATGACCCACAGTGCGCTGGATAAAGTGCGGTTGACGCAGGCCCTGTACGGTGCGTTTTCTCTTCACTGAACGACTGCTCCAATTTGACTTTTGTGCAGAATTGTCGTCGCTCCTGGTGAACATGAAGCGAGAGGCGCAGATGGCGATCGCGATACCGCTGCGAGGTGCGATCTGGAACTGGATCGAACTATTTCCGGAAGAGTTCAATGAGACTATTTGCCGCCACCGTCGGCTCGATGGTGGTCCTGAGCGCGTCTTCGACATTTTGTACGAGACCTGGGATGTGGTCAAGGATAAGATGAACCAGAATATCTGTCCGACCCTCACGGCACTTATGTGTATCAGCAACGACAGAGTGAGGGTCGACTACACCACAAATTCAGTGGGCATGCCTCTGTCTTCAATGTACAATCGTAAAGTAAGTTCAGTTACTGTCTTCGTGAATGGTAAATAACCATGTGCACGCTGCAGGACAAAAACTTTGTCGACGTGATGATTAGGAACCTGCTGGTCGAGACGAAAATTTCAGATGTGGCTCTAATCTGCGTCTTGGACATTTGCAGAGCCGCTTCTCGACTCAATCCCGAGGATGGGAGCGAGACGCCGTTGTTCTCGATGGCGTCTGATATTGCCCATCATCTTAAGGTGCCTCCTTTCTGATGACTAACGTCACGATCGCTGACAATTCGTTACTCTTCTCTCTAGGGACAACTTCTCCAATGGGGCAGTCAGAAACCATTCTGGGAGGATCCGGATGAGATAGATGTTGCTCTTATCAGTGATATTCTTGTGACAATCTACCGCTTCCTGCCTCTTGAAGATACGCTACCTATCTTTGGGCTTTGTCTCGAGCCTGAACGCGCATATGCGGTGAAGATTTCCGTTGTGAAAGCATGCACGACTCTTGTTATCGAGGTTCGTGACCCGCTGTCGGATATCATCTAAACCGAGCATAATATGTCATAACTAGGCTTCTCGCATCCCGTGGCAGAAGCCTCTTGATCAATTGAAGGCTGTGGTAATCCCACGTCTGCCTATTATCTACAAGGTAGCATAGTCTTAGCTCTCGTTACCGTGCATACTCAGTTTGCATGTCTGCCAGGTTTGCGCGAGTCGTCGCAGCGAAACTGACCCGCAGGGGAACATGAAAAAGATTGCTGTACGGCCGAAAGCCAAGAGATATACCTCTGAGACTCTGCCCGACCGAGAGTTGATAGTGTTCTCAATCTTGGCCTTGTATCGGACAGACCCTATGTTCTGGATAGAGTCCCTTACTATGGATCAGGAGCCGCATTGGATTCCAGAAGGATTGGACTTGTGGAGGACACCCCGCGACCTTACCCACAAGCTGTGCATGGCGCGGACATTCCGCCGTTTAGTTGATGCAGTTGTCAACATGACTCCGGAAAATGTCTACTTTGAAGTTGCTAGTGCTTGGTTGAAATCCACGGCGTATGTGCCTTTCCATTCGAACATTTCCGCTGACTTCAAGATCATTGTAGACCCGCCGTTCTTGCGGCTTTGGGCATGAACCTGATTGACACGCGCACGGATCTTCAGTCGCAGCGCATGTTCATCAGCATGGCGTACGAGATTATGTATCGCTTCAGTTCGAGTACTAAAGTACGTGCCTTCTTTGCGGTAACTAATCGCTCAACCTGACAGACGTTGCAGGAGCATATCGAACCCATTCAGATGTGCACTGATCGTGTACCAGCCTTTGCGATAGCGGAGATAGCTTTCCTAGTCTCATTGACCTCCGCAGACAGCTATGTCACATTGACAGCAGCTCACTGCCTTCGTCTACTTGCGCGGGCCGAGACAATGCCTAAGGCTCCAGCACCTGCTGCAGAGAACGAGGAGGAGAGGGTAAAGCGTTACACGCTCTACGAGCAGTTAGGTGATCCTTCGGTTATTGCTGTCGGTACGTCGTCATTCTACAACGGCATGAGATTCAGGGCTGAGCAGATAAACAGGGCGAATCGGACATCAGAAGCGCGTTAGGAAGATCATGCGTTCGATGACATTTTCTTCTGCGATCAATACGGCTGTGTGGGAGGAGTGCTTCTGGCGCTGGCATGCACTTCATGATCTTGTTCAACGGACAACACGAGAACTAGAAAGATGTGATCCCAATATGAGACCCATTGGAGACAATTCGCTCACACTGGAGGTAAGACCGAGAAACTTTGATCCACGAGACTCAAGTTTACCCCGGTCGCAGGAATGCCAGGCTCAATGGCAAAATCTCACTCTTTTTATGACAGCATTCGGATCAGCGTGTATACGCGACGGCCATGATCCTTCGGCCTTGACTACGACGATTCCTTCCTACTACCTTCCAGACCAGATGCGAGTACTGCGGGATCCTGCGGACTTGCTCTCATCCTTCTTAACAGTGCTTATCGACCTGTTGATTTCAGATACTGTACAACATCGGGAAGTTGCAAGAGAAGCCCTGAGCACCGAGGTGCATCCGCGGTTGTACACAAGGGTTTTCAAGGAGTTGGATAGGTCCGCAACCACATATCCATGGCACTCTTAAATACCGCTCACTTCGAGCATTGCAGTGTACTTCGCCAAATCAGCGGTGAGAAGTTGCATTGGGAATCTCTTGCAGTTTTCCTTGACCAAGTAAGCTTGAGCCACCTTTATTGTCTAAAATCAGCGAAGTCTAACCTATATCTAAGTTTACTGCGATCCTGAGAGTACTGGTCGAAAACGTTCAGAACGTAGAAGAGATGCGAGGCATTGACATCGGGTCTACGCTGTTGATTCTTGCTGGCTTCATCACGCGCCTGCACGATCCGTCATCGTCTCGCATCAAGATCAAGTACTGTGGTCTATGCGAAAGTGTCTTCAAGCAAGCGGAAACTATCATTATTCGCAAAGACACCGACACGCGCCAAAATGTAGTTGATATTGTTATCGACTGGATCCAGGATCCGTCGTTGGTAAGCTTGTCGTGTGTGACTGGGCATGACAATCGCTGAGTGGGTGTCGACCAGATCGAAGCTCCAGACCTTGCAGCGACGCAACGCGAACTCAATATGACCGCTTTCAAGACGGTTGTGAACCTACTCGACTGTCTGCAACTTCAAGCTCCTCCAGGCACCAGTGGAGAAGAGGCTACACATGTCATTTCGCGACTCTTTATTCGCTACCTGAACTTCCTGCTGAAGGTTGTGGAGAGCAGCCGCACTAACTACATTGTGAGAACGCGTCGATTTCTTCACGCTCCCCAATGGATTTGATCCATCGAATTTAGGTCGGTGACGATGGTTTGTCTGACAAAGCATCGTCGCTCTCGCAAGTGGGTTCCATTTTGGTCGGTTTCGTATATCATAGCGACTTAATCACCTCTAGATGCGAGCCACTCAGCAGGAGGATCAACTACGCGATCTTGTGTTGACCGGAATCACCTCTCTGATCAGCGCCAATACGGAGTGTGGAGTGAAGCATTTTCTACCTCTAGCATATGACAAGGACAACGCCAAGCGGGTGTTATTTGCGAACGTGTTCACACGCGTTTTAGGTCAAGGCATCGAGCTCTCTGCGGAGAACACTCAGCCTGTGGTCAACCGACAAAGTCGCTTGTGCGAGGTAGGTCCCTGCGGTCCAAGAATATTGAGTTATTTCTAACGTTCGACCAATACAGCTAATAAAGGGGCCTGACGTGAGTTTTGACGCTTCTGTTTCACATCTCCATCCCATGTTGATGTCCTATAGATGATTCTCGCCCTCGCTATCTGCCAAATCTGTCCCTCCGGGGAGGTAGATAACTTGATCTCTGTCCTGCTGAATCTCTTTGATACGAGGTCCTCGCTGATGACCCTTATGAAGATGATGATTGACTTGGAGGTAGCAAATACAGGTGGGTCATCATGTTCTTCGTCTCGCAGGCTACCTTTGAGGGGCGACTTTTCATCAGACAGCGATACTGCATTATTCCGTGGCAACTCTACCTGCACCCGTTTTCTGTCGGCTTTTGCCAGCATCTATGGCTACAACTACTTGAGGAGCATTGTCATGCCGCTTCTGAAAACGATGTCTTCTTTGCCAGCAGGACATGGTTACGATCTTGATCCGCTTAAAGTCGGAGAACAGGCTGCGGTGCAGAATTCCGAGAATGTTAAGCTCGTAGTCACCTCTTTCCTTCAGATCATCTCGTCTTCAGTCCCTACTATCCCCTCGTAAGTCATCCGTGCGCAGGCGTTGAATGTTGCCAATTCATCATATCCATCTGTCAGGATGTTTCGCGAGATATGCGCCCACATTGCCAAAGCCGTGTACGTGACTCTGACTCTCGCGTGGTCGCTGGTCTTATTGTATCACGTTTAGCCAGGAGGTGTGGCCGGAGGCTAAGTTTGCTGCGATAGGCTCGTTTATGTTTCTACGGTAAGCCTGTGAATATCTCACCTGGTTTATCTGACAGTGGGTTCAGGTTCATCTCCCCTGCCATTGTCTCCCCCGAGACGGTGGACATTGAAGTTCCGAAGGAGAACAAAGTCATCCGCCGTGGCCTGATGATTATTGCGAAGGTCATGCAGAGTCTTGCGAACAACATTTTCTTTGGGAAGGAACCACATATGATCTCTTTGAACAAGTTCTTGGAGGACAATATCATGAATGTGACCCGTTTCCTGAGCGAAGTGAGGGTCAGTCTTTGACATATCCGTTGTCGTACCTAAGTCGATACTGATTCGCGATGAAGATCTACAATCCAACCCCTCCCGATGAGGAGTCTGATGAATGGTTGAACACGACTTATGATGATACTGATACAATAGTGCTGCACCGTATCCTCGAGAAACATGCTGACAAAGTCGGTAAAGAGTTATTAAGCCTGTCGAAGCCACCTCCTGACCAACAGCTTACTCCCGAGGGAGAAGCATCCACTGCCAATGGGAAGCGCTTGTGGGATGCTCTCTGTGCAGCGCTGCTCGAGCTAGGACAGCCGTTAGAGAGTCCGCAGGTTACTGAATCGACTAGCCATGCGCATCGGGAGTACCTTGACTTGATGTCGAGGTATGACTACAAAGACACCACGTCAGTGCAGGATCTATTTGTCAAGGCACTCACACCTCAGGTCAGAAATTGGACACCTTTATGTGATTGTTGTTGATCCCTTGTTTCACCAGGATACCGCTGTATTTGTTCTTTCTGTGTCAAAGATTGACGTGGAAGTGCTAGACATTGAATTATTGCTGTACCATATCTTTAAGGTGAGAATCCAGCAGCGCCGTAATCAGTCCTTACCTGAACCTTCATCATAGAGTCTCACTTCGCCTCTAAACGATATACGGGACTTTGACATAGTGTTCGACTTCACATGTTTCACCGCTGCTTCTCAGATACCGGCTCAATGGTTGAAGTTCGCACATGAGGTCATACCGGCCGATATTCGGAAACGCTTCAAAACATCTCACATTTTAGCTCCGAATACTCTGGCCTTGAAATACCTCAGAAGATTGTACAATCTTGCGTCGGGTACGCTCCTTGAGTCGTGGATTCTCCATCTTCTCTACTGATCGGATTTGGTCATGCTCTTGCAGGCGCACCGTTGTCCAAGGAGTATTCAACCCATTGCTCATTGGAGGAACTCCTGCAGAAATATCCTCCAGGCACTTACATGTCTTCATTGTCGTACGCTGGTATGTGGGTAAATCCTGTATGCCGTGTCTTAAAGTCAACCATGAGGCAGGGGATTTGGAACAGGAGCATCGAACACCCTTCACGGAGGTGACAATGCGACATACACATCCCATGCGTGAGCCAGTCACACTAATAGTCGCCACAAACCACTTGCGAGTCACCACAGTGAGCAGTTGAAGTTCTTCATCTTTTGCAAGCATGTGGCTAAGATACGCAATAGATGAAGGCTCAACCGATCTGCAACTCGTTGGCGTGTAAAGCGACGGAGATAGTACCGCTATCGGATATTAATGACGTCTATAATGTCGCAACGGGCCATGAATCCAATGAATTCATCATCCGCAGAGTTCGCCATGGGGTCACCCTCTATTTCTCCTCTCCTCTCCGTGGGGCAGTCGTCCAGGTACGTATATTTTACTGGGTCGCTGGACCGCGCTGACAACTCGGTCACTTACAGGCCATCCGAACTGCAAAGGGTTCTGCACAGCCTCTACAATTGCCCGGTGCGGAGCGTTTCTCCAGATTATCCAATATCGTGATCACACTACTCCATATTGGCATGATGAGTATGAGCTCTGAAGACGAGGAACTTCATATGGCTGCGTATCATCTGCTTTCGGCTGTCTGCACATACCTCGATTATGAAGGAAAGCCGCTCCTGCCATCAAAGAGTAAGTGCAGATAGCAACTCCAAGTTTTTTTTACTGATGCTGCTTTGGATAGCTGTTATTGTGAACGGGCCTCCCGGTCCTTTCTTAGTGCAGCTCAATGAAGGATTAGCCGGCTTCGCCCCTCAGCTCACGCTCGACTTCATTTCCGAAACAGTCTCGGGGCTGAATAAAGCTTCGACAGTGCAAAGAGTGAACTGCTTACATTATATCAGCGCTTGGATCAGGAATATGCATTATTTTACTAATCCGGCCAGCAAATATTACGAGCAGTCTGGTGCAAAATTCCGGGACTGTGTGCGGGTTCTGATAGAGTTGACACTGGCTGAACAAGAGGTGAGTAAGTGCTTTCTGGACAGTCTCGGTAGCTGATGAATATTGTATAGCTTCATTATCTTGTTCAGAAATATATATGGCTCGAGTTTGCCAAATACGACAGCAGCGTCGTCTACCCTGTGTTAGATGAATTAATGCGTGCCGCGGTAGACGGAGGGATAGGTTCATCAAGAGGTGAGATAGTCGCGAAGACACTGGGAGCATTTCCATCCATCCATGTCCGCGCTCGGCTATCGAATCGTTTACGCAAGGCGGGTCGTGTTCTTCCTATAAACTATTCTTTCTAACCCTCCACACAAGGTTGTCGGAAAGACTTCCACAAAGCCAACGAAGAACCTGGCAGACAATGCGCATTGGAGCGAACTTGTGTGCCTCTGTCGACTCGCTCTGGTTGTCAGCTATCAGTCGAGAAATGCGGCCAGTAGTCAAGTGTTCGTTCCCGACACCCTATATGTCTCCAGCATCATGGCCGCCACCGGATCTACCTATGTCCGCGAAACGATATATGGCGTCTTGGTCAACATGTTGAACTCCCTGTACACTGCTCGACTTAGCAATAATACTGCGAGTCCTGAGATCCAGTCCCTTCTGCACGAATGTGAACAGCCTGAGACACTACGCCTGTTCGGGCTCGTGCGGCATACTCCCTCCAGCGATCTCTATTCGATTGATCCACCGAACGAGAGGATTTTCATTGACACTCTTGAAAGCATGATGCGGTTCCTTCTACGGATCCTGGAGACAATCTCTGACTCGAATGGTGTGTGGTATCGGTCTTTGTTCATGCCGTTGCTTACGCCTTATAAGATATATCAAATACTTGGCGTGCACGATGGATGAGTCTGGTAACATCCTCAGCATTCCAGCTCTCACCCGCCGTTCAAACCCGCGCCTTCATATCTCTCGGAGTTTTGGCCAACTCAGACGTGGACGACGATCTTCTCTACCAGATGCTTGTGGCTTTCAAGACTGCTCTGTCACAATCCAACGAGACGGACATCACCTGTGTTGTCAGCATGTTACGCTGCATTCGCAATGTTGTTCCTGCTCTACCGCGTAACTCCCGGTATATCTGCCAACTCTTCTGGCTGTCAGTTTCCCTCCTGCAATCAAGTCACATAGGTCTCTACGTAGAAGCGATCCATTTACTTCGAATCACCTTGGAGGTGATGGCAGTACAAGGCGCGTTCGAAGAAAATGGAGTATCTGCCGTCCTTTTGGATGGTAGAGCACCGCTTGAGGAGATCGCATGCCAACTGGACCAGCTTCTCGGCCTCTCTTTTGAATCCAGTTTTTCGTTCTCCCTCGCATCTATCATCTTCAAGGGTATCCGCCATTCAGGATTGAAGGATGCCGCAGAAGCTGCACTGAGGAGCTTACTACGGATCACTGCAACGACTTGCGGGGAAGCAGAGCACGCCGACGATGGGCCCAATACACCTATTTGTCAGGAGGTTCTCGGCTACTTCCTGGCCCTGATACCAATATCCACAACGAAGACGAGCTTCAGACAGCTTGTTGATGATTCCAACTTGGATTTGTCTTGGGTTTCGGAGGAACCCTCCCCATCTCTCAATGAGGAAGAAGAGCCCTTTGTCAAAATTCCGTTCGAAATGCTCGGCTTGATGGACAGCAATACAGCGCTGTTCGTGACATCATTCGTAGGCGCGGTGCTTACCACCGCCCAAGGAGACGACGTGGAATCGCAGATTCTGTACAACCTGTTGTCCGATGTCGGAGACGCCTTCCCGAACATTGCGTCGTTAACGTGGGGCTCTTTCACCTCCAAATTCTGAACATAATTCTGACCTTCCTTGCAGATACGATAGCCTACAGGACAAGATCAAGGATGCATTTGCGAATTCCTCTAGCCCCGCGATTTTAAGCTCAGTCTCCAATTTCTTCCAAGTGGCCATGCAGGACACGGAGAAGGGAACACTTGTGCGAGGGTCCGGATCTGCGTCGACTCTCAGTACTGTCGATGAGAGTACTGTCCACGGCCCTGGTCGGGGTCACCTGTACGCCTTGGAGGAGCTCAATATGCAGGGGCTGGCCAACAGTTTCCAATTCTTGCCTCCCAACCGCGGACACGCTACGAAGATGATCAACTGGATATCGGAGCTCGTGGTGAAGATTATTGAATGATGACTGTCTTTTTAGTTACTCTACCCGCCTCGATCACTTTTGGCATACCCGTATCTACCCTAAGTTATTCCAATTCGTCGCCTTCAATTTCCATTAGTGTATGGTAGCTTACTGCATATCGGATTCGCACTCACTCTGTACACTCTCGTACCCTTCTTGAGTTATGAACTTTCATGCTGGTGCGCTACTTGCGCCCCTCGTCGAGTCGCTGGATTACGTCCTGTTTGGTAACGCTCAGGTAGCGGAAAGAAAAACCTGTGACCGGCAAGCCACGCTGGTATCGCCCTAATGGTATATACATTGGTGTCACCAGTGATAGTCCTGGACTGGTATCTATAAGTGGTACTGTAGGGTAGAGGTACGAGACTTGTATGCTATAATTTACATGCGGCACCTAACAGTAAGCAAGTACAATGTAACAATAGATGTTCTCTAAGATCAGACCATAAGTGAGTGTCATCAGTAATCCCCCTCACGACTCCAAGTCCGGTGCATGAATGTCTCCTCGCGAGGACTCTCTCCGAATAATGAAGACGATGGAGGCTGATTGGGGTCCAGCGCCGTCGTCGCCCACGATGCCAAGTTCAAGGTCCGCAGAAGCCCTGCCGTGCCAGGCGGAATGGCGCGAGGTGACGATGCGCGCGGGCGCGTGGGCGTATGTGCCCCTTCGCGATCAGGGCTCTTGACGTTTGGTCGTGAGACGGGTGTCTCAGGGCGCGAAACCGGGCGTCCTGCGTCCGCGTTCGAAGTGGGACCTGCGAATCGGAAGCCCTGCATCCGCTTGCTGATCGCAGCGAGTACAGACTGGTGGTCTTGCGTCGCGGAGGTCTCGTGTTCGGCGGGCTTGGCCTCCTCCTCACCGTGATTCATGAACGTGGTATGGATGGAGGAGTCCGACAGGCCCCGCCGGATGAGCGTGCGGTCCAATAGCGTGCTCGGACTCGCCTCTTGAGGCTCCGGACGATCGCCTGCCAAGTCGACAGCATCGACCAGGCGCGACAGCCCGATGCGGGATGCTGCGTGTCGCAGCGCAGACCGTCCAACGGTCGCGGCCCCCGATGCCGAGCCAGAAGGCGCACCTGTCCCAGTTAAGCTCCCTTCTCTTACGCCTGGCATAGGAACTGTGAATCCGCGTTGTGGCTTAGGAATCACGATCCACGGATCAACGCTATCCTCAGTCCGTGGTGCCCCGGCGAAGATACCCATGACACTCCGGGAGAGGTTCGTATTGGGCCCATTTGGGACCGGAGCAACTGGCTGCGTCGTGAGGCTCTGCATCGACAGAATGCTGATGCTGTCCTCGCGCTCGGGATGCGCAGAGTAGGTGCTCGTGACCGAGCGCCCGACCGCGGTTCCGCTGAATTCCACGTTCACGGTCATCGCGGATGCGGACAAGGCGGCCTCGCGCTTGGGGACGACGCGGGAGGGGGCGCGGCCACGCCCGCGGCTGCTCGACCGCACGGGAGGCGCGAGTGCCCGAGAGGCGGCCTGTTCGCTTGCATTTGGCCCGGCGGATGGTAGGCCGAGCAGCTTCGAGATCGGAGCCATCCATCCTGGAGCAGAGAGGTTCCCCGCGTCTACTCCCGATGTCTCTGCAGTCGCCTTTGCGGGATGCAGCGCCATCTCACTAACCTTGTTCGCGACGCTGGGGTCGAGGATGACATCGTTGAGGGTAACGCGCATCTGGCCCATCTCGGCGAACATGTCCTTGACGAGCCTGAGGAGTGTCCGGAGGTCCCGGCGCGTGCATGTCGTCGTGACCTTATCGTCCTCGAGGAACGCGCGGAAGTGCGCACGGAGTGCGGCGGACTCGCGCAGGATTCCGCTCACAGTCGTACGCGAGAGATGGCTCACGTCCGCGCCAACCAGGTGCTGCCGCTTCAGCCGGTCTGTCAGTGTAAACGCGTCCGCCTGGCTGAGGCGCGTCAGGAGTGTCGTCACTCGCTCGAGGAGCGCGCTCATGACGGTCGAGGAGGACTGATTATTGTCCGTCACAGAAGATGACTCGGACTGCCCGTCGTGGGGTGAGAATGACGCGAACGAGGACGCCTGGTCGCTATATGCACGCAGGACGGACGACGGGGACTGGCTCTCGCCGCCATCCGTCTGCACGCCGCGCGAGCGAGTCAGGGGATACAATGTCTTCTGCGCACGTGGATACCCGGGGGATGCCCTCGCATCATCGTCATCGTTCTCCAAGCTGTCACGCGACGATGGATAGCTTGCACGCGAAAACGACGTCCATTTCGCCTCGCTCGGCATGAGCGAGTCTGCGGGAGACAGCGGCCGTTGTTCCGTCTCCGGCGTGAGCAGTTCCTGAGTACAGGCTCAGTACAATGCATACAACGACAAGAAATGACTCACGAAAGCCCTTCGAGACGCCCGCTCCATGCTGGCAGCACGTCGACCCCCACGCAAGGCGGGGTCCAGGGAATGCAGCACCGACGGCGAAGGGGCGGTCCCCACATGGAACACGGGCGACAGCGGGGACGACGCGGACGACTGTCCGCTGTGCGTGTAGCGATGCCGGGCAAACGACATGTCATTCGCCCGCCGCTCCTGGATCTCTTCTTGCAGTGCCCGCAGGTCCTCGCGCGACTCCCCGAGCAGGTTCCGCAGCTCCGCGTTATCACGCTTCAGCGCCTCGTTGTCCGTCACCAGGGACTCCAGCACCGTCGTCATCTCCGTATTCTCAGGCACCATTGCGTGGCCCTGTTGCTGTTGGTACATTCACTCAGGCTCGTGTGGATATGGTGGGACAAAGGGCACTCACCGATTGTTGCAGCTGTGCCAAACGCAGACGCGCGTCCTGCAGCACCTCCTGAGACATCACTCGACGATGCGACCGCTGAGCGTCCAGATCCTCACGAAGACGCACCAGTTGAGCCTGCAACTTGGCTTCGGACGTCAACCCATTAGGGCTCCTCCAGCCGACACCGCAAAAAGCGAAGCCACTCACCGCACTTGTCTCTCAGCATGCTAATCCGCGCCTCTGCCAGTTTCGCCCGCTGCGCCGCGCTGTCTCTCTCCTGCTGCATGTCGTCCTTCTCCTGCAGCGCGCTCGAGAGCCGGGTCTCCCACCCAATCGAGCGCGCCTGTTGGGTCGTCAAGCGCGACATGTTGGCGCGAACTTCCTCGAGCTCTTGCAATGTCGTCTTGTTGGATGCTTCGGACATTTCGTTGTTAACTAGAGCCTGTGTGAGACGCTGAAAGCGCGATCAGTGATACAGGCGAGACTGGTGCAGCTGCATACGGACCTTCTCCAGCACTGCGTTCTGCATAAGATAATGTCAATGCCATGCGGGGCGCATAATTTACGGTGTGCGCACCTCCTTGACTAACTCCGCAACTCGTGCGTCGACAGGGCCCTCGCTGGTGTCGCTAGCTTCTGTAGGTACTGGTGATCGTTCCGACTACAACGAATATTAAGACCGTATATACAGATCAAGAAAGACAAGGACGCACCTCACGCCTTCGCACATACGCCTCATGCCTCTCTAAGAGAGCTTGCCCGACCTCTAACCGGGACGCCCTTCAGCAGTGACTTGGACGCGACACACGGCGCTCACCTGCACTGAGTACGAGCCTGGCCTCCATCTTGGTCTTGTACGCTAGCCACGCCTTACTCGTCGCGCACTCTTCCTTCCTACAGCAGCACACGGCGACGTGGAGCGGCTCTGGCGAGGACGCGCGCGAGAAGTTGGCGAGCGCGAGGGTCAGCTCGTCTATCGTGCTCGTCGCGCGATAGAGCGGGGAATCCGGGCTCATTGAGCGGAACGTTCGCAGCATGGTGAACTGGGTGGTGTAGGGCGTCGCCGGGTGGATATATAGCAGCAGTCGTGTGTATGCGACTATTCAGGTGAGTAGATGAATGAAAGGCACGCTGTTATATGCGGTGAGTGGGACTGCTGTGACGTGCACTGTCGTTTAATTTCCGCGAAAGCACGTTCAAAGCACAGGAAATAATAAGGAGGAGAGGGAAGGCACAGCCTACGAGCGTGGTAGAAGATTCAAACCAATCCTGAATTTGCTGAGGATGTCTCTCAGTCTGACCTATTGTTCGATCACATTCTTAGCACGACTCGCCCGAAAAGGAATCCCACGTGGTCGGTGGTCTGTGTTGCAATAATCGCACTACCTGACCATCATGCATCACCCTTCGTCTCGGCTGCGATTGAATGCACTCCACTTTCGCATCTCTCTCTCCTTGTGGATCCTAGCGGGCTCCTGAATATCTGATAAGTGCGAGGTCTGGTTTTCTGCGACAAACTAACGCGGTAGCCACACCGGCGCTTGTTCTCAGGCCGGTCTAATATGCCAGTGTATTGCTAAGGATATTCCCACCGACCCTCCAAGGTAACAACAGGCGCTTTATGTGTTGGAAAACATATTCTGGACACGTGATGGGAATGAAATAGCGGAACAGAACTGACTGCATTGTTCCAGCACCGAATAGTAGAGACTTGGTCCAGCAACGATCGACAGGTGCAGTTCATGACTTCGAATTCTCGGTGCAGCTATTTAGTTGCTTGCAATGTATTCCAGCCTCTTTGTTCCGTCTTTATGTTGTCACTGTAGATGCACGGTCTCAGCTGCGTGGCAGCCCTGTGTATAGCCACTGCGGCATGCCACTGCCGCGTCCACTGTTCCAGTTCTCCTTGCCCGGATGTGTCCTACTCTCCATCCAGCCTCATCTGCTAGTTCTGAAGTTGCAACAACGCTATGCCTACCTTGGTTCAAGATAATTAGGAGAGTCCTCGATGGGTCCTGATGTCTCTCGCTGTCGCAGCACACGCGAATACCAACTCCTCCCGCAGAAAATTTCGCCGGATCGCATTACTAGGGGACGTAAACTTGAATGCGGCGGGCGTGTCAGGGCTCAGAATATTGACGGACTGCCTACTACAGACATCGCAACTCGAGTTGCGGTTCGTGACGAAAATCTAAAAGCTAGTATAATTGATCACAAAAAAATTGTCTTGAAACTATCCCTTCAGCTTTGTGTAGTGCCGCGCATACTGACGATGGCTTGCATGCACGGTGACTTGATCTTCCCGGAAGGAATATTGCGTCCGCGAGAGAGGTGATCAATGAAGGTGCAGTTGGTGATGATGAAAATCTGTGTATTTATACTGCAAGCAGGCGATCAAGTGCGCCAAGGAACAGTCTCTAACGTAGGTAAATACGCGCTGGTTGTCGAAAAATAGAAGTGTCTTTGCTGCCATGAAAGCAGCGGTGTCTCATGAGTACTGCATTGTTCAGGTGTGGGGAAGTGATGTCAACGGTGGGAGTCTATGAAGTGAAAAAAGGAAAACGGAGAGATAGAAAAAAGAAACCGAGAAAGCCCTTCACACCGACTGAACCTCTTGCCATCCTCAACGTGTTCCCCGCCTAGCTCGCATTCACCAAACTCTACTCACCCGCATCAAAGCTCCATCCCGTCCTCCCATCGAACCTCCTTCCACGTCAGCGATTCACGGTTGGGACGAAGAGGGTTCGGCATCCCTGCTTATTACCCCTCCCCATCGACGTACTACGCCACGTCGACTAAGGCCGCAAACGCATTCCTGCTATGGCGGGGCACAACTCCCGTAGGTTCATGCAGCCGTCTTTCGGCAAATGCTCCCGTGTGTGAATCGTGAGGCGGAAAAGTGGTGGTGGGATACCTAAAATGAAGACCTCAATTGAGGCAGAGAGATGGATGGCAAGTGCTGGATAGTGGATGCATGTCGAGGATGGACAGAGTAGAAGGTTTGAGGATCCAGGCTGGTGGATGCATCGCGACGAAGTCGGATGTACCCTGTCGAGTGAACACGCGGGGGAACGACTGCCGCAATGGCGAATCGGACGATGTCGAGTCGGCTGTCTGTTGGTGGCGTCTACAGTCCTCCCATAGGTGAGAATCTGCGTTGACTGGGAGCATCGGACGATGCTCCCTCTCTTTGCTCGGCGAAGAGCGTGGGAAAATCCGCACCAGGTGGTGGTACGAGTCCAAGGAGCCCCTGGTTGCAGTTGGTGAGTAACATGAAAAATATCTGGTGTATGTTAAATCCGCATGTTTTACGGATATTCCTCATACCCCTCCACCTCGGCTTGGCCCGCACAGCTGCCGAAAACGGAAGGTGACTTGCTTGAAAAGGAAAAAAAGAAAGCCGTCTATAGCAAGTCCTCTTTCTCGCTGCGTAGAAAGGCGCAATTGAGTGCGGTCCCTATATATCACACGCGTACCAGTGACCAGTCCCACCGAAAGCGAGAACCCATACATAAGTGCGTGATCACGTACCTACGCGAACAATTAATAACTCATTGCAATATTCATGAGGTTGGAGCAGAATTATTGAAGCGTAACGTTGTGGATATTCCGGTCAGTAGGCGTCGCTGCAGCTTTTGGCTTGCTGTCCCTCAAAAACATGTTAATTACCGAGCGCAGAGAGGTCTCTTTCCTCCCCCACAATTCCGCAGTAGTGTGTAACAGTAACCCCCTGTACCTCTGAGAATTATCATTGGATGGCGGAGAAAGCACATGACAGTGTGTAAGAGAAGATGACTCAGATACCATTGGCTAATGTTTACAAGGAGTAAAAGACGATGACTCATTCGGTTTGATTCGGCTATATTTCATGTTTTGCACTGTACGATAACTACTGATACACTAATAATACAACGATACGTGGTAAACTTCCTATGATTCCTATCCACCGTGAGGGATGAGGAGGAGTACCGTCTCCTGTCAAACATTAGGTTAGGATGAACAACAGCTACGAAACTACTTTGCACGCACATCGTGCAAATCGTCAGTGAAGTGGAATGTAAAGTGGTCGTTCCCTCTGTCGACGCATTCTATATTCACATTTACGGTCAACGTGTCGAAGACATGCGCTTTGGTATTTGTCGCCATTAATCACCGTATCCGAAAGAGCAATGTACAAACCGTGCGGGACATATTGGGTACGTCCGATGGCGTCTCGGATAGTCGCGAAGTAGCACATGTTACAGGAACTGATAATATGACAGATGACAGAGTGAATATACTGAGAGTGTTCAGGAGAGGACATGATGGTCGTATGGATGGATGCAAATACTGTTTGTCCCCTGTTTGGGCGTCTCGTACTAGCGCTCAATCACCTGATATTTTGCCAGCGCACGAAAGGGTGCTTCCACTGTATTCGCTGTAACGACAGCTATGCTGGAGACATTAACAAGGTGCGTATCGGTGCGCGTGGTAGGTGAGTAGCATAGAACATCGCTACTTATACTATGTACAGTGACGGTGCTCTTTTCCGACCTAGAAATCAGCTAGTCATCATACAGGATTATCATCTGCGACGTCCTCATACTGGACTATGGTTTAACGATGGAAGTGAGTTCTCGATTTCGCTTTCATTTGCAACCTCGGCTGCTGATTGGCCGGCGATACTCCGTTGTCGTAACCCGTCTGCGATTTTTGGGTGAGTGGGATTTCGAATCGATTATTGCTGGATTTTACCTGGTACGTTTACATTGTTCAATCCACCAGCATTCAGTGCTTTCCACCACTGTAGCGTATCCTTTTCCAGCTGGATCAGTCGTCTGTCTTCTCGACAGAGCATTTCGTCTACTGGCTTTTTTATCAACGCAGGATCGAAATCTCGTAACAGGCGAATTGTTTCTCGACCGGAACTGCGAGACAATGCAACATATATGTTGAAAAGAGTTAGCGCGCCTCCCGTGGGTGGATTCGCCATATCGACAATGATATATGACAATGTTTGACCTTGGCCTCAAAAATCTGTGAATGCGTATGCTCCGGTTACTGCGAATTGCAGGCGAGTAATAGTTTTTTTGGGTGAGGTTGTCTTTGAGCTTTGGATATAGAAAGTTTTGACCATCGGTTCGATAGGTACAACCCCTTCTGGTAGACCCGGCAACGTAAACTTGTGACTGCCATGCAATTTCACCAGTATATATGCCGGAGGACGTTGCAGATGAACAATGGGCTCATTTCCGTACCGTGGTTCAGTTTCGTGTAAGACAATATCGATCACGGTTCCTCGGCTGCCGTTTGCAACATCAAGGTCGGTCTTCATATTCATAGTGATCATTATTTTCATTCCGATTGCCAGCTCAACAACATCTGGAAGGCCCGATTGCTCATTCCGATTTCTTCGAGTTCGAGGTCTTGTTAAAACCAAATATTTTTCCGCCGTAGTCAAAGGCCGTTTCGCTCGACCTATTGTGTCCAATGCAGGACAAATGAATAGTCTTGTATCTGCGATAGGTAAGCAATCTGTGTGTCTTTGAAAACTATTAGACACTTACTGCTTTCCGAACAATGTCGTCTTAATGCTGCGGCGTTGCATTCTTCTCGAACTGAATGTCACGGAGTGATCAGACACGCATCTTTCCATGGGTGTGTCGAAAAATCAGTAGGTGGACATTGCGAACTGGTAAGGACAAGACTTTGTAGTAGGTTCAAGTCGTCGTTACTTGTCCTGCCGTTACGAAGTGCCCGCAAGAAATTCATCCATACTGGATCAGTTATTCGCACTTGTTCGTGAAGAATTACGACGCGGTTAAACTGTTCATATATTTTGCGACCAATGTTGGATTTGTGGGTGTCGTTTTGACTGACAGGATAATACAACGGTGCAGTTCTCCCTTTTGCAATTGGCGGAAACTGATGAAAGTCGCCACATAGAATGACGTGTAGTCCTCCGAATGCAAGATCGTCATGTACCTCCCCCGTTTTTCCTATTCCCACATGACGCGACAGATCGGCGAAGAATTCACGGCTGAGCATTGACATTTCGTCGATAACTAGATATTCGCATAAACGCCAGATCGACTCCAATTTGGTCTTTCCTTCAGGACGAAGAGAGGCAGATGATCGAAGCGAAAGGACACCAACGTTGTGAGTTGTCTTGCCATCAATTACTGATGCTGCAATACCTGTGTAGGCCGCTTTGACCAACATATAGCGAACTGCCCTGCTAGCGAATGCCTCTGTTACTGTTTGTATGACTTTTGATTTTCCGGTGCCTCCTTCTCCATGAACTTGTAGCAACAACTGTGGTAAGTGATGCCCTCGAAGTGTACAGTCCAAATGATAGACAATGATGTCGAATGCCCGACGTTGGTCGACTAACAGGCAATTTGGATCAACAGCGTCCAATGATGCTTCTGCTGTCGCGATAGACGTTGGTGACACGTCTCCAGCTTCTTCTGCATCCAATGCGTTTCCTATATTTTCCACAGTGCCTGTCGGCTCTTCACTCGCATGAAATCTGATGGCAGAATCGTGTTGGTTAACCATTCGGTCCATTTCTCCATTCCACGATTTCAACAGTTCACGATCGGCCGCTGTAGCAACATGGATAGGATATTTGACACCAGGTGGTATATATTCTTGTGAAAACATGCCGACCAAGCGTCCAATGCGTGTCGCAGCTTCTGAATAGGCATGATCGCGAGAAGATAACCGATTTAATGTGAGCCAGTTTTCCAACTCTTCTTCAGTGATGTCATCATATTCGTTGCCCTCCATATCTTCGTCATCACCTTCGTTGTCCGTTGGTTCGTCTTCATCACCCAGAGTCATTTGATTGTCATCATGTTGTTCTTTCTGCGCAGCGACTTCTGCAGCAATATGGCATCGATGAAAATACTGAATTCCACATATTATATCGCGCCATTTCTGCGAAGAAGTGTTTTCGAATGCATCGAAGGCTGCAGACCAGGATTCGTAACCTCGTCTGAGGTCATTAACATTTCTCCAAGGTTTCAACAACATCAGCATCGATGCTGCATACAGTTCACGTGAATCTTTATCATCTCGTCGCGGAAAATATTGTCCAACAAATTTCGGTGCTGCATTGTGCCCGGAGCTTCGTACAATACGGTAAGCAGTTTGACTTCTTGGGTGTTCCGGTCGATAATGAGAACACATATTAAGCGGATGACCTTTTTTCCCATGAGAATTCTGTTCTCGCTTGTTCTTTGGCTCGTAGGTGTCAATGAGAAAGAATAAAACACTGAACTCCTCTAGTTCATTGCCCCGAAACCTATAATCTGTCACTTGACATTTCGGCGTAATAAACCCGGCAGGTGAAGCTTCTAGAACAACAGTTTCTTCTGAGCGGAGTTCCTATATGAACAATTAGCATACCGTTGCACTAACTGACTGACGTTTCGTACAGAACTATTATCATTTGTTGGAAATTGTTCGGCGTTATTCGTCAGTCTTCGCTCTGCAAGCTGCGGATCCTGTTTCTGCAAGTACATGGCAAACGATGACCAATAAATTGTATTTGGATGATGGGAACGGAATACGTCGCCCCATCCCTTGTGGTAAGTCATAATCATTGGTCCAGCAAGTTCTTGCTCTCGATTAACGGTATTCACTGCTCGGAAGATTAGAAGCCTTTGCCGTTCTTTCAGATCTTCCATAAATCGCGGATCGTCAAAATGGTAGGCCAGTTTGTCAGCTAAGAGTGCTGATAAATTATAATTGGAACCTTGTTTCTTTGTAGCGTATGTCGTGGCATAAAATGATAAGTTCAATGTGTCGTGTCCATTCAAAAGCAAGCTGACATCATTGTTTGCCATTAGCGTCTCTGTTATCGTAGGCATGGAAGCATTCATAAATGGATATAACCGCTTCGGATGCCATTCTCCAGATGGTGTGACGATGCTCTCAGCATATAATGGCCATGGAGCTCGACGTTTGCAACGAATAATGCCCTTCTTCAATCGCAAACAACTTGAAGGGGAACAAGTGTGTATTTGTTTTGTTCGCATAACTTGAAATGCAATTTGACTTGCACGACTGTTATAGTCATCGGAATCAGGATCCAATTGACGTGAGTAGCCAACCTCTGGATTTGTAGATGTATGCCGTATCTCATTCTCCGTATCCAATCCTGCTAGTCGTGCTCGAGCCACTGCATCGCCGAAAGTTCGAACCCGCTCCCGAAAAGCTTCCTCCTGCAATAAACGATGCATGACTTCTGTTGATGGAGCTCCCTCCAACCATAAGAGCGCATGCAGATGAAGAGTTCCCCGCCCTTGACTTTCCACCACACCGAAATACCCTTTGAGCACTCCAAAAATGCCTGTCGTTGCTTTTATACGTCCTCGAGATGTAACGTGAATACCGAAAAGAACGCGAAAGACGAGATCGATGATGAAATGGAAATATCTTGCAGCGCCATATGGGTTTTTTGCAATATTGACTGCTCGTTTTTCTTTTCCAGGACCAAGAACATTGGAGAACTGATCCATGTCGATATCTTCACCACAAAAGATTTGAGCAATTGGACTATGCAAATCGTCAGGATTGATAGTAACCCATAAACTCGGTGCGTTCAACAGAATTGTCATGCCCCAAATTTCGCTACGCAATTTTTCTCTTGAGGAATTTGAACCGGTAACACGCATTGCACTAGCATACAGATGTTTTCGTAGTAAGCGAACACCTGGATCGGAGATAGGTTGATGATTTGCCTCCTGTTCTGCAGCGGACTTCAATCGCTGAATTGTTATTGATGATAGCTGAGCCGCATCCCGATCAAAGTCCTTCTTTTGCATTTCAACTCGTGCGGAATGCAGTGCCTCCCGTTTTTGTTTGACGCTGAACACATGATATGGGAAAATCCCATGTGTACAGAATCTTCGATCGAAATAGTCCAAGCACCACTCCATATGTTCTCCCAAAGACACTGGACGTCGACACTTCCGTTCTAGCCCACCGATGCCAAACGGAAACAGAAATGGGTACGTCTTCTCCCACAAGTTATTGTTTATCTCTGTTGATGGAAATTCATTTTGCGCCTCCCAACCGTGCCGAACTGCATATCCGCCCTCTTCTCCACTGCTCCATAAATTGACCAATCCCCACTGAAGCATCTCCGATGATGAGGTCTGCATCAGGTCAACATCGTGTGACCCTAAAAATCGCAGAGGAACAATATCTATATTTATGGTGAATTTCTTTCATGTAGTAATACGCAAAATACTTACCTGGATCACTTTCACTTATCTCGATGTCTTCTTCCACCGCCACAGCACCAGCACTCTCATATGCAATCATATCAGAATCAGTTTCCTGTCGAACAATTGCGAGGACTTCATTCGGAACGTCATCTTCAGGGAGTAGAGACAGCGCGGCCATATCGATTTCGATGTCTCCATAATATGCCGGGTTATGCTCCTTCAACCATTGGAGTGCGCGACCCACATGATATCGACGAACTCGAAAGGTAGAACGTAACCAATTCTTCGGCAAATGACCTCGTCCGACATATGTTACTGAAATGACTTCTGCGAGAACCCCTAAAGGCTGTGGTAGAAGTCGACCATGAAGCATATTGACTATCTGCTCCGTATTCAACGAATATGTTGTAACGTTGCCCTTGATCCCGCATTGCAACATAGCTGGATTTTGACCTCCTCGCCGATCTTTAGGATATAGCTTGAATATACACGCTCGCACGAAATTTCGCGCAATCAAATATTGCTCTGGAATCGTCAGAACTTCCAGGTCGAAAGGCAATGTTCCGATCCACATGTCGTTGGCAAGGGAAAATTTTGGAGGTCGGTCTTCTTCATCCTCTTCATATAATTGATCCAAACACTGACCACATATGTTGATTTTCAGAGTATTATCTTCTTCAACACACCCTTCCCGCACTACTATCAAACCGTCCACGGTATCCTGTCCAGGAATGATAGATCGACATTCCAAGCGGTGACGATTGGGTACTTTCTTCAATGCCATCGTCTCGAATTCTGCCTCCATCACCATCAACCGTCGTGCACAAACACCACATATCTTATGTTGCAATGCAACATTAGACGTCGCCTCTCGAAAGCGACGCAAAATATTCTTCAACTCTACGTCGTTAGCAGGAATCATAAACTTCTCTGTCGTAACCTCGCCATTAACGTCACCGCTCAATCGCGGCAATTTCCTCTGGTTCTCCGCATCGGCAACCGCTGCCTCTTCTTCCAACCGTTTTCGCTTCCGAGAAATTGCGTCATTGATACGAGACTCACAATCTGAACCCAGCTGTGATACAGCAGCGAGCAGTGCCGGTTTCGTTCTGTGAGCACTAGAAGGCAAATAAATATTGTCGCCAACAGCTTCCAGTATTTCTTTCTTCGTGAGTGTATCCATCGGAACGTTATGCACACAAACAGCAAGACCCTCACTTATTAATCCACCAATTACGTCAATCCAGCTATGACAAACCCTCCACCATCGTCTGCCCCCAACCCCCTATCCTCGTTCTTATTCATTCTACCGCCATGTCTTCGTCTATACAAACTATCCATCATTCAGAAATTGACACACTACTTGAAGAGCAGCGACAGTATCTACGCAATAATCCGCTTTTCCTTGGCAATCCCGCTTTACTCAACCATGTGGAATGGGACAAAAAGGACACGACTTACGACGCGCTCATCAACAAACGTCAATCGAACACCGAACCGTCCCAATTAGCCGACGTTGTCTGTATCGCAGAAATTAGCAAGGACAAATACTGGATGATCCCGGGAGCTTTTGCGACTATCGCCAACAGAGAAATCGCCAACACCGATGCGTTCACTCGACAACGTGGTTCTCTCAGGCTGTTTCAGCTGCGAAAGAAGGCTCTCACAGACCTATGGAAGCCGACGTTGGATGGAATCAAAAACCTCTTAACCTCCGTTCCTAATCCGAGATCTCGAATCACTCACACCATTATCGAGAACGGAGAATTTGTTAGGGTTCGACATGAATGGTTTGAAGTATACCTTTCCGCACTCCATCTATTCTATCCCACTCTAACAACGTCACAGCGCATACCGCCCGATGAAGCAGAATACGAAGAGACATCGCCAGGTTTGACTAAATATTGTTATTGCTTCCTACATTGCTAACGCACTACCAAAGAAGCACCTACCACCTCTGCTGTAACGATTTCATCCGACGCTGCAACAGACACGAGCGATGACGTTGACAAAACGGCAGCACGTAAGGTTATTCTCCTCATTCAACCTACGCAATTCACACTTAGTCTAACAGAACTGGACGCTCAATACGGCATTCAGACATGGAACATGTGTGAATCTTTCGACTGGGCTCAACAACATCTACAGCGTATAATCGAAGACAAACAACTACGTGGTATCCCCTTACCCGCCTTCGATCTACGCAATGCTAAAGCTCTCCATCCAAATGAATGCGAATCAGCATTGAAAGGAGCACTCGCAAAGGTGACGATGAACATAACAAGACAGCGTACGTGGGACAAAGACTTCGAAGGACATAATCGCGATGCAGATGCCTTCTACGCTGATATCTCCCAAATCACCGTCGTTCTTCCACCCGGCTATGAAGACATCATCACTTCGTCCGCAAAACGACGAGGAATGAACTTACCTGATGACATCATAGCTGCGAAAAAGAAGATTAAAAAGTAACATTTCTGCACTCATACTCTTACTTTCTATTGTACGCATATGATGCATAATTCTCGATTTCACACTCTTATTTTCTACCTTACGCTTCGTATCTACTGATAAACCGAAAACCACTCCATAAAAAAAATAAAAATAAAAAATTCGGCGAAATTTCGCCTCAAAAAGTTGACCGAGCTACCCCGCGAGGTTAGTGCATGCTGAAAAGCATGCGCTTCTCGAGTCCGGTTAGAGCCTCCCTGCCGTGCACCACCTTGGTTGGAGCGATGCGACCTAGACGCGACGATGCCAATCACGTTCGTCGATCAAGATAAACTTCGATCGAACGGTCGACGTTACGTTCGAATATCTGAAGGTATTTGTCCCTGTATTTCTTCGCCATCTCCTATAATACGACACTTTGCCTTCGCGGGTGAACCTCCTATCTCCCGCTATCATGGCTGCCACAACGCTCACCGCTGATGATGGGAAACCCTTCGCGCTCGACGAGTGCACCGCCACTGTCGACATTGACAATGACTACTATGAACATCCGGGCGTCGTGAAGCGCATTTCCCTCAAAGTGAAGCATCCTGTGCAGACCCGTGCTGTCCTGGGCGACACTACCACCGCCGCCCCCACCAATGGTGAAGAGGAGTGGTTGGACGACATCGACCTCAGCGATGACACAGTCGCGTCCGTAACCGCGCTACAGATCAACCGCGCACGTTGCAGGGGCAGCTTCCTGGAGGTGATGGACGACATGTCTCAGGAGCTGCACGAGTTCTCTGTCGCTCTCTTCAACAAGTTCGGGCACCTCAAACCCGAGCTTGTCGAACACGAGTACCACCGCGGCTCCGGTTGCTGGGGGCGCGAGATGGACAATAACATGCTCGTGTACATCGAATCTGTCGAGGTAAAACCTCAGGTGTGTCTGCCCCGCCGCCCGTCCGGGCTCCGCCACCTTCTCATTGCGGGACGCACCGTATAGTTCCGTAACAAGGGCGTAGGCTCCTGGGCACTGCGGAAGCTTAGCGAGCGTTTCGCGACACACGCAGACTTCGTCGTCTGCTGGCCGACCCCTATCGAACGCATCCTCGAGAAGTCAGCATGGGAAGCGCAGAAAAACAAGATCATCGATTTCTTCCGCAAGGTAACCTATTTGCCTCCCATGTCCTCACCTGCCTATACTCACCCCTGCTGCAGAATGACTTCCGACGCGTAGGGCGTACTGATTTCTTCGCATACTCACCTAACCCGCAACATCCCTCGCGTTCGCTCGCAGCAACAGATGACGTCGCAGGGCACGAGTATGCCACAGATGAGAGCGAGGACCCAGCTACGGAGGCACGCGTGCTGGATTTCCTCCTTACGGGCGGGCAATTGGAGGCACAGCGAGAGCGCGACGCGCAGCACCAGGAGCGCTATCCCGTGCACCATGCTATCGCTAAGAGCCTGCATCCCGGTGGCGGCGCTCCGATCGGAGACACTATTCGCACCGCGTACTCAGTAGACCACGCGTCCGTCCGCAAGAAGGACGACAACGGGATCTCCCCGCTGCACCTCGCCGCTGGCCTGCTGAGCCTTCCGGCGGTAGAGGCACTGCTCGCACTCCCTGAAGAGAGCGGAGTGCGTGAAGATCTTACGCTGAGGGACAACAAGGATGGTGTGACACCGCTCGAGGCATGCGAGCACATGATGCGCTCAACGAAGGAGTTTTCCGAGACGATGCTCGGCGTGTGGAACGGCCACCAGGACGAGGGGTTGAAGATCGCCGCGACGTTAAGGCGAGCTGCGGGCGAGCAGGTGGGTACGGACGACGAGTACATTCGCCAGCGCAAGTGGGGATGCACGTGTGGGCAGTGTGCCGACGGGTGGCTTTCACCGCGCATGCGCTACCGTTTGGAATGTACGTCTCGCTTTATTACTGGTTTGGAGCGTAGCTGACTGGCAGCAGGTGCGGCGGAGCTGGACAAGGATATGATGGAGACAATGCGCCCACAGTTCCGGAGGGGCCGACCGCTGTCCCTTCTCACCATCCTCGGGGATAGCATCGCGCTGAACTACGTTCCGCAGTATCTGTGGGGCGTGATCGACCGAGCGTTCTACGACGGCTTGCAGCTCGTGTTCCAGGAAATCGCAGATGTGCTTAAGCAGGGCGCAATCCCGAGCCCACAGCACGTGAGGCAGCGTGTGGAGGCTGTTGCGCAGAGGTTCTTTGCGGAGGACGGACGTGTTGAGTATGCGTTGGACTTCGTCACGCAAGGGGCGCTCGAGCAGAGCCCGCTCGGCGACGCCACGTGGGATGAGATGGTGGAGGACGATCTTGCAGAGCGGCACGATGGCGTGTGGGAGGCGTGGCGCAGCTTGCCCCAGTGTGCGAATGATCTGGAGTTTGGGATGGTCAGGGAGAGGCTAGGCCTCTCGGGCAGGCAGCGGTGGGGTCCGTATTTGGGCGGGGACGACCACGACGAGGACATGGATGGTGACGATGACGGCGATGACGACGAGATGGGTGAGGAGGAGGATGAAGCTTGAAAGGAATTCGCTCTTGGTCAGGCTACGAGGTTTTTGTTTGTACGTTTATATGGGTATTGTATGGTCTAGGGAAATACGCATGATTAATGTTGGTCTTTTGCGATCTTTCGAACGAAGTGTAAGACACCCAACGCCGATAGCACAGGAATTCACCGAGATGTTCAGCTGGGTTAAGAAAGTCCTCTAGATTTGCTTGTACACAATTCGTACACGGAGTCATGCCAGCGAACCAACTATTCCGATCCGTTGACAGTCACGCATGTGGGCCGGTGGACATTCAGCGGCTTGCAGTTCAGAGAAGGAATCGTTTATCTCTATGACAGAGGCTGGATCCTTGTATGAGGAGCCGCTGAGAAGTCCCTCGTGGGAACTGCGGAGATCGAACATGCCGACGGCAAAACCGCGCACGAAACTTGCAAAGCAAAGGCATACTATCCTAGGCACAGTTCTGCAAACTCTTTCAGTGTGCTGCTCATAGCTCCCTGACAACTTCATGAAATCCCTTGAAACTTGCAGTCTATGTACAATAATGTCCCCTCTACAAGGTTATCAAAGTAGCATGTTAAAATTCCCAGAACTTATGTTCTCGGAGACCTTCCGGTGACGAGAGTGCAAGTGCGCAGGGTAATGCAAAATCGTCACAAGCCTGTCACGGTGAGCGCCCTTCGGCATGCCCGGCAAATTTGATGGCTCGGTCAACGCAAGCGGTGTGCACAGTTCTGCAAAGCCGCTTTGGGCGACGGAGTCTGAATTTCATCACGCTGTGGCGGATGGATGTAACGCGTCTTTCTCGCAACATAGCATAGAGCAAGAACAACTTCGCATGGCGTCAATCGGGGTCACTCTGAAGGTAGCTCCATGTTAAAAAGGCTTATATTATGGGTGGCAAAATTTTAGGATGAGTACTGCAAGAAGGATCTCCACATCAGCTGTATTTCCGGCACTTACATTGGGGTGCAAAACCATGCAATCGCTCTCCCATTTGTTTCCACATCAACAAATTATCATACACAGGGTTGAAACATGTTTAGATAGTGTCCATACAACTACTAACCAAACCCATTAAAATATTTTTGAGAATTGGACGAGATATTCGCATTTTGCATATTGATGCGCACTTTGCAGAACTGTGCCTAGGATAGTATGTATCGGGACACGTCTCTGGTGCAGGAAATGTGGAGGTAATTAAATTGTTAAATTGCAGTACAATGCGAATCTTTCAGCCTTGGTATTTAGAGGGCGGATTGGCTATACAATGCATATATTCATGTGCGCCTTCTGTAGGGCTGCCGTTTGGCCGATGTCAATATTCAAACTCAATGGTTCCCACGGGAGACCGCTCAGACTCGGAGGCTCCTCATACGAGGTTCGAGCTTAGCTTCGCGCATAACCTCCCCGAGCGATTCTTCTCAACTTTTGAACTCGTGGGGAATGTCTATTCGAAATCCTGGAACAGAGCTGAAGGTACGGGTCAGAAGACGAGACTCCCGGACACAAACAAAGTGATGAAATTCAGGAGTTCACGCGCACATTTGCCATAGCGCTACGGTGACTTGGACAAACAGGATACTGCGCAAAGATGCGCGAACTTACAGGCAATTCAATTCCTATCTGTACAACATAGTCCTAGACTAATTTCCACCCTATTGTCCCTAGGTTTTGGATGTTCCACTAGTACTGGCCGCTAGGTCTTGCCTCGCGTTACCCAAGAATCTTGCGAGCGTCCGATATTTTATATCTTCGAGCGCTAAGTTTTTGCCACAGCAAAGGTATCATGTGAAAATTGAACGCTGAGGAAATTAACCCAGCTCGAGAAGTCGACGCTCCTTTAGCCCTACTCAACAGTAGACTGGCCCAGTTAAGCTCCCGTATGCTCGCTCGACTCAACTCCCAAAGTTCATTGACATTTCTATAGCTCTGTCATCGTAGATCTTATCGGACTTGCCGAGCGCGGGGTGCTTATTCACCATCGGCCAACTGGGACTAGTACTTAAGGGCCAACCCCACCAGACGCTCTCAGAGCATCCACTCCATCAGTCCCCTCACCACCCGCCTTCCCTCCCCCAAATATACAAATGTCAACCCCAAACGCCGCGTCCTATCTCACCGCTCCCGGGGGAACGTTCACCGTCAAAGACGCTCCTTACTCGAAACCGGGACCTGGAGAGATCGTGATCAAGAATGCCGCTGTCGCTGTGAATCCAAGTTCGTATCAGCCTTCCACCCAGCTTCTCTCCTTTCCTTCTTTCATGATATACTTGTTTTCTCTATTTGCTATTTTAATGATAAGGCAATTTGCTGGGACTGATTTCTGATGTGGAACACAGTGGATTGGAAAATCCAAACTTTTGGAGCAATCTTGCCGTTTCCAAAGCAGTATCCTGCCGTAAGTCCAGTCTGGCTGAATCTGAAGGAATGGATGGATGAGGAGGATAGGTAGGGAAGATGTTGATTGATTGGATTGGCAATAGATACTTGGCGCAGACGTCGCAGGCGAGGTATATGAAGTTGGTGAGGATGTGACCAGGTTCAAGAAGGGTGATCGTGTTATTGGGTGAGTTCCGAGTCCGCATGCTCATCTATGACTCTCCATGTTTCCTGCTCCCCATTCCATTTACTATCTACAAGCATTGACCAAACCGCATCACTACTAACTCCCCTTCCACTCAAAGCAAGCCAAGCTGGTTCCTCACCGCCCGCCCCCAAGACGGCGGTTTCCAGCACTACACCGTTTGTATATCCAGTGTCGTCTCCCCCCTCCCAGCCAGTATCCCCTTCAAATCAGGCTGTGTCCTTCCTCTAGCTCTGTGCACGGCAGCAATGGGCCTCTATCCGTCCACTCGCTTGGCACTTCCGCTTCCGCAGCCCACAAAACCGAAGTCTATCAACAAAGTCCTCCTCATTTGGGGCGGTTCCTCCAGCACGGGGAGTGCCGCAATCCAGCTAGCCGTTGCCTCGGGCGTTACGGTTATTGCCACCGCATCGAGCAAGAATCACGGATTCGTCAAGGGGCTTGGAGCGAGTGCGGTGTTGGATTATCAAGATGATAAAATTATAGAGAATTTGGTTGAGATGATCAAAGGGGCCGGGGGTGAGTTTGCGGGTGCGCTTGATGCAATCGCTGAGGAGCAGACTTGGAGGGCTTGTGCGGAGGTTGTCAAAGCCTTAGGAGGCGGTAAGGTCGTGAGTAATTTGCCGACAACCTTTGTGGATGTTCCTGAAGGAGTGGAGGTCTTACCTGGTGAGTTGGACTCTTGTTTCCGTGGTGGGGACTCACTGAGACTGATGCTGAAATGTGGGTAGTCAATAATACTTCTGCCATAGTCCAACACAAGGAAATCGTCGAAGGCATATGGACGCAGTTTGTTCCTGAAGCATTGAAGGCAGGGACTCTGAAAGCTGTGCCTGAGCCTGTCGTTGTTGGGACAGGCCTGGAAAAGATAGGGGAGGGAGTTGAACTGTGTAAGAAAGGTGTTTCAGCGGGGAAGGTGGTTGTTGAGATTTGAGGCGTGTGGGTAACAACATACGACCCATAACCCGATACGTATGATCATGTACTTATATGTGTGTGGATGGCATACAGTGAATCCAAGCGTTCGGTTCAAGTAGCTCGTCGTTCTAAACACGATAAGCGGTGTCATTCTTGGTTCTATCCTCGCTGTTTCACTGGGGAGATCGACTCCCTGACTTTGAAGAATGTGCCAAGGAAACTGACAGCAGCCGATGATTTCGAAGGAGCAAGATTGACACTTTGAACTAGGTGTGCGAGACTAAAAATTGCGAGGATGGGAACTCTGTCGTGCGTAAGTTAACTCCCAAAGTCCATTTCGCATATCAAATAGCTACTCATTGTCTCATTTTGTAGCCTTTTACCTCACCCTACTGTTATGGACCTGTCCTGCCGAATGTGACTATACCGATACATACATACATTGTACACGACCGCGGAACGGTACGCGAGCTACAGAACGACGCATGAGCCCCACCAGGACGCCGCGGGCCTGGGCAGCGCTGACGGCTGCGACTCATAAACGCCAGGCCGATACAAAGTGGGCTCCCGCGTAGTGAAAAGGAACCAGTGTGGTGCAGGGCTGACCGTATCATAACCGGCCTCTGCGGCCTTTTCGTCCGCGCTACGGAACGACATGGCGATGTTGCCAGCCACCATCAGACAGTCGATCCACAGGCCATTGTCGTACAGGAGGACGTCGGTTTCACAATATCCCTGCGTTATGTCGTCCACACTAAGCTTGGGGTAAGTTACCCCGTCGACGCTGTACAAACGCTCCCCGGCAGCTGAAGGTAGTTGGCCGTTTAAATCAACTCGCAAAAAAATTACGAATTGACTGACCTAAACCGTCTCTCTCCCATGGTGCCGCACGTAGCGGTTCTATTCCGGCTTGCCAAACCCCCTCATCTGTCCAAGGGACGAAGGCGGTGATCCAACCGCTAATAAAATCAGCCTTATATAGCCAATCATGTAGCTGGACTACATGCGTCCAAAATTCGACATCAGGCTCGCCGTCGAAAGCGGACACAAAACGTCGCAGTATAGGGCGCAGCATCGTCGCCCAGGCACGGGGTTGCCTCCCGAACTCGTCCAGCTTGTCCACTCGTTGCAGGAGCTTCAGCCAGTCTTCCTTTTCGCCCTCCAAGGTGACAGATGGAATGCCGCAAACGCATGCCATCATGTAGTCGAAGTATCTGCGAGAGGAAAAAAGTTGAGAGAAGCTCGTGAGCCGACGACAATCGGGGATACGCACGACTTCAGCGTATCATCAGAGCCGAACATATCGTCGTGTCGGCGGTGGTCGTGGTGGTGAAATCGGGGAGGATCCACTCGGTGAGTGTCTTATCGACGACCTTCACACAAAAAGGTGAGATAACAACTAAACAACAGTGTGCGATGAGAAAAAACGGCACTGACATTCTCGCGCAGTTGCTCGGCCATCTGACGCGTCATCTCTCCGAAATCGACCATGTATCGATTTCCTTCGGCAACCACCCTCACCGTTTTCTTCCCCCCGTGCTCTACGAATTGGCCCCGCAGTTCTTCGGCGTGTGCGTTCACGCTGCGTAGCACCCTGAATGAGCACGACTCCACCGCGGTACGCAGACTCGAATGACACACTAGAAACTAAATTGGTTCAATATGGCGATCCAGACATCATCTGGCCTGCAGAACGTGTTTAATCTCTCAGGGGTCAAAGAGCGGATCGCCGGACAGACCTTATAACGAGGTTATGATGCCCGCCGTGTGCCCTCATAGCGGCATGGACGAATCCGTTCCCGCAGTATTCCATCGACGGCAGCGCCTCGGGACACACTGAGCCCTGAAAGACTTCGATGCATCGTCCTCTCGGACTAAGGCGCGCCCTTGTCAGCAGGTCTTTCGCGTCCTGGACCTTGTCCAGGGACTGCGGATGGACAGGCTCGGCAGAGTGTTTTGCGACCTTGAATGTGACAGGCATTGTGGGGGAAGCTTAAGAGAAGTTAGTTGAGGACCTTCAGAATCGAAAATCTTTCTTTGGTTACTGTTGCGCCTCCTGAGCGTTGGCGCGTACACGTCAGTCGGGAGTCATACGTGGTGAAGGAAGTAAACTTTCGCGGAAGCAAAGCGGGTCGGACGCAGGGCCCAATACTCCTGTGTACCAGTTGAAGGTCAGGTTGTCAGAAGTGATTCAAACAGAGGACGGTAATCTCACCGAAAGAGTGCAAGATGAGCTACACCCACCACATAGCGCCATGTGTATCATCTGTCAGCGCCGGAAGGCATGCACACCATGAGGGCTCCAAGAATTATCAGAGGAACGACAGGTTCCGAGGCTACTGTACAGAACAAGCAGGCTACATTGAATACTAGTACAATAAATTCCGTCAAGCAGAAATCCGATGCTGGCCGATCAAAGCGCAAACCTTCTCCAAGCCCCACCAAAAGAGGCATAGCACTAATTTTGTGATACGAACAAGAGCAGAAGCACGCACTAATGTCGACGCGCAGGAACGGCGAGCACGATCGCAGTGAACATCTACCACCGCCGCGTCAGTCCAGAAGCAGCCAGCAGCGACAGAAAAACCACGCACCGCCGTCCACGCAAAGCCGACCCACAGGATGTCCCGCATGACGCGCCGGTGCACCGCCTGGATGCGCGGGTCGAGCACGACCTTCTCGGGCCCGAACACGGGTGGCCGCGAAAACCCGCCATCCTCGTCGTCCCGTTCGTCTGCAAGCGAGAACGCGGGGGGCGCGCCAGAGTCAACCGCGGACTTGATGCTGAGCGACGACGGCTGGATGCGGAGGCGCGGCGGGCACCGCGTGCGCGCGAGGGACGGCTGCGACGACGCGCTGCCCACGCGCACCAGGGTCCCGTCTTTGTCCTTGTCCTCGGGGGACCCGAACGGAGCGATCGCGTCGAGATCCATGTCGTCCTCGCGCCCGAGGCACATGCTCATCGTGGTGCTGGTTCCGGGCGATGAGGACGCTTTCATGCTCGGGCAGCCGCTTGCTAGCGTGCTCTGCTGCGAGTCCCACACTGGCGCACCGGCGCGCTCGCGCATCTGCACGCCGCCCATCGTGGGAGAGGTTGGTGAAGACGGGCTCAGAGTCGGTGACGGCAGCGGATCGAGGGCACGCGCCCAGTGTGCTGCCGCCTCGTCGTCCATCTCGTGCATCTCCCACACCCGCAGCTGTGTCGCGCCTCGGCCCCATACTTGGCTGCAAAACCTGTTGTCGAAATAAGTGTCGATTCAGTATCGAAACGTATTGTGCACGTACCCCCTCCATGCAGAATACGTCTGCATGCTGCCCAGCGCGGCGAACGGAACCGCAAATAACCTCCACGCGCGACTCGCTTCTGGGGGTGCGGGAACGAGCATCACGAGCAGCAGCGTGATCAAAATACTGACTACCAGGTCCACGAAGCCGACGCCGTACCAATACAACTGCTTCGGCAGGTTTATATTCGCGGACGCCGCAACGAGGAAGCGCGGAAGGGAAACGCCCTCGACCAGGGCGTACAGCTCCTCGTACGCAGGCAGGAACGCGTCAGGGTGCGTGTTCCATGAGAGCGCTCGCAGTAGCGTGTCCCGCAGTGCCGGCTCGAGCGGGAGTTCCTTTGGTGCACCTGGATGCAGGAATGTCGCGACGATACGCTCACATTCGTCACGGAACGGCTGCTCGGTGACGGTGGGGAGGCCCGGAAACGGCGTAGAGGGCACACGACCATCTGTCGAAGTCGCGGCGACGCGCTGAGCGGTGCGTGCGGGGGTGGGCAGGGCGAAAGTGAACTGCTTCGGCCCTGGAGACGCCGCTTGGATCTCCTCAGGCAGAGCAAGGAAGCGCGCGCGGTAGTCCTGGAACCAGACTACGAACTGGAGATGCTCGAGGGTGTGCTCCTTGTGTGCGAGGTACGCCTCGAAGTCGGAGAGGCTGAGGTAATCAGTATCAGGTCGAGTTATTCGCCGGTGGCAAAATGTAAACGCACCTGATCGGAGCGCAAGTGTCGCCTGCCAGGACGTGTGCGAGGGTGATGTCAGCGAGTAGCTTGACGTTGAAGTTTGCGGCATATCGCTGAAGGACGGCGGCGTACGTGGTGCGGCGGTTGCTGTTGCGGTTGGACATGACAGCGGGAGAGAGGAAGGAGCGGAAGGGCAGCAAGCAGGGTGTGAGGACGTGAGGGAGACGAGAAGTACGAAAGCAGTTGCGGAAGCCAGAGCGGAAAGCCTGGAATAGATGCGGATGGTGGAGCACGCGCGGCGGGTCGTAGGAGCGGCGGATATATGAGCTGTGTGCTAGTCAGGGTTTGTACATCGAAGAATTCGTGCATCATGCTCGCTGCCGTGATGGGGCGCGGAAGCTCCTGCATGTGGAATAAGCTTGTCCGAATTCATCGCGAGCGCCCAGCACTGTCGTACGGCATACGTGTTGCGTTGTTCTCAGGCGAGAGCGAGTTAGCCATTGGCGGAAGGGCTGACGAAGTTGACGAGGTCGACGAGGTGTGAGACTCGAAGCACATGCCACGCACCTGCTGACCATCTCTCTCTGCTCAACTTGACTCCCGCGAACAGCCTGAGCGTCAAACGGGTTCACCAAATTCTGTGCGTAAAACATGGACCTGCGGGGGGAGGATCGCAAGGACGTCTGCAGGCCCCGCTGTTCAAAGGCTCCTCATCCCTAGCCCCATTCATGTTTCAGTTGATGTGGCTGGGAAGTCTAAGCTGCTCTGACTCCACCGTCATTGCTTCGAATTTTTGCCTTTGATGACACCACACGGCCCCTAAAAATGTGAGCAGTAGACTCGCGCTTGTCCAAAGTGCTTCAAAGAACGTTGACGTCCCGTGTGCCAGGGAACATGCTGAGTGCCAGGAAGCCTGTGCGGAGCTTTCGACAAAGCGCGATGGTGTTGGCTCAGGCTTTTGGATCATGAGAGTGGGGGGAAAAATGTTGGCCGTCCGATTGAGTCAAGATGTACGCCTTATATACTAACTGTACTCGCAGACCATCAATCAGCTCGGTACTATCCTTGGGCTATAGTACGCATAGTATGCCGAGTGGCATGCCTAAAGGAGTAAGTGAGGTGCTATAAATGGAAGGAATGCAGACTTTCCGACTAGCTTGCCCGGAATCCGCTAATATTTGTCCTACGTTGACATGTACAGTGGCAGTAAAATACACAGTAATTATTGCGCAGTATTTGATCGCGAGGCTCCCTTCAATTTAATTACGACGGTGAACTGCGCATATCTAAATGATATACATACAATGGCGACTACGAGTAAGGACTGACACTGAGCGCTCTTACATGAAACTGAGTGGAGAATCACAATATTTCAGGTGAATCAGACCTACCGTACACGAAATAGCTCCTCATGCCACAGACCAGCAGCACCTCGCATGCCTTCACGCACTCGCTTCGTTCAGGGTAGAAGCATCTCGTCGCCGGCATCACCACACGATCCTGTGCTGAGTAGCGCGAAAGCCGTGATGACAGGGTTCCAGCCAGTCTGACAGGAAGAGCGTTGGGACTTAGACAGAGCCGTTGTTAGAGATTGCCGCAGCCCCTTGGTTGAAGATGCAGTGCAGCATCAACTTCGGCCTTGTAGGTCCATGTGTATCCACCCTGCCCGCGAAGATATCCTCACACAGCAACGAGATCGTCCCAACGGAGGCGTTTGTGGCATCATCTCAAAGACATAATATTAGGCCGTACAGAGAGAGCATGAAAACCAGTGTCAATTACATTACTGAATTTCCAAGCCCGTTCCGGGATCTCAACTGACACGAAGGACAAGGGCAAATCAAGGGCAAATGTGGCTCCGACACAAAATCATTGACCGCTAAGACTATGTGACGTTGAGCTGCGCACGGTGAGTTCTCATCGGATGAAATGTATGGAGAAACGGTAGTTGCATAGCGTACTGGCAAGGGCACCCAACTCGGGCTTTGTATGTAACGCGCTGACTGCGGAAGGGCTATGAGGAGAACAATTTTATTCTAGAGTAAATAAAATTGTCCGAGATAGAGAAAGCCGAAATGAGTATGCGCCACGCAATGTTGCATACGAATTTCGACGTGCGGGGGGAATGTTGCGGGGCTTCGTGAGGGAGCGGAACTCGGAGGCGCGAATTCCCAAAAGGGGAATGCCAACGAGATCGGCCCGCGGAACCTTCGGAGCCTGGCACGTAGATCTCGCGGCCAGACCATGGCGGGTCAGCCGGGGAGACGAGACCATACCTATCCAGAGCGCGGCTCACTACGTCGAGTGACCGGGGACCCGACCCACACACAAGAGCAAGCGATGGAGTGATGACTCTGCGGAGAGAAGCACGAGTGACAGCTAAGATTGAGGCCAGCTATATGGTACAGAGTATTCTACAAGGGGGAAGGTGCGTGTGCATGAAGATGGGGAGTGTGAGTATTAGGTAGGAGCACACGAAACGAGACGGTGACGACGAGAGAATGAGTCCATGGCGGAGCCAATGTGTAGTGCGCGAGAAGAGTGTGATGCATTGGAAATGAAAAGAGGGAGGATCGATTCGATGCGACGCCAATACTCCAGGAACGCCTGTGATTTCCAGCGGCCTTGTGTCGCGACCACGTCCGGGTTGACACCCTGCAGGAGTAGTTCCGTGGCGCCCCCGATACGGAAGGCATGGCCCGGCATGTCTGGAAAACCGGCGGAAACCCAGATGGTATTGCAGCACTGCATGAACCAGTGCTTGGTCATGGGAGACCAGCCACCGGCCGCAGTCTCGAATGCGAAGAGGGGAGCGGAGGTGGGGATGTCGATGTTGCAAGAGAGGTGATGGCGAAGCGCCACGAGTGGGCATGTAGAGTGAATGCGCGCTGTGATCGAGATGTCGGCGCCCTCCTGCAACGTCGTCTTGGTCCACGGGATGTGAAAGGTGGCGAACTCAGCTCCATTGGCCAGACGATCGAATGCGATGGGGAGCACGGAGCGCGAGACATGTTTGAGTGGATCAAAGAGATTGGTGCTCGGAATGACCAATTCCCCTAAACTATGCACGGGAGGTGAGTACAGGTTTGACCGGTGTGAAGAGGAGTGAGAACGGGGAGGGGGAGAGGGAGGGAGTGAGAAAGTGAGAGTAGCAAAGAGGAGAGGCCTACCGACAACAGCACCAGAAGGCGATGCTCACGAGGGCCCAGACAGCCGCGTCGAACACGTTTGAGAGGTCAAGGCCATCTTTGAGGATCACCATCGCTTCAATGGTGACCGGAGGATGCTTGGCCCGCTTCGAGTCGGGTGGAACCAATTTCGCGATGCCACGTCGAACGTGACGCAGCATGTCATGTCCGTGCCATACCGCACCGTTGATGGTGTGCCAGAAGTGAAGACCCGCAAGCCAGTTGGAGAGGGTGTTGTCTGAGATCGCACCGGCGGCAGATGCTGCGAATGTGGAAAGGAGCGATTCGGAGGCCGGCATGCGCTGAAGTTCTGGAATGCGATGTTGGTCACAGTACTGAGTGAAGCGTAGGAGACCCGCTCCGTGTGTAGATTCGTCAAGTGAGCATAACATGACTTGGAAGAGTTTGAGCACTGCAGTGGAGGGGAGGAGGCTATCGAGAGATCGTTGGAAGGAGTGTGAATGAGGGGTGGTCCAGAGTAGGACCCGATCACTGGCGAGAACGAGAGGGCGATGCGAGGAGGGGGCGATACAGTTCAGAGAGGATGGACGACGGGGAATGCGTACGTGTCCCCCGGATGGTGGGAGAGTGGCAACATGCCGGACATCACTATTGACCTGTGAGAAAAAGGCAGCTGCCTCCGCGTCGATGTCAACATCTTGCAGGAGGTGGGCGATGGGAGAGGAATCATTCATGGGAGAAGAGGGGGGCTATGGGAGCTGGGAGAGCAATGGAGAGAGGCAGACGAAGGGAGTCATCAGGGTGGATGCCACGTGACACGGGGTCCGCGAGATTGTCTTTGGTATTGACATATATGAGAGATGCTGATAGGCCAGTGACACGGAAGACTTCTTCAGAACGACGAATGCAGAGGTTCGTCTCCGCATTGTTGGAACGACCCTTCTCGAAGGCACCAATGACGCCCTCATTGTCACTCCGAATCAGGATGCCTGCATCCCGAATACCTAGTTCATATGCGATGAGAATGGCAATTTCGGCTGCGACGCCCTCGAGCCAACCAATGTCCCGACCGGGTACTTTCCAGCCATCGACAGCGCGCCAAGCAGCCCAGTGGCCATTCCATATGATGCCTATGCCCATGCTGGTGGACGCATCGACCCAAATACCGTAGTCTCGAGTGGGGCCGTGAGGGGTGAGTGAGCGCGGTGCAAAGGGGATGGAGAGCTCAGTTAACCACCACTTGAGATCTGAGATGATGGAGGATCGCATGTAGCATGGGATGAAGTCCGTGTGGAAGGTGCGGAGCCAGGCGTATAGATTGCTCATGTATAAGCGACCGCGTGAGTGTACAAAGGTGATGTGGGAGAGTTTCCCGATGATGCGTTCTGCTTCCTTCTTCGGTACTTGAGAGTTCTCGTATGTCTGGAGAAAGAGGAGTAGGTGAGCAGAGTATTTTAATCGTTTGCGCTCGGAGAGGGAGACGGTGCGCTGCGCAATGTCCCAGTGGAATCCGACATAATCGAAAGAGTTTGCAAATTCTTGGTCTTTCGTAGAGTGCCAAGGAATACATAAGGGTGCGATCAGTTCTTTCGCATAAGTGAGATCGTAGCGGTAGCGAAAGCCGTCTTCCACGAAGGGCCCAATTTCACATGGAAATCGAAAAAGTGTGAAGTCATCCACCCATTTGACGATGGGGGATACTGCGAGGGACTCCCAGACATCCACCGTGGCATCAGCGATCTCGCCTTGGAGACCTGATGCCGACGCGAGACCAAATGGTACATTATGATCCATGTAGAAGAAACTGAGAAAAAATACGACGAGAAATCGTTTGTGGTCCGGCTTCACCGGAACCATATGATATGCGCCCGCGATGTCTAATGTCACCGCTTGTGTGCCGAGCAGTGCGGAGGAGATCTGAGTGGCATCAGTGGGGAGGCATGAGCATCTGATGCTGATGTGGGATGACGAGTAGGGGAGATAAGTGTTAGCGATGTGAATCGTGGTCCCCCTCGATAGTGATGTGCATTTCGAGCTGATAGTAGGTGAGCATCTGGAGGGGTGAACCCTTTTGACAGCACGACCTCTTTTCGGCGAAACACATCCACCAGTCTCATGGGAGAATGAGAGAGAGGAAGGAAGATGGTATGAGGGAGGATCAGGAGAGCGCATGGAGTGAGTGGGGAGAGTGCGTGAGAAGAAGAGAAGAGGGAGCATGCTAGGAGCGATAGGTAGACATCATGAAGATGGGAAACTGAGAGCCGGAGTATAGGAGTGTGCAGAAAGAGAGACCATGTATGGCTGAGAACAAACAATGCACGAAGAGAGAGGAGAGAGATAATGTGCATGAGCGATCGAAGAGAGATGCACGTGAGAGAGAGAAGAGTGAGGGCTTACGATTTTCTCTACATCTGTCGCTTTGCCTCATCGAGTAGGATAATCCTTGGCATCAATCTCATCGTTGACGGATTGGCCCAGCGTACCCTTGTACGAGAGATGGCGACATATGCGAAATTTGTCCAGTTCACCGCAAGCCCCCACTTTGGTCGCGACTTGGAGAGGAGATGATCGAAAGGGTCCGATCTTTGTTTCGAGCTGCGCGCGCGTGAAGGGACCGGTGAAGCGGCCGAGAGCGAGTTCTTCCGAAATGTATTCACGAATGACCTCCATATGATCGTTTGCACTCGGCAGGTTGTTGGGAGTGAAAGACTCAAGGATTGGTGCGAGATCGCCAAGTGGGAAGCTGTGTGTGATTTTGAAGCAGAGTTCAGGATATCGTGCAAGGAGGCCGGCGTTGTCAAGATAGCGCTGGAAGTCGGGCGTGGAGTAAGGAGTGAGAACAAGTGAGAAGTCAGGATCTTGATCGAAAGGAGAGGGCTCAATTTGCAGGCCATCCAGGTACACATGCAGCTCATCGGGAGTGGAGATATTTGGAGGGGGATACCACTCCACGAAATCATCAAGAAGACGTAGCCACGCGCCAAGAAGGAGGGTCACGTCGCCCTCATTATGTGCATTTTCTCGCGCAGGCTCCATGCTCGGAGGAGCCGCAGAATGAACAGATATGTTGCTCGGGATGGTGCTGTTTGCAAACACATTTGGGAGAGTTGAGCTGGAAGGTGATGCAGAGGGGGGAGGAATTGGATCGCAGGACAAGCTTGTTGTTGAGGTATCGCGAGAGTGTTTCGATGCCTTGCGCTGTCGACGTTTCCGTGCATTGAGAGAACTTGTGTCCGGGCCGGCGGCAGCAGAGGCAGAGGGGAGTGGACCCAGAGTCAGCTCCCTTGCTGTCTCGAAAGGGAGGCTTCTCCATGGAGACGTTGCGAGGGTTGCGACGGGCGTCTCGGTCATAAGGCTCGAATGCCCGACTGCCTCTGCTGGCGTTCCTGTCAGGCCCGGAGAACTGTGTGCGCGGCGCCTGCCTGTCGGTTATAATCTGAGTTCTGAGTTCTTCCAGTTTGACCGCCTCAAAGCGTCGCTGGTATGCATCCTCGTTGTGCGCTTCGGGAGAAATGGAATAACGTGTGCGTGCTGAGCCACTGCTTTGTCTGCGTGTGTGCGAAGGAACAGATTGTAACAGTTCCAGGCTTCGTGCCAGTCCGCGACATCCATATCTGATTCCGCTTGAAATTGCGTGAGATCCATTAGGTGACATTTTGTGCCGCTAGAATTATAAATGATGTTCTGCTTGATGGAGGTGGCGTGATTATGTAATTTGTTTGTAGTGGAAGTGGTAAATAATGATAACGGAATGTGTACTCCATTGTGTCCGAGGTTAAGGATAAAGGGATGTATACCGAAGCTCTGAGTGTGGGAAGTGGAAGAGGACGGGCGTTCACGTTCGATAGAGAAAAGTAATTTTGGGACGGAATCAGGGAGTGCATTAGTAGGTAAAGGTAGCGAGGAATTAATCAGGGTTTGGACTTTTTTCTGGGAACCCGGGGAGAATTGAGAGAATGCGGAAAGGAGACCAACACAATTATTAGCCGAAGAAAAGGGTGTGGGAGGTAACATAGGGGTGGGAGTGGAAGGACGGGATATAATGTGGAGAAGCGGTTCATCAGCGGGAACGTTAGTCTCCTGCGCATCTCTGCGCTGCTGCAAAAGGAGATTGCGAGCAACTCTCGCCAGGTTCTCGGTCTTCTTCTCCTCGGTCGTCAGGGGCGCTGGCCCTGGGAGATTAGGTCCTCCTGAGCTGCCGGAGCCTGATTCGGACTGGATCGTTGATGTGTCTTTGTTGGCCGCGCTTGTGAGAGCGATAGAGCCAGTCATGGTGTGAGATCTGTGAGATCGGAGGTAGAAAAAAGTGAGACCAGGATGGGGCAGCGGCGTGTAGAGAGAGAGGAGGTGAGGTGACGTGTGCGCTCTTCCTTCCTACTTAGGGGAAGTGCGCACGGACCTCTAGGATGAAACACGTGTCGCCCGCCTTCCAGTGAACGTCACGCTTACAAAGCCAGCGCTTAACCGTCGTCGTACTCGCAGGCTCGCAGACGTCGGTGGAGCGTTCATCTCGACTATAAAAAATCAATTCCCACCAGAAGGAGACGTTACCCACAACTTTTGCTTGAACATTCTTGTTCTGTGTGGCCTTCCAGTGATGTCTCGATCTGTACGCAGAATCACTTGTCTGCTGCTTATAGATGGCAGTGTCATTCATCCCGCCCTATGACAATCCCGTTCGAACGAAGTTGAGCGCCCAGCACTCCCGTCGGATATTCGTTTCCTAGAACATGACAGGAAGAGTCAAGATTGTCTATTCAGGGACTGTTTCGCCATTCAAGAGATTTATTTTGGAGCCACCGAAATGTATTCCCAGTATGGCAAAACAGTGACTGGTGGTGCATATGGTTAACATTACAGTGCGGCGTAGACTATTGTGCAGAACAAAGTGAGGCAAGTGTGTATGTTATTAGGATATCTTATCATCAACCTTGCAAGTACACAATTGTCAGTGACTGAACATAAGGAAGCGTAAATGCACTCGTACCTCCGTCTTCGCAGTAACAAGCAGCTTAGGCGTGTCCTCCAGCGACAAGCTCTGGACATCGGGCATTTCGGGGCCATCGTAGGAGGCCAACAACTTCTCCACCGTCAACTCTCCTGACATAGAGTGCTCCGTGAAAGAGAGGATAGACCACTCAATGAGAAAGTCCGGTGTTTCCATAGTCTTGTACCGCGCAGGTTCAGGTCCATCGCAAGACACCATAATGACAGGATTCCTGCCCAGCCCAACCATCTTCTGGAATTTCCGCAGTTGCCGCTCATCCTCTGGTGTGTGGCACTGGGGTAGCATCCTCATGGGAAGAGCCCAGCACAGACTACTTCAGCTGCTTCCAATCCAGGTGATCCCAATAAGCAGTTCAGGAATGGGCACCTCACAGTTGACCTTCGCCACTGTGTAATCAACCAGAACACTTGCCCATCTGTCCATCCCGTCTCGTTCAGCCTTTGCGCGTAAGCTTGGATTGTGAATGAGCACGACCTGCACGGCCTTCTCAATGTTGATGATAAAACTGTAGCAGGTGGGCCATCGCTGTCGTGAAATAGGCATCGGCGCTCTATGTAATATTTGGCAAAGCAGTGAATGAATTGCTTTGGCTCATAAATGAATGATGACATACCATCAGTTCGGGGTTTGGATTGTGTGCACAATGTACTCTACCTGGTTCCATCTTAATTATGCTGCATGCTGCAAATCAGGGGATATAAGCACATCAGCGAATTCACGCTAGGAGGGTGGACTTACCTGAGAGGCTACGTACGAAAGCAATTGCTTATGAGAGAATCGGCATACTAGGCGCCCATACACTTCAATCAACATGCTTATGTAATACCGCACATTTGTTCCCGCCTGTTTCGCTCCAGAGGTTCCCTCATTCGGTGGCCGAAACAGTCTCTGTATATGCCTAGGCTACTTGCTGAGAGGGTAACTTACTCAATACTAAATGTTCAGATTAGTTCGTGAGCACCCAGCGCGGGCCACGGATCTACTTATATTGTTTATTGTCTTTTGACAGCTCCGGAGACGTGCACAAGAAGCATACCATTCGATGGAGTCGGGACATACGTGCTAGCTGCACTCACCAACTATAATTCAGCTCTGTGATCTCCTTCTAGCACACCACAGAAGAAAACCTGGTACAACATCAAGGACCAAAGATCAAAAGGAGAAGGTGAGATACCATAAATGGAAGGTATTCCCCTACACCGTATTGAGATCAAGTCAATTCTGCGACAGTTTCGCCATTCAAGTAATTCTTTTTTAGTGGTGATGTACAAGGTTCGTGTTACATTACATTACAAACTATCGTGAAGAGCAGACGGGCAAGTATGTTATTGGGATTCCTCTTCATCAGTCTTCTGCATACACAATCGTCAGTGACTGAACATAAGGGAACATAAATGCACTCGTACCTCCATCCTCCCAGTAACAAGCGGCTTCGGCATGTCCTCCAGCAACAAGCTCTGGACATCGGGCATTTCAGAACCATAGGATGCCAACAACTTCTCCACTGTCATCTCTCCTGACATACAGCGACGTATGAAAGACAAGAGAGACCACTCAATAAGAAACTCCGGCGTTTCCATGGTCTTGTAGCGTGAAGGTTCTCGTCCATCACAAGATGTCAAGATGAGGGGCTTCCTGCCCAGGCCAACCATCTTCTGGAATTTCCACAGTTGCCGCTCATCCTTTGGAGTGCGATACTGTGGTAACATCCTACTTGGAAGAGACCAGCAGAGACTGCTGTGGCCACTTCCGATCCACGCTTCCCCAGTAACCAGCTCGGGAATGGGCACCTCTCGGTTTACCTTCCTCACTGTGTAGTCCACCAGGACGTCCACCCATTTGTCCATCCCATCTCGTTCGGCCTCTGCACGTAAGACTGGATTGTGAACGAGCGCGACCTGGACGGCCTTCTCGATGTTGATGATAAATCCGTAGTAGGTGCGCCACCGCTCGTGAACTAGGCATGGTGGCTCTAATATCAGGGCATTCAATACATAGCTCTAGTGTATGAGTGAACAAGGATATACTTTCAGTTGGGCGTGACCGGTTGATATGTACGAATCTGCGGGCTCGGCATAACTTCGGCTTATAAGTGCTCATCCTAGTCCGGTAAATTTCGATAAAAAAGGCAAGTCTCATAAAATATACATCCCTATTAGGCTATTTTCTAAAACATATACTGGACATGGATTTAAAAAACAAGTTCTACATCTGATCTACATCTGATTTCCGATCATGAGTCCTCAGCAAGATGATTCATTGTTGGAAATGCCAATCACAGAAGGAAGTTGATGATCCTTTCAATGGATGTGATTCCGGTTCAAACGAGCTTGAGGGAGTTGAAGTTTTGAAGGCTCAGCGCTCAGGACAGATACTCGTTTCTGAGAGTATGGAACGAAGATCAAAATTGTGGATTCTGGGACCACTTCGCCATTCAGTTCGGTGGAAATACATATGGTTACAGTACAGTGCAGACTATCATGCAGAGCTGGCGGGAAGCAAGTGTGTATGTTATTAGGATTTCTCATCATCAGTCTTCTGCATACACAATTGTCAGTGGCATAAGGGAGCATAAATGCACTCGTACCTCCATCTTTGCAGTTACAAGGGGCTTAGACGCATCCTCCAGCGACAAGCTCTGGACATCGGGCATTTCGAGGCCATGGTAGGAGGCCAACAACTTCTCCACTGTCAACTCTCCCGACATACAGTGCTCCGTGAAAGAGAGGAGAGACCACTCAATGAGGAATTCCGGCGTCTCCATGGTCTTGTAGCGTGCAGGTTCCACTCCATTGCAAGACACCATGATGACAGGATTCCCGCCCAGGCCAACCATCTTCTGGAACTTCCGCAGTTGCCACTCATCCTCTGGTGTGCAATACTGTGGTAGCATCCTCATGGGAAGAATCCAGCAGAGACTGCTGTGGCCACTTCCAATCCATGCGTTCCCAGCAAACAGTTCAGGAATGGGCACCTCACGGCTTACCTTCGCCACCGTGTAGTCAACCAAGATGTCTACCCAGTTATGCATCCCATCTCGTTCGGCCTTCGCGTATAACCTTGGATTATGAACGAGTGTGACCTGCGCAGCCTTCTCGACGTTGATGATAAATCTGTAGCGGGTGGGCAACCGCTGTCGTAAAGTAGGCATCGGCGCTCTATGTAATATTTGGCAAAGCAGTGAATGAATTGCTCTGGCTCATAAATGAATGACAACATACCATTGACGGTTCGGGGTTTAGATTGTGTGCACAATGTACATGACCTGGTTCTGTCTTAATTATGCTGCATGCTGCAAATCAGGGGATGTAAGCACGTGAACGAATTCACGCCAGGAGGATGGACTTACTAGAGAGGCTACGCAACGAAAGCAATGGCTTTCGAGAGGATCTCTTCGCTGTCACACTAGGCAATCAATGCGCTTATGTAATACCCCATATCTAGAGGTTCCCTCAGTCGGCAGTTGAAACTAGTCTGCTTTCTGACGCGGGGGGTTAGTTGAGAGGTCGGACAATTTAGACGGAGCTGGAAAGTACAGTAATGTTGGCTACAGTGGAAGCTCAAGTATTGTAGAGTCACGTTACTGCTTTCTCAGATGCGGAGGGGCAAATTGGTCATTCCAAGGATTTTCCCCACAGCCGGCGGGCCGGGGACCATCCAAGGATTTTGGCGCGAAGTGCCAAAATGGTACCAAGGAATTTCTCACCGACACGCGTGTCGGCGAGACTGTATCTCGCTCATTCTATTTCCGCAACTTCAATATCGGTCAACACACTATGAAAGATGCACCTCAAGTGTCATGTCAACCATATGCGGACTCGGCTAATAGCTCACACCTTCAACATTTGGGTGCGCCACCACAGGCGGCGAGGAAGCATTCTCGAGTGCGAACATTGTACGTACATGTACGCAGCCCTCAACCTCAGGCAAGCCCTTGTACAGGGGATGTAATTGGTAAGCACTCTTCTCTTCTAATATTGCAGCAAGATGGACGAGCGGGCAGCATAATGTGCATGCACTATGCTGCTCGGAGTTCACTTTGCTGTAATATTATTCCTCACCATCTGGTGTTGACCAGGGCCTTAGGTACGGACCGTCCCATCTTTCATTCTATTTCCATCCACTTGTCAGCATACCGCTGATGTCCTGTTGTTCACAGCATGTGCTCCTACTGACCATCCTCTCATTGTTGATGGGTGCACCACTGCCATGGCAGCGGGGGCATGCTGTTCCATTTTGGTCAACATGCGCTGCCTCAGCAGCCTCCGAGTCCTCCCCTGTCACTATCACTCTTGCTCCTGCCCCTTTGGTGCAGTTTGCTGGGCACTCTCATGCTTGCCCTGCCAGTGTTTTGTTATGAATTCTTCCCTTTCTGCTCTACTGGCTTGAGCAGCTTGTACTCCTATGTAACACTAGTTTGTAATATACTTTTTGGAGTCTAAATATGTAAACATGCAGAACAAATGAGAGGATCTTTTCGAAGAGCCTGTATGTCGGGAGGTCAGGTGAGATCGTTTTGGTCAGTCAATTTGGGGTTAGGGTTCAGATTGGTCAGATTGGTCTTGGACCAATCTTGGACCAATTTTGGTTGGTCCTTGGTATGGCGGTGTAGCCCGCGGAGGCGGCTAAGTGTCTCTGCTAAGTGTCTCTGGCACGAAGCTCTCCATGGCAGGGCCATCGAAGCCAGCAACGGTCTCGCCAGCTGTTTCTTTCGATAAAACCCAGATTGCACATCTTGAGGCCATATTAAAGCTCATCCAGCAGTGTCGATGGACCCTCAGTTCCTTCCTCCAGGCTGTCTTCACGGAACTCGCAGCCGGCGACAAGAATATATCGCAAGTTCATTTACAGATGGTGGCTCATTTTCTCTCAGATTGTTCCACCATTCAAGCTCAAGATATTGCCGAGCTGATGTACTCAAGCAAACACAGCGCTCTAACCGGATCACGTACGGCATCAATGCTTCCTGCAAACATCGTGGAGGGCTCCAAGCAGGCCAAGATGGCACGCAGTCATTTGCAAGAATGGGCTATCCAAAAAGTGGAGGCTGTAGTCAATTTGGAGGCCGAAGAAGTGTCTGGTAAAGGCAGTGGATTTCACCTGAAAAATTCGAATGCGACTTGGGACTTTGTCCTTAACTTTTCCCTGAAAAATATATTACTCCTTGTTGAAAAGAGGGGCTCAACCATCCTACACTTACTCGTAGCGTGCGCTATGCCTCCTGGAAGACGACCCGTATGACAACCACAACCAGTCACACTGGCTGCACATAGTGCAAGCACTGCGACTGCTGTCGTTCCCATGAATGCTGCCACAGCTGCTTCCACCGATGGTCGCGCATCTACCACCACCCCCGCAAGCACTACTAGCAGTGCAAGTGCCATGACGATCATGAATACTACTGCCATTGAGACAATCCCTCCTGCAACAACGGTGATACCAACCAGTGCGAGCATAGCTCAGCCTGCCACGTCCTATGCTGCGTATCTCACAAAGGATGCCCTGCACGGGATCGGTAAGAATCGCTGAGACCCTTTCGTGGTATGTACTGTGAAGACTCTCTGTGTGTTACTGGGCATTTAATATCTAAGCTCTCTAGATTGTCCTGGTCGCTCTCGTCCTCCTGATGAGTGCCCGAAATCTTCACTTTTCAGCTTTTCGGAAAGTTGTTGGTGTATGGCTCTTCACACACACCTCACAACATGGAGTATATGCTATTCTCACTCGCTTCAGCTTCACGGTCTCGTACACATCTGTCCTCAAGCTGTTGCACAGTCTCTCGCAGTCTGCCAAGAGCCTCATTCAGCAGAAGGCAAAGTCTCGTGCATTCTTGCTGATATATGACAACATCAACCAAATGTCACGAGCGTGGGATCTGGACTTAGGCCAGAAGGATACAATCCACAATGGCACGGCGGCAACATTCGTGGAACTAGATGACTGTGACGTGACCAAAGCTTTTGACGTCAACCGCCTTCACCATGCACAGCAAGCGGAGCGCAGGAAGGATCTCAACCTCGAGACGCTGTATAAGTGGGTCGACTGGGAAAGGTTGAATGCTACCATCACTACTCACATACTGAGCTTTCTAGTCGAAGCGGTGCCGGCATTGGCGGTACATCACGAGATGGTCCAGTTGCAGCTGAAAACAACACTGATGGTTCATCGTATGCGCACGGGACGTCAGACAGGAGTCCACCCACTCACGACATCCAATCACAATGAGGGGAACACTGCTGAGAATGCAAAGGTATTAGAGGATCTTCTGATGGACCAACTCCAGATGTCCAAAGAGGAAGTAGAGAAGGGGCTAATTCTTGTTGGCAGTGATCAGTCTACTGTCAAGAAGTTGCGCACGTTGAAGAAATATGTTGCAACTTGCCTGCATGGTTACTCCCGACATGGCTGGGTTCTGCCCCTCATCCAGCTTTGGCACATGGGTTGGGCGGACCTGGAACACATTTTGAGTACGCACTGGGGGACCTCAACTGCGGATGATCTCTCATCATTCCGCGCGGCAAATGTCTTGTTGGGGCGCAAGGTGAAGGACCAAAAACGGCCTGATTACTATCCGACACAGCACCTGGTTTTCGACATGCTGAAAGCAGAAATACTGGACTGTTGGAGGTACACCGGGCAGCATACATCCAAGAAAGTGGCTGACAGACAATTTCAGAATCCATCTCAAGGCTGAGAACCTCAAGGAGTATTTTTGTTCACATTCCGTGGTGTACGAGCAGTTGCTCAAGTTGGCGGTTGAGATCTGTGATCATTATTTGACTGCAGATGCGTACGACCGTGCGCTCAACCCTGTGGGAGGTCAGCCTCAAGCATTTTTTGGAAATGGTACGCCATGGACAAGAGATGTGGCGGAAGGTACAGAGATAGGTGCCGAGCCATTTCCCGGTGACCAAGTCTTGGCAAACACTATTCTGCATATGCGGGATAGCATTATCCACTATGAGTTCCAATGTGCAATCGCAGATGGGGATATTGGACGGGCAATGAATGTGATGGCCGTGAGTGGCAGTCTTTATCGGGCGCCTTGCATTCTTGTTGATCGTCATGAAGATCTGGACCTTCACCTTTGCAGGATCCGGTCGAAGTAAATATGCTAATGAGCTACTTGAATTCACTTGCCAATTTGAATTTGAATACTCAGAAGAACTGAAGACCGCAATCAAAAACAACTGGCTGTGCAATCTGTCTGGTATTGAGGGGTGTTGGTTCCCTATGGACCTCTTACAGGAGAAAAATATTAAACAGCTGAAGAAAATGTCACAGCGCAAGGATAATCCTTTCGGGGGAGAATTTTTCAAGAACATCGTCGCTATGAACATCCGTGCTTTCCTTCAGGCTATCGTGTCAATGCGAGACACTGTCCGGCTACTACGCAAGGGGAGTTCCCACTGACGGTCAGCCAAGCAAGCGAGCATGAATGAGCTCATGTGCAATATGATAGAACAAGAACTTCACTGCTTTCGTGCAGGCCGCATGGCTGCACACCCGGCGAAGGATGATTTTGCGATGGGCTATGAGCGCTTGGCAGATGGGAAGCGAATAAAGGACTTTATCACAAGAACAGTGCGGGACGCAGGAGCCATTCATGGAGACGAGGAGCTCACCACAGATCAGACTGTTGAAGGCGTTGGCCCAGATGTCATGCATGATGCGTCGGACGCACCGCTTCCGAATATTCTCTTCAATGGACAGTTGCTCGAGGGCAGTTCAGACAGCGCAGATGAAGATGGCATTCTGTCAGTATTAGATGACAGTGATGTGAGCACATCAGACTCCGAGTCAGAGGGGGGGGAGTGACGACTGCAAGGAGCTGTGAGTATTTTATTAGGCACTCGTACGTTTACGGGTGCATAGCTGACAGCCGAGTAGAACATCGCAGAAAAGCGGCTGAAGACGGGGCTGAATTCTCCTTTTGACAGGCTGTTGTTGTAGTACTTTTGCTTGTGCTCTATCATCGACTATGTCAACCTCTGCAAATGGACATCCAGAATGCCAGATGCGACGGGTACTCACCATTGCCTTGGTTCCAATTCGAGATCTTTTCTTCTCCGGTGCGTCTGTGCTTTCAGATGTCGAGGCGCGACGTTTTCCGAGTGAAGAAGCTCCTCCTGAGATATTATAGAACTGTGCCGATGGCACAGGTGCAAGGAGCCCAGTGCGCACTGGAGGCTGAGGTCCTGGCCATGGCGGAGTGCTCGATTCCACGGCTTGAGGTGCCACCATGGAGCACACACTTGGTATTTTGACTTTCAGCATGACCTGTTTGATGCTGTTCAGTCCCACAGCTGCCAGTTCTGCTCAAACTTCCTCCTCGCGCTTCTTCTGTCTGTTAGCTCGCTGTTTTCCCAACATTTCCTCGTGGCGCACCCTGAGGAGCTCACACATCTCATCAGCAATCTTCTTCACAGCATCCCACAGTGCAGCCCCAGAGTCCTCCCAATACTGCCACCCGCTCAAGCGCGATGCAAGAACTGATCTAGAGTCCACGAGATGGAAATCACGTGTAATCTTCTTCACGTACATCTCATCAAGGAAGCATTGTGGGCTGATGAACAGCCTATCTAGCTTTGAGGAGCCGCTCCTGCGAAGGTCGCAAGCAGCTGCGCAGAGCCTCACCGCAACGTGATTGATATCCTTTGTGTTAAGCTTCATGTATGCAGGAACTTTGGGCACATCGGGATCACCCTGAATTTCTGGTGAGTTCTCAGATGCTTCCTCTCCATTGTTCTCGCTCGGTAGAACTCGGGGTGTGGGAACTGGGCGAGGAAGACAGGAGCTGCATCGCCCGCAGTCTCGAGACACGCCAGGGTTTCCATAAATGAAGTTGATTTGTCATGTGATGCAGTACCCTCGAGCGTGCGTGGCAACAATCAGAAGCCGCACGGTGCAGATTCGTTTACCAGGGCCGGGAATACTTTTGCGTGAGCTCACCGCTGTCTTCATGATATGCAGCTCCTTCGGAAGAGAGTTTGTCTTCGTAGCGGTGACTACACTGGCAGTAGTCTGTACAGTGGTTGCATTGTCACTCAATCCTGACCACCTGACAGTGAGTACAAACTATTAGCGCAGCTCGTATGAATTCCTCCGAGTGAGTGATTTGGGGAAGAGATATTATTAGTGGGACCTGCAAGAGGTCCCTCTTTATATACTACACCAGTAGACTAGTCCAGAACATACTACATAGTTCTCGTAGCTACTGTATCCTTCGATGCTGAATAAGATATCGGGGAATATCGCCCGACTACCTGGATGCTCCGGATTGACTAATAAGGTCATCCTGAAGCCTCCAACACTCCCCCTCAAGCTGGAAGCATCCCAAGTTCCAATGTGAACTTTTGGTGCTTAGGCTTGGGTAGGGCCTTAGTAAATACATCTGCTACCATCTCATCTGTAGGACAGTAGCACAATTGAATAATGCCATTTTCCACCTTTTCACGCACGAAATGATTCTGCACGTCAAAGTGCTTCGACCGCGCATGATACTGCGGGTCACGTGCTATCGCGATCGCTGCCTGGTTATCACAATAAATTTCTGTGGGTTCTTCTTGTGCAAACCCGAGTTCTGCCAGTAAGTTTCGCAGCCATATTGCTTGATGTGTCGCGTGCGCGAGTGCTGTATACTCAGCTTCTGTCGAAGATGTTGCCATCGTTGTTTGTTTCTTCGAACTCCATGCTACGGCTCCACCTCCCAAGTAAAAGACATGACCCGAGACTGATTTTCGGTCATGGTCTGACGCATAATCCGCGTCCGTATATCCTCCTATTATATTTCCGTTCAGCGCGTCCGAATTGCGTCGCGTGTACATGACACACGAGTCACGTGTTCCTGCGAGGTACCGTAGAACGCGTTTTGCCACTGTCCAATGGACAGATCATGGGCACGCTGTATATTTGCTCAGCGTCTGCACAGCGTAGGAAATATCTGGCCTTGTTCCCACTGCTGCATACATCAGCGATCCCACCATCGACGCGTAACCTCCCGCCAAATGGTCGTCCACCTCCTCGTTCTCGTCCTCTGCTGTGAACGCCACATTCAGATCGAGCGGCATCCCTACAGCATTGGCGTTCTCAAGCTGGTATCGCTTGAGAATGCTCTTGATGTAGTGCTGTTGCGAGATTTGGATTTTTCCCACTTCCCTATCTCGCTCGATTTCAATCCCAATGATTTTCTGCGGCTCGCCAAGGTCCATGACTTCGAAGAGGTCCTGCAGGTCGTGCTTGAGCTCCTCCATGAGCTTCGGAGAGTTGGTGAATAACAGTAAGTCATCCACCCATACTGTAATAATCTGAACTTCTCCTTTTTGCTCCCGCAGGTATACACACGGATCCGCCTCCAGTCGCTTATACCCGAGCTCCGTCAGCTCGCGGTGCAGCTTGCGGTTTCATTCACGCCCAGACTGCTTTAGTCCATAGAGCATCTTGTGGAGTCGACAAACACGTCCACTTTCGTCATTGAAGCCTTCCGGCTGTCGCATGTAGATCTCCTCCTGGAGGTCTCCATTCAGGTAAGCTCCCTTAACATCTATCTGGCCAATTTCCCAGTTATTGACTGCTGCTAATGCTAGGATGGCCCTGATGGACTCAAGATGAACTACAGGGGCAAAGGTTTCAAGGAAATCCATCCCTGGGATCTGTGAGTACCCCTGTGCCACTAATCTGGCTTTGTACTTGACAACCTGACCCTCCTTGTTAGTTTTCTTCTGGAAGACCCACTTGCAGCCCACAGCATTTCGATCTTTTGGTAAGTCTTGTAGCTCCCAAGTCCTCATGCCCTGCAGCTGATCATATTCCGCTTTTACAGCTTTTTCCCATTCTGGCCATTTCGGAGAGGCTTGGGCCTCCACGAGGCTTCACGGCTCATCTCCCGCACTCGCCGTTCTGTCACCTGATGCCAGTGCTGTTGCATACAGCACCTGTGCAATCTCTTCAAATTCTTTGGGCGTCATGGCAACTTTCGCACTCTCACCAGGTGCATTCTCTTTTGGCACTCCCGGCAGCTCGCGCGACTTCACGAGCTGCGCGCGGGGGTTATCCATCCTTCGATAGTTGTGGTCCTGCATAGCGTGGGTCGTACGATGAAGAGGGATCTTCGGGGGTGCAGGCAAGAATGTTGGTCGCTCTTGCATGCTCTCCTGTATCTCGGGAGGTAAGTCTTCCTCTGTAATGTAGTTTCCATCGTGTTTCTTGTTAGACTGATCAGCTTTGACAGGTACTGATGCTGGTTTTGATGCAGATGTGGGAGGCTGCTGCTTGACAGCTCCCCCTGACTCCCCCTCGAGCGGCAGCCTGTCACTGTCATCAAGCTGATGTACAGGAACATTGCTTGCTGAGTTTGGGGCATCCGCGAATACAAAATTTTGCGAGACTCGGATCGAGCACGCACCCACATCGTAGTAGCGCACGGCCTTTGGGCCATCAGCAAAACCTACAAAGGTGTGTTTCTTCGACTTTGGCTCAAGTTTCGAGAGATTCTGGCCTTCCATCAGAATCCAGACATCTAACCCAAATTCTCGTAGGTGCGCGACATTGGGCTTCTTGCCCGTCCACGCCTCTTCCGGAGTTTTCCCGTGCAGTGCTTTTGTCAGCGCTCAATTTCGCAGGTATGCTGCATATGCAACAGCTTCCGCCCAGAGGAAGTTTGGAAGCTTCCTCACAATCAACATTGCACGAGCAAGCTCCAATAGCGTGCAATTAAATCGCTCAGCTACACCATTCTGCGAAGGTGAGTATGGTGCTGTTGTTTGCAGCTCAATTCCCTTCTCACGGCACCATCCCTTCAGGTCCTTATTAATGTATTCGGACCCATTATCGACGCGCAATATCTTCGGCAGGTGCCCGAAGTGTCGTTCAATAAAGGTGAGGTATCCTTTGACTTTCTTGAAAGCCTCACTCTTATGCTTCATAAACAGTACTTGGCACCTCCGTGTGCAGTCGTCCGTGAACGATATGTAGTATCGCGATCCGGCAATCGACGCTATACGTGCAGGGCCCCAGATGTCACTGTGCGTCAGCTCACCTGGCATCTGAGTTCGGTCCTCTGCCTCCTTCGGATATGCATGGTGTTTGGCTTGAATGCAGGCTTCGCACTGTGTCAGTGGCATCGAGTTTTCATCAACGGTGAGTCCCTCCACCAAGTTTTCCTTGTAGAGCTTCTCTAATCCTGCGAATCCCAGGTGTCCATATCTCCGGTGCCACGACTCCCACGAGTCGCTATCGTCGCGCGCAATGTTCGCGCGCTCTTCACTCGGCATAGCAGCCTTGGCCCGCATGTTGAGCAAGTACAATCGGCCGACTTTTCGGCCTTGCGCAATGATGTGGCCGCTGCTTTCTCGCAGCATTATTCCTCCGGCACCGCCATCAAAGTGTCCGCCCGCTTCATCCAGGCGGCTCAGTGACACCAAATTATTTGTCGCTTTCGGTGCGTACAGGACATCTTTCAAGCGAAAAGTACATGTGTTGCCTCTGATCCTGCTATTGACTTCCACAGTGCCACGCCCGAGAGCGCGCACACTCTGGTCTCCGATCCCGGCAATCGACGAGGCCTCAAGCAGCACATAGTCTGTCATCGCATCACGAAGGTTCGTAACATGTGATGTCATTCCAGAGTCAGCTAGCCAGTCATAACGCGAGAACTGACTACTAAATTGTTGCCCGGCACAGGTCGCCTCGTCTGTGCGGAACGGGACATCTCGCAGCACATTGTTCGTTGACTGTGCCTGGTTCGTGCGCGCCTGCGCACGGCCGCCTTTCTTGCTTCGCGGTCCCTGACCTGCCATGCCGCCGCCTTTCGACCAACACTCATGTTGAGTGTGTCCACGCTTATGGCAATTCCAGCACTCCGTGTCGGACTTCCTGTCCATTCCGCCCTGTGTGGTATTCTTCGGCTGGGTCCACCACCCACGTGCTGCCAGTGCAGACTCGTCAACACTGCCTTTCTCTCGCCGGCACCAGTATTCTTCGAGCAAGATGGCTATCAATTCATGCGATGTCGGCAACTTGTCCTTCTGGCTTGTTGCACCCAGGTACGCAGATGTGAACTGGTCCCAAGACTCCGGTAACGATGTGATCAGGATCGTTCGAAATTCGTCATCCGACACCTTGCTACCCATCATGTGTAGCTGCTCCTGTGTCCGGCGGAGCTCCGTGATATGCGCTGCAATATTGCTGCCTTCCGTGGCAACTGTGCGATAGAATTTCCTTCGGTACGCCATTATCCCCAGTTGTCCACTCGCCTCCTTTACTAACTTCAATTGGTTCCACATCTCCGCAGCCATTGTAGCGTCCGCAATGTGTATCATCTGCGAGTCGCTCAACAGCAGCTCGATAACGGTCTGGGCCTTTTGATCGCCCTCAACCCATTTCGTGATCGCCGCCGTTTCTCCTGCCGTTGGTGTTGTTGCATTTGCTGGCTTCAGCTTCTCCGATGTTCCATCGACATATTTCAAGACACCATGCTCCCTCAAGATCGCCATAGTATGGCGCTTCCATGGGAGCCAGTTGTCATCGCGAAGTTGCTCAATTCGGAACAAGGACGACAGGCTGTCACGAGATTCGGTAGTACTCGACATTGTAACTACCGATAGTCAGAGTGTGTAACAAGTAAGTAGAAGCTGGTAAAGTATAAGCTATAAGCTAGCGGGGCTCATAACCTATTAGCGCAGCTCGTATGAATTCCTCCGAGTGAGTGATTTGGGGAAGAGATATTATTAGTGGGACCTGCAAGAGGTCCCTCCTTATATACTACCCCAGTAGACTAGTCCAGAACATACTACATAGTTCTCGTAGCTACTGTATCCTTCGATGCTGAATAAGATATCGGGGAATATCGCCCGACTACCTGGATGCTCCGGATTGACTAATAAGGTCATCCCGAAGCCTCCAACACAAACGTCCAGCCTAGGTAGTCAAGGCACAGACCTTCTCCATCATCATTCCCATTTTCCGACGGACCAGGCATCGCAAGATCATCAGTACAGAAGGCATCACCTTCACTCCTTCTCTCCGCAGCACCAGCTTCTACGTCTGAGGCTGTACGATCGTCTTCTCCAATATGGGCATTGCTATCGCGTGCTGTTAACAGTCGTTCATCTACGGGTTCTGACTGCACATAGGTAATGGCGGCATCGATGTCGGATTTCTTCACATAGAAGATCGCCTCTCCGTGAGTGTTTGGTTCTCGTGCAGGCCGGCCGCCCTCTTGAATCCACGATGATGCACTCTTGCTTCCTCCATAGCTAATGACACGCCGAAGACCCGGGATGTTCACACCCACTTCGAGAACAGCAGTTGCCACAAATATAGCACTTCGCTGTTCATCTTCTCTCTCATACAAGGCTGCAAAACCCTCGCGCTTGCATTCCGGGCAGTTGATGGAGTGCATATGGCGGATAAGGATGTGGCCCAGGCTCTTCAATGGCAGAGGAAGGAGACTCCGAAAGGTAGTGTGCAACACGATGGCCGAGTTCAATGGTGTCGCAGTACAGTACCAATTTTTCAACATCGGAGGCTTTCGTCATGGTTTCAGGGATGAGCCAATCTAGATCTCGAAATTCGTGGCCGGTAGAGGGATACTGCATTGTTCGGAAGATGAAATCAACATTGTGGCGCTCACAATCACGTCTGTCGAAGAGATAATGGTCTTTGCGGAAACCGAGACAATGCAGTATATTCATCGTCTGGGGCCCTGGTTCGACACTGGCAGACAAGGCAACAAATACGAGGTGCGATGGACATGACCAAATGTCCGAGTATGCTGTTCGGAAGTCGGCACCCCATTCATCCACTATATGTGCCTCGTCGGTCACCAGTACCCTCCACTGTGCACGAAATTGGTGATTCTGGATGAGCCTGCTAAATTCAGCTGTCCTCAGAGTCTCCGGCGAGAATGTAAGGATCTGCCAGCGGCACTCGCGCGCCTCCTTCCACAGGTCTCGTCCGGCTTTGCGAGCTTCGGCTAGACTCTCCGCATTGATAACTGTTGCTTGCAGTCCTTTCGCAAGAAGACTGGAAACCTGTAAAAGTAATCAACTACATGTTTGACTTCAAAGTGGGCTGCACTTGTACCAAATCACTCTCCAGAAAATTTGTTGGCTGAATCACCACAACAATAATGTCTCGTTGCGCCAATGCTGGTATGTAGATGAGTGCTGACTTTCCATCGCCAGTAGCCGTGATACAAAAGACGTCGCGACCATTAAGGATGCAGGCTGAGTCGTACAATTGAAAATTGCGTGGTTCATATTTTAGTAACGGTGAGACGAGCTTCTTCAATTTATCAAGACCTTCCTCGGGGGTCCAGTCATAAGGTATCCCATTGGACCGGTCCAATGGGAGCGAAACAGCAGACATTCAGACTTAGATGTCAGAGAAATAAATAATACATGATGAGACGAGGTCGCTAGTCGAGAGTGGACAGCAGGGACGCGCTCTAACGATCGCGAGACGCGTGTAAACAAGACGCGTTCGATAAGTTATGATCTGTTTGTACGTGCACATGACGTGCCGGCTCGGCAATGTTCCGCGCGGCCGACCTCTTAGAAACACCCCCCTTAAGGAAAGCAGACGTCAGATACGGATATCCTGAGACACGAAGGTTGAAGCAGAGTAGCTACACTGCCTTTGGGAGACTAGTTGAAACAGGCTCTGTATACACGCCTAGGCTACTTGGTGAGAGGGTAACTTACTCGATACTGAATATTTTCAGATTGGTTCGCGAGCACCCAGCGCAAGCCACGATTCTACTTGTATTGTTTATTGTCTTTTGAAAGCTCCAGAGATGTGCTCAACAAGCGTACCGTTCGATGGAGTCGGGAAATACGTGCCACCTGCACTCACTAACTATAGCTCAGCTCCGTAGTCACCTTCGGCTCTAGTACATCACAGAAGAAAACCTGGTATGAAATCACCAGAGGTCGAAAGGAGAAGGTGAGATACCATAAATGGAAGGTATTCTGCCGCTGCTAACATCAAGACAATTCCGCGACAGTTTCACCATTCGGGTGATTTTTTTCAGTGGTGATTACGTATATGGTTCGCATTATATTACATTGCAGATTATCGTGGAGAGCAGACGGGAGGCAAGCATGCATGTACGTTATTCAGATTTCTCATCGTCAGTCTTCTGCGTACACAATTGTCAGTGACTGAACATAAGAGAACATAAACACACTCGCACCTCTGTCTTCCCAGTAACAAGCGGCTTAGGCATGTCCTCCAGTGACAAGCTTTGGACATCGGGCATTTCGGGACCATAGGACATCAACAACTTTTCCACTGTCACCTCTCCCGACCTACAGCGCCGTATGAAAGACAAGAGAGACCACTCAATGAGAAATTCCGGCGTCTCCATAGTCTTGTAGCGCGCAGGTTCTGGTCCGTCGCAAGACGCCATGATGAGGGGATTCCCGCCCAGCCCAACCATCTTCTGGAATTTCCGCAGTTGCCGCTCGTCCTTTGGGGTGCGGTACTGTGGTAGCATCCTCCTTGGAAGCGCCCAGCAAAGACTGCTGCGGCCACTTCCGATCCACGCCTCCCCCATAAGCAGATCGAGAATGGGCACCTCACGGTTTACCTTCCCCACTGTGTAGTCAACCAGGGTGCCCACGCATTTGTCTATCCCGTCTAGTTCGGCCTTCGCGCGTAGGACAGGATTGTGAACGAGCGCGACCTGGACGGCCTTTTCGATGTTGATGATAAAACCGTAGTATGTGGGCCACCGCTGTCCTGAGCTAGGCATGGTAGTCCTGTGGAATATTTGGCAAAGCAGTGAATGAATAGCTCTGACTTGTGAGTGAACGACAGTTGTACATACTTTCAGTTGGGGTTTGACCGTTTGGGTTATGTTGTACGTATACCGCCTGGTTTCATTCGCACTAGTGATGCATGCTGCAAATCAGGTCATGTGAGCCATGTCGTTGCTCTCATTAATGGCTGTCGTAAACTACTAGGCGGCAGCAAAGAGAGATGAAGTACCGACTCGCACACAAAAAACTCAAGAGCTGAGGCCTGAGGCCTGAGGGACTACGCGTACGGGCACTGTCAAATATTCACATAATGTGACCGTTCACCAGGGACCCCCGTCACCTCTACCCATCGGGGGAAGAACTCCCCGATGGCCAACCCTCCTCCGTCCCTATAGACCTGGAATAATCTACTGTTCGCGACAAGTCTTATCATTTCACCATTTTGCGAAGGCGAAAGCGGAGCCGAAGTCGAAAACGGTGGAATCAGCGGAAGAAAAGGAAGATGACGACGTGGTCGACGTGTCCAGCGATGTCGATGAGGCCCGATTGTCACTTTACAGTGACGCATGCCAAAGAAGATGTCGCGGAAACGGGTCAAAGCCGTTGACGCGAGCGCGAATTCCTCTCCGCAAGAGACTGTCGAAGAAACGGCGACGGCGGACCCATCAAGAAGATGATGGAGACGCCAGTATATGCCCACGGGGGAATGAATGGTGCAAATGTTGTGTTGGTCCGCATACGATATCTGCACGTCAGCGATAAACTTCACCGTCTGAGGAAGAAGAGGTCTAAGTAGAAGCTCCGTGTGGTGCAAGGATAGCAAGAGATGTCATGACAGTGAGCGCTCGGCGTCGGATACTCCTTATAACACAACAAGAAGGATCAAGATTGTCGATTCCGGGACAGTTTCGCCATCCAGATTTCAGTGGTGATGCATACTGTTAATGTTACAGCGCGGTGCAGACTACCGTGCAGAGGAGACGGGAGGCAAATGTGAACATTATTGCGATTCCTCATCAAGAACCTTCTGCGTAAATGATTTTGTCAGTGACAGAACATAGACTAGTACCTCCGTCTTCCCAGTAGCAAATAGCTTATGCGTGTCCTCCAGCGACAAGCTCTGGACTTCGGGCATTTCGGGGCCATAGTAGGACGCCAACAACTTATCCACTGTCAACTCTCCCGACATAGAGCGCTCCGTGAAAGAGGGAAGAGACCACTCAATAAGAAATTCCGGCGTCTCCATAGTCTTGTACCGCGCAGGTTCAAGTGAGTCGCAAGACGCCATAATGACAGGATTGCCACCCAGCCCAACCATCTTCTGGAACTTCCGCAGTTGCCGTTCGTCCTCTGGGGTGCGGTACTGGGGTAGCATCCTCATGGGAAGAACCCAGCAGAGACTGCTGCGGCCACTTCCGATCCATGCGTTCCCAGCAAGCAGTTCGGGAATGGGCACCTCACGGTTTACCTTCGCGACCGTGTAGTCAACCAGGGAGCTCACCCATTTGTGCAATGATCCCATCTCGTTCGGCCTTCGCGCGTAACCTTGGATTGTGAACGAGCGCGACCTGCGCGGCCTTCTCGACGTTGATGATAAAACCGTAGCGGCTGTGCCGCCGTTGTCGTGAACTAGGCATGACCTTATATATGTAACACTTGGCAAAGCAGTGAATGAACAGCTGTGACTTATGAGTGCTAGTGAACGACGACATACCTTTAGTTGGTGGTTTGGAAATAGTCAGGGCGTGTACGTGTACTACGGCCTGGTTCCGTTCGCGCTTGCATACTGCAGACCAGGTCGGCAAATTGATGCAAACCGACCCTCTAACTTATCATGACATTCGCGATGCTGGGGGAAGAAGAATGTTCCTGAAAAGTTACGACGTCGCTTTCTGCCGCTACCTAGTACCAGCGCGAGCAGACTCATCGCCGAAGTCTGTCTGTCAACACCACAAACGAGCGAGCGAAGTGGTATACTCAGCACAAGCTGAAAGTGGCATTATCCACGAGTAGAAAACATAACACAAGACAACCGGACTCAACCTAGTCGTACAAGGTGGGATACGCAGAATCCGTGAACGTAAACAGGGCATGGAGCGTGGAGGGGCATTAGGTAGATGAAATCGCAGCAGGTACATCGGCGGCGAGCACCGCGAGAAGAAGGAATAGCGTACGAGGAACAGAGGACATCACCAGCACACCCCCTACACGTTCGCGATGCTGTTCATCAGCGCTACGCGGCCGACCGAGCCCTCCTCGCCGGTCGCCTCCTGGAGATGCGCCGACGACAAGCCAGAGCCCTGCGCGAGCTGGCCAGCGACGTCGCTCTGCAACTGCATCGGCACAAACACGACCTTGCTATTCGCCGTCTTCGCCATCGTCTGCAGCGCCTCGAGCTGGCGGATCTGCATCGCAGCCGGGCTCGCGAGGATGTCCGCGGCCTGGCGCATGAGGCGCGCCGCGTCGACCTCTGCGCGCGCGGCGATGACCTTGCTCTCTCCGATGCGCTTCTGCTGCGCCGCGGACGAGAGCGACGCGGAGATCTCGGCGGAGAAGATGATGTCCTTGATGAGGATGCCCTCGATGGCCACGCCCCACTTGTCCGCGACGTCCCCCACGATCTCGGCGATCTCATACGCGATCGCCTCGCGCTCTGCGATGACACTCTGCACCGCCCGCGCGCCCACGACGTGCCGCAGCGTCGTCTGCGCCCGCTCTATGAGCGCCTGGCGCAGGTCGGTGATGTTGAACGCCGCACGGTAGGGGTTCGTGATCTGGAAGTAGATGACAGAGTCGCTGTGTGGGGGTCAGCTCGGTTGCGCATGGACAGGGGTTGGGCAGACGTACATCTCGACGTCGACGTTGTCGCGCGTGATGACCTTCTGCCTACCAATGGCGCTGATTTGAATTTTGACGTCGACGATGCGTAGAGACTCGGTGCAGACATTCACTTGCACGAGCCCTGGGTCGACGCTCTTGTAGAATTTACCGAAGCGTGCGACGAGCCCAACCGAACCTGGCGCGAGACACAGGTTGCATGAGCATAATAATGCAAGGACAGAGAGCAGGTCTCATACCTTGTTGGACGTTGTGGAACGGGTTGGGAACCGGGCAGCACGGGATGGCACCGCAGAACCCGATGCACGAGCCCAACACTTGCAGCAAGGAGCCGTAGACACCATGTGTAACCTCTCCAGTTCCCAAATCCTGCGCATACGATGGCTGTTGGAGTGTCAGAAGTGTTCGAGACAAGACAAGATTGGAAGAAAGAGCATACCTGCATCTCGGCGCGTTTGAGCGGCTGAACCTTGATAACATGGGCGTCCGCTGACTGCGGCCTCCGCGCCACCGCGGGAGGCTCGTCCGTCACTAATGCACGCAACGTTCAGCGTGACGAACAGTAGGCGGGCGGCAGGGTGTGCTCACCATTAGGGGCATTGTGGTCGACGACGTTGCGGGAGCCGGACGAGCCCTCGCTAGGCGGACGAAATTTGGAGTCAGACATAATATCGACGTTGACGAAAACCAGCTGGGGGGCGAGGAAGACGAGGAGGACGAGGAGGGTGTTTTAAGAGGGGCAGTGTGGGTGCGCAGTCGAAGGAAGAGGACAGCTTCGAGGCTCGCACTCGTGCTCTATACTGGACCTTATGCGGTGTGAATGCGATGCCTTCACTCCGCAGCAGCAGCTGCTCAAAGGTTTGATCCCGCTCCAGCGCCACCCACGAGGCTATCATGCGGGCCGCACCTCTCTTGTTTCCCATCCCATACGAACAGCTATTCCTGTCTTTCGCCCAGGGCTCACAGAATTGTATACTGACAAGTCTATACATGATTTTCCTCTGAAAGGATGCACCGACTGTTGACCGACCGCACGCAAATCTAGACTCGATCTCAATCGCATTTGGTTCCGCTTCCTAAGTGCTCGGTAGCTGAGCTACGGAGTGGAGCACGGCTCACTAAGATAGTGTTCGCCGTGCAATGTAGAGTGCTAGTCTTGCGGGTTGGGGAGAGGTGGATTCCGGCGGCGGCTCAAGCTCGGAACAGGCTGCAATAGGCGCCTCACAGGACTGCGACGGCCCGAGAAGTCAGCGGGCGACCGGCAGCGGAGGGGCGAAATGCGAGGGGAGCCTGAGCGGAGAGAATCGCGGAATCCAACTCGAGCGTGAAGCGGCGGAAAGTCGTTGAGAACACGGCTAACCACCGCTAGGACGCTTGAATCAACAAGGGGAGGTGGGTGGGATGAAAACGAGTGAGAGGCTGTAGATGCAGGAGGAACAGACTGGCGCTTACGGCGCCTATTCCTCCGCCTTCAGCCTCTCGCTTAGTAAGCACTAGTTTGACTTAGCGCTCGCGAGCTCGCTGCTAAGCCAAACTCCACGCTTCCTAAGTGCTCGGTAGCTGAGCTACGGAGTGGAGCACGGCTCACTAAGATAGTGTTCGCCGTGCAATGTAGAGTGCTAGTCTTGCGGGTTGGGGAGAGGTGGATTCCGGCGGCGGCTCAAGCTCGGAACAGGCTGCAATAGGCGCCTCACAGGACTGCGACGGCCCGAGAAGTCAGCGGGCGACCGGCAGCGGAGGGGCGAAATGCGAGGGGAGCCTGAGCGGAGAGAATCGCGGAATCCAACTCGAGCGTGAAGCGGCGGAAAGTCGTTGAGAACACGGCTAACCACCCAAGGAGCGCAGCCCACAACAGTCGTGGCTCAACGTGAGCCCGCCGACTTCCCCAACCCAGGGCTAGCGTTCCGCAGCAAGGAGCGGGAGAACAAAGTGACATGCATTACAACATAGACAGTGCGACAGCAGTGGAAAGTATTACAACGAAAACAAACATACAGTTGCAAGTATAGTAGACTACAGAGAATACTTCTTCTTGAAAGAGTCCATGGCAGTGGAAGCCAGTTGCAAACGAGAGGAAGTGAATGACTGTGAGATGAAAAGAGGTAATATAGACTCAATTTTCCGCCAATACTCGAGAAAAGCGCGTGATTTCCAGCTACCCTGCGTAGCGACCACATCCGGATGGGTACCGCGAAGCAGAAGCTCGGTCCGATGCGGAAGCAGTGGCCTGTGAGGTGCTCGAAGCCGGCCGCTGCCCAGGCCGCATTGGCGCGATTGAGGAACCAGTCGCGGGTCATTGGCGCCCAACCCGCCGTGTCGCTCGTTTCGAATGCGAAGAAGGGAGCATGCGCGGGCACGCGGCCGTTCGCCCGTAGGTGATGGCGCAAGGTGACGACGGCGGAGCTAGGGTCGCCGAATTCGGTGGCAATGATATCGGCACCGAGTTGCTTAGTTGTCTTGGTCCAGGGCACATGGAAGACAGCATACTGCGTACCTCCCGATAGCGTGCGATAGGCAACGGGCGCCGCGCGCGCGACGTGCTTGACTGGGTCGAACGCACCCGCGGAAGGGATGACTAGCTCACCAAGCCTGCAAAGAAGTTAGCAGAAGGAAAGAGGGGAGGCCAAATGGCACGCGCGCACCGACGACAGCACCAAAAAGCAATGCATGCCACCGCATACACAGCGGCATCGAAGGAGTCGGATAGGTCAAGATTGGCGCGCAACGCATACAGGTGCTCTACGGTGACCGGCGCGCGCTTCTCCTTCGAAACCGGAGCAGTCTTCGAAATGGCCGAGCAGGTCACTTTGAGCATCTTCGCACCTTGCCACGGGGCACCGTGCAACGCATGCCAGAAAGATAGACCTGCCATCCAGGTATCCACGGTTGAACGCGCGACGCTCCCACTCCACTGCGCAACGAACGCAGCTAAAAGCGGCTCCGCCGCGGGCATGCGGAGGTCTTCCGAGATCGCAAGACAGTCGCAGAATTGCGTGAATCGTAGCAGCCCGGCGCCGTAGTTCTTCCGAGTACTGGGATCAAGAGAGGATAGCATGACATTAAAGAGCTGTACTGAAGCTGCAGATGAAGTCTGCGCGGAGAGAGAAGCACGAAAACGAACAGCATGAGGCGTGGTCCAGAGCGCAAGACGATCTCGCGCTAGGACATGAGGACGAAAAAGAGAAGGAATTACTTTGTTTTCAGAACGAGGCTGCCTAGGTTTTCGTCGAGCCAGTGTTCGCGACGAAGGGCCAACATGTGCTGCTCCAGCCTGAACAGTGTTTGGCCTCTCACACTGGGACGACGCGCTCGCACGTGCGGGCGCAGAAGGTGACGAGGTTGTATTAGACATTAACGAGGAAGGACACGAGCTCCTCCGGGAGCTGGAAAGGAGGTTGTCGGTGGGACATCGAGGGGGTCGGGTCGCCGCGAGAGACCGGATCCGCCAAGTTGTCCTTGGTATTTACGTAGCGTACGATAAAGAGAATGTTCAATGACATGGCGATGACCTCCGCACGACGGATGGAAGAGTTGACTTGGAAATTGTGGCTGCGACCACGAGCGAATGCGCCCTCAACACCTTTGTTGTCACCACGTACCAGGATGGTAGCGTCGTGGTAGCCAAGCGCGTCCACTGTGCGGATGGCGAGCTCGACCGCCACCATCTCGGCCCAGCCGATATCGCGCCCTTGGCCCTTCCAAGTATTGATCGGACCCTGCCAGTGCCATGCGCTCCATTCGCCACAGACTATGATCCCGATGCCCCAGGAAGAGGACGCATCAACCCAGATGCCCAGGTCCTGCAGCGGACCACGCGATGCGAGAGAGCGGGCAATGCTGGGCACGTTCAGGACAGAGAACCACCACTTCATGTCGGAGAGGACCGAGTGTGGCGCGAACCGCGGCGCATAAGGGTTGGAGAAGGACGCGATAAAGCTGCAAAGATTGGTGAGGAATGCACGACCGTGCGGGTATACGAACGTGATGTGCGAGAGCGTGCCATTTATGGACATAGCATCTCGCTGGGACACACGTCCCCGTTCAGCGGTGGCGATGAATGCTGTGAGCTTCGCTAGATACTTCGAATGCTTCTCGTCAGGTAGGGCGACCGACCGCTGGTCCAGGTCCCAAAGGAAACCGCTGTAAACTGCACGTGAAGCGTAGTCTGAGTATTTTGTCTGGTGCCATGGAACACCCAGAGGATCGGTAATACGGAAGATGTCCGCCAGACCATATGCATACTTGCGGACATCAGAGGTGGCAAGTTGGTCGACTGGAAAACGGAATGTGATCAAATCGTCAACCCACTTGCGCGACGGTCCGATGTCGTGTGCCCCCAGGATGTTGACGATGGCATCCATCGGCTCGCCCTGCACTCCGGTCCCTGATGAGACGCCGAACGGGAGAACATGGTCGATGTAGAAGTTGCCCGGGTCACATTGAATGACCAGAAATGGCTTGTGCGCGGGTTTGATGGGAAGATTGCGGAACGCGGAATCGATGTCAAGGCAAGCTGCCTGCGCACCAGAGGGCGCGTTGACGATCTGACAAGTGGGTTAGCAATGTCTGCTGCAGACATGCTCTGGAGTTCACCCGCACAAGTGACGGGGAATAATCAAGTGGTATCCCGCGCACCGGGCATGTACCGAATGATGTCAACCTCCCGCGCACCGGGCAATGGTTTCACGATGTGACCTCCCGTGCACCGGGCAATGATCAAGGTAAAATGCAACCTCCTGCGAGCCAGGCAACAATCGCGAATGGAGATCTCCCGCGCACCGGGCAGTGATCTGGGCTACGAGCCCTCCCGCACACCGGGGAAGACCGAGAAGATATTACGAAGGGACTCACGATTTCTGCGACCTCAGCTGCAGTGCCCCATTTGGTGGGGAAGTCGTCCGAGTTGATCTGGCTATTCACCGAAACCCCAAACTCGTCCTGATATGAGCAATTCTGTACAAGACGGAATTTTTTCGAACCAGCCTTTGGAACGACAGCGAGTGGAGAAGAAACGAAAAAGGTGCCCAAGATGTGCTCAACTTGAGCCTGCGAGTACGGACCAGTCATGCGTCCAAGAGAGACTTGCTCGGAGATATACTGGCGAATGAAATCGATGTGCTCAGAACCGGAAGAATGATTGGAAGGAGCGAACGTGCGAAGGAGCGGAGCGAAATCACCAATAGGAAAGCCGTAACGTAATTTGCGGGGCAAGAAAGGGTAACGCTGAAGAAGGCCGAGTGTACGAAGAATGGACTCGAAGGCATCAGCGTCGTAAGGAGTAATGATGCGCTCACGCTCCGAGGCACCGCTTAGCCGCAGCGGCATGACCGTCGGAACCGCAGAGGGAGCAGATGTGTCCGCTGTTTCCGGGACAGTACATACCACGGCAGGGCGTACGACCGTGTTGGACATTCCAGGTGAGGCAGATCTCCGCGCGTGTGGAGATGGCGAGGAGCTTTTTGTTCTCCCAGACGGTGAACGCGGGCTTACCGTTCGACAAGGTCGATCGCCCACATTGACTGGCCCGGTGTCCACTCTCGCCGCAGATGAGGCAGAGCATGCTTGTGGACGCAGATGCTCTGCCTTCGCGAAAGGGCTTGGCAGTGGAATCTGCCGTGCCATCGCGGCGCGGGCGACGTGAATCGGGGGAGTGGGACGGCGTGCGATACAGGGTTTGGGACGAACCGGCGATGGGAGCCGCGGGGATAGGGAGTGTGGATCGGGTGCCCTTCTCGATGTGCTCTAGGCGAATTTTGAGGAAATGGTCGTTGTAGCTCTTCGAGTCAACAACGAAGGTCTTCTTCGTGAGGAAGTACCCGCGGCGTACGTCGATGTCGAATGCGAGGATGACTGGGAAGATCCTATTGAAGTCGCTCTGTCCGGAAAGCCACATGTAATGTTCCGAGAAGCGCTTGACGATCTCATCATCGCAAACAGCTGGTAAAATCTCGAAGTAGTTGCGCCAAGCGTCGCGCCAATCCTCCGGCTTCAACATCTGTTCGTCGGGCCATTGGGCGATGTCGATCAGCGCCCTCTTGATCCCCTTGCCGTCATGCATCTTACGATATTGAACCTGTTCCGGATGCTTGTGCATCTTGGTCATCACCTCAGAGGTGCACATGGAGAGCGGAAGGTGGAAACCATTCCTAAGGAGCGCGGGTAGTTCCTGAGGCGTCTCGACGACTCGGCCGGCAAAGAGGTCAGTCTTGATCTCGGAATCTATGGTTATCAGCGCGTTCTCGCTACCCTTGCTTCCACTTCCCGCGGTAGCCTCTGCCCGAGGGCCAGCTCCACTGCGCTTATCGACACCTGCATTCCACAACTTTAGGGCGATGCCCCGAGAGTTTGGAGTCATCTTCATTACGTCCCGAAGCAATTGCAGGCTATCGGTATCATCTTCCGGCGTTCTGGGTCGCGAAGGCATGCCTGCAGGCATTGCCGACGGTTCCTGGGAGTCTAACTGACCCGGAGATGCGCCATCTGATCCATCCAACATTCCCAGCTCCTCGTCATCACTGACGCCATCTTCTCCGCCCTGTCTACGTACTGCCCTAGCCGCGTTCCGGGCCTGCCGCTCCCGGTTTTCCTGAAACAAAGCCATCTGGGCCGGGTTGGGCAGGCTCGCGGTGCCTCCACCTGATCCAGACTCATCGGGAAGGAACGAAGACAAATCCTTACCGCCAACGCTCGGGGGAGGTCCTTGGGACGGCATTTGTTACAGATCGGCGGAGATCGTGCGTGTGGAAACACCAGAATGAAAACGAGTGAGAGGCTGTAGATGCAGGAGGAACAGACTGGCGCTTACGGCGCCTATTCCTCCGCCTTCAGCCTCTCGCTTAGTAAGCACTAGTTTGACTTAGCGCTCGCGAGCTCGCTGCTAAGCCAAACTCCACTTGTCTACGCACGCTGTCAACGTTTCAACCTCTACCCCGTCGTTCCGTATGCATTCCGCAGAGTGATAAGCTCTGGATTGCCATCTCATGGCCGTATCCTGAACGAACTGTATACTTGCGGGCGCAGCATCCGGCGGACGGAGTTTCCTTGTTCTCCATTTCAGCGCGGAAACTCCTGCGCCCGTTTCGACTGCGAAGGTACCACATTCTGACTCCAGTCGACGCTGACGCCAGCGCACAACGAATATCTGCTGCGCGAATTGGACACTTGCGCGCTCAGACGTCCACCCACTCGCACAGATCTTCGGAGCCAGAAGGCAAAACACCGGCCGGCTATAGCGCTTGAAGCTTGATCACTTCTGCGCTAAACGGTGGTTTGAATGCGTTAACGTTGGCAGCTGCACCACTTTTTTGCGACTGGCTCATGAAGCTGCGGCGCAGTGTTCAGCTGGGCCGAATACGACGCGAACTCGACCTCACAAGGTATAATTTTGCGCGCCCTTCACTACGCCAAGAACTACAGGCCTCAGGCTGTGCGCGGGCCTTGGATTGTGCACTGAGCACCCTTTCAAGTTATCCCCGGCTTGCCAGGTACCTTCCACAACAGTCATAGTGCGGACATACTACTATGGACCTACGCAAACTAGACGCCACAAGCTAGAATTTTACGCGCCGTTCGTGACGCCAAGGCTCGGGCGGCTGTGCGCATGCATGGAGAGTCACTGAGCATCCGTTCAAGTTATCCCCTGCTAGCCAGGTACCCTTTTTTTGAATCCTGTTATTGTCCCCGAGGGCGGAGCCCTATGGTAGACAATAACTGCTGTATCTAACTGATAGCTTGCCAGGTACCTCCGGCAACAGTCTGCACAGACATCTTGCTGACTCCTACAAGTATCCTAGTTGTTCTGTACAGCCTCGAAACCTGTGATAATTCTTGGGGCCCACTGCCTTCCAGCGCTGATTCGCACGGCGCTGTAACATGTGTGGCTTATCTTGCACTCATTCGGTGAGAGCACTGTCCTCTATTTGAGTCGCTTCGGACATCCTGACCTTCAACTGGTACGCACCAAAACTCGTATTGGTCCCTGTATTCGACCTGCTTTACTTCCGTGAAAGTTTCACAACTCCCGACCCCTGAAGTGTTAAGCAACCGTCAGGAGGCGGGGTAGTTAAGAGACTCATTCAACCCTGAAAGTCCTCGTTGAACAACTTCTCTTACGCTTTTCCTCACCATGCCTGTCACATTCGAGGTCGCAAAGCACTCTGCTGAGCCAGTTCGTCAGCGGTCCTCCGTGAATGGAGTCCAGGACGCCAAAGGCCTGTTGAGACAGGCGCATCTTAGTCGGCGCCAACGATGCGTCGAAGTCCTGCAGAGTTCTGCGGCCCCCGACGCACTTCTGTCGATGGAATACTGCGGGAACGGATTCGTCCATGCCGTTATGAGGGCACACGGCGAGCATCATAACCTCGTTATAAGGTCTGCTCGGTGTCTGCTCTTTGACCGCTGCGAGATCTGAACATGTTAGTTCTGCAGGCCAGATGATGTCTGGATCGCCATATTGAATCAATTTAGTTTTTAGTGCGTCTTTCAAATTCTCGTACCTCGGTGGAGTTGTTCTCATCAGGAGTTATGCAGCGTGAACGCGCACGCCAAAGAATTGCGCAGCCAGTTCGTAGAGCACACGAACAAGAAGACGGTGGTGTTCGCCGCCGGAACTCGATACACTGTAGATTTCGGAGGCATGACACGCCAGATGACGGAGCAAATGCGCCAGAACGTCAGTTCTATTTTCCTCGTGCATGCACCGTTATTTATCCTATTCACTTGAAGGTCGTCGATGAGACACTCACGGGATGGATCCTCCCAGATTTCACCACTTCGACCACCGTCGACTCGACGATATGTTCGGCGTTGATGACGACGACGCTGAAGTCGTACGATCCCTTAGCTCCTATCAGGAGCTTCTTTGAATGTTTTTATCACAAATACTTTAACTACAAGATGATATGCATTTGCGGCATCCCATCGGTAACCTTGGAGGGCGAGAAGGAAGACTGGCTGAAGCTCCTGCAACGGGTGGACAAGCTGGACGAGTTCGGAGACGAACCGTGTGCGTGGGCGACGATGCTGCGCCCTATACTGCAGCGCTTCGTGTCCTCTTTCGACGGCGAGCCTGATGTCGAATTTTGGACCCATGTCGTCCAGCGAGATGTTGCCAGGTACCGGCATGATTCCGTTAGTGGTTGGATCGCCGCCTTCGTCCCCTGGACGGATCAGGGGGTTTGGCAAGGCGGAGAGCAGCCGCTGCGCGCGGCACTATCGGAGCAGAAAGATGATTCAAGTCAGTCAATTCGTAATTTTATATCAATCCGAGTGAATTGGCTAACTATCCACTTCAGCCGCCAGGAAGCGCGTGTACAGCGTCGACGGGGTAACTTACCCCAAGCTCAGCGTGAACCGCATACCGCAGGGATATGGCGAAGTCGACATCCTCCTGGAGGACACCGGTGTGTGGCTCGGGTGCCGGATGGTGGCAGGCCACATCGCCATGTCGTTTCATAGCGTAGACGGAAAGGAAATCCTCGATACGGTCAGCCCTGCACCTCACTGGTTCCTATTCACTACGCAGACCGCTTTCCATGCGAGCGTTGTCGTTCCGTCGCTGGCGCCTTCCCAAGGGTCGTCGTCTCCGCCTTCCGAGGGACCATCAACTGCGCCATCTGCGCCTAGACAGACATCGTCTTATGCTTCCTATGGGCGTGTTGTCGTTTTGCCGCAGGCGCCTTCCCAAGGAATGTCGTCGTCTTCGCCTTCCCAAGGGACGTCGTCGTCCCCGCCTTTCGAGGGATCATCGGCTGCGCCTAGGCAGACATCGCCTTATGAGGAGAATCATCCTCGTCGTGTAGTTCGCTCTCGCTCAAGCCCGCGCATGACCTCGGCGTCGGGCTTCGCATCGTCAGGCTTCTCGTCGTCGGGCTTCTCGTCGTCGGGCTTCTCGTCGTCGGGCTTCTCATCGTCAGATTCATGCCTCGTACAGTAGTTGAATGCAGTCCCTCCAGTCCTACGTACCTGCGCCCTAGCCTGCAAGAATTAGCTGTGATATGATGGAAATTAGTCTTATGATGTTTTTTAGCAACTGGATCGGGTTGTATGCCCGTTTCATATCTCTTGTATACTTCATTTCCCGTCCTGCCAGCATTTCGGTGGACATCGACGAGACGAGTTCATTGGAGTCAATATATCTGTATGAACATCCAAATATTCATGATTCAGGATACCTTTAAATATGCCCAGGAAGTAAGTTCGTGAATACATCAGCCGCCCACTTCTGCACCTCCCTCTTCGTAACGTGGAACACATGCTTGACCGAGATCTCTACGACCTCGCGAGTCAGCGTCCTCGAGTCAGGGAGTGCAACGGGCACCACCCCACCCAATTGTGTGCGGCCTTCCTGTGAACGTCGGATGTCAGCAGACCTGCCGAGGCGAGCTCGGAGCTGCTCCAGGTACAGCTCGCGGGCAACACAGATATCCTTGCTGATACCGATGGCGTTCTTCATCAGGGCTATGCGCTCCTGGTCTAGATGGTGGATTGTCTGCAGCTCGCAGTGCAGCCTCGGGATGACAGGGCTGCGGCTCTCGCCGTACTGCCAGGCGTCGTGGAGACGCAGGTCGACGGATACTGTCCTTTGGTGTCCTTGAAGCAGTACTTTGGAGTGGTCACACACACCGCTGAACCAGTTTTCCGGCGAGGACGGCCACGTATAGGGCTCGCGGGCACTCGAGGTATTACTTCTCCAACCCATACGATCTCTAAGCGCTTCTCCAAGTCTTCTGGATTCGGTAGCATTCCGGGTTGCAAGATTAAGTCGAAGTACCTCGTTCCACGAAAAATGAAATCTGTCGCAACGCCAAAGTAGCGTTCAAGACCCGCGACACAGCGGCACAGGCAGAGAAGTAGATTTTTGCCCGGAGGACAGTTGGAGAGCTGCTTCACCCATACCGGACTCCGGAAGTACCTGTCGCAAGGTAATCCTTGCGTTCCTCATCTGTCTCAAAGTTCTCCGTACGGATGCGCTGTGCCAGGTCGAAGGCCGATTGGAAATCACGCTCCAGCGCCTTGAGAGTGTCCCCGCCAAACGATTTATCGGCGACTTGCTGGATTGGCTTGGAGGACTCTCTTCCATAATCCGTGTGGGCCCAAATGTTCTTCTAAAACCCAGTCATCAATCAAGTCATCTATCCGCTGCAGGGTCTCGTCCGGTTCTGGTACCCGATTCCGAGAGGGCATGTCCAGAATGTGATCAATCTTGCGAACGATCCGCCCCCATGCCGTTTCGACGTTCAAGCGCAGAAACTGCGAGACAGCGCGCTCGCACATATCATTACTGGGTATACTATCCTTCAGGGAGACGGCTTGACAACTTCCGATATGAACCGTTGGACCACAAGACGATCTTCTGCAGCAGGTACTCGATCGCTTGCAATGTGCATGGTGAGCATGCCGGGGAGAACAGAAAGCGCAGCAACAAAACAATCTCCATCGTTGGCGTGCACGAAGCACTGGGCAATCCAGGCTAGCACATTTTGCAGTGAGGTCCTTTGGGGAACCTCGCGACTCTGCCCTGAATAACGGTAGAACCTGTATGGTGCGCAGCTTGATAACACACTCTGACTTGTTGTTGGTATCGTTTTCGACAAATGGGAATTCTTTCGCATTCACAACATAGTCGGGTTTGCTTCCTCTCGGAGGGTATACGGAGTCATTTGATTCCTGTTGAACGTAATAAAGCTGTCCAGTATAATTAAACATAGCGCTTACCGGCAATATGACAGTCGGTCGTTCGTTTTGAGAGTTGGATAATCTTCAGCGAAAAACTTGGTAATGAAGTGTCGGATAGAATTGGTTTTCATCGGTGATATTCATTGCGTTATGAGAAACTGCAGCCGAAAGGAAAGAATCTTACTTGGTCCGCTGACTCGCTGATCAACGTGACATTCGCGCTGTGAAGTGTGACGATCGCGGATCGTGACATTTCATTTCGAGAAGAAAACAACTGCAAGCGGACACGACAATGAGTCTCGAAAATGATCAAACCTGTCTTCTACGCATAGTATATACTCGAAAAGATAATGTGAATGGCGAATTATTGAGTTATTCTCATAGTAGTATACCTGCTGCAACTCGAAGTTAGATCAAAAACCATTGAAAAGCGGGCATACGAACTCCAAGAGGGTGAAAGACTTCAGGCCAATATCGCATATGTGAGTTCTTCGGTAGGTCCACGGGATCGGACTATCCCAAGTGCACGTCAATCTCCTCCAGTTTTTCCTTCTTGGCTTTCTTGCCTCGGGCCCCAGTGACTGTCCGTTTCTTCTTACGTAGTTTGCGCTCTAGCTGCTTCGTGAGAGAACGAATTTGTTCCTTTGACGGTACGAAAGTTGTCGGTAAGCTCGTGATGCAAGACGGGACTGAACTCACCGCTATGGTTGCCACATCGAGGTCGTCGCCAGTGTCGTCAGTCCCGTCTGCGTCCAGAGCGTCAACGTCTATGGTAGGCTTAACGTCCACTGACGTAGACGAATTGATACGTCGTTTCTTCGAAGGTGGGCCATCGAGTACGACTACGTCTGAGTCCGATTCGTAGGTTTCAGCCGTGTCTGCCGAAGGATGAGATCCCGAACTAGAAGGCTCATCGTGGATGTCAGCTCTGTCCACGATAATGCCCCGTGCCCGCAATAATTCTGCAACGGAAAACAATCTGAATGCCAAGAACTCGTAATCAGCACGCTGCGTCATTACCTCTGGGCCTGTATCGTAACCTAAATGTGGCATAGGGTTGGCTCTGTGGATCAATCCAAGTTGGCTTATAATATTGACGCTTCTCTATTTTAGTGGCTTCTCCATACCTGATGTGGGATTCACTGCAGTACGCAAGCAGTATATGAAGTCACATACGAGACATGATGAGTGCCTGCTTTCTTGCATCGCTCATGAACAGGTCCACGTTCTGTCGGTGTATTCGGCGCTATGGGCTTCCCTGTGGGCTTCTCTTTGTTGACACGGAAGATACGAACTTCAATTGTGCCCAAGTCGAGCAGGGCTGGATCTTCAGGGTTTACCATTTCATCGTCTGCGTCGACGGGACTTAGATGTTGCATGTTACCGGAGAGCATTAAAACGCACGCCTACCTGTGACAGTCACTGTGTTTTCGCCGTTCTAGTAGGGGGTCTGCTACGAATAGGCTACGCCAGATAGAATACATAGTTTGATGGGTAGCCGAAGTCGCAATGTGAAGATAGGCGGAGTAGGGCAGATAGCAAACATAGCTGTGACCCCCACTGCTATGTCATAAATCTTGATGTGAAAGATGTGTGCTAGCCCACATAGCTTATGCATCGCATTTGGTGCACGATCTCACTTATCTACGACCATCTGCTACGTGAGCTATACTACATCACTGTGCTCCTTTCTATACAGGCTTTCTGGTGTACCTTGCACCAGCTACATTGGCTATTCCACGTAGCGATTTCAAGCTTGACGTACATATAACTAGTGCTAAGTTCAGGCCTCCATCGGCCCAAGCGCATCATCGTGTCCAAGGTCAAGTTCACCTGGCGTACACTACGTGCTGGTTCCGCGCCCTTCCATCCACAGATTCACTGGCCCGTTGACCGCTGTCTAAACATATTTCTGGCGTGCCGTCGCCGTCACCTTAAGAGCGAGGAGTGCTGCGTTGCCTTCTATCTCCATGACATGGTCTCTGCATGCTCTTGGTCTCTCGGGTCATGGCTGAACATGCGATGTGCTCTACAATTCTTGTGTTTGTCCAAAGTTGGGATGCTCCATTGACACCTCTCGTGACAGGTATGTGAGAAACAGACTGCGTCGCAAACCCCATCGGAAGATCGACATGCAAAGTCTATTCTGTTGCAGGTGTGATTAGGTATGCAGTAGGGGATGTGAGCGCATCAGGAGTATCTACTATTAGTATATAATGGAATAGACGGGTGTTGTTGATGGTAGCCATGGAGCATCGCCAATATAGCTGAAGTTTGATATTTCTTGTAGCCTAGAAAGTGTATGCTGTAGCTTCTAGACTGCTAGTGACTACGTGCTGCGCGGCATAGCCAACGTATCACCTTGTTCACTACAGGGGATCGCACAGTGAAAGATACACTTGAAGCTTGGTAACCCAGCTTGGGGGTTGATATGCAGAACTATGCGGCGTAGCCCAGGTCCTAGTTATACCACGTATCCATGGGGGTATCTTGCACCCAGACATAAGGGCAAAAACGCAGTGAGTAAGCGTGGTGAAATTATACGGTCTCAAAGTAGTGTCGTCGACAAGGAAGCCTGTCGAGATTCGCTGCTTTTGTGGATCAACGAACGGCTTATACGCACATTCGCCATCGACGAAGCATCTAGCAACGACCACAGCATCGAGGTTGTTCTTCACAACAATAGAAAATGTCTGCAAGAACGGCTGTTGCATAAGTCTGCATGAAGAGACACTAGATGATACGCATACTTTTCCGGCCTCACTTGGAACATAACAACTAATTGACTTCTTGTTGGAAAGTAGCGCCCAAATTTCTGGAGCTCCAGAAATTGGGGAGCGCCCAAGGGTAGACAAGCCGAGGGCATGATTACAAAGAAAGACAAAGAAGGAAATTTGCTTATATAAAGTGGAGCGTCTAGAACTGTATATATACAGAAATCTATTTTAGGACGCGCAATCACGCGCCCCGACGCATCTTGACCCGCCATCACTACCTTCCTATTTGGGAACTAAGGCGCGATTTCTAACAGGTTATGAGCCCCGGCTCTAGCCAATAAATACTTGGATAACAACAGCCCCTATTGTGGCTACAAAAATTGTTACCCCCTTACTAGTACGAGAACAAATAATGTCGACCAGTGCTGATAATACGAGCAATAGCAATGCTTACTGGATCCCGCTCCTGAAGGAAGACAATTGGCTCCCGTGGAAGCGCCGCGTCGAGGCCATCCTTAATGATAAGGGTCTCCAGGAGTATGTGACCGGAAAGACACCAAAGCCGCAGCCGAGTAATGACCCGGCCAATAGGGCAGCGAGAGAGGCGGAGATTAGCGCCTGGGGAGAGAAGGACCTCAAGGCCCAGAACATAGTTGTGCTATCGCTGGGAGATTCCCAGATGGTGCACATCGCTGGAGCCGAGACGGCACGGGCCATGTGGGAGCAGCTTCGCACAGTCAAGAAACAGCGTGGACAGCATGGAATTCTCGTGCTGTGCCGGCGTTTTTACCGGATGCAAGCCAAGGAAGAAGATAATATCTCCAGTCACATTACACAGCTACGACAGATCCAGGAACAACTCCACCTAATGGGGAAGGTTGTTTCTGATGAGGATTTCCGGCTCATTCTGGCTACCTCATTACCGGAGAGCTGGGACTCTTTCCTCAGCTCTTACTTTGGCGCCGTGGGCGGCAATGTTGGCGCCGAAGGTGCTGACAACGTGCGCCCTCAGCTTACATCACAAGAATTAATTGCCATCATTCTTGATGAAAATAGGCGAAGGCATGAGCGTGGCGAGCGCGGTCAATCCTCGGACCAAGCCATGGTTGCCAAAGGAAAGAAGCGCCCCTTTGGGGAATACAAAAAATGTTCGATCTGCGGAAAGCCGGGACATCTTGGTAACGAGTGTCAGCACCGCGACAAGGTCAAATGTATGAATTGCGGAAAATTCGGGCATAAGGCCACGGATTGTTGGGCTAAAGGCGGCAGCAAAGCCGGACAGGGCCCGCTGATGAAACGGCAAAAGACGGAACGTGCTTATGAAGCGCACGAGGTCGAATCGAAAGAGGATGAGGCAAAAATAGCCTACAATAATGATAGCGACACTGTATCTCTCGGATCTGATGGCGAAATCGCTTCTTTCTATGAGTGGTTTGCCGACTCCGGGACAACTTCGCACATTACAAATTGTCGTGAAGTCTTCGCGACCTATCAGGCGCTCGAAGATCACGCGATCACGGGCATCAGACTGCAACCAACGCAGGCATTGGGCCGCGGTACGGTCGATGTCGAAAGTAAAGTAGGAGACCGAAAAGTGAAATTCCGTCTCCACAGTGTACTGTATGCGCTGACAGCACCCAATAGCCTCCTCTCCATCACGCGTTTGGACGATGCGGGAGGAAGAGTACTTATGGGTAATAGTCGTGCAATACTAATAGATAAAAATAAACACACTCTTGCTATAGGCAAGAAAAATGGACGACTATATTCATTGAAATTGCGTCCAATAGTTCCACAACCTGCGCGAACCTATACTGCTAAGGAATACGGCCCGCATACCTGGGAAGAGTGGCACAAGATCTATGGCCATATCGGGAAACCAGCGCTTACGCGATTATATCGCGAAGGGCTTGTTGATGGCCTAGAAATCTCGCCAAGCCCAGATGAAATTAATTGCGAGGCGTGCATCCAAGCAAAGGCAATGCGGAAGCCATTTCCCAAAGAGACAGACGAATGCAGCAAGGTACCCGGAGAATTAACACACATGGATGTGTGGGGACCTGTGCAGACAGCCGCTCTACAAGGGTGGAAATATTTTATTACATTTACCGATGATTACAGTCGTCGAAGTACAGTACTATTTATGAGGCATAAAGATGAAGTAACTGAAAAGGTAAAGAATTATATTACCTATATCGAGCGCAAGTTTGGAAATAAACCCTTGCGACTCAGGCTCGACAACGGTCGAGAATATATGAACACCGAATTAATTAACTGGTGTCAAATGAAAGGGATCGAGATGGGTCCGACTGCGCCGTACTCACCATCCCAGAACGGAGTCTCTGAGAGATTGAATCGCACACTGCTTGGACTAGCGCGCGATGATCTATGCGAGAGATCTACCTCGTTATCTTTGGGCTGAAGCGATTGCTCACGCAGTCTATATTAAAAATAGATCGCCTACCCAGGCATTAAATGGGGCAACTCCCGAAGAAAAATGGAATGGGATGAAACCAAATATCTCGTACCTACAAGAATTCGGTTCCCCCGTATGGGTCCTCACGGAGGACGCAACACTATCAAAGCTAGCGCCTCGTGCCAACAAGTATATTTTTGTTGGATACATGGACGGACCCAAAGCCATCAAATATTATGATGCGCATACGCGCCAGATTAAAATCTCGCGTAATTTCCAATTTTCTTCGAATTTCCCGGACCATTTGCCCGGCAACGCGCCTCACGTGCCACAAGAGCAAATAGGATCCGACGTACCTATCCTCATAGCACAGTGTGAGGGGGAGCAAAATATATTTCCGGGCACTTTACCTAGCAATGTGTCAGATGTGCCGCATGCGGAAAGAAGACCCGAAGTCCCAAACCTCACAACGACCGCAGACGTGCGGCGCGAGGGGGAGTTAGGAACTTCCGCGCCACAGTCACCTGCCAAAAATTCGCGAAAGTGCAAACAGGATGATGATCCTGATCAACGCGAGGAAAGCGGGACGGATGCACCAAGCCAGCTCAGACGAACCAGAAGAAAGACAGTTCGGCATGATTACCGTCTAATGCACGACCCAGAGGCAGACGAAGATCTGGATAATGATCCAGATAAATCAAATGCCGAATTAGTCTATATTGCGATGAGCACCCACGGAAATGCAGATGCAGACGAGCCAAAGACGCTCAGTGATGCCAAGAGATCACTCAAGTGGCCCAAATGGGAACAGGCAGTCCAGACGGAACTCAATCAACTACAGGGTATGGAGACTTGGGAGTTAGTGGAACCTCCCAAAGATCGAAAACCCGTAGGAAATAAATGGGTTCTAGTTAAGAAAACAAACAAAGAGGGTGAAATAATCAAATACAAAGCCCGCCTGGTTGTGAAGGGATATTCTCAAATCCCAGGCATGGACTATACCGAGACGTTCATGCCCGTAGTCCACCTCGAAACCATTCGAGCTATCCTCGGGCTAGCCGCAATCTTAGATTGGGAGATCGGACAGATGGACGTGAAAGGCGCCTATCTCAATGGAACTCTCAAAGAAGAAGTGTATATGCGGCAACCCAAAGGATACAGCGATGGAACATACCACGTATGTAAATTAAAGAAAACCCTCTACGGGCTAAAGCAGTCTGGCCGAGAATGGAATATCGTGCTGAACCGCAAGTTACTAGACGCGGGATTCAAGCGCCTATTCTCGGATCCATGTGCATACATTTGGATCAAAGGTGATAAGATAGAAATCGTCACCGTTTGGGTAGACGACCTATTAATATTCACCAATGATTGCGCACTGATGGACCAATTGAAGAGGGAACTCCGAAATATGTTCGAAGTTACCGACCTTGGCGAACCCCGAAAAATTGTGGGGATAGAAATTGAGAGAGACCGTTCAAAGCGGACAATCAAAATCTCTCAGACAAAATATATTGAGTCTATCCTACACAAGAATGGGCTTACGAACGCCAACACGGTCGGGATGCCTCTTGATCCAAATACAGTGCTTGAAAAAGAAGAACCCGAAACTGATGATGAATGCGACCGAGACAACGGATATGCATTGCTCATCGGATCACTGATGTACGTGGCAATTGCCACAAGACCAGACATTGCTCACGCCGTGCAACGGCTTAGCTCATTTACTGCCAATCCCGGAATGGCTCATTGGACTGCTGCTAAACGCATCCTCCACTATCTATCCGGAATGCGAGAACTTGGAATAATCTACGGGCCAATTGCAGATGTCAAGCCCGAAGATCAATCCATATTTGTGGGCTACTCAGATACAGACTATGTGAACGATATCCGAGATCGCAAATCAATCTCGGGATATTTATTTAAATTAGGAAATGGCACGATCACGTGGAGCTCAAAGAAGCAAACCACGGTCGCGTCATCCACCACGGAAGCCGAATACATGGCATCCGCCGAAGCGGCAAAAGAAGTCGTGTGGCTCCGAACACTATTCAAAGAAATAGGTTTCGAGCAACAAGATCCTACAATTTTATTCGAGGATAATACAGCGGCGATCTCAATCGCACGTGATCCCCAATTCCACGCGAAATCAAAACATTTTGATGTAAAGCATCATTATGTGCGCGAAAAATTGAGGGATAAATATATTGATATCCACTACTGTCCCACGGAGGACATGATAGCGGATATCCTAACAAAATCACTCCCTAAGCCGAGGCACGAGAAGCTCACAAAGAAGCTCGGAATGCCCATCGGCTTGAGGGGGAGTGTTGGAAAGTAGCGCCCAAATTTCTGGAGCTCCAGAAATTGGGGAGCGCCCAAGGGTAGACAAGCCGAGGGCATGATTACAAAGAAAGACAAAGAAGGAAATTTGCTTATATAAAGTGGAGCGTCTAGAACTGTATATATACAGAAATCTATTTTAGGATGCGCAATCACGCGCCCCGACGCATCTTGACCCGCCATCACTACCTTCCTATTTGGGAACTAAGGCGCGATTTCTAACACTTCTCATCGTCGACGTTCACGGAAAATTCCTCCAAATTCTGGCCTTCACAGACAAGATGAACGCTGAAACCTCGGAGTTCAAGCATAGAGTTGCTGTAGGTATTGTACTTGAAGTTGCGACCGCGTATGCAGAACGTGCCAAGGTGATCAAGTTGAAACAAAAGTCACGGTCTCACGTGAATTCAAGTCACGTCGCGTCATACGGCTTTCATCGAGTCCAACTGGATTCGTTCTCTTCCGTGTCGCCTCCCGCATCCGCAAGTGCTTACTTCTGTGTTTCACTTCTCCCGGATGCACTCCGCAATGCCAGGTGCAGTCCTGCAGTGAACACCACATACGGCGCCCGATCTCCTTGTAGATCCTCCTCACTAAAGTGTATTTTCCCTTCGCGTCCTGCTCCACGTCGTGCTCTGCCTCCGGCGCACCCTTCCTCCGGTGATGTAGAAGCCGAGGTTCCGAGATAGCACACCCAGCGCAGAAAGCGGCGAGGCTCGCTGTGAGATTTGGCGGGAGGTGGACTGGGGGGGGAATGTATGGCGTTGTTGGTGCTGGCTGGCTGGACATGGAGTGAAACGAGGTTCTTCTGGTGAGAGCTCTATGTGCTTCTGCGGGTGGAGACCTGATGTTGATGCAGCGTGCGCCCGTCCTTGCGAGGCCCGTCTCTTGCGCTCGCGTACCTTCCGGATCAGCTGTCGCCGTTAGTGTTCACTCCTTCCTCCCAGTCAACAAGATATCCTTGAGTACCCCACCTGAAGCAATATGTTTTCGCGCCTCCTGACGTTTCCTTCGTGCGACACTTCCAATGCCTGCTTGTACCAGCAGGACAGCTGGGGTCTGGTCTCCCTACCAGAATACAGAATATACCTACAGGACGAGTCGGTGAATCTCATATAGTCACACCCAGCTGCGAATTCCGGACTCCACAAATGGGTCACAGTCTCTGTACCAGAACATATAATATGTATGCTGGTAAGGTAGATTCGGTGTGTCCTCGCGTACCCTCGTCCCAACTTTCCGCTGCGGATTCCAAAATTTAAATTCTGCGACAGTGCCGTAATTGCTCGCTCGAGGCCGGATGAATGATAGGTGTACGGACGAGTCTTCCGCAACTGATCTTGCTATGTGTCCCCAGGTCGCAGGGAAACTGCGACTGCACCGCCCTCGTACAATCCCTGACCCTCGCGGCACCGTTGGACAGATGGTCACCAGATGCCCTTAACTGACCTGTAGACCGAATGACGGGGTTGAGCAAGGAAGTCCGAACGAACCTGGGCCTTATGAGTCGAGTACGCAGCTTTCACTTTTTCAAACTTGGGGAATGTACAGTTGTCCATTGGTTGATGTTGAGCCCTTGCTGTCCATCTCTCCGACGGTGCCATCGGAGGAACCTCGTCCTGTGATCTACGGGAAAAAAAACAGTGCACCGTGGGTCTCACGTCTACTCACAGTTTACAGCCTCTCTGATTCTATAACTCCAGTTTACGGTCCCTCTGCCATCTCCTTCCTTATTGTATTTCCCTCTGATGATTGTGATGTACAGTACGTTTTACTTCGCGATTTCTGTCCATGTGGGTATGGAATCATCACGTTGATGCAATGAGCTCGATCTATCGCCTCCTCACATTAGTGCATCGTCAATATCGTGCGTAAAGAGCAGCAGCGAGTCATGATTGCCCCGAAATTCGGAGATCCGACATGGCTGGGAGATACCGTAGAAAAGTCCGAGCACAAAACCAGCACTGGCAGACCCCGAAGGACGCGCTAGGGTCAATCAGTTGTAGTTCGCAACAAGGGATGGGCGATGCGTCGAAGTGATGTCACCAAGCTGCACTGAATGCCAACGGCCAGGCGGACACTCTGAAGTATCTAATATCTAATATCTACACGATCTTCGGGCCAAGTGTCTCATTAGTAGTTGTCTGGTGCTAGTAAAAGTCGAAAAGTCGAAATAATAGTATGGGAACCCCGTAAACTAGCGAATCCTGTTTCGCTCAGATGGAAGAGCGCGTCATACTATAAGAGTTGACGAGGTCAGTCGTTCGAGTCGTCTGACAGGAATCTTGGAGTCTTGATAATATTTTGTACCAGACGTCGAGCACTGACGTGTAATGCGTCGTTCACCGACGACCAGCTTTCGTTATTGCTCTTTTTGCCACGGTGTGGAATCGCACAAAAAGTGGGGGCGGCAACGATCTTAAGGGAGCCGATTGGAACAGATTGGAACACGATGATCTGAGATGGTTGATCTGGGTAACGACGCGCGCACACCTCCTCGCGTCCTCCTCCACACATGCTCATCCAACTGGATCCGTTTTCCTCTCCTGTGTCGCCTCCGCATCCGCAAGTGCTTACTAGCTACACTTCCGCATTTCACTTCTCCCATGCGGCGCCTGATCTCCTTGTAGATCCTCCTCACTAGAGTGTATTTTCCCTTCGCGTCCTGCTCCACGTCGTGCTCTGCCTCCGGCGCACCCTCCCTCCGGTGATGTAGAAGCCGAGGTTCCGAGATAGCACACCCAGCGCAGAAGGCGGCGAGGCTCGCTGTGAGGTTCGGCGGGAGGTGGACTGGGGAGGGGGATATATGGCGTTGTTGGCGCTAGCTGGCTGGACACGGAGTGAAACGAGGTTCTTCTGGTGAGAGCTCTACGTGCTTCTGCAGGTGGAGACCTGGTGTTGACGCTGCGCCCATCCGTTCGCGTGACCCATTTCTTGCGATAGCATGCCCTTCGGAGAACGCTGCGAGGCTCCGGGACGCGGTGGACTGGGAGGGCGGCAGAGGGGGATCTACAGCGTTATCCGCACTGGCTGCTGGTTTCTGCCCGGACTTGTTCTTCCCAACTTGCGTGGTTCTGCCCGAACTTACAATGTCAGGCAGGCTCCCCATGCGATCAACCGGGTGAGGAGAATATTCGACGTGGCATGCATAAGTCAGTCGTGGCTGATAATGATGCCAATAGGTGCGAACGAGTCGCCATCGACCGATCTTCCAGCAAAGATCATATCGATAGGCCCCTCCAAAAAATCCGTTCACAGTGCGGACTGCGCAATCAAACGGTCCGGAAGTTCAGGAGGATTGGCGCCACCGTGCCGCCAAGTCGCGCCGCCTAGACGCTCGCGTCCGCAATGTCCTTGATCCCGGCGAGATACGAAGGCTAATATCCAGCCTATCAGGAGCTCTTTTTTTCGCAGACCGCCCAAAGGCCGTCCGTGCACGGTTTTTTGACCAGGGGCCTAACGATTTGGTTGTCATGACAGTGCCCAGGTCCACTCACATCTACTCACAGTGGGAGTCTCTTGGCCATATTATTCCCTCTCGGACATCGTCCGATGAGTACTCATTAGACACTGGCGCACGTTCTGCTCTTCTCCGCAGGCACGGTCGCTCGTTTTTGTTTCTTGGCCTCCTGATTTCTGCTCCGTCCGTGTTATGTTTTATTTTTTTTCCGTTCGGTTTGTCGCCGATCGTGACCGTGCACCCATTTCCGGCCATTTCCAACATACAGACTACCCGATATATGCCACGTCGTCACCGTTCTATGGTTCATACTACGACTGCTGTTCAATTCGGCATACAGGCACCCAACTAACAATATATTGATGAAGACCGTTGGTGTTGAAGCTGTTGGTTTTCTGACATTCAAAGTAGTAGAAGAGACTGGTCTACTGAGAGGGTGCAGCACACTAGAAGAATGTGTTCCACTGGCTTTTTATGCTGTGATTTCCGGAATGTCCAGCTCGACCCGGTGAGTATAGACCGTTGATAGGACAGCACCGCTGATCGAAGTAATCCTAGGGAATTTGTATGGTTCCCGTTCCGCAGCTTATAACGCTTCGCGGATGATCTGCGAATTACTCACGATCGACATTGGCCTATACGAACGCACGAATGTCGAATGTCGCACGCTGTTCAATGCCTGCCAACGGTCATAGTGATGACCTCGCCCTGGAACGTGCTTTAAGGTTCATGGTGTGAATGCTTTCTTCTTTTTGCCATGGCTCATCGATATTGGATTCCAAGGTGATAACTCTTGGTGACATTATCGCCCATCGTTTATTGGAAAGGTCGTTGCAGACACAACAAGCCTCTGCCGGAGTCGCTTTTCATGTCAAGCTTACGGTGAAGTCTTCAGTACACCTTTAATCGCGTATACTGCTGCCCGTATCTGACGGTCGGATGAGGGCTGGATACGTCTTGATGCAAAATCCAGGAATCTCGCTTGCATGGACTTTTGAACTTGTCTACGCGGCGGGAGGCCTTCATACCTCCGCCGTCAGTGTCGTTTGACATTTACCAGATGACTCATGCCTTCTCTGAATGACAGTCTTCTTAGCCACGAAGTCTTCTGAGCCATGATTGTCCAGTGACTGTGAACGGATTTAAACTCCTGCGTGCGTTAGGCTTTGGCGTTATCAGGTATAAAAGCTGCACCTTGGCAGGACCCGTTGGCGATTGCCCCTCTCCCGGGATATCCACGTACTCTGTTTTGTCACGAAATTGGTAGCCTCTTGCCTACAATACTATGACTATGATCGAGGTACTTTTAAACCCCGCGGCACATCCGATTTCCTTCGTCTTTTGTCTTCTGCCCGTTGTTGTCCTGGCAGTGCACGTTGTACCGTATTTGGTCGATAAGCATGGTCTTCGCCAATACCACGGCCCTTTCTTTGCAAAATTTTCCGTTGGTTGGCTCTTCTGGGTGTCCAGCACATTCAGGAGGACCAACACTATCGACGAGGTGCACCATAAATATGGTATGCCTCTCTAACTTAGATGCAGAGTGGTTAGTTGAATGACCGATGCCAACTTGGACACTAGGACCTTTCGTCCGCATCGCGCCGAACCACATTTCGATTGTTTCTCCAGAAGCGTTCTCAGAGGTGTATGGCCACTCCGCCGGCACAACGAAGTCAGCTTTCTACGAGGCCTTTACGTCTTACCGTGCCATACGCGGCATATTCAACACGCCCTTCCGCACCGAACATGCTCGTAAGCGACGTGTCATGGCCCACATGTTTTCCCCGCAGAGCGTGCGCGCCTTCGAGGGCCCGATCAAGGTTCATCTACAAACTCTGTTGAACCAGTGGGACGTCATGTGCAACGGCGCGGTGCGCAAGGATGAAGTGAAGACTGGCACACTGGGGTCCAGCACATGGGAGGTGCGCGGCCGCTATGTCTGGTTTGATGCACAGTTTTGTGAGCGACGAATTATTCTGAACGAGATTCTGACCATCTGATGTTGTGTGTTGTGTGACAGGGTGCAATTTGTTCACGTTTGATGTCATTGGTACGAAATTCGTGCTGCATAGATACTTCAACGCAGGCTGATGTGACGGTCCCTCAGGTGAGCTCGCCTTCGGCTCTCCTTTTGGTATGCTTTTGCGTGGCCAGGACACCGCCAGGATAAGGAAGTCTCTCACAGCTGGAATTGCCTCCTATGCAGTCGACGAGTCCACCGCCCAGGAACCTGCGATTCAATATGAGGTCGAAGAAGTCGCTGCTATCGACGCGGTTAGTGCGCGCATGGAGATTTCTCCCATTCTCGGTGTGCTTCCCACGTGCGTGCGCGAGTTCGTGGAGCGCATGCCGCAGCACCGTCGTGGCCTGAAGGCGCAGGGCCAGCTGATCGGCCTGGCGGCGGAAGCTATCTCGCGGCGCCTTACCGCCGCCCGCCAGGCGGAAGATGCAGGGAAGATTTTTGATGATATGTTTGGGAAATTGTTGAACGGTCGAGACGAGAACGGAAACCCAATGACTGAGCGGGAGTTGACTGTGGAGGCCGTTGGGCTGCTAGTCGCAGGATCCGACACAACTTCCAGGTACGTCTACTTGTTGCAGCTATATTGTCCCGTTGAGCTCGCTTTGCTGATAACTTATTTTACAGCTCGCTGTCAACTATGATATTCCATGTTGCCCGCAACCAGAATGTGCAGAAGAGACTCCAGGCTGAGCTGGACGCTGTGGCGGGCACAGACCCGAGTATTCTGCCCTTTGTTGACGTCAAATCTTTGCCATACCTCGAGGCTGTCATCACGAGGGCCTCCGCGTTCTCTCCACGATTGGTTTTGGTCTCGGTCGTGTCGTTCCCGAAGGAGGCATCACGGTGTTCGGCCACACTTTTTCTGCAGGCACAGAGATCAGCGTGCCGTCATATAGCATGCATCACTCCGAGGAAATGTGGGGCGCGGACGTGGAGGAGTACCGTCCCGAGCGCTGGTTGGATGCTGAGAAACAAGGCGAGATGATGAAGGCGTTCAACCCGTTCTCCTTGGGACCCAGGTGACATCTTCGGCAGTGGTCTTTGCTTCGGCGGCTGTGTAAACTTATTGTCGTGTTCCAGGGCCTGCATCGGGCGCAGCGTCGCCATGCTGGAAATGAAGTTGCTCATCGCCGCCGTTTTCCGCCGCTATGATATTGTCCTGCAACCGGGCCAAGCGGTGAGTTTGGACTTCTGCTACGGCCTAAGCGTGCTGACAAGGGATCTTGTGCAGTTCGGAGTGCACGACAATTTCGTTCGCAAGCCGCATGAGTGTGTGGTTGGGATCAAGCGTAGAGAGATATGATCGCCCGAAAGATGCGCTTCCGAGGGTAAAATTGCAAGCGTCGGTGTGTTGTATAATTTTACTGTGAATTTGATCAAAGATCCGGAGGACGAGGGGTGGTTTAGTGTGTGAGCAGGCTGCAGGCAAGCTGGCAGCCTCTCGGACCCCGAAGTTGCGTGCTATACTTATGTTGAGCATGTATCAATTGCTATCGTGCGTACTAATACCTTTCATTCATCTTTTATATACCATTGTGTCACCGCATTATTTGCGCGTTGTTTATACAATAATTATTTACTCATACCATGTGAGTTGTGTGCATTGGCGTACCGTCATGGCCGTGAGTTCGGTCGCGATAAGCGCATAGGAGCTGGTTGAGAACAATGGTAGACGATCGCTCCCATGAGTGATAAACTGGCGCTCCGAGTCCGATGTATTGATATGGCCCCAACTCGAGCAAACGAGTCTTCCTGCGGAATGAGGGATCACAGCAAAGTTTCAACTCGTTGCCCCGGGTATTTCTGGTACGTGTATCTGTCGGCCTTACCGTCACTGTTTTCCCACTCACCGATGGGCATTTATAGCGTCCTGCACATCACGGTGAAGATTCTGACAGCGACGTCTCGTCATCTCGATGTCTGTACCACAAGTCAAGCGGATGAGAGAATTACGATTGAGATAATCAGGCGACCCAAGACAGCGATGGCAATGAAACGCTTACTCGGAGCACGCGCGACGCGTTAGTCACGTGAAGATGCTCAGTGACTTGTGGGGCGCTTTTCTGCGGGCCAGCGGCGTTTCTTTCAAGTTCTCATTAGTCTGAAAACTAGAGGGAAAAACTAGAGAGAGAAACTATGCACTATCAAGCTTGCTTCGGTGTACTGTCGACAACATCTAGCAAGCAACATTTCCGTACACACTGTCTTGTGGCTCCCACGCGCCGGTGGACTCGGCAGTTTCCAACCATCCTTGGAATCGCTCTATATTCAGGCAGATCGCCTTTGGAGACGGAGCACTCGATTGTTCATACTGAATTATGGTACTTCTACCTCGCAGTGAGTATTGCTCCTCGGGGTATATAGTGACTTCTTATTGCACCTTCAGAGTGTTCAGCTGGAGGAGTCATCCGTCCAGGTGTGCAAGTATACATCGAGCTCGTCGCTGTGCATGGAGCCAGTTCCCCCCAATGAATGGCTTCTCCTCCGAAACTGGATATCTGACGTGTCAGCGCTGGTGAACAGTTTAACCAATTTAACTTGCCTTGCCATCGTGCTCCTACTGCACCTCCTGTTCAGCTTGCGCAATTACTTGTGCGTGCATCCTATTGCACTATCGCCACGAATTGGCTTCTGCGTTATTTTCCTTTACCGTAGGCTCTCACCGGGATTTTGACAAGATAACGGGCTATCCAAGCACACTTCTCTCTGGCGGCTCAATCTCGACATTGTGCCCGGATCGGTTAATTCACGGGGCTCGTACTTGTCCGAGTGTCTGTTCATTGCAGTTTCCCTTCCTCCTCGTCGCTCAGCGCAAAAGGTGATTTTGTCTGTTCACAAAGCAATGAATCTTCGCAATGTGGTCAAGGTGCGCACATTTTCTTTGTCGTTCCTATCGATTAGTGGTTAGATCATCACGTTGTGGTTGGTGTGTGCCAAATTAGAACCGTGAAGACGTGGGCTCGACTCCCACTAGGAACATGTCATGAGAGGTAGAGGGAATTTTAATATTTCCTTCCACTTTCGTACCGTGAGCATCGTCATACTTTTGCTGAATTTCTGATGCTCGTTTTCCATAGGAGTATTCAATTATTATTCATGGGTCTCTAGATGTTTCATCAGTTTGCTTTTTACTCGGAACGAATGATGGCATCCTCGCAGGGTTACGAGCGGATCAGGTCTTACGAAGGCGCCTTACATGAGCATAGGCGCTTACCTCTCGGTGCTCAAGGGTTGTTCTGGTCTCATAACGGGCTCTTGAGTACTATGAATTTGCCTCCATGAGGTCTCCAATTATTCTGCACCTTGCGAACTACTTGACCGTCCGCAGGCTTGGAAGTGCTCGGCATCTCGGCACCTTACGGAGACCACCCGTGTGTTGTTCGAAGTGTTGTCGCGGAGCACTTATTATCCCCTCTGCTTCTGGAGTTCGATTCTGTGCCACGAAACCTCGCAGTAGGAAATTTTCTAAACTACGCGCTGGAGGATGGTGGTTCTAGATCGCGTGTGGTGCGTGCTCTCCATCTTCAGGGAGAGCTAGTTTAGACGTTGAGTGCCATTTGCTAAGGAAGGCTCTACCCACAGATATATCCGCTGTCGTACGGATAACAAAACTGCGGCGCGCCATCTAATCTGTACGATACGGTGGGTCAAACTGTCCGCCCTCGTTTAACTTTTGGTGCCTAAAATAAATGTTCTGTCCTTGCCCTCGGCGTGACGACACCTCCCGCCGTGATTCTGCCACTCCTCGTGTGTTTGGTCTGCACGCGTGGTGGTTCAGCATGGGCTGCATCACACGTAGCATTGACGGTCATAATTCTTTCCCGGAGTTCTGTCAATCATGTGGGTTGAGCGCGTCGGTTTTCTCGCTCTTCCATTGCAAGCTTTTCAGCGGTACCTGTCTCTCCCGTGCTAGGCTTGACTGGAACCGTCTTCCGTTGCGTCTCGCGCTGCACGTACATAATGTACGCCAAGACTGGCGGGCACCATTAAACCTCGAGGTTGAGCTTCCATGCACTAGCTGACGGGCACCACCGTCCTCTTGGCCAAGCACGAGACATCCGCTGTCGACGAAAGTTGGCAGGGAATCTGCGCACGCGGCTCGCATTGTGCCGACGACTTCTGTGTTCTACAGGCACGACTGAGGAGCCCAGACGAGAAGCTACGCATGCAGCCGGCGTAGTACACAGTCCTGCGCGTGCCAGCCGTCGCATTCTCGAGCACCTGTTGTTCGGCTTGCAAATTGATTGTGCGTCGTATCTGACTCATTGACTCTCGTGTCATTTCTTTCCTGTAGGCGCGCTCCGGGACGCTGACAGGGCAAGAAGGTGGACCACCCAAGTTTGGTGGCTGAATCTCGATATTCTGCTCAGATCGGTTGGTTCACGGTGCTCGCACATTTTGCAGTGCCCTTCCTCGCTATGGAGGATTTTACCTATTCACGAAGCACGGAATCTTCAGAATCTGATAGGGACACGTTGAGTTATGGTGAGTTCCTTTGGATTAGTGGATAAATCCTCACGGCGTTGTTTATATCATCGCGTTCAAGCATCGTGAAGATGTGGGTTCGAGTCCCACAAGGAACATCGCAGTGTAAAGCTTCAGTTTTCTTCGATTCTTCAGTTTGCCCTGATCCCGTGAGCCTAGTCGTGTTTTGTCTGCAACTTGTTGAACTTCATTTTCCTTACTTAGGGGTCTTCAGGCATTATTCACGGAGTCCTACTAGTTCCAACCATATGGGCCGAATGAGTGATGGAAATCTCCCGGTGTTATGCGGATCGGGGAGCTCGAGGCGCCATGCACGAACATGAGCGCTTATCTCGCGACGCTCAAGTTTTCTGGTCTCATACGGGGTTCTTGCAAAGTGCTGCTCAATTGTCCTTCTCGACACGGCTGAATCAGACGCATCCTGCATCTGGACCGCTGGCCCTTCCGCAGGCGACATGAAAGTGCTCGGTATCTCAGCATCTTACAGAGACCACCTGTGTCGCTCCAGCCGCTGTTCGACAACGGTTTGAGCAACACAGCTGGTCTCCGTAAGTCGCAGGCCACTTGTTTATCCTCTCTGCTTACGACTCGAGTTGGAGGAGCCCCTCGGGATGTTGAGTTTCTGCCACGGATCCTCAGTAACTTGGGAAATTTTGTAAACTATTCGCTCAGGGACTGCGGCTCTGAAGCGCGTGTGGCGGGTGCCCTACGTGTTTTATTTTCCATTCGTGCGACTGACCAGTGACCTTGGAGCAGGCTAGGTTGACGCATGTGGTGTTTTTCCGCCTACTGCGACCCCACAACTAGGTATGCCTGTTGTCGTCTCTCGTATGATATTCGCAGCTGAGCTCCGTCGATTCGTTTACATCAAGTCACAGCGCTCCGTCTTGTACGATGTTCTGTGTCCATGTTGTGAGTCACCACTGTCCTCCGTTTTCTCACTGTTGGTGGCTGAGATAGGTGCTCTGTCCTTGTCCTCGGCGTGACGTACCGTTATCGTCTTCCAGGACACGTCTGGTCTGCTACTTCCCGCGTGTTTCGTCTGCACGTGTAGTGGTTCATCACGGGCTGCAGGACATGTGTTGACTATCACAATCCATTCTCGGCTTCTGCCAATCGCGCTGGGTTCGAGCGGCGCGGTTCCACCGTCTCACCGTCGCGCGGCGGCCTTCTCGCTTCTCCATTGCCAGGTTTTGCCAGCGATACCTGTCTCTTCCATGCTAGGCTTGATAAACGTCTTCCGCTCCCTCTCGTGCTGCCCATATACAATGTACTGCCAATGACGGGTAACACGTCTATTAAACATCGACGCCCGAGCTTCCATGCAACTAGCTAAGGAACCCCCCTCAGTGCTCTTGGCTAAACACCCAGTACTCGCTGGCTGTCTGTGGAACTTCTGGCGTTGGCGGGGAATCTGGGAACGCGGTGCGTTTCCGCGCGCCGACGGTTCTCTGCGCATACAGGACGACGGCGGAGAGACGAGCCGCCCGGAGGGAAGAATATGTAGGTATTCCCGGTGCACCTTTGGGTGCATGCACGCGCGCATCACTCTCCACGCAGACGGTGTCGGTGAAAACCCCTTGCGCTCGCCGTGCCTCCAAATCTAAATCCTCATCATCCTCATCATCATCGCGTCCGCGACCCCCGCCCACAATGACACACACCCTCCAGCGTCAGCGTCGCCCCCGATCGCTGCGTCCCGATCGGCGTCCCCAGGCCTCCTGCCATGTTATTGCGTCATTAATCCTAGTGTTTGGGGCCTGCCTTATCTCCCGAGCTGTAATCTCTGCATAATGCCACATCGGACGCCCGATCGCGATTTGAATTGGGTGTGTGTGTGTGTGTGTGCGGGCGGTCTTGTGGCCTCCACTTTTTGAGTGCGACGGCGCGTAAGTCGAAATTGAAATTCACGAGTTGAAGCCCCGGCGGCAGAAGGTGCCAGGAAGGGGCTGCTCCTCGACGAAGTGCGACCTGCGCGGCGTGCGTTCCGTCATGCGACCGAGATATATTGTTTACTAGTACGGGCGCAGGGATGCATCCGGATCCCTACCAGCCACTGCCGCAGAGACGTGCTGCGGCACACGACTCGCCGATTCGCGAAGTTTGTGGTTCCTGTTGTCGTTCGAGGAGGGGGTGAATTCCTGAGGCCTGAGCTCTCAGGAACACAGGCGCACCAGAAATCGGGGACGACCGCCATGAGATAATTTAGTCGCGGGTGGTAGGCGTCGTTTCGCACAGGAGCTCGCGCTCGGATCGAAAATTTTATTATTGTTCTTTTATAACTGGAACGCGGGGAAAGGTGCGCTGGAGCCGGGGGTGTACGCTCCCGGCGTGTAATGGGCGACGAAGCTGGGGAGAACCAGCAACGCACGAGACACGGCGCAGGGCCAGATGATCGACGCTCGGGCCCGCGAGCGGATAATTGTTGTCCACTACTAGGGTGACGTACAGGGGAGAAGGGGTGGGGGGGGGGGCACAGGAGACAGGAGAAATCGCGCGCGCGGAGGGGCCGTACACGTCCTCCAGCTCGAGACTCGGAATGGACTGTGGATAGGCGAGGAGGGTTTGGGGAGCTCGAGACGTTCGTAGGGCTCCGTCGTTGGTTTAGAGGGTGGAGGCCTGCGCCGGCGCTCAGTACTCAGTTCGTGACGTCGACCCTTCGCTGCAAAGAACGTGTCGACACCGCTCCCACTTCGCGTGTTGCTGGATCTTTCGATCGCGCTGCGGATGGTGCCGTCGCGAGGCGACGTACGAAGCGTATTCTCGGAGGTTGTGCCAGTGCGCGCCTGTGCGACATTCGCGCGACATCGAGCGCGATCCCGAGTGCAGTGCGCGCTTGCGCCGGTCGTGCTTGAAACTCGGGAGGTGACTTATATACGGGCCTCGGTACGTTCTGTCCGAGATGGATGACGTCTCTGGGATGTGGCGAGAGCTGTTGGGGGCGTGCAATTCGCTGTTGGTTCAGAGGAAGGCAGGGCCTGCGCCGGCGCCGGGTTTTCGCCTGTATACGACATTCGTTTATACGAGCTTCGCAGACGATGCGATCCCGAGTGCGCGCTGAGACGGCGTGTGCCGGCCCCGGTCTCATCCTTCGAGGCGGGATATACCAATCGCGGGTTGGGTTCACGCGGATATACGAAATTGCTGACATCCAGGTTCGGAGGTGATGTGATCCCGAGTGCGCTCGTCCTTGAAGGTGGCTATTGTATACGGCGGGGGTTGCTGGCACACACCTGGAGGACTCGCTGACGCTGTCCGTGTCTGGCTTGGCGACTTCTGCGTCCATCGGTTGTCCCGAAATCCGTGTGGTGCAGACGTGCCACGACAGGGGAAGATGTCGGTGGGTGGTGCGGTGTGAAGGTTTGACAGCACGCACCGTGCGGAAGTGGGACGTAAACTGACCAGCGCGTTCGGACGCAGCCGCCGCCGCTGCATAGAATTGAAATGACGTAGACGAGACGACGCGAAAGGCGCGGGTGGCTTCATCTCCGAGCCCCGCCCTGCCCGAGAAGTTCGGAGGGGGGGAACGGAAGGCTGCGATGTCGCGGCGGAGCGCGCGAGGACGGAATATATTGCCCCGTTGGGAGAGACGAGTAGAACCTGAATCATGATGCATGATGGGTGGTCGCTGGCGGACGCTGGGGGCGCTACAAATTTAAAGCGGGGGGCATACTGTGATTGCACGGCGCGCGGTGGTGGCACTGGCGCGACACGAGGGATCGATGGAGGAATGTCGGGAAGCGTGGGAGGGCCAGGGTCGGGGAAATTGGGTTGGCGGGGAAATAGAGTCGACTTCTGAGAAGGGAAGCCTGGCTGCCATAAGCGGCTAGCGCGTCGCAAGAAGGAAGTGCGCTGGATCGGAGGACCGGGCCGAGATCGGTGTTGCGGAGGCAAACGCGTCGAGGATGACGACAGCAGACAGGAGATGGCATCGAGAGCAGTAGTACTGACAGCGTGGTGGTCTCCTGAGGGGAGAGGTGTCAAGGAGAACGAGGGCGGCGTCGAGGAGGGAGTGAATAGGCGTAGCTGCGGAGAAGCCGAGGAAGATCGTTGGTGCGGCGCTTCTGATGGACACGAACGTGCAGGCGCGTCCAGTGCTCTCCTAAAACATGCCTCATAGTACCCTCCTCGTTCGGAATATCATACCCCTCGTCCTCTCCTCTCCTCTGCGTACGCGGCACACTCGCGCACCCTGGACTTCCCTTCCAGATCCTCGCACCGTCTCCCCGCGCTTCCTGATCGCGAAGGACTTCCACTCTGCGATCCCCCACGCGCGACCGGTAGTTCTCTTATTCTAGTGTCGACCACACGCACGCTCCCTCCTTATCTGCCACGCCCGTCCTCGCTCCTCAGGCCTGCCATCCACGGGGCTGACCGCCCTCTCAACCATCTCCTCTTCCCCTTCTCTCCAACCTCGCTCCACACCCCCCGCCCCTTCCCCTTCGTATCCCACTGCCTCCCTCCTCTCTCGCGTGGTCCTCCCCGGCTACCCCGCTTTTCTCCCTCTCTTTTTCCTCGCTTCTGCGCGTACCCACAAGCCGTCGACGTTGCTTATTATCGTCGCTTGCCGGTGCCAGCACGTTCAGCCTCGTTGGGCCTGCCTATCGGTATGTCCTTCCTTCTTCTGGTATCCCGCCTTCTCGTTTTCTCCTTCCTCTACCCCACACCCCCCTTCACATATGCATATCTGACACCTCCCTTCCCGTGCGTTCACGTTGCCCGCCTTCTATCCATCCTTCTTCCGTCCTTTCCCACTTGCTGCCTAGCAGTGCCAGCCACCGCCTTTCTCTCCCATTTCTTCGTCTGCTCTATCATCCGCTCACCCCGATCAACCAGGGACGAAAGCCGCGCCATCGCTCGCGCTCTACTATTTCAGGAGGGAAAGCCAGTGATCGTTTTCTTTCGAGCTGAATGTGAGTTGCCTTGCCGTCCGTTGATCCCTTCCTTTATTTCCTACCCTGTACTTTCGGCACAATTTACGTCTGTCTCGTTTCCTCCATCCTCGACCCCACACCCCACAGGCCTTTTCGTATACGCATACCTGACACCTGCCTTCCGGTCACTTTTCGTTGCCCGCACTTCTTTACGTCCTCGTCCGTTTGTCCGTCCCTTCCCACTTGCTGCCTGCTCCACCTGTAGCTTGCAAGACGACGTTTGCACCCCTCTTCTCTCTCCAGTTTCTGCGTTTGCCTCTTCCTATATGCATATGTGACACCTGCCTTCCGGCGATTTTTTGTTGCCCGCCTTCTACGCGTCCTTGCCCGTTTGTCTGTCCCTTCCCATTTGCCACTCGCTCCGCTTGCTGCTTGCTCCCCCAACTACCGCTTGTGACTTTTGCACGTCTCTTCTCTCTCATTTCGTCGTCTGGTGCTCTATCCCCGGCTGACTCCTTTGACCAGTGTAGTTGCTCGTGCACTGCGCACCGTTTTTTGCACGAGAGGAAGCTTTCTTTGGAGCTAGATGTGAGTTGCCTTGCCGTCTGTTTTTCCCTTCCTCTGTTTCCTACCCTGTACTTTCGGCACGCTTCTTCATATCTGACTGTGGCCTGCTCCACGCATTGCGTGGTTTCTGCCGATCCCTTCCTTTCATCGTCTTTCATTCCCGCCTCCCTGCCGCTTCCCTATCACGCCGTGATGCGGTCAATGGCAATACCGACACGTTAGCTCTGAAAAACGTCGGCCGGTCTTCCTGCAGTCGCGCACTTTTCGGTTCATTGCCCTTCCTTCTCATCTTTCTTTCATAACCGGCTGCCGCTCACTCGGTAGATCGTGCTAGCATTGACGCGGTAGAACTCCACGCAAGGGCGAACATCAAAAGCCGCTTTGGAGGAAACTTCGAAGGTGTGTGCACCGCGCCTCCTGTGTCATATTGCTGTCGGGGTGTCCGTTCGTTGACCTGCTTCTCAGATACCCGCTCGTCCGCTCTCCCGGTGTGCGCTGTGTCGTTCACAGGTGCGTCTGCTCGTTCACCGCGCGTTGTTGACCTTATCTTTATCTTCGGTGCTAGTTAAAGTTATTCGAACCTGCGCTCCGTGTGCGCAGCAGTCCCCGCCATCTGCGGAGACATCGGACACGACTTGATCCTGTATCTCCTTTCCGAGCTCTGGGGTTGTCATCGGTATGCCCCCTCGTATCTCGACGATCTCCCGCCGCTGACGTCGGCTCCATCCCTTCTCCGTCCGAAGCCAGCTTTTCACAGCAGCGCTTCGAAGTGCGTCACAGCTCTCGTGCCGATATTCGCTTCCTCAAATTCTCCCCCGTCAGTCCCATCGCGCATCTGGCTGCGAACACCACCGCGGCGCGTCCGGTACCCATCAGTGCGCGCGATGGAAGTCCTGTCCTCGCCCGCTCCCCCCTCCCCCCCGCATCCAAAACCCCATGTCCAGCGCGCGCGCAGCAGCAGCCGTCCCAAGCCCGACGTGCTCGACTCGATCCTGCTCAGCACGTCCACCCCGTCCTCGCCCACGAAGCGCATCGCCGCCGCGCACAGCCTGCTGTGCCCGCGGCGCGCCGCGGAGCACGCGCGCGCGAGCGTGACGATGTCGCCCGCGACCGCGACCGGCACGCTCCGCGCGCCGCCGCCGCGCAGCAAGGCGTTCGTGCCGCTCACGCCGATCATGGCGTCCCCCGTGATGACGCCCGTGCCGAGCGAGGGCGACTACCTCACGCGAGGGGAGCATCCGACGCCGCCGCCGCGGTGGACGTCGACGCCGCCGACGCCGCCGACGAAGCACGCGTTGCCGGGCCCGAGCACGGAGCCGCCGCGGCGGCGGAGCAGGAGCGGCGCGCGCCCGGCGTCGGTGGCGGTTTTCCCGCGCGTGGGCGCGGGGGACGCGCCGGCGCGGAGGGACCATGACCCGTTTGCGGGGGTGGTGCCGCGGCGCGCGAGGAGGATGTCGTTGCCTGTGAATTTGGCGAAGGCGTTGCCGGCGCTGCCGCGGAGTGGGAGTCCGTTGAGGGTGGAGGTGGAGAAGGAGGCGCGGGCGCGGGAGGGGGAGGAAGAGCAGGAGCAGGGGAAGATGGGGGCGAAGAAGCTGTTTCATCTGGATGGGGACGAGGATGAGGAGGCGGAGGGGGAGCGGCGGTGTGCGGCGTTGGAGATTGCGCAGGCGGAGTCGGTGCTGCTGCTGGAGCGGGAGAGGGAGGAGCGCGTTAGGGCGGACACGCGGCGGTACCATGCGCTGATGGAGCTGCTCACGACGGAGGTCGGGTACCTGATGGACCTGCGCGCGCTGGTGACGGTGCGCTCGCGATGTGCCCCTTTGACCGCTGATCGCTGATCGCTGATTGCTCGGTGCTTTCGTAGGTGTACCTCGAGCAGCTGCGCGTGCTGACGGCTGCGGGCTCGCCCGCGTCGCACAGCCAGAACCCGACGCCGACGCCGACGCCGCTTCCGTCGCCGGCGCGCACGTCGCCGCCGTCTGCGCTCTCCCTCCCCGCCCTCGGGCTGGGACGCCCGCTCCCTTCCTCGCGCTCGTCCTTTCTGCACGCGTCTCCCCTCCCCTCGCCGTCCGTATCGACCAACAACGACCTCGGTGCACACCCCCACGAAGACGAAGCGCACCCACACCCCGAGTCCTGCCCGGCGCCTCCCCTGCAGCGCCCGTCGCTGAAGAGACGGAACGCGCGCCGGCCGCTGCTGTCTGAGGACGATGTGCGGAAGGTGTGCAGGAACGCGGGGGAGCTGCTGCGGTTCCATGACCGGTTCGTGGAGGAGCTGCGGAGGGCGGTGGGGCCCTTGGGGTTCGGATCGGCGTTTACACAGGACGATGGGGGGAGTGGGGAGGTGGAGCGGGTGGACGAGGCTGCTGAGCTCGTTGCGGGGAAGTTTGTGAGCCAGGTGAGTGCGTTCGTGATATACGCGCCGCTTGGTAAAACGTTGAGTGTTTGTGTGCTTTGGGCAGGCGGCGGAGTTTGGGATATACGAGGCGTTCTGCCCCGGGCATAGCGAGGCGGCGGGTTTGATTCGGAGCGTGCAGGAGACCTACCCCGCGGAGTGGGAGGCGTACGAGCAGCGGTGCTCGCTCCTCCTCGCGGGCCCTGCTGAGACTGCGTCCCCTGTTGAGGAGATGGCGGCTCCGCCCTTGCCGCCCCCACCACCGCCGCCGTCGTCCTTCCGGTCCCCGAAACGAAAACGCAGACACTCGACGCCGTCCCTCGCGGTGCTCGACACTGCCGCGTCGCTCCCCCAGGCGCTCTCTGCCCACGTCGTCGCCTCGCCCACGCGCTCGGACTGCGTCGAGGCCAAACGCGCGCGGCAGGGCTCCGCCTCCAGCGCCGCGTCCGCCTCCGCGAAAGCGCAGTCGCGCCTCAAGTTTCTGGATTACCTCATCAAGCCCGTGCAGCGCATATGCAAGTATCCGCTGCTGCTCGACCAGCTGCGGTGCCGCCCGCCGGGGGGTGCGGCCGTGGAGGGCGCGAGCGAGGCGATGCGGGTCGTCGTGGGCCTGGTGGACCGCGCGAGCGAGCACCGGGTGCACCTGGTGAAGTCGGCGCTGATCGCGTGCCGCGTCGCGTTTCAGCCGCCCCCCGTGCCGCCGCTCCCCGGTGGTGCGCCGGTGTCCTCCCGCCCGACGTCGCCGCAGCGGGTGCAGCATTTGACGCCGGAGTTTGTGGCGTCGCTGGGCCCGTGTCACCTTGCGGGCGCGCTGGATGTGGTGCACCATCCTACGGCGCTGCATGCGCCCAGCGGGACGGTGCGCGCGAAGTATTTGGGCGCGTTTTTGTATATGGGGGGTTATCTTGTGCTTGTGAAGGTCACTAAAGGCGGGAGGGTGTATGAGCCTCGGTACTGGTTTTCGCTTGCGGGGTTTGAGGTTGTGGATGAGGAGGACGACGAGGGTGAGTGGGTTCTGTTGTCGTTGCTGTGATGATTGGGCTGACTGGGATGATTGGGGTGTTGGGGCGTTTTAGCGTCGTTGCCGTTCTCGTTCCACCTGTGCGGGCATGGCCATGTGTTGCAGCTGGCGACGGCGTGCCAGCAGGAGAAGATGATCTGGATGTCTGCTGTTCAGGAGGCGCTGTCGGTCGAGCCGGCGTGGACGGACGAGCCGCTGTCGAGCTTGCAGGCGGACAAGGACGATCGCGAGAAGAGCGTGCAGTCTGCGCCTGCGATGGAAGAAGGCCCGGAGTGGAACTCGCCGATGCCCTCGCCCCTCCCGACCATCCAGTCGCTCTCAGAGCTCGAGAACCAGGGCGAGAACCCTATTGCTGAGACCGTGCAACAGTCCAGGAGCCGGGTGGAGGTGAAGATGTCGAGGTCGCTCAGGCTGGAGAGCATACACCGACAGGAGCCGGCGTTCGCTGCGCTCAATCGCCGCTCGTCTACTGCCTCCGTGAAGGCGTTCTTCTCGCCCATGGCGTTTGAGGGCCCGACTCGCATCGCGCGGCCGTCTGCGCAGACGCGCCAGCACACGGACCAGGGCTTGCACGATGTCTTTGCGGAGAATTGCTCGACGGCGCGCTCGCAGGCGCTCATGCGCGAGGACGAGCTGTTTCAGGTGCGTAAGAGACCTGGTGCGGGTATGGCGCGCTCGAACTCGGGCTTGAGCATCACGGGCGCTATGGGCTTTGCGGCGAAGCGTCGGTATGATAGCGTGCTGCTGAACCGGAGGAAGAGCTCCATTGATGGATCGGTCGAACTCCATAGCGAGGTTGAGGGCGGGAAGAGCTTGACGACGTTGTCGAATAGGGCGAAGTCGTTGACGAGGCGGCGAAAGAAACAGCTCCCGTCGATCGTCCCTGCTGCGTCCAACCTGGCGAAGGTGGATTCTGAGGTCGAGATGGAGACGCCTGTCACCCAAAGCCCGGGTACCATTCTTGACTCACCGTTGCTCCGTTCGCAGTGCTCTTCTGCTACCTCGTCCAATGCTGGTTCTGCCCTCCCGAGCCCCGTCGACACCCCACTCCCGCTCCCGCTCCCAGACGTACCCCAGGAAGCGACCCTCCGCCAGTCAGACGTGCTCGTGGTGCGCGGAGAAGACTACAGGCCCAAACGGACCCGATCGATGGTCGATAACGTGCGGTACTTCTTCCACTCCCACCCAGAGTCCCCGACGTCGTCATCTGGCCACTCCTCGCCTACGCCGCCACTCGTGACGCCGGAGCCGGAGCCTGAGCCTGAGGCGCCTCCGAGCTCCTTCATGCCATGGTGGCGCAAGACGACGTTGCGCCGCCGGGTGCAGAGTTCCCCCGAGGTCCCCGGCGAGGAGCCGCAGCAGGCGGTTGCTGCGGGTCGGTCGTCGGAGGATAATCATAATTCTTTCCTTTGGAAGGTCCTGCCTGACAGGCCCAAGGAGGAACCCGCGCATACTGCGATGGATGATGATGGTCAGGCTGGGACGGCAAGCTCACGCCGAGGCACGGATACCATCCCTAGTCGGCGACGATCCCTCCTGGTGCCGTCGACGTTCTTTCGCGAGGCGAGTCCGCAGCCAACACCGTCGGCGCCGCCGCCTGCGATGCCTGTCGCGCGGAAGACGCTGAAGAGCGTGTTGTTCTTCCAGCGGTCGAACTCGTTCACGCCCATGGATTTGGACCGGACACACGAACCTGACCGATGATCAAAATTATTTATGCCCCGTCGTCTCCCTATATATGCTATTTCACACAGCTAATCTAGTTCGTGACTTTATTCGCGCTTTGCATTTTTTTTTTTTGCGTTGGTAGTAATCCTTCCGCCCCGCCCATGATACTAGTTCAGTCGGTACACGCGGACGTTTCGTAGCAGTTCTCCTTCATGCATGATAGATCGTTCATGTATCCTCCCAGCAGTTCACGCAATCATTGTAGATACCCTGTATCAATTTCAGCAGTTCATGCACATTTTGGCGTTCTTGGAGGGGTGATCACGTGTTGTCGCTGAACTTTGAATTGAAGTCGACCCCGACCACGACGAGCCTTCGTTGTGTCCGACCATGTCCGTTCTGTTCGAGACGTCTCTGGGCGACATTGTGATTGACCTCGAAGTGGAAGCGTGCCCAAAGACATGCGAAAACTTCCTCAAGCTGTGTAAGGTGTACTACTACAACCTGAACGCGTTCTTCAACGGTACGTCGTATTCTCGAGTGACGGCGCGACGCTAGCCTCACACGCTGGTCTGCAGTATCCAAGGACTTCCTAGCGCAGGCGGGAGATCCGTCTGCCACGGGCACAGGAGGCGAGTCTATTTGGTCTTTGATTGCCTCCAAGCAGGGACAACAACAACAGGCCCCGCGCTACTTCAGCCCCGAGTTCGTCCCGCGCCTGAAGCACAAGGCGCGGGGCACGGTCTCCATGGCCGTCGCGCCCGCGATCGACGGAACGCGAGGTGGCGGCTGCGGGAGCCAGTTCTTCATCACGCTCGCGGACGAGATCGACTACCTGGACGGGAAGCATGCCGTGTTCGGGCACGTCGTCGAGGGGCTGGACACGCTCGAGAAGCTCAATGAGGTGTTTACGGACCAGGAGGGCCGGCCGCTCAAGGATGTGCGCATACGGCATGTGGAGATTTTGGGTGCGTTGCTGCTGCACAGTGTCCTTCGTTTGGTGAGGGAGCGCTGATGGGATGGCCTCTAGATGATCCTTTTGAGGACCCTCCGGGGCTGGTGGTCCCGGAGTCGATCCCTACTAGTCCGCCGGACAACTCCACGCGCATCGCAGAGGACGAGGACCCGCTTGCGACGCTGCCTGAAGAGGAGGCGGAGGCAGAGCGGCGCAAGCAGGCCGCGAGGGCCTCAGCGCTTACGCTTGAAATGGTCGGGGACCTGCCCTTTGCGAACGTCCGACCGCCAGAGAACGTCCTCTTCGTGTGCAAGCTGAACGCTGTAACGAGAGACGAAGATTTGGAGCTCATATTCTCGCGATTTGGAACCATCATGAGTTGTCAGGTGATTCGAGACAAGAAGACGGGAGATTCACTCCAGTATGCGTTCATTGAGTTCGATAAACGAGAGGATGCGGAGCAGGTGTGTGCGTTCAGATGTTCATATTGTGTGAAATCTGACGCGTCGATGTTAGGCGTACTTCAAGATGCAGAATGTACTGGTCGATGACCGTCGTATCTGGGTAGACTTGTACGTTGTAAATTTACCAGTGTGAGGGCTCACTGACACTGTCCCTCAGCTCACAGTCTGTTGCCCGTCTCAACACTCATTGGTCAAACGACATCAAAATTGGACCGCGCCTCGGTCGCGGAGGCGGAGGTCGAGGACGAGGCGGTGGATTCGGCGGGCTAGAGAATCTGGAAGAGACGCGAAGGTACAGAGAGGGTTCGCGCGGTGCTGTCAACGGGTACGGGATGGTTTTCGACGTTCCTGAAGACCGGCATCGTCGTCGTAACCGCAGCCGAAGCGTCACTCGCGACAAGGAATACGGGAGACGATCGAGGTCTCCCCAGCATAGAGACCGTGGAGAACGCGAACGTCATCGGAGTCGTAGTAGGGATCATAATAGGCACTCGAGGGATCATTACGATCATGACCGTCGACGCTGATGGGGTCACCTGTTGGAGGTTATTCGACAGAGGCTCCTTATGGGACGCTGAGTGGCGGTGTGCGCTGTTTCTACTCGCCGTTGTTATGCTCACTCCACCACTTTTGACCAGTTTAGTCCGATGTCGGCTTTATGTGAGCCAGTGGCGGCTGACCCCGATTTGTCTTGTCTCACTCTACGCCATATAAAAGCCAGGGGCATTTATCCACTCCTAAGGAAGAACTTTCTCGATGCCTTTCGAACCTTGCGAACCCTTTGACTTTGCGGACGCCGATTTGGTGTTGCGCTCCTCTTCCGATGAAAATCTGGAATTTCACGTGCATCGATGTATCCTCTCCGTCTCGTCTCCATTTTTCAGACAGATGTTCACCCTCCCGCAGCCTCTGTCGGCTGATACGGATGCTCCCATTTTGGAAGTGTCGGAGAGTCCGACCATATTACAGGCGCTCCTGTCGTTTGTGTATCCCGTGCCCGACCCGCCGATTCATTCGCTGGATGAGCTAACGCCCATCCTCACCGCGGCATTCAAATACGAGATGACGGGCGTAATCGAGCAACTCCGAAAGGTCCTCGTCGTCCAGCATTTCCTGAAGGAAAACCCTACTCGCGTATATGCCATCGCTTCGCGATTTGACCTGGAGGGGGAAGCGCGGACCGCATCACGGTACACGCTCGCCGTGAATATTCTCGATTGTCCGCTACACGACGATCTCAAATACATCACTGCATATGCGTATCACCGCCTCCTCGATCTTCACCGCCGACGGGCGGAGGCTGCCCAGGCGTTGCTGCGGCTACCGGAGGAGGTGAAGTGCATGCGGTGCAATGGGACACAGTACCTTGCTTTCAGTCCACCAAAGTGGTGGCTGGACTTCGACGTGCGGGCGAGGGAGGAGCTGCGGGTGCGACCCACGACGGAGGTGGTTTTCTCGTTGGCGTTTCTTACGCGGTCGGCGCAGGCTGGGTGCGAGCGGTGTGCCGGGAGCATCCTTGATGCTCACCATTTCCTGGAGAAACTGAAGAATAGCATTGACGAGTTGCCCTCTACGATTTGACCATGGCGGCTTGGTCTTTCTGTTTGCATTGCACGGACGCTTGGCGATAAAACTTATCGTTGTTTATTACCCGCGTAGCGTACCTGCGCCTTGTACCTGTTTCTACTCTATCTAATCCATCTCCTTGACTCGTCTATCGCTTCCAAGCGCCCACGATCGAAGGCCCACTCATAAGGTCTGGTAGCGTCCATGTAGCATTCGCAGTTCCTCTCCACCATGTCGACACCCCAACTGGCAAACTTCAAGCTCCCGGCTTGTTATAATGAGCCCATGGTGAGTCTCAGCCGCGCAAAGTGTTCGCATCTGACCGCGCGTAGAGGAGTTATGGGCCCGGCTCCTCTGAGCGGAAGGCCTTGCAAGAGGCCATCGCTCAGATGGAGAGCGAGCTGCCCTTCGAGGTGCCATGCGTCGTGAACGGGAAGCCGGTGAGTGGCCATATCCATTGCTCTTACTCAGATCTGCCCATCGAGGCTGACCCTATCTCCCTTCAGGTAAAGACAGGGAAGCTTGCAAAGCAGCCCATACCCTCCGAGCACGCGAAACACCTCTGCACGTACCATGAAGCCGACCAGGCGACTGTCGCCAGTGCCATCGACGGCGCTCTGGCGGCCAAGGCGGAGTGGGAAGCCATGCCCTGGGGCGATCGCGCTGCCATCTTCCTCAAGGCGGCCGATCTGGTCAGCGGTAAGTACCGCTACAAGCTGATAGCTGCCACCATCCTTGGCCAGGGAAAGAATGCCTGGCAGGCGGAGATCGACGCTGCAGCAGAGGTGTGTCGCCTTCGTACTCGTTCTCGGTCATTTCACGGAAATAATCGCTGCTACTAGCTCTCGGACTTCCTCCGCTTCGGGGTAAAGTATGTCGAAGAGCTGTACTCTCAGCAACCGTCACAAAACTCGCCTGGCTGCTGGAAGTGAGTGGAGATCTAATACCGTTCTCAGTTTATATTCATTCCACGACAGTCGCGTCGAGTACCGTGCATTGGAGGGCTTCGTCCTCGCAGTGTCGCCATTCAACTTCACTGCCATCGGCGGTAACCTGCCAGGAGGTGAGCGGCCCAACGACGTATATCCCAGCAAAATCTCAACGATACGCACTCCTATCTCCAGCACCTGCTATGGTTGGTAACACCGTCGTGTGGAAGCCCTCGCCCGCAGCTACGTACGCCAGCTGGCTCGTCTACCAGATATTCCTCGAGGCGGGAATTCCCTCGGGTGTAATCCAGTTTGTCCCCGGCCCTCCCGCAGAGGTCGTCGGGCAGTGCATCGCACACCCGGACTTCGCCGCGCTGCACTTCACCGGCAGCACGTTCGTGTTCAAGCAGCTCTGGAAGGACATCGCGTCGCACGTCGACACGTACAAGAGCTACCCCCGCATTGTCGGCGAGACGGGTACGCCGCTGCTACTATGTATTATCCCTTCCTTTGAGTTGTGCCGTTCATGCTACTGCTCCAGGCGGGAAGAACTTCCACCTCGTACACTCCTCGGCTGAACCGAAGAACGCGGTGATGCAGACCATCCGGTCAGCTTTTGAGTACCAAGGTGTGCACAGCGCCAACGGGGCGTTGAGGGTGCTGATGTTGATGTCAACGATAGGCCAGAAGTGCTCCGCTCTGTCACGGCTGTACGTCGCGTCGTCCGTGTGGAACGCGGGCTTCAAGGACCTCCTGCTTTCTGAGATTGCGAAGCTAAAGGTTGGCAGCCCGAAGGAATTCACCAACTTCGTCGGGCCCGTCATGTATGTTTCTCTGATCGTTCCTCATTGAACATCTTTCTGAGGTGGGCGTGCAGCGGTCGGCCTGCGTTTGACAAAATTACCGGGTATATCAGGAAGGCCAAGGAGGCCGGCGGAGAGGTCCTGATCGGTGGTAGCGGTGAGTATTACAGGCAGCTGAACGGTCACCGTTCGCTCATGTCGTCATTGGAGGTGACGACTCGGTTGGATACTATGTCCAGCCCACCGTTATCCTCACGAAGGACCCGAAGTCTATCACCATGAGAGAGGAGATCTTCGGACCCGTGCTCACCGTGCGTGCAGACTGGCACTTTTGAGTTCCTCACCTTAAGGCAACGGTCTGGTAGGTCTTCGTATATGAGGACAGCGACTTCGACAAGACGCTAGAGCTGATCGACACCACGACCGCCTATGCTCTCACCGGGTCAATGTAAGTCCCGCTAAGTCCTGCCAGGCCCCAGCCTAGCTGGCCCGTACGCTAACGTCGAGCACAGCTTCGCGCAGGACCGCAAGGCGCTGATCCACGCGACGAATAAGCTACGCAACGCGGCCGGGAATGTGTACTACAACGAGAAGTCGACGGGCGCGGTCGTCGGGCAGCAACCATTCGGCGGCGGGCGCGCGAGCGGGACGAACGACAAGGCGGGAAGCATCTCCATCTTCTACCGCTTCGTCTCGCCACGCAGCATCAAGGAGAACTTCCTCTCGCTCGAGAGTTATACGTACCCGTCCAACTTGGCGTAGGCCTCCCGTCTCGCTGTAGTGGCCCTTCGAGAACTATGGGGTTTACGATGTGCTGAAAGAAAAAAGGAACGCTGTTGTAGGAAAGTAGTCGACAGAATGCCATTGTTATGCAAAAATGATACAATATATAGCTCTAGATCGTGCACTGTTTTGAAGGTGCCGGATGTACACGATGACGAGATGGGCGCACTGTGTTCAGGATCGCGATTCGGCCAGCCGGAGAGATCTTGGTGAACATAACGTTGAAGCGAAGTCGAAGGGAAAGGGCACAAAATGACGTCACAGCAGATCGAGCAGCGTAATCCAAGATAGAGGATTGAAGCGCACGTTGCCAGTCAAGTGTCCTCTGGCTCAGGGATCACCGCTCGCCGCAGAGGGCTTGGCCCCACGCCCACGCGGCTACCAGATACAGCCTGGTGCCACGTACGGTTGCGAGCCTGAAGGGGCCTGGCAGACTGGTGGTCATGAGTCAAACAACAGTCTGAAGAAGGGCGTCTGGTTATCATCCACATAGGAAACACTCACAGCACGTTGGGCCGACTGGGGCAGCGGTTGCGGCGGCGGAATCGGCTTTGGACGCCTGCTGGGATTCTGGACGAAGTTCAAAGTGAGTGGTATGCGTGTTACCGCGACACAAAGGGGACGCTCACCAAAGCGAAATATAGCTCTACCGCTGCGGCACCTTTCAGAGCTGTGAAATCCATGTTTTCGTTCAGACTCAGCAACTTCCTGAAGACGGCGGCCACAGTGGCCCTCGTCTGCGCGACATCATTGACATCCCATTCCGGATCTTCTTCTCCAGAGTTCATGGTAGAGCTGCAAAAGTTAGTTAGGAGGGATACTAAAGTCGAGATTATACTTACACAACAGAGAATGCACCGTCAAGGGCGTTCAGGATGTGCTGCTCGCGCTCCGGGGTGGGCCGCGGAACGTCAGGAGGGAGAGCTTCACCGTAGAGCTCGTCCGATGTTATCCCCAAGGTGCTCATCAAATGCCAACACAGTGTATGGCCCAGGAAAAATACTTGGAACGTTGGTGATGGTGCTCGAAGAGGTGGAAGAGAATAGGCGAGTGAAGGAGGCGAAATAAATACTTACTCACAATAGGCGCCCATAAAGTAAGAATACACACACGTGATGAACGCGTCGTCCGCCACATACGCGCTTTCCGCGACTGAGCCTCTCCTTCCGTAGCGGTTATTCTCTGACAGAATCGACCCTTCGAGTGGCTATTTGTGAAGAAGCTCTCTGGCTTCAAAATCTCTCCGCGATACCTCGACATGCGTACCCTCCATAGCGATCAACCGCAGACTCTGTGTGCAAGGTACTCCGAGAAATCCCCGATGCCAATATGAAAGTAGGACCTAACAAAAGCTGAAAGCACAAGACGGGACTAAGTCGACTGTCCCGCCGGAGACGATAGGTACTCAGAGACAATCTGCTTCACCCTAGGATCGACTCCTTCGAGTATTTCCAAAGTCTCAGTCTAAAATAAGGTCAATTCAGCACAGGTCCGTCACAGAACTCAGAGAAACACACCCAGACTCTTCCTGCAAGAGCCTTGCCCTCCTCCGTCCGCAAATAGTCGCTTTCTTCCACAACCTTACACGTACTGACGAAGTGCCCGTGGAACGCGCGCTCGTCCGGGTCGATCACGGAATGTACCAGTGTGCGGCTGCCGACCTCGGTCGTGCGCGCGAAGATGGCCTTAAAGCTCCTAATCACATATTTCTTCAGGGGTCGCTCGTCGGCTTCGCGTGTGAGCTTCGAGTGGCAGAAGCCTGGGTTAACGGCGAGAACGGCGACCGGGGTCGGTCGTGGCAGACGCGCCGCCAAGGATTCCACGAACATCACGCCGAGGACTGAAGATCATAGGTCAAAACCTGTCATAGGTGAGGGGGTGTGACTGCGTACGTTTGGAAGTGTAATACAGCTTGTCCATGTTCCTGTAGTGAGCAGTCAGTCCTAGCGTCAGAAGGTCTTCTAGTAGGCTTACTTCTGCGTGCAATACTTTGGGTCACTCAGTTCTTTGACGATATTCGGTGACTTCTTCACGTCATCCAGAGTGGCGAGGTAGTGGGCGTCACTGGAGACGATGAGAAGGCGTGATGCTGCATCGGCCGTAGCCGACTTGATCAGAGTAGGGAGTAGCAGAATGCTCAAGAGCGCATTGGACAGATAGTTGACCTGCAGACTTCAGGCACTTTGCATAAGCACGAGAGCGCGTTTCTCAAGTTGAACAATAAACGTACGTTTTCTCCCATCCGTCTGAAGTAGGAGCATAGATACTAGTCGCTACCCCAGCATTAATGAGCAGACTGTCGAGCTTCGCGTTACCACCGTCCGCAATTTCATCAGCAAATGCCCGAACAGAGTCGAACGATGAGAAGTCGACGAGCGACAGAGACAGCTCGCCGCTGTTAGCGCCATCTCCTATCACTGTCCGGGAAGTTACAGAGACGCCGCAGACTATACGAGTTGTTCGACTCACACTTCTTTGCCTCCTCCCCCTTTGTCGCATCTCTGCTGGTCACGACGAGTCTATCTGGTTCGAGCTGCGCAAGACGTTTGGCAGCCTCGAAGCCCAGCCCGACATTCGCGCCGACGACGACGATCGTCTTACCCTTCAGGCTGCCTGTCGGAACAGGGATATCGGTAAACTGCTCGCGCAGGAAACGTATAGCGTTTTTGATGACACCGGACATGGCGAACGGCAGGAATGCTGGGGGCTCGGTGGTCTCTGAGATTTATGATGGCAGGTCTATACCGTGAGCTAAGTCGAAGTGGCGTCGTGTGACGGCGATCGCGAGCTGCGCCGCTCCAAACCACCGTGCGCCATAGCCGAGCTTGTCGACGGTCGCGTACGTACGAGGTAGTGTTTGCAACTGCTTCGACCCTCACATGTTTTCTTTCTTCCACGATACTCTCGAGCTCTCTCACAGCAATATTTTGACTGTTTCACCGTGTCGTACCTGATGTACCATAAGTGAACTCATGATTCGTTTTCAAGTTCACAGTACGGCAGACTAAAACTTGGGCAGAATGATCGCGCAGTGTTCATGATCATATGCATCTGCCAGCCACCAAACTCCGGGCAACCACCTACAGCGTCGCTTTTCCAGACTCTCCCAGCCCGACAGCAGCAAGAGGGCCTCCAGGTATTGATGGGTTGAAGCTTCCCCGCAACCTCGGTCATTTCAGCATGTATGCTGTATTTGTTAAATGAAATACTCACCAACAATGTAGTAAGCATGAATTGATCCAAAGCGGTTCACACAAGTGAACATGCTTCATGTTTACCTTCACGTCTTCATACCTGAGGCGCTCAGTCCAACGACTATACTGCATGTAAAGCAACCTGCGAGACACGGTCAGTCCACATTTTCTTGCACGGCTTGAGAACAGGCCCAAGATTTGACAACATCCTGGTGTGCGCTGGTGTGCGCTTCCTTCGTTTCGCGCGGAAGATGCAGAATTCCATGGTGCTCAGATTGTGCGCCGCGCGGGATCTCGAGGGTTTCCGGTACGCAGCACAGCTGTAGCTTCGTTGATATCTAAATCCAAGCATTTATAGTAAGATTTTACAAAACGGATTTAACGACACACCTGTGCTCATATCGCAATGCTAGCATTTCGGAGGTCATCGATGTCAGCATGTCACCACATCAGCAAAACAAAGTTACCTACATGGAGTCAAGAAAGGTTTATTGGACTCACAACGCAGATCCGTACGAACATTCATATTCAAAACAAAGGAAACGGTGATATGGGCCGGAACTCCTTGAATGCCCGCTTCGCCCAATCTTGCATCTCCCTCTTCGTGATCTGGAACACATTGTTGACGGTCCTTTCCACGACGTCACGAGTAAGCGTTCGCGCCTCAGGCAGCGCGACGGGCACCATCCAATCGTGCGCGGCCTTCCTGTAAGCGTCGTATGTTTGCGGGACCTTCCATCCCGGAAAGTCGTCACCAAGCCTCGCTCGGAGCTGCGCGAGGTACAGCTCGCAGGCCCAACAGACGTCCTTACTGACACCGATAGTGTACTTGACCACGGCTATGCGCTGCTGATCTAGGTAGTGGACCATCTGCAGCTCGCAGTGCAGCTTCGGAACAACAGGGCTGTTGCTCTCACCATACTGCCAGGCGTCGTGGATGCGCAGGCAGGAGAACGCCCTCCGTTTGCGTTCTCGTGAAAGCCGCACACCGGAGCGGTGCAACACACCGCTGAACCAGTCTTCCGGCGAGGATGGCCATGTATAGGGGTTCGCGGGCACTCGGGGTATTACTTCTCCAACCCATACGATCTGTGCGCAATTCTCCAAGTCTTCTGGTTTCGGTGGCACTCCGGGTTGCAAGATTAAGTCGAAATACCTCGTTCCACGAAAAATGAAATCCGTCGCACCACCAAAGTAGCGTTCAAGACGCGCGATACGGCGGCGCAGGCAGAGAAGTAGATTTTTGCCCGGAGGACAGTTGGAGAGCTGCTTCATCCATACCGGACTCTGGTCGAGGTCCCTCAGAAAGTCCGACGAGTGCAGCACTTCACATCTGAAAATTACCTCTCGCAGGTAATTTATGCGTTCCTCGTCCGTGTCAAAGTTCTCGGTACGGATGCGCTGCGCACGGTCGAACAGGCATCGGAAAACATGCTTCAGCGCCTTGTGAGTGTCCCCGCCAAAAGATTTATCTGCGACTTTCTGGATTGGTGTGGAGGACTCCCCTCCATACGTCATTGTGGTCCAACGATCCACCCAGTCATCAACCAAGCCATCGATCCGCTGCAGGGTCTCGTCCGGTTCTCCTACCCCGTTCCACGAGTTTACATCCAGGATGAGATCAATCTTGCGAACGAGCCGCTCCCAGGCCGTTTGTGCGTACATGCGCACAAATTGCATGATGATGCCGTAGAAGACATCGGGGTCGTCAAGCCTGTCCTTCCGAGAGACGGCCTCAACGACTTCCGCTATGAACCGTTTGCCCATGAGATGGTCTTCTGCAGTAGGTGCTCGATCACTCGCAATGTGTATGGTGAGCATGCCAGGGCGAACAGAAAGTGCGGCGGCGAAACGAGCTCCGTCATTAGTGCGCACGAAGCACTGGGCGATCCAGTCCAGCACATTCTGCAACGAAGACCTTCGGGGGACCTCACGATCCTCCCCTGGATAGCGGGACTGGCAACGGAGGACTTGTATGGTGCGCAGATCGATAATGAACTCGGACTGCTTGTCGGTATCGTCCTCGACAAATGGGAAGTCTTCCGCGTTCACAACGGTGTCGGGAATATTTCTTCTGCGAGTGTTTACGGAGTCATTTGAGTCCTGCCAGATGTGATGAGACTGTCCAGTGTGATTAAACATAGCGCCTACCGTGAGTATGACACTCGGTGGATCTTTTTGAGAGTTGGAGAGTCTTTTCAGAGAGAAAAGCTTGGTAATGAAGCAACGGAGAGAGTGAAACATTTTCTTTCAGTCATTTACTTTTCATTACGTATGGCGTTGAGGACCGTTGCAAAGGGAGAAAATGTCAAGTGCAACTGAGAAGAACTTGGCGGATACGACTAAGAAAAAACAGTCACTTGGAGCGCACCGACGCTTGATCGAGTGACGGCAAACCGTGACATTCGCATTGGGAAGTGACATTGAATAATCTCGTTTGAACATTTCACCAGTCGATGGGAAGGGGAGAACGCACGGGGACCACAACTACGCTCTAGAATAATCGCAATCTCCAAATATACTGTAGAGAATCGCGTAAAGTAAGATAATACCTAACCGCATAACGTAATACAACAGCTGGACAAAAACTGTATGAGCGGGTGTACAACTTGGTAGGGAGCCAACCTCGTTTGCATCAGCTCTCCGTTAAGTCTATAATATTGGGCTCTCCCGGGAGTATGTCGAGTTCTTCGAGCTTTTCTTTCTTGACTCGGGCGTCTACGATTGCTCGTTTCTTCCTGCGTATCTTGCGCTCGAACTCCTTCGTGAGCGAGCGAATCTGATTCTTTAACGACACGATAGTTGTTAGTGTGCTCGTGAGACAGAGTACTTCCAGACTTACCGCCATAGCCGCCAGATTGGGGTCGTCACCAATTTCGTTAATCCCAACCATATCCAGACTCGCAGTATCAACGTCTATGACAGGCTTAACCTCTGGGGTAGCGTTGCGGCGTCGTTTCTTCAGAGGTGGGCCATCAAGTACGACGATGTCTGAGTCCGATTCGTATGTCTCAGCGGTGGCTGTCGCGGTATTCGAACCGGAAGGCTCGTCATTAGCCTCAACCCCCTCAGTAGTGATGATGCCCTGTGCCCGTAATAATTCTGCGACGGAAAATAATTTAAATGCTCGTGATCCGCAATCAGAACAAAATGCCATTACCTCTGGGCCTGTAGCGGAATCTAAAGGTAACATAGGGTTGGTCCCGTGAATCAATCCAGATTGGTTCATTATAGCGAATTTTCTCTGATTTCACACCGTCTCCATACCTGAGGTGCATTCAGGTCAGTGGGTAAACGGCATATAGAGTCACCTACGAAACACGATGAGTGCCCGCTTTCTTGCACCGCTCGTGGACGGGTTGAAGATTTGACAACTTCGTGCCCTTCGATGGTCTGTAGTACTTCCCTTCCTTCACACGGGAGAATCGAACTTCGATGGTGCCCAAATTGCGCAGCGCTGGATCTCGAGGGTTCGCCACCATTTCGTCGTCTGTTAGTAAGGTTATTCGGATGTCGAGTAACACTGGATGGCAGAACAACAGACGCCTACCTGTGACAGTAAGTGGGATGAATTGAAACGGCTTGACCGTCGTCTTATCGACGTAGGGACCCTTCACGATTCCTTGGGTATGGGGATAAAGGAGTGACCCACGCGCGAATTCACCATCAGCGTAACAGTCAAATACAACTAGAGCATCGAAGTTGCTCTTCACAACAATGGAGAACGTCTGTGAGAGACAATCACGCTGCATAAGTACGCACAAAAGAGACGATAGGAAGGCACATATACCTTGCCAGCCTCACTTGGAACGTAACAGCTAATTGTCCTTTCATCGTCGACGTTGACGGAAAACTCCTCCAAGTCCTGGCCTTCACAGGCGAGACGAACGCTGAACCCTCGGTGTTCAAGCATCGAACTATTGTAGTTATTGTAATTGCTATCACGTATGCAAAACGGGCTCAGGTGCCAAGTGGTGCTACAGTGCTTGAGGGTGGTCAACGATCAAACCAGGATGTCACGGTATTGGGAATGGTCACGACCTCACGCTTGGTGTCACGTCGCGTCGACGGTTGGCGGCGGGGGCCCGGCTGGACTGACAAGAATTTGATGCAATAGTGGATGCCTTCCCGTAGGATTTGGAGCACTTCTAAATCACAATGCGGACTGCGAAACACCCCACTGTGTCGGAACAGCAGGATTTGTGAAACCGTAGCGTCGCAACATGATGATGATCAAACCAAGTTCTAGAGGGTCGGAGGACGAGCGGCAGCATGATGTAAGCAATATGCAGCACCAAATATAGGCAAAGATGGGCATTGCGAGTGGGCGGAGATCGAAATCAGCGTTTAGAGAGACGTTTAGAATCTGGAAGGGGGGGTCGACCCCCCCTTCCAGATATAAGGTTTAGAAAGAGCTCACTTTGCTCTCACGGTATACGGAGATCAATTTGCCGACGTGCCGGCCTGATTTAGAGACGAAATTTAGTTTAGAACGTTTCTAAACGGCTACGGGAAGGCATCCAGTACTACTATCGTTGACCCGGATATGCCAAAAGTTTGGCACTTCTGGTCCCGCCGCGCAACACCTGGCGCGATAGTCTCCGGCACTCCATATGATGTTGATATGGCACGTAGAATACAACAGGTGGTTTTTCTGTATTTTTTAGAGCAATTTTTTGGGATCCGAGCGAGCCACACATACTTACCAAAAATTTAGAGCATCAAGAGTAGACACACAGGCTTCTACCTCTGCAATATTGAAGTGATCAGGTAAGAGAATAGAGCCGCAGGAAAAAATTTGGCACTTCTGGGACATTTGGCATATCCGGGTCCACGATAGTAGTGCTCGCGTTCGCCGAAACGTCAAGTATTAATTGCTAAGTACTTTGAACCTCGTGAAACATATAAGACATTAGACAATAGCGTTTGCAAGGAAGGGATATGATACATGTTCAAGAATTCTTCGAGGCAAGGCGCGCAATGGCTGAAATCACGTCCGCCGAAGTGGCAACAGCCCCGAAGATGCCCCCCTCCGTCTTGACCATTGTCACCGCAGCACGATGCAGCTCCTGCACACTGGCGGCGGCGGCATCCTCCACAAGCAAGCAATCATACCCCCGGTCATTCGCCTCGCGCATCATCGAAGACACGCACACGTCCGTCGTCACCCCACACACGACCAGGTTCTTCACGCAGCGCACCTTCAACAGCAGCTCGAAGTCTGTGTACGCGAACGCGGACTTGCCTGGTTTATCGACGACGGGCTCGCCCGGACGGGGATAGAGCTCGTCGACAATGTCGTGCCCGCGCTCGCCGCGGATGAGCAGCCGCCCTAGAGGTCCGACGTCTCCTATGCCCAACCCACTTGGATTATTACGCGACCTGCCAAGCTCGCGCAACGATAACGTGGAAAGGTCGGCGCGGTGTCCTTCGCGAGTATGAAAAATCGGAAAGCCGTGCACGCGGAACGTCTCGAGAAGAGAGGCGATCGTAGGGATAATAGCGCGTGTGCTGGCGATTGAGTAGCCTTGGTGCGCGAGATACCCCGCCTCTGAACAGACTGGATGATCCGCGGGTGTTGAGACGTGAGATCTCTAGCCAGTTCGAGGATGGAGAAGGACTTGCAGTCGTTCTGCATGTCGATTACAACGAGGGCTGTAGTAGAAGGAGACAGAGAGCCATCAAGTGGCCACTGGTAGGGCTGTGCAGCAATCGCCACCATATTTCTCTCCGATGAAGTCGAGAGCCTTCGGACGGAAGCTTGGTTTGAAGCAAGAGCCAGTGCCGGAGACGCCCGTAACTTCATGAAGAATTACCAAATCTGGAATTGCAGAAATTTCCCTGCACCAGCGACCATGGCTCAGGCTGTATTACCGTTCTCTGTCGCAGGCTTCACGCCCATCCCAGTATCCTATTCAGACTCTTCCACACACGTCCTTTATGCGCGTGCTCACACTGGGCCGAAGAAACCGAAAACAGACTCGAAGGGTAAGGCCGTCGTGCTCCCCGAGGACCGCACGCTCTTTCTCGTGAACGTCCCACCAGACGCGACGGAGCGAGAGCTCACCCTCTTCTTCAAGAGCAGCGGAACTGTAGAGAAAGTCCTCTTTGTCGGGGACGCGGAGGAGACTGATGAGCCGTCCGACGGAGAAAGCGACAGCGACGAGGAACAGGAAGCTGCGGAGAGTGATGCAGGGAGCGATGAGGATGCGAACGAGCGCCCCAGGAAAAAGCGGAAAAAGGGCAGGGCGGTCGCTCCACAGGTCGTGCCCCTCCCCTCACGACCGTTGCGGACATTTCGACGGACGGGCGGGAGGGCGCATGTCGTGTTCCTCGATGCGTCCTCCCTTGCTCGCGCATTGACTCCTCCCACAAAACCAAAACCATGGCCGACGGACACATCGGTACCATTGGGCCTTGCGCATTACACTGCTCTCTACGCGTCTCTCCGACCGCCGCTAGATACCGTGAAGGCGCACGCGGATACATGGATGGCGCATTTCGATTTTGAGGAAGCCAAAAAGAAGCAGGAGAGCAAATACAAGAAGGGAGAGGCGATCGTGGACGAGGACGGGTTCACGCTTGTCGCGCGGGGCGGGGCGTATGGTAAGACACTGGGTGGCGATGTTGGCGTTGCGAGCAAGAAGTTCCAGAACCAGCAGCAGAATGGCGGAGGAAAGAGGAACAGGAAGAAGAATGACAAGAAGGAGAAGGAGGGGTTCTATTCGTTTCAAATTCACGAAAAGAGGCGGAAAGGTGAGCAGAATCGGCCCCGTTGCGGGCGGACCATCGACTCAATGCTGTTTCAGAGCTCATGGACCTGAAGAAGAAGTGGGAAGAAGACAAGGCGAATGTGGAGAAGTTGAAGCAGTCGAGGAAATTCAAGCCATACTAGGGCTTCACATTGGGTGCATATCCCTACTATTCATTTGTTATCTCATGTACGGCTCACCATCTGGTCTGACATATGAGAGTAATCCCAGCAGAACACTAACATGTGTCGTGACCTACACCGACTCGAACTTGTGGAGATAACTGTTCGACGGTCATATAATTGTATCATTACATTGCTAATCTACAGTCCTTCAGATTCCTTCATATCCAGTGCACTGCAGATATAGACCAGGCAATCCGTGGTCCGTTAGGCTTCGTAGCTTGGAGGGCTGTCATTAGGAACATTCGATGCAGGAACATACGACGACGGCCCTGGAGCGTCACCCGGAGTCGAGTAAGATGCTGGCCGAGATAGAGCACCAGTAAGTGCCATACATGGGCGTTCAAGGTGTATTACGCACGAAGACCCTCTTCCTCATCCGCCGACTGCCGCCTCATGTACAGCGCGCGTTCGCGTGTCTTGTCCAAGGCGCTCGCAAACTCGAAGATCCCCTTGTTCATGAAACGCACCTCGGCCTTCGTCCCCTCCGCCAGCCCGCCGGCAGCGGCAGGATGGATGTCCAGGATGAGGTAGTTCGAGCCCAAGTACGGCTGCTCGAACTTGGTTGACAGGATCGACTTGAGCGGGACAGAGAGCGACTCGAACGACGCCTTGTCCCTTGTGGCGTCAGACACGAATATCACCTGCGATCAGGCAGGCCAGCCGGGGAAGAAGTCAACGAACAGTGGCGCAGCCGAGAGGGAAGGTGCAGCGCGCACTCGATGGTCAGTGAGCCAGAGGCGTCCCTGCTCCTTGAGCTTCTTCGACCCGCCCGACCCGCCTGAGCGTGCTGCGCCCGCCGGCGGCGAGTCGGTAACAACAAGCGTGAGCTCGACGCCGCTGTCGACCGTTCTGATCGTCATTTCGTGGGGCAGCGGGACTGGGGAACGATTTGGACTGAGCATAGTCCAGTTGAGCGCCATCGTGATCCGGTAATGCAACTACAGAGAGACGAGGAGGATTAGATAGAGGGAGACACTTGGTCGTAACTTGGGAGTGCTTTGGGAGAGATACAAGTGCCACAACGGCCCGGCGTTTGGGCTCGTGGAAATCTACCCTTCTCGCCGTATTTGGCAGGTGTTTATGATCATCGATCCTGTAGCAGGGTCGCAACAAACTGAACACCACCTACTATAGAGGATGGGAAAAAATTCTCACCAACTCCAAGTCACCATCATCCCTCTCTCGGAGGTGGAAGATACGATGACTGATATATATATTACGATGGATGGCATACACAACAAGTGGATCGGTGCAAAGAGACTACTCTAACAAAGGATCGGTCCCGCAAGCACCAATGCTTATGCTGACGAACGCAGGGAATCCTGCAGGCTTCTTCGCCATCGGTGGTGGGAGAGTTTTGAAGGCGAATCTATGCACCGATTATACATGCCGACCCGACCCTCAAACGTTCTGATACGCGAGCACTACAGGCGGTAGGCGGATTGCCTTGAAGGTTGATGCGCGCGTATATATGCCGGAAAGGGCGCCATAGTACGCACCCGCGGTCGCACACAGGCCGAACGCACCGCCGGCGGTACCCAGGTGAGGGTTGCCTGCGACGACGATAAGCTTGAGCGTAGTAGACAACACGGTCAAACGTACCGGTGAAGCTGTTCGCCGACAGGCACGTTAGAGCGAGGACGGTGAATCCAAGCGTTGCGCAGACGGGTAGAGTCGTTCTGAGGGCACCGATGCTAGATAACCGCGCATGTCAGCAACGGTACGGTGGGAACAAATCAGATCGCGCACAAGAAAAGCAAAGTGATCGCACTGGTCATGTCCGATTGTCAGAATTATAGGAGACTAATGAACTGTTCGACGTACTCCCAGATAGCCAGGTAGATGCCGATAGCGTGCGAGAATTCCTCTGTTACTACTCCGTCAACGGAGTACGCTGCCCTGTGGGGTAATCAACACTTGCGCCATATTGAAGACGAACCGATGAAAAAACTCACGCTAGTCCGATCTGTGGTAGATAAAGCGCACCGTATGAGAAGTTGAAGCCGCCATATGCACCGAAGACCGTCGCCGAGAATGTATCTCTGAGGACCATGTTAGAGAATGGGGGGACAGCTACGAAGAAACACCATACCCGAGGAACATACACCACATGCCCACTAATGTTTGTGAGATACCGCCGAAGCTAGTTTCAGATAAGAAAACCTGTGTTATTGCGATGTCACCACGGACGTACAATACTGCGAAGACCAGAACTAGGTTTGCCGACTGTACTCCCCCAGCGTGCAATGTCAGAAGGGACGAGCAGAAAAAAACGGTACCATAAGCCAGCATTCCAAGCGGTGCCTACACAGACACGATGAAAATGAGGGCATTGTATGAGAGAAACAGATTCCACTAACAGGGTCCGCATAGGAATGCTTGTACGCCTCGACGACAGGTGGCGGTGCATTGATAATGGAGTGAGGAACGCCATGCTCACTGTCAGTGGCATGCATAGCGCCAGACTTCTCAGACATGATGTCGTGTCAAAGGACCGTGGCGGGATCGACGAGAAGAGTGCTGTGTGGGGAGAGGGGCGGGGAGAAAATACCAGAGCAATGTCAGATTCTTATACAACAGTGAGAAGTGTCTATGATAGATCAAGAAACTCTGGGCGTGGTTGCGGAGGCACTAGAGCGCCATCGCCCCTCGCACGGTGCGAGGTGAGCATCTGCACGAAACGCGCTTCTGTGGAGTGCTAGCTTGGCATATTTGCTTTAGCCGATGCGAATTCCATTGTCTACGCTGGTCGCATCCATTAAAATTTGACTGCGTTCCCACTACGCTGCAATACTGCATAGTAGGTAAGAAGCACGATAAGAAGCCCGACGATTCCGCGAGAATGCAGAGTGAACGTTAATACCATTCTGGGACGATGTGCCATCACAGCAACCACGCAACCCACGCAACCGTGGATCCTCACACACGCCACCGTTTTCGGACTGGTGAACGCACGGTATGATGTTGCATGTGTGACATTTCGCATGCTCTAGGGTTCCGGAGGATCTGATCCAAACGCACCTGAAGCAATATGCCTGTCCTTTATCAATTGAGCAGTCGACAGCTGAGCGATGCGATCGCGTAACTTGCCATCCACACAAACACAGCTGACACGGCACAGCATTTCAACACTTACCTATGAGTTCTGGAGATGGCGACCATCATGCAGCCCCGGATTAACGTGAGCAGCGGAAGATTCTGAACAGAAATCAGCATGCAGTTACTACGCTGGTGAATGGTTTCAGCGGAATTAGAACACGGTGATCTGATCAGGAACATACGCTGTCGACTTCAGACTCTTGGGTTCAAGCTCAAGGATGAGACCAAAGAAATGTTTGACACAGAGGCCGGGAAGTACAACGCGCCAAACGCAACCGTGACAGAGCGGTTATGGACTATCGCAGCCACCATTCTGAAATTCCTGTCATGTCGAAATAGGTTTTGCTGCAGACCGTGAAAATTCTGTTCCACTGGCCAGCACGACGTCATGTATCGCGAAGCGCATCAGCGTGGGTGCTGTCCCACGTTTTGTTCTTGATAGCGTTCTGTCACTTGCACCAAGGGAAAACAAGGAAAGTAGCCTACCGGGAGAAGTTCCAGTGGTTCCACAACGCCGTAGCTGACATACCGAGATTACTTGTCACTGCAGCCTATGGCAGACGGAAGGTTGGATGTTGAGAAGTTCAGATCTCGGATGCGAGCTCGCGCTACGCGCCTTCAAGCGCAGGCTCCTGCCTATGTTGATCTCATCGACTTAAACCTAACAGGACTGTCACGAATGACTGAGCAGGCGGTGCCGCGAGCACATCCCAAGCAGAAAGTTTTCAAGAAGACGGTCTGCTATCGCAGCTTCAAGGGGAAAGAAAGCCTGGATCGCGCGCTAGTACGCACGGTACGGCTGCGCCTCTGACAAAAGTCCCATACACATATGGCGCTGGGAATATATAGCCAATCCTGAACTAGCTCTCCCAAATCTCAACTTCATTCGAGCCCCGACCCTCACGGCAAGGATGATGGAGGCCTACATCAAGTACTGGCTATTATACGTTGCACCTGTCTGGCGTAACTTTATTTGAAGGCCCCCCCCAGGACACAGCTAATCAGATGGTCACTCTGTACGTCTGATACCTCGAACGTCTTCTACTCGGTATCCCGCGTATGGCTCAGGGAGATTAAAGCTATGTATGTCGTCAGATCCGAACCGGCTAGAGTCTCTATACGCCGGTGGACTCGGCATTGACTTTCCCTCTAGGAAAGGTACGTATCGTCAGCACTGAGAGCACTCGCCGTTGTAGCACATGTCACCTTTCCTTCGTGGGGTCTGCTTGCTCACTCACTGCCGAAAGACTTTAGCAACGTGCATGAAGGCACCGGCAGATCAAAGTAAATTTCCTGACTCGCCCAATACTAGCGAGTTTATCTCTCCCGTATCGAGGTGGTAAGTTCTTCTTCCGTCTTCTTCCGCTATATCTGATATGTACTACGAGTGGGAAAGTTGCAGGAGAACGACCGACGTCGTCTCAGCCTATAGTCGTCTCTGAACGCTATCGTTGAATATTGAAACATCTCTCTCTTAGAGTTTGACTGTGAGCTATCTCTCGGCTCTCGACGTGCACGCGCCGCTCTCAGCGGTGGGACCATGCATACTGCTTCTGGCGCCTGAAATCCAGCACACCGCTTGCAGCACCCATTCATCGCTCCCTGCAGCGCAAAATTCCTTCTTACTCCGTGCGTCTTCGTATAACTGCATTTGTCTTAGGTCGATTGCGAGCGCATCCCTTGCCCACAGATACCACCGTCCTCTAGGCTTGCGTGATACTCGTGATATTTCGTCACTAGTACCTTCTCTTTCACGTACGTGAACACTTCTGGCCCTTGACTGTGCAACGTTCTCTCTGATTTCGTCATGTCGACTCCCGCAATATTTTTACGAAGGAAGCAATCGTCAACCGCATTATACAGCCAGCTGGTCCTCGTTCCTTGCTCTTTAGTCAACAATTTTTCCCCAAGTTCATCCGCTCAAAGTTCGTCCGCATCGGCATTCAAGTGATCGATCTCTGCCTCCTAAATCTCTCGCGGAGGCAATAGACACCAAAAGGCCGCCTTTGAGGACGAATCTCAGGCTCTCGATACTTACTCCTACCGATGCTCGATCAACTGACCGTCCAACCCCCAAAATAGCAGTGCACCCCAGTCACCAGCTCTCGCGTCGTGCGCACCCAGTGGGGGTGGTTGATTCGTACCGCGCATGAAAATAGCCCAAAGCAGCTTCTTCTACGGGGCTTCTTCCGTCCACCTTCCCCCTGGGGGATCTTCGGACGACCCCATTCTCGCTATCCGACCGCCAGGCCACTTCCGTATTTCTTCCGACATACTTCTCTGTTTCGTGCACGATGGCTATTACTTCATGTACGACGAAGGGTGGCACTGCAACATTCCCATCCGATAACATGTGCGGACGCTGGCTGCGCTGGCCTACTGGTGCCGAAGCTCTTCCGAGCCAAGCTTGGAGCAGATAGAGCATCAGACGGGCGCAGCGAGTCTATTTTGAAGCGTTGCAGGGGGTTTAGCGTGAGTCTGATTCCGCTTTTTTGTAACTCATGCTCACATTGAGAGCGCTGTACGGTGAAGCTACGCTGATAGGTTCAACAAAGATTCGCGATGATAGATACCAGCTCAGTCCGCAAGGCCAAAGTTGTGTGTATGTTATAATTAGCGGTGAACAAACTTACTTGACTGCGTACACGCAGTTCGCATGGAATTGAACTATCGCAATCTCAAATATCTATCTCTTCGTTGGTGGAGTACTCAGCAAATAAAAATTATGGAACCAGAGGTGTAATATTTGTGCCGGATACATTAGTATGGCTACCTGGCGCAATGGTAGCGCGTTTGGCTTCGATTGCCAGCGTACCAAAAGGTTGCAGGTTCGAGTCCTGCGGTGGTCATGAGCCAGGGGTATCTGTTTTTGCACTCAATTTGATTTTCTGAATTAAGTTGTTTTGTTCTACTCCAATTGTACAAATAAGAATGTTTCAACTAACTATAAGCTCTTTTAGCATTGGTGTTAATATTGTTCGCCTGAGAGAAACGCAACGATTACAACATCAATGTATGATCATGAATATTCATAACCATCTTCAGCACGATGAAACTCGCACGGCTGCCGCCCGATCGCGATGGCTTCCCCAGCGACCACCCTCCGAACCTCCATCTCCTCGTCAGGCACGCGCACACGGACACACAGCTCATCCGTGACCTCGTCGACGAAGTGCCACTGACCGCAGACGCCCTCACCGAACGGATGCGGGAAGAACTCGTCGTCCCCGGGCGCGTCCGGCGCGCGCAGGAACGGGTGTGCGAGCGCGCGGCGCGGTGTGAGGCGGCGCGTCGCCTCGGGCTCGAGCAGCTGTGCGGCGAGGTCGAGCGCGGCGTCGACGTCTGCGGCGTGCGCCTCCGCTGTGGGCGCGCGCACGCCGGGTGTGGAGGATCGCGAAGAGTGGCGTGGGGGGGAAGAGGAGGAAGTTGGGGGCCTGCCGGAGTGCGCGTGCTCGCTGGTGGTGTAGGGGTAGAAACGCGAGTCAGGGGTCGGGGGCTCGTGCAGTTCGGGGTTTTGGTGCAGGACGAAGTCGTGCCAGCTGATGCCGTCTTGCGTGATTGAGGGTACGTTCGACTGGAAGACACGGCCTGGAGTAAGGCTGGTTAGCTACGTGCGCGAGGTGTTGAGTACGAAGAGGGAACGGTGCGCATACTGTGCAGCGTTGCAACTTTCTCCATGCGCCTCTTTCCAATAATCGTCGCGATTTCCATCAGCGCTTCGATGTCGTCGTTCGAGTGAAAGAGCGGGAACTTCCCAGTGAGAAAGAACAGGAGGATCGTGCCGGCGGACCAGACGTCGATAGCTGCCATATATGCGTCGAATAAGTACCGAGTGAGTGCACATGGCTAGGCACCCTCACCGCCCGATTGTTCCCCACACTTGAACAATACCTCGGGGGCACGAAAGCCGCGCGTTCCCGCGCGATTTGCCTTCGAGTGTGGCCTGCGGCTGGCCGTCAGGGAGGATGCGGTGTTCATGTGAAGGCGAGGGCTCACCGATTATCCTTCTCCGGGTACCCAACTTTGTCAGAGGCCATCGCGCTCTTCATCCGGCCTTCCTTCTGCATGCGTTTGATATACTCGATGTCGTACTCCTCCCGCTGGCGGACGCGACCATGCGGGTGCTCGCGACTCGGCGCGGTGTGCAGGCACGCACCAAGTGTCGGCCCGCGTTCCATGCGCTGCCAAGGGCTCAGCGCGATTTTCGCACAAATACCAGAGAAACTCACTTACGCATGCGAGCCCGAAGTCGCAGAGCGTGCCGGTACCTGTGCGGGGGTCGAAGAGGAAGTTGGCTGGCTTCACGTCTCGGTGGATGATCCCCCGAGAGTGGATATCGCGCAGAGCGCGAAACATGCAGCGGAAATACGCCTTTATCCCCTCCATTGGCAGGAAGTGGTAGTAATCCTGTGAAGGATGTCAAAGAAGGGGCGGACGTACATTGCATGACGGCGCCACTCACCCGGAAGTCTTCGTTGCGGTGGTACGGCATGATTGCGACGACTTGGTCGCGCTCCCGGAACGCCGTAATGAGTTGTGATACGTGTCTACAGCCTCTGCAGTCTTCCATGATAGAAATTTCATTCCGTATCCGCTCGGGACCACTCGTGACATATATGCGCTTCACCGCAACAAATACTTTGCTCTCTGGCGGGTGCGGGACGGACTGGTAGTGCGCGGAGGACGCGGGCGCGTGGAAGCCGTGCCACGGGGAGTTGTCCCACTTGTTGTGGTAACCGAGGTCAATCGCCTTGTACACGGAGGAGAAGGTGCCCGTCCCGAGGCGGTCGACGACCTTGTAGTCCGGCGTGAGCTGTGGCACGGCGGCCTCGAGGTCCGCGATCTCCTCCTCGATCTCGTCCTGCTCGTCCGCGGGCTTGAGGAATATAGTCATCTCCTCGTCCGTCTCGCCCTGCGCGTCCGCGTCGTCGTCGTCGTCGTCCTGTTCCTCTTCTTCATCATCATCCTCATCGTCCTCGCCCTCGTCCTCCTCGTCGCCGTCCTGCGCTTCATCCTCTGCTTCGTGCCCATCCATGTCGTGCTCTTCGTCCTGGAACATCTCGTCGGCAAACTCGTCGTCACTCATGTCTTTGTCGAGGTCTGGGTGAGAGGGAGCGGGGGCGGGGGCGGCGGGAGTGGAAGGCTTCGAGTGGCGGAGAAGAGACGCGTTTGGGTATAGCCTGGATATATGGGAGTGGTACTGCTCCATTTCGGGAACATTGTAGTCGTTGAGGGGATCGTCGGAGGTGGGCTCGTCGCCGACAGCCTTCTTAGCGCGTTTCAACTGTCGAAGATAGGCCTTATTGCGAGAGTCGGAGGAGCCTACTTCGAGTGGATTGGAGGAATGTTGTGACAACAAGACAGTAGCCATATATCAAGAGCTCGACCGGCCTAGCACAATGTCGCAAGAAACACAAAAAAGTAAGACATCAAGAAATTATGTGTTACGCTGTCGTCTGCAGACCACACCATCGACAAACCGTGAGACGCGTCGCATCACGTGGGGGTCTCAATGGTGGACATTGCAAAACGTCTGCACAATTTGCACATGACCACCGCAGGACTCGAACCTGCAACCTTTTGGTACGCTGGCAATCGAAGCCAAACGCGCTACCATTGCGCCAGGTAGCCATGAGAATTTGGAGGGACAGATACATTTCGACTCGTTTGTTATATGGGAGACGCCGCTCTTGGGAGGGACAGCTTGAGGTCGGACGCTCATGTCGGGAGCGAATGTTTGAGCTAGGCTTGAGCAACTAGCGCAGATGCTCCTGGACGATATTCGCTACCTCGCCTACCTGCTCGTCTCCAGCCCTGCCTTCCAGCTGCTCTTCCCCTTTCTTATTCTCTTCCTCGTCCCTCTCCTCGTCCTCTCCCTCCACGCTCGCAAAGCCGCCATCGCTGCCTCCATTTTAATGGTCCTCGAAGCACTTGCCTACGCCCTCCCCTGGAACTGGTTCGACTCCCATTCGACACCCGCCCATGCAGAGAAGAGGAAGTCCCGCAAGAAGGCCGTCCGCACCCGCGCAGACGAGCTCGCCAGCAGGAAGGCCGAAAACCATGGTGCGTCGCATCCTCGCTCACTGCCTTCTCCGTATCTGCTCAACTTTCGGGTCGCAGAGCTCTCAGAGCACCTTGCGGCTGACGGGGGTTACTACCCTGGGCTCGTCAATATCTCTGGCACGTATTGCTTCATGGACTCCACCCTGCAGGTACGTGTCGATAGCGCATACATCACCTTACCATGTGCTCATCTCGCTTGCAGGCGATGGCCTCCCTCACATATCTGCAGCCCCACATAGATGCCATCCACGCCAAAGCCGTGGCGCTAGACGTACCCACCCCCGTCGTAGACGCCCTCCGCGCGCTCCTCCACAGTCAGTCCATTCCTGAAATGCCCTTGTCCCCGCACTGACCCGCTTTCCCACTAGCCCTGAACACCCCCAGCTCTGCACCCTCAGCCCTGCGCCCCATCGAGATGATCAGCGCTCTCTCCGCATCATCCTCCGCGCGGCACAATTCCCTCTTCTCCTCGCGCGAGCACCAGGACGCCCAAGAGCTTTTCCAGCTGCTCTCCGAGTGCATCAAGAATGAAGCGGCCGCCGTCGACCGCGAGGGGCACAGAGACCGCGGACTCGGTGCGCTCGCGCACGCCGAGGGCCCTGCCTCCCGCGAGATAGGTACGAGCGTCTTCGACGGGCTTACCGCGAATCGCCGAAGTTGCATGGAGTGTGGGTACACCGAGGCGGTCATGCACTTCGCCTTCGACAACTGGCAATTGGCTGTCCCCCGGCTTACGGTGCGTGCGTTCCTGACTTCTCCGATACGGCTTCGGACTTATTCGCCGACATGACTTGGTTGGCGTGCAGTCGGCGTGCAGGCTCGAGGACTGCTTGGAGGATTACACGAGACTTGAGATCCTGACGGACTGCGTCTGCCGCAAGTGCTCCATGCTCGCGACGTACTACCGGCTACAGCAGGAAGCAGAGAAGCTGACGGAGGCTGCGGATGTGCACGAATCCAGTCCGTCGAAGAAGAAGCGGGCGCGCGAGGCACGGAAGTTGCTTGCACGCGTAAAGGCTGCGATAGACCAGGGTCGGATCGAGGAGGACATCAAAGGCGTGAAGATGGAACGAGTGTTCAGCAAGGCATCGACTAAGCAGGCGATGATAGCCAGAGTGAGTAGCCTTTTGCACCGTCTCTCGAATATTCCTCACGGACCTGCTCACTAGCCTCCGCGCGTGCTCGCACTACATCTCAACCGTTCCGTCCACTATGGCCACTACGCGGGCAAGAACACCTGTCGCGTACTCTTCCCCGAGATCCTCGACCTGACACCATACACCACCTCCGGCCAGCTCTCGACCGTCCCCTCCGTACCCATATCCACACCTGCGCCCGCACTACCGCGGAGCACGACCCCGACGCCTGCGAGCGTCTCCGCACCACGCACGCTCTACCGCCTCGCCGCCGTCGTCTGCCACTACGGCGCCCACTCCTTCGGGCACTACGTCTGCTTCCGGCGCAAACCGCGGCGGCACGCAACGCCTCCAACCCTAGCGTGCCCGCTCAGCTGTGAGTGCCCCCGTTGCGCGCGCTTCGGGCCCGTGCGCGACGACGCGGACCCAGATCCGGACGCCGCGCGCCCCGGGTGCGGCTGGCTCCGCGTGAGCGACGACAGCGTACGCGAGTGCGGGCTCGAGAGCGTGCTGCAGGAGGGCGCGGGCGTGTTCATGCTCTACTACGAGCGCGTCGTCCTCCCGCGCGGCGGGCCGTACATGGTGCGCTCACCGCGCAGCTCCGAAGAGACGCTGCGCCCCGAGGGCGTGCGCGCGAACGGCTCGTGGGCGTCCCTCGCCAGCGAGGACGGCGGAGTTGTGCTGCATACGCCGGTGCCGAAGGCGGTTGGGCCGCGCATTGTGCGTAATGTGTCGGCGCAGGTGCGCGGAATGTCGCGCTCGCCGTCGGCCCGCGAGGAGGGCACCCCTCAGCCGCTTCCGAAGATGCTGAACGGGAAGTTGCATGCGGGCCTTAATGGGGATGCAGTGCTGCCAAATGGAGACGCTTTTCTACCACCACAAGACAGAGATGCAGCTCTAACGACCCAAGACGGAGGTGCAGTTCTAGCACTACAAGACGGAGATGCAGTTCTAGCACCGCAAGACCGCAAATATGAATCAGAACCTGAACCGGAACTGAACGGCGTCGTCGAAGCGACAATAGCTGCGCCTGCTCCGAGCGTCGAGCCTAAGTCTGAGCATGAAGCAGCACCCGCGACGTCGCCGGTACGCCCCTCATCCTCCTCGAAGCCAGCATCGTCCCCATCACCGTCTCCCCGTCTGCCCAGACAGCCGCTTCCCCGCGCGTCCCCGCAACCGCAGCGCATCGCCTCACCAGCGGGGCGCCCGCCGTCCCCCACGCGAATGGTCGGTCTGCGCGCATAGCATAACAGAAGGTTCCCCGTGCCCCGGAATCCACATGTGTATCTGTAGTAATGTCGCTATCTTACATCAATATTCCCCTCCAGTCGTCGCATGTTTCATTTCCTTTTACCACGTTCTGTGATCGCAAAGGCGGGCTTTGAAGAATGCTGTTGCCGCTCCTGCGGGAGAGCTCTAACATGTCCATTCCGCTGCTAGTCAAGATCCAATATACAAATAATACAGTCCAGGTCCTTCTCCCCACGAAGTACCAGCGAGATAGATGATGTCAGTATGTACAATACGGCGCAGCGTCCGCGCGGCGGGGAGCAGCGTCTCCTGGGCACGGCGCTGACGGGCCAGATACGAGGTCCCGGAAGGGGAGGTGGATCACCAGTAGACCATGCGCTCTATTGTCCGGTGTTTGGGCACCGTCGGGCGGGTGTACGAGATCGTCCGCTTCACGCGGGTGACGGTGGGGTACCTGTGCAATCGCGGCGAGCTCAGGGCACGCGGGTGCAGTATGGGGTAAGGGGGACACACCAGGCTTGGTAGACCTCTTCGGGCCCGAGCCGCACCTCGACGATCTGCCGGCCCTGCGGGGGAGGTCAGCTGGGCTCCGAGTGAATATGGGTGGTACGGTGCTCACAGCGTAGTCGATGTGGGACCCGATGACGAGGCCCTCTTTTCGGCCGTACTGGCCGTGCTGCACGGCGACGATATCGCCGGGCTACAGGTAGCGCATGCAGTTAGTTAACACTTGGTCCGTGGGTGTATGCAGGCGGAATCGACTCACGGCGATGGATTCATCAGAGGACGACATGGTGATACTGATAACGACTTACAGACGAGCACGGTTCTCGAGAGCTGAGGACGCAGGTAGGCGAGGGACGAGGAGATGCAGAGGAAAAAAATGGGAGAAAAATAAGTTTTTATAGATAAGATGTGCGGGCCCTGGGAGTGTTCCGTCGTGTTCTCGTGCGGCAACCACGAGGCAAGTCATGGTCGCCGTCGCGCTCTGATGGACTCCGTTTCCCGACCCCTTGTCCTCCATTTGTTGACCGCGTGAAATGAACAGGAAATTTGCAGCCGACGCGGACACCCCGGGCGATAATTGCGCGCAATTGTTGTATGGCCTTTTATCCGAATTTTTATTGTTTGAATTTTTTCTCGCTCGGAGTCTCATCGTCGCGTATAGCGCTAGGCGGGCACGCGCTGGAGCCTCACGGCATCAGAATATCCTGGCGAGGGCGGCGTGTCGGGCAGTAAAAATGACGATCATGACAAACCGAAGCGAGAGATGGCTGCGTGAATCAAGCAGCTGGCACATGGCGGACACGCGCAACGATTCCACATCGCCATCGGATGCTGCCAGAAAAGCTGCGTGAACTATCGATACACCTATTCAGAGTAAGCACTACTATTACAGTGATCCACAAGACGTCAACGGGCTACACTGTGCAGCGTGTGCAGAGGACGCGAGGAATGCACGCACACAACGGCCCTCATCGACCTCGTAGGGCACCCCACCAATCGCGGAGTAGATCGCGGATACGCAACCTCGCCCAGGTGTCTGCGACAGCTGCCCCGGAGGCAGTGCCCTCCTCCTCGGCGTCAGTAACGCCCCGGGGTTGAGGGCTAACGCTGCTGGCCTGCATCCTCTCAGCAAGACCGCGCAAGATGTCCTCCCCAGAATCGCGGTACACGCGCTCGAGCTCGGCCGTGCGCATGTAATATGGTCTGCGCACGGCGTAGGGTGCCAGGCCGTTGTATTTTCTGACAAGCGAGTTCACCTCCTCGAGCGCCGTGTCGTGGTACGACTTCTCACGCGCCTCCCATTCTGCATCGCGCAGCGAAGTAACATCGGTGAGTGTCAAGGTAGGAAGCAGGGCTAGGGGCTGGGAAGAGGTGAGCATTCGGATAGCACGGCGGATCCAGGACTGCTTGACCACTTCGCGGAAGGAGGCGATCGCAGCTTCCAGCTCTGCAGACGCAGTCAACACCTTGAAGACGAGCCTAATCAGCATACTGACCCCCCTGTATTTCCACCCACGGAGGAGCAGCACCGTTGCGTTGGACAATTCTGTTCATGAGGAATTCCTCTCGAGCGATAAACGGATTCCTCTCTTGAGTGGTGGACGCAAGAGGTTGTCCTCGACCTTTGACAGTCTTGAACAAGCCTTCCATGCGGGCTTTCTGCATACAATCGGTTACTAGAGTAGTATACATGAGATACTAGGACGCACCTCTATTCTGTCTTCTACCAAACTCGCCCAGCCTTTCATGCTGACCGGGTTTGGTCGTCGATAGTCAGTTGCCCCGCCTCTCTTAATTCCGAGACGATAGTCTAGGGTGGATTCCCGGGCTCTCGACAGCCTGCCAGCCTTCTCCGTCCGCTTCCTGGCTTCCTTCTCCTTCTTCCTTGCCCGCTCGTCCAGCGACTGTGAGATGACGGGGCTCCTTGGCGGTGAGGGGATACGTCCATAGCGAACACTCGAAGTTGCATGTGAGGGGGCCTTGAAGGTCGTGTGCCAAGGCTTGTGTCCCTCAATCGACGGCAGCAGCGGCTCGTTCGCAGACCTGACACGGACCACGTCTGCTGCCTGTGCCTCGATCTTCGTCCCCCCCTCACCAACCGCGTCTCCACTAGTGTTAACACCATCTTCAGCACTCACCGAACCTGTGTCGGGGATATGCACCCGCGGCGGCGCCTGCCTGAGCTTCTCGTCCGCCGAGCGTATCTGCCCGCCGCGCAGAGGTTTGTACTTATCGACGAGCATGCGGAGTACCGCGTGCTCCAGCGCCTCGTCGCCCGTCCAGTTCTCGTTTTCGCGCTCTAGGGCGGCAGGACGCGCAGGGGCAGCGCGCTCTGCCGCCTCCTCTCGCGCGGCGTCCTCGAATAGCTTCGCACTCGCACGATGGTCTGGGCGGCTGGACGATGCATCAGCGTTGACGTTAGCGTTGGCTGCATCACGCGCGAGGAGGCGGCGGTGAAGGCTGTGCGGAGCTCTGAGGGGAACTACTAGGGGACGAGCTTTTGAGTATGGTAGTCGCACAGAGATCATGCAGGTCGGAGGTCAAGTCCGAGTCGGGTCTCAGCCACATCTCAAGATCTCAGATCTCTCTCACCATCTATCGCTCGGGCCGCGCTGAGTATTGAAGTCTCCCCTAGTGGCGTGATATAACACACCAGGTGCGACACGGTGAGATTGGCAAAAATATCGGCATGATAGAGCTTGCCGTGCCAGAAAGACAGAGTAACTTTAATCTCGTTCGTGTCGACCTTTCGGACTCCCTGGAAGCAACATCAAGAGCGCACGAACCCAGTGACGTTATGTAGGGCATAAAAATATCTCAACATTTTGCAAGCAAGATCGCGCATGCATTCTTCGTAGGAAAGGTTCCAGTGTTCTTCGGGGCGTGATTAGCTTTCAAACCATCCAAAACTCAAGCATAATGAGGGAAGCCCGCATCCACAGAGCGAGCAACCGCAAACTCTGATCTAGCCGAGATGCGGGTCTAAAATAAGGCACCTGCCGAGGCGATCAAAGTGGGGAACTCAGGGAGGGACATAATTGAACAGGGCACATGAATAGTCAGCGAGAAACAGGACGAAGAGCAAAAACACGAAGAGCAACAACACAGAGGGCCGAGGGCTCCGAGTCATAGTCATGCTCACCTCAAGCCTGAGGCTGCGGCAGTCGAATTACGACGGAACAAGTGCCCCTGATTCTGGCATTCCACAGACCGTATTGATATGTTTTGATCAAAGGACCAGGGTCGCAACAAGATGCTGCTCAAGTTGCACAGACCTTTCTTAGATTGGGAGACAGACGGACACTGCATAATTAGTTGAGTAACAGAAGTTCCGTTGCAGTGGATAGAACCAACGCGGAAATAAAGCTGTGAAGTACACAGCGGGTTACAAAGCGGATAGAACCAACACCGCTTCTTCCCCAACGTACAATATGCAGTGGATACAACCGACACCGAGACGAATATATTCTCCAAGTACGAGATAATGAAAATGAAACAGAGGGGATAAAGCCGACGTTGAGATTTTCAAGAATCCACGTACGTCGGACCCAACATATCGCCAGTTGTGCGACATCGTCTCGAAAGTTCGGTGCCAGCGGTGGATCATCTTCCACAACGGCACAACGACATGCCTACACAGCCGTTCTCCAGCTCCATGTTTGAGTACCTCGTCCAGGCGGGCCAACAGCAACGCGAGTCTTCGCTTCGGGTGACCTGTACGTCTCAAAGCAGCGGTGGGGTAAGCGTTCGAGCGCGCTGACTCGCAGCGCTTGAGCAGACAGCTTCATGGCCATACTTGAGGAAGTGGCGAACGCGACCGTCCTTGTCCTGGGCTGGGCAGGCGAAGGGTTCTGATGCCTCTGGCTATTTGTGGTGGGCGCGAGAGCGATCGAGAGCGTAGGTACCCGGCGCGACGGCGGCCTGACAGCCTGAGCCTGAGGACGGTGCGCGAAGAGTAACAGCATGGAGATGGAAGACGGACTTTGGGTTGGATGGGACCCTGCCACCGCGGAGCTGGGTGGAGGTGTGTAACAAATAATGTTGCTCTCCGAGTCGCCTTGACACGCTCCCGGCTCAGAGCTTCCATAGGACTGAGCGACACCCGCATGCCGTATGCTCTCCAGCGTGGGGATCTCTTGCGTTCCACCTTATTCCCGTGCAGCACGCGAACTGCCGGTGGCACAGTACTCGATTCAGCACGTCCGGTTTCAGTTCCAGTGCTTCCACGACAAGTAGCCGGAGGAGGCGGCCGACCCGCCAACCATGATGACCGCACAGGTGCATCAAACCGGTATGTTTTCCGTAGCTGTCGTGCGTGAAACTCCCACTTCTATGAGCCTGAGTAGCGTCCGCACTGCCCCTGAAAATGCTGATTCAGAACGGCCTCGTTGTGCCTCGCCTTGACGTGGCGCTCGACGTCGCCTGTGCCGGCGCTGGAGGATAAGGTGGTCATTAGGACGGTGAAGAGACAGATACTTGAGTTAACGCACATCCATTCGTAAAATAACGCGTGCGATACACAGATGAGTTTATCTGCTTGAGGTGCAGAATAATTCAGCGGCCTCAAGAAAGACGATACATAGTACTCAACTCTTCCATTGTTTGACTAGTGTCCACGGTTGAGCACTGAGACGGACGCGCTTATGCTCGGGCAAGGCGGTCCCGTGAGATCTGATCTGCTGGTTACGCCGGAAGGTCTCCATCATTCGTTTGATGCAAACACCAACCGAGCGCTGATGGTGCACGTAGAGACCTATAGATAACAATAGAACACTCTTCTAAAAAACAAGTAGTAGAGACTCAGCAAGTCGCAGGCAAAAACTGTGGCGGCGTACATAATAGGAAAGCATATCAAGGCGTCAAAAACCAGACACAGATATTCCTTAGTGTTCCTAGTGGGAGTCGAGCCCACGTCTTCACAGTTCAAGTACTTCAGGAGTCGGTACCACAATGTGATGATCTAACCACTAATCGATAGGAACTTCACAAACGAAAAGTGGACCTTGAACGTATTCGGAAGATAAAGTGCTTCAAAAGGCACCCTCTGTTCTGCATTGAGTGATAAGGAGAAAGGACAGCTGTTGCCAGCAGACGATGGTGTGTGTACAAGCCCCACGCACCAGTCAATCAAAGCATAATGTCGGGATTTCTCCGCCGGGGTACGCAGAAAGCGGTAGAGAGGCTGCGCCATATCGCAAGCAACGCACAGAGCTCATACAGTAAAAACATTCTGCCATGTCAGAGGAGCCTGCAGATATTTCAGAAGGATAGACAGTCAAGATGCTGAATGGTGCGCAAACACACAAGTGTCCCTGGAGGTTTCTGGCAGTATTAGAAGACAGCAGAGAGCTTTCAGCACGGAGCAACAGCATGCAGGATGATTCCTGCGCATGACAATCGTGAAAAAAGACGCGTGTCACCATCGGTCAGGAAAGCCTAGACAGCAGGCGAATTCGAGGATGAGGACGGTGGCTTGGGCAAAAGAATATGATTAGCAACCGGTAAAGACGGGTTTGACTCTACGTCGATTCCACTCCACGTATTCAAGTCATGCAGGAACGGCGGTGAGTTGGAGAAGACAGTGCCCGGCCATGGCGATAGTAGCTCGATGCATGCTCGTTCACCAGGACACGTTATCCAATTCAGGAGCTTCCTGAGCGCATAACAACTTAGTTTAATCCACATAATATGGCGCTCACAGTGAGGAAGCCATATCAAGGCACTGAATATACGGGCCTCTGTGTCCTAACGGTGTGCCCATGTTAGAGAGAGCGAGTCCGAAATCCAAAACAAAGATCGGTTGATGTCAGCCAAATGGTGGGAACCGCAAAGGAGAAGAAGGCGCCCGCTGAGTGATGCACGATAATATGTCAAGGCAGTGTCCACAGTTGCAAGTACTGTAGCCAGATTTCTTTCTGCTCAGTAAGCTACAAGAAAGCGAGGAGGCACGTTGGAAGGCGCCCATACTTCTTGTATGCACGTGACTAACGCGTCGCGCGTGCTCCACATTTGCCAGTTGCCACAGGCGCGACTCCGCGTAGTAGGGGGGAGGAGATTACAGTACGTACATGCAATCATGAGTGATTTTGCGACGATGTCTGCTCTTTGAAGGCGCAGTTACCTAGAGCTATCCCATTGTATGAGCTCAAACTACCTACTGTGTCTGATTCGATCATTCTACTAGTCTCATTCCTCTATCGCGGTGAATACTGCAGACCGCGTCTTGCAGTCACTGCATCGTCCATAAATGCGGCTATAATTAATAGCTCGTGTCCGAAGTTCGTGAGTCCGTCTGGAGCAGGAGCTGCCTGTGTATCCGACACCGGGCAAGTTGTCCGCAACCGCCAACGCGCGGCCAGGACATGCCAGATAGACAACCACGTAAACACCGAGACATTCTACAAACGCGTATACGCCCCGATACGCGGTGTGTAGATGCGATCAGCGGTGGTTAATACAGCGCGGTACTGTCATCCTCACGAGGCACGAAGATAATATTGCGCCGCTCCGCGTCCCGCCGCCGTTCAAGTTCCTTGTCTAGGAACACGCAAAGCGCACGGACGTTCTCGCCGCGGAAGACTCGGTACACGCCCCGGGCGCGCTCGTCATAGCCCGGCGGCGCAGGATCGGAGAACCGAGCAACACCCGCGCGCCGCAGAGCGCGCACACCGGACGCACCGAACACGGCGAGCCGCACGAGCTTCCGCACGACGACATGCGCCGCGTCGAGGGAGAGGCGCGCACAGTGCGCGATGTGCAGGCGCTCGAGCGCAGGCGTGTGTTCCGCTATGAACAGGAGGGCGTTGTCCGTCACGCGCGGAATCCCCGCAATTACAAGCCGCCTCAGGGGCAATCCCGCTAGCTCGAGCACCGCGAGGTCCGTCAAATTCGTGCAGACTGCAACGGGCGTCAGCGTATGATGTAAACACACCAGCTAGGGGTGCTCACGGCTGACGTCGACAGACTTAAGTTGCGGGCACGAGCGCACAAGGTGCACGATCCCGCGGTCTGTGATACGCTCGAGCTGCGCGAGTCGGAGCACACCGAGGTACGCGCCGAGCACCGCGATACTCTCCAGCGCGCCATCGGTGAGCAACACGCACCCCGACACAGTGAGATGCTGTATATAATGCGCGTGCGTGACAATGCCTGCAATGGCCGCGTCAGTGATCTTCGGGCAGTGCGCGAGGTCTAGCAGACGGAGATCGAGAAAGGCGTTTGCGTCGTGCGAGAGTATCAGCGGTGGAAGCTCGTCAAGCCAGGTAGGTGGCCGCGCAGGAGGTGCAACACCGTCCTCCCCCTCGAGCTCCCCGCTGCCCTGCGAGCGCGGGCGAGGCGCGAAGGGGAAGGCGCGATCAGTCAGTTGGGTGCAACGTGCGAGCTTGAGACGCTGAAGATTGCGGGAAAAGGTCCAAATGTCGCGCACAGAGGCGGCTGTGATGAGTGGGAGGTCACACAGCTCGAGTTCAAGGAGGTGTGGGAGGGAGCACGCGAGGGCGGATATAGCGGGATCCGCGAGGCCAGGGATGGCGCTTAGCTTCAGTACTACCAGGTTCGTCGCCGTCGCGGCGAGCTCGAGGATGCCGACGTCTGTGAGCAGGGTGCAGCCAGAGACATCGAGGTAACTCAAATACGGAGCAGCGGTGGCGAGGAGGATGAGAGTGCGGTCGGAGAGATCAGGCGCGCCAGAAAGATAGAGAAATTCGAGATGTGAGCAGGCAGGAAAAATGGCCGCGAGCTCCTCATCTGTAACCCCATGCTCAACGTCGCAGTGCAATTCAAGATGTTGGGCAAGAAAGCAGGCATCCTCGCCGTGTGGTAGGGTGTTGATGAAGTCCATGCACTATAGCTAACCAATGAGGTAAAAAAGAGATGAGGATGGATCAGATGTTCCTAGCGGGAGTCGAGCCCACGTCTTCACGGTTTCTGGCACTCCTGCGCGACACCACAACGTGATGATCTAACCACTAATCGATAGGAACTACAGGTAACTTTCTCCAATGCACTTATTGATAGTCTTCAACGGAAGGCTTCCTGAGTATAGGGGAGTCTCCTTGTCACGTCACGGTAGGTATAGAGTGGCATAGCTCATTGATCGGATTGTGGCGGAAGAGCGAGCGTTCTCCATACTCGGGCCAACATGAGACGCGTTACCCGATCTTCTGCAGCAGCCATGGACCACCAGTCCCATCCCGACAATGGCTACGACATCAACAAGGCTCATGACGGCAACGGCAACGCCGAAGCTAGCGGGAGCATCGCCCCGCCCACCCTCGAGGTAAGCCTACCCCGCGAGCCGCACGCTGTATTTGAGCGCGACTGGTATTCACCATTTAAGTCTACCGCAGATCCATATTAGACGTGCATTAAAGGGCGCGCAGGCTCTCCAAGAGGAGCTCGCGACGCTGCAGAAGCGCAATGGCGCACTGCAGCGCAGGCTAGACGTGCTCGAGCAGGACGGCCAGGTTGATGTGCAGCCCCGGAGGGGCCGCGGAGCTCGGCCGACTGTGAGCGGGCTGCAGGTGCAGGTGCAAGAGCTCAAGGATCAGATAAAGAAGCTGGAGAAGGTGCGCCCGCTGTGTGTCTGTCCCAATGCACTGTCGCTGGACCGATGTCGGGCAGGACAAGAAGAAGGACAAGCGGAAGATCGAGAAGGTATGTGCGATCCACACGTCTTTTCCCGCCAGTTCCAACTTATTATACACATCTGTACCCAGCTTAAACTCAAGGAAGTGAAAGAGGACGCGGTCGATCTGCAGGAAGCCGCATTCGAGGTCGGCGACACCGCCTACCGCATGCGCAAGGTGTGTGCCGGTATGTTCCCCATGCCTGCGCCGACTTTCCGTTCACTCTCCACACCTAGCTCTTACGGCGCTTCCACGACCTCATGCTCAGCCCCTCGCTCGAAGAGGGAGAGGAGTGCCCTGTGTGCATGGAATCGCTCGTCCCCACCAAATGCGCAAGGTAAGTCTCCCCCTCTCCATATGGCGAAGCCTGACCGTTGCGCTAGCCTCCCCTGCGACCACACCTTCTGCGCCGACTGCATCCAGCAGCTCTCCCCCGGCAAAGATGACCTCACGTGCCCGCAGTGCCGCAAAGTCTGGCCTCGCGACGAGCCCGAGGCTATACAGTATACCGCGTCACAGCAATGGGACGCGCTTCTCGACGTCGCGAAGGACTGGGCGTGCATGGATCACCGCCGCGAGGATGACACCAGTGAGGAGGAGGCCGAGGAGGAGTTCATTGACGATGGGATACCCGACGCGACGTGTGTACTTTCCTGGTTTGCGGCTGTCGGGATGTCGAGTTGACGGTGGTTATTACTAGATCCTCCGAGGTGTCGGCGCCCCACGACCAGGACCCTCTCGCAACGTCTCCAGAGCCAGAAGTAGAGCCTAAGCCGCAAGAACTGGATTTTGAACCCGGGGTGCGCGCATCTCCTAAAAGGCGGCGTGCCGTCACGCTCGAGTCGTCCCCGGAGCCTGACGAGTAAGCGTTCCGCTTGTCTGCCATAAGCCTCAACAAATTTCGTATATCTCTACAGTGCTGTCGCACCGGAGGCCATCGCTGCGGTTCCTGAAACCCAACATAACGGTACTACATTGAATGATGCAAGTACCTCGAATGACGCAGGCGCCTCGAAACAGGAAAGACCTGCAACCCCTCCGAACGTTGCAACCCCCCTGTATGCGCAAAGCCCGAACTCAGAGAAGAGGAAACGCATGGAGGACTTAGCCGCCAGGCGAAGTTCAAAGCGGTCACGGTATTAGCCAGAACTCTGCAACATATACACTGCGTACGAGAAGCATAGATATCGGAATGCCGGACTTGTCTGTTACATTAGTACTACGCTCTCAGGAATCACTGTATCGATAGATGGGCCATGATCTGCGTTTTTCCGAGGCTTACTAAAACAGCTCCACCAAGCCTCTCCCTGGAGACAACACCGCGGTAACCTTGCTCGAGAGGTCGAACGCGCTCCCGCCCGCGTACGCGACAAGGTCACCGTCGTCCCCGAGCCAGCCCTCCAGGTCTAGCAGCTTCTCAAGGTTCGTCGATACCAGCGCATGAGCCTGCAACCGGTCGATGCGCCCGTTCGACTCTAGGCCCGCCTGCAAACACATTCCGTCAGTTCGCATGCACGCTGCAAGACGGTAGACACGGAGACGCACCCAGGCGGCCTCGAAGCGCGTATTCGCTGCCTCCCAGGCGCCGTGCACGCCGATGCCTACCGTCACGCCGTGCTCCATGAGCGTGACGAGCTCAGTGTCGTTAGTGAGCGGAGGACCGGGCAATCTGCGGACGCATGGTCAGCATTTCGATGAGCATATATATGCCCGAATGAGCTTACATTCTGCGCTCATCCCATATCTGCGGGAAAGGCCTTACGGGGTCCAAGATAACGCCCACTTTCGCTTGAGCTTGAGACGAAGCAAACTGGTCAGCACGACACTTTGGAAGTCAAGCAGGTAGGTACGAACCGATTTCGCTGGCGATGAGGTGCGCCTCTGTCGCGCGCGCAAACACCATCCTCAACGTGGACCCGCGCTCCTCCTCAATCTGCGCCTTCAGTTTCAGCAGCGTGACCATGATATCCGCGCTCGCGACGTCGATGACGAGCGGGATCACACCCTACATCGAACCCAGCCAAGGTCAGCCTCTAAATCCTCACAGTACACATATCACACGCACCTTCGCAGCCTGCTTGAACCAGTGACCCGTCTCCGTGTCTGACCTCTCCGCGTTGAGCAAGAGACGCCGTAGCGTCGCAATCTGGCTGCTCACACTCACGCCCGCGATGCGCGAGGTGGGCGCGCTCCGGCTGATGACCACGTGCAGCGCCGTTACGTGCTTGATCACCGCGCCGCGCTCGAGGCCGTGCGTAGCGCCGGTGCGGAAGGTCGTAGACAGGCCTACATTGATCGACGCGGACGCGGTGCTGATTGTAGACTCATGTGCAATGAGCGAGGACGTCGCATACGACACCCCAGCACGGTTTGCAAGTCTGCACGGAAGAATTTGTGTTAGCGATTCGCGAGGATGGAGAGAGCACCTACAGCGCATTCCGAGTCCCGAACTGCAAGGCATCTGACGCTCTCACCAACCCGGCTTTGTCCCCAAGTATAGCAGGCACGTCATCCGAGTACGGGTCGTATATTGCTCCGTCGCCCGTCGAGGGTTCGCCGGAAATCTCTTCCAACCCAACGCGCGAGCCGAACGTCATCAAGCTCGGGGAAATCGAGCCACCGCGCAGGTCTACAAACGCGCGCGCATTATCGATCCCGCCCATACAGGCCCTACCGATGCACGACACCTTCCCGTTCTCGACGACCACCTCCGTCCCAACCTCAGAGGCTGTCGCCATAAACATGGGCACGATACTCTCCTGCCCGCGCAGCCACAGCTCCCTGACGTTGCGGAATACAACGCGCCCGCCCTCCCGCATCCCCTCGAGCGGCGGGAGACCCTCGTACTTGATAGCATTCTCGCGCTCCGCATCCCAGTTCGGAACGTCTGGCACGTCCTGGAACGCCCGGTCCTCTTTGCCTTTGCCCACGATGACGCCCTCTTTGTCGTTCCCGATTTGCAGGATTCCGTCGATCCATACCTTGCGCGGCGTCGCGCCCAGCTGCAGCGGATGAGAATCCCAGAGTACGACGTCCGCATCTGCGCCTTCGTACAGAATCCCAATGCGGTGCGACATCCCAGCCGCTGCAGCAGGGACGGATGTCACAGACCCTAGTGCAAGGCGCTGTGGAAGACCTAGAGGCTCTCGGTGTTATCACCTGCAACTATTGAACATGCCAAAGCGCGTACCGAAGTAATGTGCCTGTTGCGCCTCGAACATAAGGTAACGACTGTTCAGGACAGGATGGTCGGACTGCAACTGCAGTGTTGATTTATGTTCGATTGCTAGATCATCATACGCACCTTCATGACCACGGGGATACCATTGTCTGCGAGCACACGGGCCGCGAACTCTGAACCACGGTAAGACTCGCGTTTATAGCGGTGCTTTGTTGCGAACATAGCGATGGTGGGAGTGCCTCCCCACCTATGCGACACTTGACTGAAGATCAGAAGTAGAGGAGAGAAGAGCTTACGTTCGTTTGAGCACATCCGGGACGAGCCAAGCTTCGGACGCATGGTGGAACGAGGCAATGGGAAATTGGAATTCATTCGTCAACTAGGCATCACTTTCAGCCGTAGCAATGACCGGATACGGAGCTTACGCACCCGCACGATGTCGTCAAGATCAACCTCCTCATAACAGTGGTTTGAAATCTACAACGCGGTGAATATTTATAGGTGTACCAGAAAGAGTAAAGGCACCTTAACACGACCCCTCAGAACATCTACCAATGCTTCCCATTGCAAGTTGTCGGGGTAATCCTGTCCCTGGAGCTCGTTCCAAAGGCCCGCTTCCACCTTTGCGCAATAGGCATCTTGTGTGTTCTTGATCTTGCGCGCCTCATTGTACGCGGACCGGAACGACCACACAGCATCCATGCGGTTGCCGTACCTGCGCAAGTTCTCGCCACATGCAGACTTCAAGTGCCGCCAGCGCAAGGGCTGAGACGGGTCAAATTCAGTTCCGTTCAGCGTGTATGGTGGCTCGATCATCATTGATGTGGGAGACCTCTCCGAAGTCGGTCGCAGCTTCACCATAAAGGCTTGGCCGCCTGGTCCCACAATACTTGGCACACGGCCGCAAGGAGCAGGTTGTGAACGCACCTATAGCATTTCCGCTGCCGGGCAGGATCTGTGCGGACGTCACTCCTCCCGCGATAGCAAGCCGAATGGACTCATCGTGCGTATTAAACGCGTCGATGCTCCTGAGCCAGGGAAGAATCGGTCCATGGGCAGAATTAACATCGTATGCACCACTCAGAACGGGCGTACTGAAAATACCAAGGTGAGAGTGCAGGTCCACTGCAGAGCCATGAGCTCTCTATAGCACGCCCCCGAAACGCCCACAGATGGATACTGCGCACCTAGACCAGGTGTTACCCATCCTCCCTGTGCATTCACCTCCACGAGACTTTCCACGTGCGCATATAGGGACTGAGACACGTAGCCAATGCCTTTGACGATGCCCTGCTCCAGATACAAGTCTCCTCGAACAGTCTCAGTACCATTCCTCGCGCCCGTCCATATCGTCGCGTTTCGGATGAGGATTGGTGGTGTACCGGGCTCGAACCGGTCTGAGCGTTGTCGTTCGAGGAAGTCTATCGAAGGGCCGACAGTAGCTCGCAGGGCAGCACATTGACCTAGAATTTGCTGAGCATTCAGTGGGATGTGTTGGACCTGGACGGTGGAATTGCTGGTAGAGACCGTCGAGGTTAAGTAAGTGTTGTAGACCGCTAAGGTCGTGGCGAGAGCGCATAGTGCCAGCACCGTCGGTTTTCGGCGCGGGGAACGACGAGTGGGTGGCGTGGAGATTGGGAGTACTGGAGGGGGATCCTTGTTTGCCATAGTCGTCACAAACTACCATTAGTGCAGCAAATATGTCATACTCTTCTTATATGTAGTACATCGGCACGCCGTCCACGGCAGGCCGTGGGATCGATGTCGCGTGTACGGAGGAAGCACTGTTTATGCGAGGCACCAACAAGTATTCTCGAATGAAGAGGGACGTCTCCGTATACACGAATGCGGAGACACACGATGTGAATGAGCTGGCAGACAAACTAATGGGCGCTGTGATCTCGAATAAATGTATATTCAACAAACTCACTCTCAACGGTGTATAATACAGGACAGGGACTCAACTAGTCCAAATCCGCCATCAGACTACCGAGGAGAGCAGCGCCGCTTTTGATACCTCGTCCCCGAGCAGCAGCGACGCTGATGGCTAAGCAGCTGAGCAGGAATCCCGTGAATCTATAGGAAGGGAGGAATATAAGTCGAGTCAACGTTCAGGCACACAAACAGACTCACCTGAAAAATGCGACACGGGACAAGGAGCGCTCCTCGTTCGTTGTGCGAGAGGACGCGAAGATGGAGCGAAGGACGGCAGGAGTCACTGGAATGCGACTTGGTTGGCCTGGAGGTGGAGGTTGATGGATGGGCTGCTGGGTGATGTTAGACGGGGTGGCCGTCACCGTAGACGACGTCGACGACAGGTTGCTCATCGTCGAAGACCGCTTGTAACTGGTTCAAAGCAGGTTGTTCCAACTTCGTTGTTTACTTTCAAAAGTCGGCTTACAAATTGTTTACCTGCTTTCAGCAGACTACAAATTGAAATTGATAACTCGTGTTTTACTCCCCGAGCTTGACGTTCGTACTGACGCATACTGCACAGGAGCATCATCCTATGAAGATTCTAAATACTATGGCTGAGTACACAGGTTTCTTGCGGGTCTGGGTCGGCGTTCGGTTCCTTCTGCAGCGTTCCCCTCTCCGGGCTCCGGACGACTCCAGATCTGAGTACCCCCTATAAACACCGCAGATCATACGGAATAGCCCCTCGCCATTCTTACCCTTTCCATGATGACTTCCCCTCGATGGGTGGATGCTTTGACTCAAGCCCTCAGTTTTCCAGAGAATGAATACGAAAACAGTGGGTTTCTCACCAGAGAACGTGTTTTCGGTATAATTGATACACCAATACCTGCAGCGTACCAACTTGCTACCGTCGATGCTGAGAGCATGCCGCACGTCCGCACCTTCATGCACCGCGAGATCCTTCACCCCGACGGATTCCCAAATCTCCCGGTTCTGCTCACCACAACGGACGTGCGCACGCCCAAGGTCACACAGATCTACTGCCACCCATTCACCGAGCTTGCGTGGTGGATGTCGGGCTCGCAGGACCAGTTCCGCGTATTCGGCTCAGTTCGTATCGTCACCTCTCCCAGAACCCTGTGCCAGGCAGAGACATATGAGGAAGGCCTCCTGGCGCTCAGCAAGTTCCAGGAACAGGACTACGATTGGGAGCGCAAGCGGCTGGAAATCTTTGATTCCATCAGTTCGGACAGGAAGGCGGGGTGGTGCACCCCCCTGCCAGGCAGCGTCATGCATTCGTATGAAGATGCGAAGAAGTGGCCGCAGACAGTACCGAGGCTGGGCGAGGCGCAGAGCGAGGAGGACAAGCGCAATCAGGAGCGGGCATTGGATAACTTTGCGTTGGTCCTCATTGAACCTACGGAAGTGGATTGGACGCAGCTGGGCGTAAATCCCTGGCGGAGGACGCGGTTCACGAGGAATGATGGTGAGTGGATCGAAGAGATCATAGTGGCTTCATGAATGCGTTGAAGCTTCTTTGCGTGGGGCGTCGGGTGTGTTATGCCCTGTATCTTTGTACTATGTATTACTATTGAATGCAAGTGGCCCATCAGCTAGTTGAAGGAACTTGATATGAATGATACAATGTACTTGGGGAGTGTCTCAGCTCCATACCAGTTCCACAAGTTAACGCAGATTTACCTACCGTACTTACTGAAGAAGCGCGCGAGCGTAGGAGATCTCAGATTGCAGCTGCCAATCGCCGATCGTTCAAGCGCGCGCATAATCGACAAGTCAAGGTACCGTCCAATCTTGCAAATCGCCACCCTCTGGTAGACCCCCGCGGTGGTCGTTAATCGTACAAAATCAAAAAGTAGTATACGTACATCCCCGACCAAGCTGCTTAACAACAGGGCGACATGCACACATCCTCACATGTCGGCTTTGCTATGTGGCTTCTCCTCCACATCTACGATCTCGACCTCCTTGTCGTCGTCGTCATCCGCGTCTTCTTGCGGAAGAATGAGGTTGAGAACCACCGCAACAACACCAGCGACGAGGACTACAGGACAAAAAACTCAGTAAGCAAGACAAAGAGACGACAACGGATGACTACGCACAAGGAGTGCTGAGCACGATCGTGATAGAGCTGAAGAAGCCCTGTAGTGCGCTATTTGGATGCTTGACGCGGTCAAATAGGTAGGTAAATATGGTGGGCACAAGGAGGTCGCCGAACCCGAACGACAGCGCGGCGGATAGGACAAAACGGTCGCGGCGCGTGTAACGAGTATACGCGAGCACACGCGCGCCGGACGTCGCAACACTGGCAAATAGGAAAGTCGTCACGCCGCCAAGGACGGGGTTCGGGACTGTGGGAGTAGGGCGTTGAGTTAGCGATGGGAAGGAAGGACATAGATGACGCATACTGGCTAAGAATACCCCGGATATCTTGCCGAGGACACCGAAGAGAATCAGGAACATGCAGCAGAAGCGTCCTGCCGTACGGTTCGCACACCGTGTTACCGCAATGACGCCATTGTTCTGGCAGTGAAAGTCAACGATATAGCAGAAATAACTACATGGGCAGAGCTCACCTGAGCAAATATTGACAGCGGAGTCACGGTGAAGAGCGCGGATAGGAATCCTCCAATGCCGTCACTCTGCAAGATCCTTGTGAGCATCTGATATCGGCTTATAGACAGTGTGGATGTACATACCAAGACACCTCCTTGTATCCGCGAGTCGAATTCTTCGCCGTCTACAGCAACTCGTGAAACCTCTGCAGATGCAGTGATGTCGCCAATGGCCTCCATTGCGACAGAAACTGAGAGGACGAATTGTGATGAGGAGATGCGGCAAAGCACAGGGAAAAATACTTACTGTAGACAGCTAGCATAGGCAAGATGGCGGGAGGATATACCCTGATCTTGAATGTGTGTACCCTGCCTGACGTTAATCTTTCGTGGCACACTCCACAGCATGATCACACACCATAAGAACGTGATGACTGGCGCTGTCTTGATACTGCTTCCGTCAATATAGCCCGCAGCACCGGAGACAATGCAGCCAACCGCCAGCCCGACAATGATCGAGATATTCTTAAGGAACGGGGAGCCAAAGAGCTCTGTCAGGAGGATGCTGACGAAGGAGAGGAATCCAAGTCCGATAAATTCCGGCGAACCCCAACTAAGGACATCTCTCAAAATGAGATTCATGCAGCCAATGACACGAAACTCACAGCAAAGGTCTCGGTGCATTGATGTTTGGGCAGAGTCGGAAAAAACCAGAGGTTGGACGTGAACTGCAGCTGTTGGATCCTCCTCCCCAGTCGGGTATGCCTGACGATCCGACGAGAGAGGCTCCGATCATCAGGATAACAGTGCCTGACACATGTCATGTGAATACCACATCGCGAAGTCTATCCGCAAAGTCCACTGACCCGTGACCATCGGAGGGAAGATGCGCTGCAACATTCTTGGCGGCACAAACGACAGGAAGATTTCGAGGAATGAACAGATGAGTGAAGTTCCTGCACAGCTAGCGTTAACGAGGGCAATAGAGGAGAAGTGAAACAGTTACTCACCAAGAACTTTACCATATGCATCTGGACATGCGCCTCTCACTACCGTTCCATCGGCACTAGTCGTAGATGGACATGTACCATCAGCATACATGGCATTGAAAATCTGATAAACGAGTAAGTCAAACCTGCAGAACCACAGAGACGTCAGATGATGTACGCACAGCATTGGCAGTACTGAGGGTCGCAAAACTAGTCCCGACGACGGATAAAAGCCCCGTGCCGAGGTAATAGTTCTTGAACAGCCTGATGCGAGACATCTGCACCAGGCTGAGAATACCACAGCCGATGAGAGACGCGGAGATCATGTATGCGGAGGTCTCGCCATCGAGGTTCAGCGTGCTTGCAAAGATGATGGGCGGTGTGATGAGGCCCGCCAGCATCGCGAGCGCGTGCTGCAGGCCGCTGGTGAGCGCAAGCAGGAGGGGAAGTTCTGAGTCTAGCGCGTAGAACGGCGGCATTCGCCTGCGCGGCTTCGCGACGGACGAGATACTGAACGGGAGCGTCGGCATGCAGAGCCAGCCATAGTCGTAGTCGCCCACCCACCCGTGCTTGGTGGTGAGCTTTTCGTAGGCATGCACGACATTCGACCTGAGCGCGCCAGAGAACGATGTCCTGTGATCCAGAGAAGCTACTGGCTCTGGTTGTTCCTTGATGACAGAGTGCTCAGACATCGCGGGAAAGCTGAGAAGACTTCAACGTCGACTCGTGAGACTAGAAGAGGTGGTGAGAGGACAGACCCGAGTTAGGGCACATCGAAAAGGACGTTATATGTTTTTGGTGGGCACCACCAGAATCGACGAGAGATGGCCAGCCCAGGTACGCACGATAAGCCTGCGATTACCGGCCTGCTGCTAAGCGCAGAGATAAGGCTCTCCGTCCTGTCAGAACTTTGGAAATTTTTGAGAGGAACGCAGCATCGCGCTTTTATCAAACTCACATGGCCAAGCGCCCGCCGTTATCTACACTGCACGTGATCTGAACGCGTGAGTCGCGACTCCCAGAGGACGCGTTCCTACTATGGCTCCTCGTAGCGAAATGCGAATCACGGTGTGAACAAGTTACAGCGAGGGTACACTAGAACATAACAATGTAACGGCAAACAGTAAGAGTCCAAGAACACTCGCACCTGGCCTACTCTTCATCTACCTCCATCTCTTCCTCGTCTTCCTCGTCTTGCCCCCCCATCGTCATTAAGTCCGCGAGGTTCACCGCGGGCCTCGGAATCTTCTGTATCTTCTGTAGTTGTGGGTCCCACTCAGCTATGCTCTGGAAGAATCTCCGCTTGAAGTTCGGGCCCTTGAGTATCCCAGGTTTCACTTCGTGCCCACACCCCATGTCGTAGTACCCGTACCCGCCCTCCTCCACCCGCGGTACGTCGAAGTACTGCCCTGTCACTATACTCATGCGTTTTCTGTCACTACGCATGTGTCGACGAGATCTCGAGCGCACTCTCCTACTGGACGAGGACTCGTCCGATAGTGACTCCTGCTCAGAGTCGTCAGATGCTAGTACGTCCTGCAGCCCATAGACGAAACGTGTATGTTCTGCGAAAGGATTGTAAAATGAGATAGTAAACGACTTCGTGGAAAGCTCACGCGCAAGACGTTCGTCCAAGTCATCTACTTGCTCCTCTGCATCATCACGGCTGAACCCAAGATGATGCCCAACACTCTCAGATGGCACATCATGCAGTCCGACTGACGGCGCCGGCTGCATTTCGGATAACTGGGCCAGCACGGTTTTTCTGTATCGCGGATGGTCAACTGTGTCAGGACAACACGCCGGGACGTCAAGGCAGCGCGCACCGGACGTCATCCACCGACCCGTCTTTCACGTTCACGTCGTCCATGTTGTTCTCCACCACCTCCAATCGGTATCTTGGTCCAAACCACTCAAAGTACTCGTTCCAGGGCAGATTCGGATCAATCTCTTTCTCGATGCCGAGAGCGCATGCCGTCTCGTACGTCCAAGCCCTCGCGACGTTCTTCACTGTATAGCCGCCGCCGCCGACGAGAATCATGGGGATATTCTGCGAGCGGACATACTGCACGCAGTTCGCGTGCCCCTGCATCGTCAAGTTGAAGCAGCCAAGCCGATCCCCCGCGAGAGAATCCGCACCGCACTGCAGGACGATGGCAGACGGACGGAACACTTCCAGTATCTTGTCAATCACCTGCAGATCATCAGCTCGCACGTAGTAAACAAGGGTAAGTACGCGTACGGGTTCGAACACGCTCCTAAACGTCTCGTCCGTGATCCCGTCCTTCAGCGGTACGTTCACTGCATAACCCCTGCCCTTCCCCCTCCCTCTATCATTGATATTGCCCGTCCCGGGGAAGTACTCGCCGAACTTGTGGAACGAGCACGTCATGACGCGGTCCGTGGTGTAGAACGCCTCCTCGACACCGTCACCGTGGTGGCAGTCGATGTCGATGTACAACACGCGCGGCATCCAACGGAGCAGTTCAAGGATGCCGAGCACGATATCATTGATGTAGCAGAACCCTGACGCCTCCCGCTTCTTGGCGTGATGCAGCCCGCCCGCCCAGTTGATCGCAATGTCTGTCGCACCGCTCGCCAGGCGCTGCGCCGCCGCTAGGGAAGCCCTCAGTCTTCGGCGCCGATACTAATAGATTGATACATACCAATGGAGCCCCCCGCTGAGATAGTGCAAAATTCGAACACCCCCTCAAACGCAGGGTTATCGTCGCCCACCAGAACTGAAGTTATACATGAGCACACAGCAGACAGACCGAGACCGACAACAGGACGAACGCACATCGCGACCCATGGAACGTCAGCTCCTGTGCAGTTTCCGGCGTAACCCTCGACAAGAAGTGCACGTATTCGTCTGAATGGAAACGGCTCATCACCTCCGCCGTAGCGCGTTTCGCCCGCTTCCCCGCCCCGGTTAATTCGTCACCAACGTCGGAATAGGGTTGTGCTTACCAGGATATGCATCTTGGGCAGCATGCCGTACACTGAAACGAGTTCATGGGTGACGCGCATGCGTTGCGGCTTCATGAGATGCCCAAAGCCGTACGTATATGCCCCGACATCGGCTTGGAGGCGAGGTAAGGGCAAGGTTAAGCAACGAAACTTAGTCAAACTTACGGTCGTAGTAGTACGTCACTCTTCTTTTCGACATGGGAAATCCGATGGGAGGTCGACGCGGCAAACAGAAAAGAGAGTTGGCGGGACAGACAGCGCTCAAGCGCTCCGAGTCGAGCTTCGATGCGTGCACGTGCACGTGCCTATACAATCAAGTCACGTGCCTCCAAAACGCGATCGAGCTAGCGCGCAGCATCAGTTGGCCATAATGGGCGCTAGCGGTGTCAGACTCGGAAGATGTTGTAGAGAATATGCAAATAACACGGAAAAGTGCGGTTGAGAACACGCACATAAAATGTTAATGAATCCAGGCTGTAAACAGTCATGATTAGGCGAATGAATGGCTCCATCAGATTTTACATCTTTTACCTCGCGATCGCACCCCCGTCTTCTGCAGAGACAGTGGGCGTGTAAGAACGTGTGCGAAGATTGGGCAGTATCGTCTCCACTTTTGTTAGGAAGCATGCGGATTCACGCGCAACCACGAGTCAAGGGGAGACTGTCATTCAATATTCAGGTCCAGGGCTTGGACAGGGCGCGTCATTCACTCGTGGAAAGAGTGAATGGTAGTACTGCTAAGAGATCTCGATCATTCCCCCGCGGCATATGGTTGAAATGCACACCACAGAAGTGCAGGACGTAAAGATCTTTACATACGGGAACCCACTTCTGAATACCTCTCCCCCCTTTGATGTGCCCTCACGGTTGCATGGGGGTCATTTCTCCGTGGACTATCCGTCCACCACCGGATGTCCACCTGTGCCAATCCAAAGACAAGAAAACAAAATCACCAGTGAAGCTTTGAAGTACCATCGAATTTCCGAACAGAACGCCGTCTATCCAATACGAACGCCCATGTTACACCCCGCCAATCGGCACGAGTCACATTTCACGTCTGCGGAGAAGGATCTTTGATCGTCGACACGCATTGGCTCGACGACCTGCCACAGAAGGAGTAAGGCCAGGCGCTTAACGATGGCATCACACCGACATCTCTAACTAAGAATTAATATTAATATTATAAACTGCCTCACCTGACAGATCCTTCCGCCATATCATCATGACTTCTCTGATTTTTCCGGTTCGCGGTGCAATGCCGGCACTGCACTTGCAGATGAGTCCACGATTTGGGGCTCGAAAATGACAGTCTAGAACATATTTTTCGACGTCGACGAAGCCAAGACATGTCAATAGTAGACTGCGAGTAGGTCCACATCGCAATTGAGGACGAACGATGAAGTAATGGTACATGCTCGCCATTTGCAGATGCTTCTGAGCATCGAGTACGGGCCCAGACGCAGCTTCGGTAACACAAATGCCCACGGACAGTATAGCTGTGGGTCCGTAGTGCCTACCGGGATGATAGAGCATTATATACCACACGACCGAAGTGCCATGAAGAATTGTGTAGCGGATGTACATTCGCGCCCTGAACCGCATACCGAGGAGCACGGCCGCTGTATCCCGGATCCCCATCCAGAAGCCGCGCGGCCATCACTGATAAGTCAAAGTGTGAAGTTAGTCCTACTAGTAGTTGCGTAGGAGCGGCACCATCAAGTTCAAGTGAGCTCGAACGCACCGTCCCGGATTCTGTTGGCGGTGGTGGTGGAATGAGACCGCGTGCACGTGTAGAGAAACGTCTCATGGGCCAGCAGTGCTGCAGCAGTCACGGTGTCTAGCGGGAGTAGTAACATCCACGGTACACGCCGAAGTGGTGTGACCGTACTAGGCCTCGCCTGCCACTATATTTGACTGCAGCCTGAACGTTGGGCGAGAAGGAAACCTTGTTGGGAGAGGGTCCAGAAGGTGGATACTTAAAGATGGAGAAACAGAGGAGGAACTTACAGAAGACCGATGGGCCAGAAGGAGAGCGTTGAAGCTTCTGTGTCTGAATGGGCGTCTAGATTTGGAGACCAGCGAGTGAACATCTCGCCTTCCTCATTTGGCTAGTGGGCGCCAGCGGTGGCGGAAGCATCTTAAGTCGAAGCCAAGCGTGAGCCAAACTCCGCACGTTGCCCGGCCAGTCGTGCCTGCGTTGTAAGTCTTATAACTTCTGGCGGTCGCCCACCTTTCTCCTACTTACGCTGCTCCTCGTACCAGCTGAGATATGCCACCGCACCTTCACGTCTCTCTCACCAATTAGTTTCATGCTGCCAGTCGACGCCCTTTTCTATGACTCCTCCGACAGTCAATATCCGCCAATATCTCGTCAACTTTCTCCCAAGCCCGACACTGCTGTGCAGCCCACTGCTCGCCATCCAGCATACGCCACGATGAACCCTTCTACAGCCCAATACTCTCAGCGGCATCTGCATCCTTCCCAGTCTACAGCCTATCCGACGGCGCACCCGGCTTCACCCAAGAAGAAGCACGTCTGTCCGACATGCGAACGCGCTTTCACCACCAGCGGACACCTCGCTCGACACACCAGGATTCACACCGGCGAACGCAACCACAAGTGTCCGTTTCCGGGCTGCGAAACGCGCTGCTCCAGGCAGGACAATCTGCAACAGCAGTGAGTTTCTCTCTGTACTGCGCCTTGTAACAGCGAACAGGTCTTGTAAGGCTAAGTACTTGGCTCAATGTTCGTGACCGACACCTTTTCGGTAACGGCGAGGTGCCCGGCGCTCATCGCTGAACCATTTACTTATTTTGTGCCTATCCATTCCTTAGTCACAGAACCTCGCTGATTGCACGATGAGTACTCCCGCTAACCCGCCCCCGCGCCCTCTTAGTTATCGGATCCATCTCACGCCCGGCTCACGGCGAAGCACAGGATCTGCAACCAGAGCCGCTGCGAGCCGCGCGAGGAGTACATCCGAGGTTTCTTCTTCGGGCCGGCGTGATCTGCAGCGAAGGGGAAACAAGAACGCTTCAGCGCCCACCCCTCCTCCCGCAGTCCCGTCCCCCCCCATCGATCCACCTCCCCTGGTGCAAGCTTATCCTGTGGCTGCCTCGGTTGCTGTTGCCTCAGAGCCTCCGGACACTCCTCCGCCTCTCGTTCAGGCGCCGCTCTCAGCGCTCCTGCCACCTCACGTCTTGGCGGCCCTACCACCGCCGGACAGCAGGTCGAGCCACGCTTCAACAGCGTCGACCCCGGATTACGTGTATCATTCTCCACAGGCTCCAGCTAACCCTGAGCTGCATTCATCCGCACGGAGTAATCAATATTCGCCGCAACACTCGTACTCCTCGTCTTTCAGCACCTATTCTTCTCCTGTCTCCCTTAACCAGCGCTCGCAGTGGGAATCCGGCAGTCAGTCTGGTACCTACTATGAGCCAGATCATATTTCCGAGAGCCCTGGACCGACCTACAATCATCCTAGTTCGTGCTCTTCCCGCATTGCAAGTCCAGAGGACTATTATCAAGGAGAGACACACGACATGTCCTACGCGTATGTCGAGCCCCGTGAGTTGGAATACTCCGACTCCGCGACTTCCCACGTCTCCTCCCAACCTACTTCTTCTTTCGGGAGCGTGGGCAGTCAGATACAGCAAGTTCATCACGCCCATGTCAGCCAGGAACCGCTACAGTACACTGCCACTGCGGCAGCTTCCTCTTCACGTCATTCCATCGCGCATATCTCACACCCGTTTTCGCAGTCTTCGCCTTCTCCCATAAGCTCTCTGTCGCCGAATCGGTCGCATCCTCCCACTCTCACTGCTGCATATTCGACACCCTCCTCAGCTACGGTGTCAGTATACCACCAACCTCACGACGTCTCTGCAAGTTTGCCTCCCAGCCCTGTGCACGCTTCACACATACCCGTCGAGCAGGATCCGGCAGGCTACACACCTGTGGGACATTCTCGGCCTCGCGCCTACACGCATGCACAGGCCAGTGCCGAACAAACACACTCCGATTACTCGACTCCTTCGCCACTCCGAGAGCAACCGTGTGCCAACGTCTACCCCGGAAGCGTGAACATGCACAGCTATTTCTCGGGCCACGGTGTACCTTTCGGTCGGTATCACTCTCCGCCGCCCACACTCGCGCCCATCCACACGTCGAGGGATTCTCCCGAGATGGACGTCCAGCATCACGTCAACTCGCAGACACTCACAAAAGAGTACCCCATATCTCATACGTCCGGTCAATTCTATCCCCATTCGCATCACAATGGCCCTCACCACCCTCAGTCTTCGCCACAGGATGCTGACGCATCGGAAGATGTGGAGCAGCTGCAAGCGTCGGGCCATTACGTTCCTCTCCGGCAGCCACAGCCTTTGCACCCAGTCCACGCATACTCGCAAGGTTTCAACTCATATTCATCTCTCTCTTATGCACACCAAAACGAGCCAGGATAACGCCGCCAGTCTCGACGGAGTCCTGGTTCGGCTCACGACGAGCTAATGGGGTAACCAAGGACTTGCGTCTTTTTCCTATGGTGTGGTACTGTTCATTGCTCATTCGTCTTTGCACGCTCTCAATATCGCTCTGCATGTTCCTCATAGTGTTCTAGGGGGTTTTTCCGCGTCCATGTCCCATTGCAACTTGCACTGCTGTCCCTATTTCCTTCAGCTGATTCGTCGCTTTCCTCGTCCCGCATGCATTACCCTCCGCCTAGATTAGCATCATGCCTCTGCATATTTCTCTTTCGGGCCCCTTTTCTCTTCCGGGTATCATCCTCCTTACCTCGTTATCCTTTCCTCATTCCTTCCCCCTCGTCTACCACTCCTGCTCATTTCCTCGCATGTTCATTTCACTCACACTTTCCGCATCCGTTCTCATGCATCCTTACTACTGAGTACGAGTAGAGAGCCTCGTCACCATCTGCATTTGCTGTTCACTGTATATCATACGCCGCGCAGATTATCGCTGTATTTGATAAGCGTCCTTAACATATATGCCTGTATAATTCCCTAGTCTCAGATTATGTCCGCGAGAGTGTATCTCATTCGGCTTGCCTCGACGCGCGACAATTGAGGACGTGACCAACGCGTCGCGTCGCGTCCGCGTTTTGTCCAAATGTGTAATCCGCGCGTGCACTCCCTGCAGTTTACTCTCACGCGCTACTCCAAGCTTCAAGAAGATACCCCTTCAAAACCATTCAAGCTTGGTTCTAGGCTGTCTGTAGCGCCGAACAATGGGAAGTGATTTGGACAGGTCTGTCGTTCTCTACCTTCCGACCGATAGAAAACCCCGAGCACCGAGGCATGCGGTGGGGCACGATTGGCCGTACGTGCCTTAGTGTTTGCGATTCTCTTTCTGTTGGAAGAGCTGTCAGGGATCCATATTTTCTCAAATTACGCTCGGAACTAGACAAATTGAACAACTGAATCGGTGTGAGCCGATTTCAGAGGAAGAGGTCAAGCGGCTATGTATCAAAGCCCGAGAGATACTCATAGAAGAGGCGAACGTGCAGGTTATCGACTCCCCCGTTACGGTGCGTACACTTGCTTCCCGCTGCCCTTAGCCGAGACAAGTCTGTGGACCAGCGCTCTTATGCCTACTTGACAGATATGTGGGGACATTCACGGACAGTTCTGGGACATGGTCGAGCTGTTCAAGGTCGGCGGGTCGTGCCCCGACACGAACTATCTCTTCATGGGTTTGTCTTACCTTGTTCGAGTGGGGCAGTGACGTCTTACAGCGCCTTGCAACATTCTAGGGGACTTCGTCGACCGAGGGTTCTACAGCGTGGAGACCTTCCTACTCCTGCTGGCACTGAAGGTGCGCTACCCGGAACGCATCACGTTGATTCGCGGCAACCATGAGTCGCGTCAAATAACTCAAGTGTACGGCTTCTACGAAGAGTGCCAGCGAAAGTACGGCAGCAGCAACGTGTGGCGGTGGTGTTGCGAGGTCTTCGATTATCTCGCGCTGGGCGCCATCGTCGACGGGCGGGTGTTTTGCGTGCATGGCGGGCTGAGCCCCAATTTACAAACCATCGACCAGGTGAGTTTCATTGACGTTGACGTTATCGTGGGGAACAGTCTGGGCTTCATGTTATCGCATCTTCAGATTCGTGCAATCGACAGAAAGCAGGAAGTCCCCCACGACGGCCCAATGTGCGATCTTCTCTGGTCAGATCCTGACGGTACGCCGCCTTCTGTGTGCTTTTTTTCCTCAGTACGCATAAACGCCTCATTCTCTGCGCTTAGATATCAATGGATGGGGCCTCTCTCCGCGCGGTGCTGGCTTCCTCTTCGGCGCGGACATCACGAAGATGTTTGCGCACCATAACGCTATTGATTTGATAGCGAGAGCGCACCAACTCGCGATGGAAGGTTACAAGCTGATGTTCGACAAGACGATTGTGACCGTCTGGAGCGCTCCGAATTACTGTTATCGGTGCGTAGCTCCCCCGTCGGCCATCCATACATTCCGCCTGCTGCTTCCCTCCATTCATTCGGATGCACACCATTACGTCGGGCGTCCTACGAATATTATTAATGGCACTCATCACGGCTGTGCTTGTAGGTGCGGGAACGTCGCGTCCATCTTGGAATTGGACGAACATCTTGGCCAGGAATACAAGGTGTTTTCGCACGCGCCTTCGGTTCGTCGTCTCACTGTCACCTTCATGCCGTCGCATTACTGATGCGGTACTTCGACCAGGATGTAAAATCAATACCTGCGAAACGGCCACCGGCCGACTATTTCCTGTAGCAGACTAGGGCGAGTTGAAACATGGCGCTGGCTACTTCCTTGCTGACATCTTCCATGCCCTCGCAGCTGATCTTCTATTCTGATTACAAGCGTGTTGTATGATGAACAGTATTACTACTGTAGCGCTAACTCTTATTTATTCCTGCTACATCCTGACAGACGCATATCTACGTTGACGATACAGCGAGCTAACTGAGCACGAAACGAAGACAGAAATTTGATATGCCACGCGGAAACAAAAATGCGTAATGACGATGAGGGTGACAGTTGATGACAGACGGAGAGCACAATGCAGTGGTGACACGGAACTCGGTTACAGGATTGCGATGTCAAATTCTACAGCGGTCGTCCGGACTTGCATCCGCTCTAGGTCTTTGTCTTGCTCGTAGTTTTGCTGAACAGCTTCGCCTTCTCCAGTGCAGCGTAACCTGGGATGGAACAGTGAGTTCACCGAATTCGTGAAATAATCTGATATACTGCACGTACTGTGCTTGACCAGCAGCTTCTTGTAGTCCACGATCGTAATATCTTCCTTCGTAAGGTTCTTGATCTTGCGATCCTTGACCTCCCACAACTCTTCTGCAACCTGGGAGATGAGACCTTTACAACGCCATCGCGAAATATCAGTAAAACATGATCACAGATCAAAGGAGTACGCCTTACGGAAATCGTGGGACACGATCACGACGCCTCCCTCAAACTCCTTGATCGCACGAGCAAGTGCATCAATTGATGCCATATCTAAGTGATTGGTGGGTTCATCGAGCAGGAGAATGTGTGGGTGTTCCATTGCTAATTGGGCAAACACAACACTAGAAAGCTACTTAGTAACGCAAGTTTCAATAATAAATACAGCCGCAACTTACCGATTCCGCAGGCCGTCCGATAGTTGTTTGATCGGAGCCGTCTGGTGCGCGCCCGAGAGACCGAAGCGGCCCAACTGCGCACGCCACGCCTGTCATCGGGTGAGCACTACAATTCTTTTTGCAAGCCTCCGACAGAAAAAAATAGCCCACCTGGAGATCCTTGTCTGGGAACTTCTGAGCGTACAGCGATTGCATATGCTCAATGGGGGACTTCTCGTATGGAAGCTGGTCGGCGGAATGCTGCGAGTATTTCGCAAGCTTCAGGCCCACGTGGCGTGAAATATTACCCTCGCAGGGCTGCAGCACACCGGTGATGAGATTCAACAAGGTCGATTTTCCTGTACCGTTCTGGCCTACGATGGCGACACGCGATTCCATGCTGCATACAGGAAGACTTACTCAGCGATCATAGCAAAATTCACGAAGAGGAGCGACGTACTCGATACCGAAAGAAAGATGCTGGTACAGATAATCCTCTTTTTTTCCTGAGTAGGAGAACGCCACATCGTTGAAAGCGAGAATAGGCGGTGGAAGTTTGCCGACATCCTCGAAGTTGAACCGAAGAGGCTTGGGCACCTCGATCTTCTCGATGAGACCCGCTGCCTCCATCTTGTCTATGATCTTCTGCTTTGACTTCGCTTGCCTGACAAGATTCGCATATGTTCCCGCAGAAGCAATGAATCTTCACGTTTGAAATGTTAGTGGACAGCAGCGATACACAACGGCATGTGGCGCACTTCTTGATGTGAGCGATTTCGTCCTGTTGCTTTTGGTATGCCTTCATTTGGTTGACCTCGTTTTCTTGCTTTGTCCGCACGTACGTTGAGTAGTTACCACCGTAGTAGACCAGTTTCTTCTTCATGGTAAGGTCCATGATGTTAGTACATACACTGTCCATGAAGTCCTGCGAGTGCGACGTGATGACGAGGATATGGTTATACATGGACAGGTAGGCTTCCAACCACACGACCGCTTCAAGATCGAGATGGTTCGTGGGCTCATCGAGCAAGAGAAGGTGTGGCTTAACGAAAAGCGCTCGCGCGAGAGCAACACGCATCCGCCAACCACCGCTCATATCCTTGGTCGGCCGCAGCATCATCTGCTGGCTGAAGCCGAGACCGTGGAGAATACTGCCGGCCTTAGCCTCGAAGGTACTGGGATCCATCTCCTCCAGCTCCTCGTACGCAGCGTCCAAAGCGAGCTCGTCGACAGGGTCCTCGACCGAGATATCTTCGATGCGCTGCTCCAGTCTGGCGACCTTCTCCTTGGCCGAGGCGACGATGTAGTCTACGGCGTTCACATCCGAGGGCTCTGCCTCGCCACGGACAAGGTAGATGTCGATGTGCTCTGGGATGTGAACGTCGCGTTCGGCAATTGATTGCAGCAATGTTGACTGGAAAGAATTAGTTGGGTCCAACGAGCTGATCGTTCCTTATGCTCACCTTTCCTGAGCCATTGTCTCCCAGGAGACCATATCGCTGCCCATAATTCAACGACACTTCAGCGCTCTCGATGAGTAATCGCCCGTGGAACGATAGTGTAAATGAGTCAATCTTGATATCCCGACCCTTGACATCGGAGACAAGCACTCCAGAAGCACTCCTACGCAGATTGATACATAAGCACATGTGAAATCGAATGGAGTAGACCATACCGATCCGTCGCAATCTGCAGCTTCGCCATCGAGGTGAGATTCTCCTGGCTTGTTGCCGCCGACATACTAGTCATAGGTGTGTTCACCGAGCTCCCGCCATTGACGGAACCACTCGGTGTCTCCGTAGACGTCGAGGCGTCTGTGCCCCCCTTTGACTTGGATGCTTGTTTTGCGGCTTTCTCAGCCAATCGCTTTTGTTTTGATGAGGAGGGGGGCGGCATAGTGATAGAGAGGTCAAGAAAGTGTAGGGCCTCCTCCTTGCGGCAGTCCAGAGTATCGATCCCGGTGGCGCAAAATTTCGCTTACCTGAGCAGTACCCTTCCAAGTATGGCAGGTGTTCTAGAAACACTTAAACTCTTTCACGGTGACGCCAATACAAGCTCTGGATGTCTCAGAGATCCAGCCATGAGAAACACGGCGAGCATGAAATACATTCCGCTAGGTATTGGATAAGTCCTGGCAACCATGAATGAAAGAAGTAGCTTCTCACCTCGGACTGTGGGCGAAGTATGTATATGCATCAACTAGTAGACTACAAGCGTGACGGGACTCGTGCAGGAATATCGAACACTACAGGTCAGCGTAAACGATCGCGCTGTAAAAAGTGAGCTAATAGCGATATGGAACGCCTCAGTCGGCCTGTCGCCGTGCAGCAAATAATATCCGCCACGGGGACCAAAGCTGGCTGTTGGCGAGCGTGACCAGATTACAAGTACTGCAATTTCTGAAGCGGACACTTCACACGCAACATATATACAATCGTGACCTGCGTTCGATCTGCAACCTAAATGCAAACGACTTGAATTATTTTCTCGGGGGGGATGTCACGGTATGTGTGACTCAAGTATCGTCACACTATACAGTTACGCCGCCACCGAACGCTAAATATTCGGTAGACGCGCGTCGGAAACTATACCACTAACCTTTCCTCCACAGACGTCGGGATAAAAGCATGAGGTTTGTCGTCGCAGTGCTGTATTTCATAAGGAACGCTGAGGGTTGTTACGTAGCGGAAGCAAGCTCTCAGTGTCAAGCGTGCGGGGCTCCATCAAAGAGCTTCTCGCCGATGCCAATGGCGAGAAGAAGCGTAACTTTGTCGAGACTATCGAGCTTCAGATTGGTCTCAAGAACTACGACCCTCAGAGGGACAAGCGTTTCTCTGGAACCGTGAAGTGCGTTCGCTTCTTCCGTAGCCGTATCTGTAGACGATCTAATTCGGTTGACATTCATAGGCTCCCGAACGTCCCCCGCCCTCGCATGTCCATTTGCATTCTCGCTGATGCTGCCGACATCGACCGTGCCAAGCAGATCGACCTCGAGTACATGTCTGTGGATGATTTGAAGAAGTATGTGCGATGAAAGTTGTTAAGTACGCTCGCTGACTACGTTTACCTTCAGGCTGAACAAGAACAAGAAGCTTGTGAAGAAGCTCGCCAAGAAGTACGATGCTTTCTTGGCCTCTGAGACTCTCATCAAGCAGATTCCTCGACTCCTCGGTCCCGGTCTCTCTAAAGGTAAGTCTCCTTCTTGCAGCACTGATATTCGATTGCGTACTCATTGTCCTTTACATAGCCGGCAAGTTCCCCACACCTGTGGGGCATACTGAGGACTTGAATACCAAGCTCACCGAGGTCCGCTCGACCATCAAGTTCCAGCTGAAGAAGGTGCTTTGCTTGGGTGTTGCGGTTGGCCACGTCCAGATGACCGATGACCAAGTCCTCGGAAATGTCATGCTCAGTATGTGGACTTTCCCTTTCGAATTCGTCCGCACTCTGACGCTGCTGTGTCTCAGGCATTAACTTCTTGGTCTCTCTGCTCAAGAAGAACTGGCAGAACGTCAAGTCGTTACACATCAAGTCGACGATGGGCAAGCCTATCCGACTCTTCTAAACGTTTTCGTCATTTAGGAGACCGCTGGCATCGTTCGCGATTGGCCTGATGCGAGAATGGAATGGACGGAGGGACCGAGATGACCGTGATCCAGGGCTGCAATGCACAACATGAAGCCCCGCACGCTTGGACCAACGGCTTCGTAGGGGGTTGGGAGCCGATTGGGAGCTGATGCAGCCTTACGATCACTGTGTTTTCTATAGCGCTTCACCGTTGTTTCGTTCTCGTGGATTCCGATTGTAGCTTGTTGGCATATGAGTATTTGAGTAGTCATGTCGTATGACATATTGGCACATCCCGATCTATGCGTATGGCATATCAGATCTGCAGTATTTCAGCTGGTTGTGGTTGCGTCCTAGTTGCTCGGACGCGAAATACAAGCCCGAGCGATCCGTACTGGTTATCAACGAGCGACCCGAATGTTATTAGGCTGAGATGTCGAACGCGTAGTTCACGAGTCATCTGTCTGTAACAAGAAGTACTCGCTCCCATACAGAGCAGTCGAGGCTAAAGTTGCCCCTGTAAGAGCGAGTGAGACAGCACTGCGATTGGAGGTGAGAGACTTTCGCATGTTGAAGAAAAGATATGTCAGTGACCAGGCTGCAGATATTGATGCAGGAGTGAGCAACGACGCAGACGCAGTTATCGGAGACGCGCCTGTAGTGATGCCGCTACCGTTCCGTGTATCTCCTGTGGAGAGTACGTAGCCAGCACCTGCAAAGATGGCACCAAACCCAATCCTGTGCATTATTGGAGGGAAGAACGGCCTTGGTGGAACAAATGACGAAGCGAGGACTGTGAACAACGTCAACAGAGCACGGTCAGCAGTGACATCAAGCGACACACATAGTGCTGACAAGCTCCATACTGGGATACTGCCAAGTTCGAATGAATGAGTGTCGATCACTAGCAGACATACGTTAAACGTGGAGAACAACATACGGATACTGTGAGTACGGTCGGATTACCGCCTCGATAGCAGGGTATGGAGAGTCACATGTTTTGGATTTCCCCTCGGCGGGCATGTGTGGATTCTCCTGAAATATATGACAGTTCGAAGGAAAGTGGCTGAAATCTGTGAACACCTCTGATCGGTGCGGAGAGGAAGTTCCCGATCAGGCAATTCACCACTGACATATGCGCGTTGCCTCTTGTCCTCACCTTCTCCGCGACGTCTGACGCGCGTGTTGCTTGTACTGCGGCTGTCTCTCTGTGCTGCTGAAGCTTTGATGTCCTCTCCCGAGTTAAATGGTCTCAATGAGAAAGAGCTCGACGACAACTTAGCCACAGACAGTCCGGTCGAGCTGAATGAAGCTGCCGACAATGACTACGACCACACTCATTCAAGCGGGACGTCTCCGGAACTGGGTGCAAACGGAGTCTCTAATGGCCACCAAAATAGCCATGTCGATGTCACTGGTTCCGAAACGGAAGGAGAGCGCGAGGGCACAGACGAGGAGGTCGACGCTGAGGGCTCTGACGAGGATAGAGACGACGAGGAAGACGACGAGGAGCCCGCGCTCAAGTATCAGAGGTTTGGTGGAATCGCGCATAGCCTTCTTCAAAAAGATGCTGGCTCCGCACTGGCATATGCGAACCAACGGGTCGTCAGTGTTGTCCACTCGACGCATTCTGATGTTGAGTCTTGACTGTTATGTTCCCCCATACTTCAGGCACTGGGAACTCACGGTGGCATGGTGCACATTTTGGACCTATCTGGACAACATTTGAAGTCGTTCAGCTCACATTCCGCTTCTGTGAGCGACATTTCCCTGGATATCACCGCAGAGTTTGTCGCTAGTGCGTCAATCGACGGTGAGTAGCAGTCCCTCTCGATTTCAATACTGTGTGAGTGTGGTTCTCTAGTCCACCCAATGAACGTTTCATTGAAGTGAACCCATCATCTTGACAAATCCTTGTCTGAGTTATCCCATCTCAGTAACTGAGATTCAGATTTCCGCTTAGGAAATTTGTTGTGATTATGTGGAGGACTTGGATGTGTTTGCTGCTAAATCTAACATACACTGATGCCGTTCACCCAGGACAGGTCATCGTACAGTCGCTCTCTACAACTGAAACTTCCACGTTCAATATGAAACGTTCTCTGCGGACTGTGGCACTGGAGCCTAATTTTGCTAAGAGTAGCACACGGTCTTTGGTGTGTGGTGGCATGGCAGGCGATCTGGTGCTACACGAGAAAGGCTGGTTGGGCTACAAGGAGACGACACTACACTCGGGAGAGGGTCCTATCTGGCAAGTCAGATGGCGAGACAGGTTAATCGCCTGGGCAAATGACTTGGTTCGTCCCAGCTTTGATGCAAGACGCGCCTGCCACTAACACATCGAGCAAACAGGGCGTGAAAATATACGACACCGTGTCACAGACTCGTATCACCTTCATAGACAGACCAGCCGACAGTCCGCGCGCCGACCTTTTCAAGTGTACTCTCCAATGGCAAGACGACTCTACCCTGCTAATAGCATGGGCGGATCATATCAAGGTTGCACGTATCCGTGCTCGTCCGCGCAGCGTAACTACCTCCGCCTCATCACATCAACCGCCTTTCCTTGCTGAGATCACAGCGGTATTCCAGCTTGATTGTATGATTGCAGGCATAGTTTCGCATCCAACACCATCAATATCTGTTCCCCCTCCACCGGACACTGCTAGTGTCACTTCTGCACCTTCAAGGCATGCGCCTAGCTTGTCTACATCCTCTGTCGCTCCTCCTCCTTCCCTCACCTCGTTCCTTATACTCGCATACACACCACCCGACACTTCTCTCCTTACAGGGAATGAAGCCACAATGGATCGCGCAGAGCAAGCGCGCAAAGCCGCTGAGCGTCCTGACCTCCGTATCATCTCGCGCGCAGGAGAGGAGCTCGCAGCTGACGCTCTAAGTATCACCGGGTTCGAGAGGTGGAGCTGCAACGACTACGTGCTGGTGGATATCGAAGCTGGCACTGTCGTAGCTGGCAGTGGGAACGCAGGCGAGAGGTACTATCTCGTACTGAGCCCGAAGGACATCGTAGTAGTTAAGCCAAGGGACTGGAGGGACCATGTAGCGTGGTTGGTGGAGCGAAAGCAGTTCGAGGAGGCGCTAGACACGATTGAACGCCAGACGGCCTTGGGTTTAACTCTCTTACCTGGGGAGGACACGGTGAATCCTGTCCACATCGGCCAGCAATACATCGAACATTTGGTCGGCGAAGGTACGTGAGGTTCGGTTCCCGGCGTTGTTCCAGATCTGCTGACGACGTGTTGGCTCAGGCGAGTTTATCAAAGCTGCACAGTTGTGCCCCAAAGTTTGTGGACGAGACACGAAGCGTTGGGAAAACTGGATATTCGTATTTGCCCAAAAACACCAACTACAGGTTCGTGGTAACGCCAGTCGCACACCGCTACGTAACTGACACCGGCAAATCAGACAATTATACCTTATGTACCCACCGAGTCGCCGACACTTGGACACATGGTTTATGAGATGATCCTGGCTCATTTCCTTGCCCACGACCGACAAGTGCGTTAGACAGTAGCATATCTTCGATTATTACTCATCGTCTTGCCACAGTCGTTGCTGCAAACAATCAAGAGTTGGCCCAAGGGAATATATGACATCCCCGCCGTTATTGTAGCCGTGCAGTCCGAACTTGACAGAGCTCCTTCCTCATCATCATTGAGCACAACTACTCCTGATTCCATAATCCTCATGGAATGTCTCGCGGAACTGTGAGCCTTGCATCTTTTCTTTTTGCATCTTCTTATTCCTTACACGTTACATTAAGATATACCACCAACCGCCAGCCAGGAAAAGCTCTTCCATTTTTCCTTCGGCTTCGGCGTCCCAATGTATTCGATCTCATCAGAGAGAATAACCTCTTTACCGCTGTCCAAGACCAGGCACTTTTACTGGTCGAATTCGATCACGAGCTCATGGAAAAACGAAAGAAGGACGGTGAAGATGTCGATCCGGCCCAGAGCACTGCTATCACATTACTTGTGGACCACATACACTCAGTACCAGTCCGTCTGCACGTTCCCCTGTGATATATCGCTGATTTAAGTTATTGTTCAGATCGGACGGGTGGTGAGGCAGTTGCAGAGTAGGCCGTATTATCTCTACCTCTACTTAGATGCTCTGTTCAACAAGGATTCGCATCTAACGTCTGACTATGCGGATAGTCAGGTATACAGAGTTGATATCTTACACTCAGACGTCAATTACTCATGCAATCACTTTCCGCAGGTCAAGCTATACGCCGAATACGCTCCCCATCGTTTGATAGACTTCCTGCGCGCCAGCAACTATTACAATCTAGAAGATGTGCGACTCTCCTAGTGTCCTCTTGCCCTCGGTAACTGACCGCAGAATCTGCCAGGCGTATAATGTCTGTAGCGAACGCGACCTTGTCACGGAGATGGTCTTCCTTCTTGGTCGTATGGGCGACAACAAGAGAGCGCTGACGCTCATCATAGAACGGCTCGGGGATGTGAACAGAGTAGGTTATACCTTCATATCACATTCTGGCTCAGCACTAATTGTCGACGTACATTGTAGGCTATCGACTTTGCCAAGGAGCAGCATGACGATGATCTTTGGGAAGACCTTCTGAGGTACTCAGAAACCCGACCCGGTACGCGTCATATTAGTGAGACTCAGGACCAACGCTAACGTTACTTGTCTTTGTTATCTTTGTCAAAGCTTTCATCCGCGGACTGCTGGAAAATGTTGGAGCTGAGATCGACCCCATACGGCTTATCCGTCGTATCAAGAACGGACTAGAAATTCCCGGACTGAAGGGCGCCTTGATAAAGATCCTACACGACTTCAACTTGCAAATATCTTTACTGGAGGGCTGCCAGACCATACTGGAAGGCGATTGCGCGGACCTCGCGCGCACCCTCCACAAAGACCAGACTAGCGGATTTTTCTTGAGTAGTAAGCTACGATTTCGCATGTCTTGTCCCCTCATCCCGCTGAGCATGTCCGTCTCCCAGTAAAAACGATATGCCCCATTTGCAGCCTGCCGCTGCAGCAGTCCTCACACAGTCTGATCCTGTTGTACCTGTGTCGGCACGTTGTGCACGCGGACTGCGTGTACGACGGTGACGCGCTTCCTGAGCAGCTTGACCAGAATTTCGTCGACATGGGGCTGGGCGGTGACGCAGGTATTGGTGGGAAGATTGCGTTGTGAGTATTCTTTCTTCGCGTCTTCGCTCCCATCTGCTGATGCATGCTGTAGTACCGCGATGGTCAGGGCCAAGATCAACCAGGGCTGTCCGGTTTGTCATAGTAAGAGTGAAGGACTGCGGACGTAGCTTGCTCAACGGGCTCCGCGCGCGGGTGCATATACCCAGGACATTACATTGCTATGAGCTTACGGCAGGACTGCTCGAGATTGCTGATTGGATTCTCCATCTACGCACATGTCCATGAGTCAAATATGATATCTGCACTGTCAGTTTCATTTTCTCCCAGAAACACAGATATTCCTGTGTACGAGAAAGGAAACATATCTCGAGGTCCACAGATTTGCACCGCGAGCTCGGCGATTGGCGACACTCGTCCTATAACTGAATCGTCGTAACTCGTGCGCAAACATAATTATGACCGCAGATTTTGGAATCTACTACGCGTACTGATAGAGGTATAGCAATAGTGGCTACAATGATGTGAAGACCTGGGAGAAATGGAATCAGCATCATGCCAAGTGTGCAACATTAAAAGCCAGTGAGAAACGAAGTTCAGACAATGTATAATGATTCCGGATAGACTAAATCCTCAAAGAACGACGTTCTCAGTTGAGGGAGTCTGCTTGTCATCTCGAAGAGAAGACAAAGTATCAAAGAAAACCGAATACCCACTTAACGGTTCTTGAAGTAGTCAAGGAGAACGTTAAGCCCCTCGCTCTCCGTACCGTAGTCCTTGACCACGACGCACGAGCACCCGACAACCTTGCGTGGGTTACCCTCGCGATCGATCTTGCAGAGACCAGCCCAGGTGCCGAGGACCTTCGCGTCACTGACCCGGATGAGGTTGATCTTGTGCTCCGCGCAGAGCGCCTCGATAAGCCTAATGTACTCTGCCTCCGTGCAGGTCTCGACGAGGACGCACAAGTACGCCTGGCGCTTGTCGAGCGCCTTGGCGCACTCGCGGAGACCCCGCGAGAGGCCGTCGTGTACAAGGGCGTTCTTCAGGACTTGCTATTCATCGGAGCAGATTATTTAGTGGTATGCGCATCATGGGTAATCATTCACACACAAAGCTCACCTGAAGAGCGTCCTCTACGGACAGCTTGCCCTTCGGAGCTTCGGCGGGAGCCTCTACCTCGACCGGAGCCTCGTCAACTTGAATGTCATCTCCAGCGTCAGACATCCTGCAGAAATGAAGATCCTGTGTTAAGCTCAACGGTACACAAAGCAGGTGTCGAGTCGTACTTTTTTCAGATTAGAAAGAAGTTGGTGATGTCTTCGTCCGCTATCGTTGATGTGAGGAAAATTAGAGTTAAGTTGTGGCGACAAATATATGCAATTTGAACCCCGCCGGCAGTCTCCGGTGGCAGATGAAGATCTGTTGCAGCAGCGAAATGACAAGTACCTGTAACTTGCAATGGTCCGTAGTATATTCAGCATAACTCGTCCGTTTGTTGCAATTACTGAAGTTTACGCGCAGAGCCTAGCATTTTTACACGCACACGACGGCGCAGAACGTACGCATCGCACACATTGATCCTACCGGGACTTCGCGTCTTGTCTAACGCTACACCTCCAGCCCACTCTGATGCCATTTGGGGTATTACATGGACACACGACGACACTGTCCTCACCGCGTCTGCCGATGGCTCCATCAGAGAGTGGAACTCCACGTCAGGCCAGGTGTTGCGCTCTCAGCTGGCCCATACGCATGGACTCGTATCGCTCGACGTGGACTCGGCGGGGAGACGCGCATTATACAACAGTTTGGAGGGCCTGACGTGTTTGTGGAACCTGGAGAGCGGGAAGATGGAGGGGAAGTTCGAGAGTTACGTGCGGTCGGGGGCGGAGGCGATCGAGCCATGTGAGTCGTGTGTTCGCAGTCGCTTTCTAACTACACCCTTGAACCCGTAAGAATTTTGCAGCGTGGTCCGTGTCACTGGACCCTAAGGGCCAGACGTACGCGTCGACGGGCGGGTCGGGCAACGTCACGATTCACTCCGCCGCTCGCGAGTCCTTTGGCGAGCGCCGTGCGACTCTCCCCAGCGGGCGCAACAAGTTCGGCATGTTCTGCAAATATGTGGGTCCTTCGTAGGCTGCATCGTCCGCGCGTTTTGTCCGTGTCCTTCCTCTCCTCTGCAGTTCTGCTCTCGCTGTCTTTTGCTAGTTGCTTCGGCGATGGTATGGTACTGACATTACGTGTTATACAGAGTCCCGATGGGACGCGCGTGGCGATGTCTCTGGAGACTGGTCAGATATACATCTTTGACGTTGCGTCTGCGTCACTCCAATCGACCTACACGTCGCATGCTATGGCGGTGCGTTCACTGGCTTGGTCACCCGATTCGCAAGTGTGTTCACTATTCTCCCGACTCGAATACCAAGCTGACACGCGACACCATCAGCTGCTCCTAACTGCATCTGAAGACAAGCGACTCATTCTCCATGACGTCCGTGTCTCACCATCCGGAAAGCCTGGTTCCGGTGCTGTCGCGACATTTGCGGGTCATTCATCTTGGGTACTGAGTACCGACATCTCTCCAGATGGACGCCTCGGACTCTCCGGGTATGTGGGTGCATTACGCGGTCTTAATGCACTCAACCAATCTCTTCCGTAGATCTGCCGACAAAACGATAAAAGTTTGGGACCTCTCCGCTCGCGCGGCGGTGTCAACCATTCAGGATACGGGCGAGGTTTGGAGCGTGTCATGGCGCCCACGATCAGCGGCGAATAATTCGGCGGGCGCATTTGTGAGTGGTGGTGAGGATGGTGTTGTGAGGTGGTGGAGGGCGGCAGGGGCCGGCTAAGGACACTAGATCGGTGAGAGGTTGTTGGACCTTCAAAACGTATTCTTGTTCTGCGCTTAAGTGTTTGAGGTACATGACGAGAAGTACATTGTACGCTAAAGAGCGCAAGACGATCCCACTGTATACAAGCGACTATATGCGGTGTAGATTCTCACATTTACTCCGTTTTCCGTGTGTCCTCGGCTGGTCCACCAAGTCCGATGCCTGCTAGGAATGCAATCCTCATCGACGCCCCCGCATACACAAAGCCCACGCTCCCCCACTCCATCGCCGACCACCCAGCGACATTCAGAAACACGTCTGCGATGCCCTTCTCCCATGCAAGTGGCAGCATCGTCGCGAGATGCCCAAAGTCCGCGACGAGCAGACAAAAGAGGAGGCAGCGCCACGTGCGGCGCGAGGTGGTGGACGTGAGGACGAAGTGCTCGTTCAGCGCGAAGAGAAGATAGAGGTTCGAGAGCTGGTAAAGGGATATGAGGGTAGCTGTTGGCGGGGTGGTGGTGGTCGGCGACGGGGTGGAGGAGAGGTAGGCGAGGTACTCCGCAGGTCTGCCTGCGGCATAGTAGGAGCCTACCACAGCGGAAATGGGCTCGATGTAGAGGAAGAAGAGTCTGTAGAGCAGAGGAATTGTGCCCACGTCGTTGGCAGACATCGTGGTCGTCGTCGAGGACTGTTCCAGCTCGCGTTCCCACAGATCTTTGGACTTAGACCTCATCTACTTCCGCTATCGCTGCAGACTTCGATTTTCTGGTGGTTTCTACTCGTTCATCTCGGTTCGCGAGTCGCCTGCGTTGCAGAGCATGGAATAGCTCAGTAGACCGCGAACGTATTCCAGGCTTTTGACGGTGACCGCGCGACTGCAGCCCGGCGCAACGGGAGGATATGCTCCCTGCAGCTGACACCACGGTCCGTCGTGTTCTAAATCTCACTGGTGAGATGACCTTGATGCGACTGCTTCACAGGAGGAAGCTCAGGACATAGAGCCAGCTGTCGACTCTATCCCGAAGTCGCAAGCGACGCCCTTCCCGCTCCCGTGCGCTCTGATATCTATCAGTCCAGAGTGTTCCGAGCAGCAGCGGTCGGATGCGATCTACCGAAATATCCGCCTGCTCGAGCGCGCACTGGAGGAGCAGAAGATACGCATTGCTACATCGCAGACACGGTGCTTCTACCTCCAGTGCAAGCTGCGCGTTCTGCAGAGGAAGCTCGATGCCCAAAGTTTGAAGCACAAGGAGAAGGTCTGCAGGAGCGAGCTCTGCTTCATGGTTCGACGCGCGCGTAAAGCAGGAGGGAAACGTCGGAGAAGAGACCCCAGCTAAAATTTCTGACGTTCGCGTCGCCGCGCATCGTTCTAGAGACAACTTACAGATCGTTCCGAGTCACCGTTAATTCACTTTTAGAGTCAATGTGAGTTCTGGACGATGTACTAAGTGATGGTGTGCGTCTGATATTTGTCGCATTCAGTGAATCACTTTAGTCCCTCCAGATAATGCAATAGTTACAAGCAGCAGCTTTGCCAGACTAATTGTTCTGTAACACGCAATTCCGATATGATTTTTACGTGAGCTCTCAACCACACCCTCTACGCCGCACACATCTGACGCCCGCTGTAGCTTAGATAAATGCAACAATCTCTCGATATGACACTCGTATCAGTGAGCAAACGTTCGCGGGATTCTCTTCAAGGTCCTAGTCCCTTCCAAGGAGGTTCGTTCAGCAGTGGTCGCACCGATATCCGCATGTATCAGGAATAAGGCAGACACACAACAAGATCAACTTGATCCACATTCAACGAATGACTTGATTCAGCTAGAAAATTGAAAATTACCCAGAGACTCCTCCCTGAAGCATACTTACAATTGAATAATGCCGACTTATCTCTGTACGGTATCTCGGCTCATCTAGCGACGCTTAAGCTCTCTTCTACGTGGTATGCACTGACACGGACGTGTCCGCGGAATGCTTCTCGTCATATGCGCTAGCACCTTCATTGACGTTCGAGATCGGCCCAGTGAACCACTTGCGTGCGGAGAGCACCCAAGACGCTGCGGCAAAGAAAAACACGCCCATGATGATCACCACCGCGTAGTCTGTCACTGCGCGTCAGCACTAGGCACTTGCACTTCATGTGAGATAAGCACGCACTCATTGTCTGCGCGGTAGTCGTCTGTGAGGGCGGGAAGAGTAAGAGGACGACGATAAAGCAGACCCATGCTACGGCGACGATCCCGAGGGGCATGTACCACCGCCCGAGAGAGAAAGGTCCTTTCACGAGTTTGTCCCGACCTGACGTGATGCGCAGGAATATGGGGACGATGTAGGACACGTACAGACCGATGACGGATGCGCTGCAGAGGAGAAACAAGGATCAATCCTCAGTATTTCTAGAAAGCGTGATCCGCAACACACCCAGCAAGCGACGAGAGCGCTGCGGCCGAGAACCCTAGCAGGCCGCAAATCCCCGCGAGGACCATGACGAGCCACACCGCATTAACGGGCGTCTGCGTGTGCGAGTTCATGCGCTTCCACCAGCGCGAGCCAGGCAGCGCGTTGTCACGCGCGAACGCGAAGACCACCCGTGACGCGTCGACGCCCTGTGCGGCGCCCGTGACGAATTGCACGACGATAATGAAACTCCAGATCGCAAGCATGCCCCGCTTGCCGAGCACCATGTAGAAGAGCTGGCCCATCGGCAGCGGCAGCGTCGTGTCAAGTACCGCCGTGACGGACGCGGTCGCGAACGACGCAGCTATGAGCAGGATCCACCCGAGCGCTGCAGTCCCCGCGACGCCGATGAGGATAGCGATCGGGGCCGCACGCGCTGCACCTGACGTCTCTTCCGAGATGTGCGCAGCGGAATCATCTGCGTTACCGTATGATCTTAGAGCCAGATATGCACGGCACGCAGTTAATTGCAAACTTACACCCAGTCAGAGTCCACATCGGCGCAGTGAACGCGAGTAAGAACGCCCAGCCGTTATTTGTCCAGCCAGTGTTGTTCTCAAAGAGAGTGAATGCATCTGCGGTTGAGACCTTGTTATCCCCCGCGCAGACAAGTAACGCGATGATGGCAGCAATCGTCGTGCCGACTGTTTATATACACCGAACTAGGATCAACATCTCGGTGCGCAGGGACATACCACTCGCCATTGATAACCACGTAGAACAGGTTCAGCCGCGCGAGGATATTCGTGGCGGCGGAGCAGACGAAGCCGTGCGCGAAGAGGATGGCAATCAGGATACCGTAGGTGGGCCCGCTGCCGAGGTTCACCGCACCGTCAGACCCTACAGCTATCGCGGTCGTAATCATTTGGGCACTGCAGAAGGCTAAATATTCTCGGAGCGCCGGTATGCTCGGAGCACGTACCAAGTGAAGTCGATTGAGCATACGAGCGTCACTTGACCAGTGATGTTTGACCAGCCAGTGATCCAACTTGCAAGCGCGGACCACTTTGCTGGTGCTAGTTTCGCCGAAAAGTAGTAGAGCCCAGCACTCGTCCTGCAATAGTATGGGAACGCATGTGTAGAAGATCATTTCGGGCGGCTTACGGCATGGATGATGCGAGCTCGGCCATGCATGCAGCGACAGTCAGCACGAACAAACTTGGAATTAACCAGCCAAACACCATGCCGACATGGCCGCCTGGTATACAATTGTTATTGAGGAATGTTTAGCGGAGATGCTAGGATACTAACCTGACACAAGGGGGAACGAGAATGTCGACGACACGGAGGCGACGACACCCATGATAGAGAAGGCAAACGCCACTGTCTCGATGAGCTGCAGGAGGGTGAGCACTTCCACGAATGAGCAGGACGCTTCGGGCATACGCACAGAAAATTCTCGCTTGAATTCTGACTTGTATCCGAGCTTCGCGAGCAGGACATCATCGGAATGGCGTATCTCCTCCAAGGCGACGTTATCATTATGGACAGCATGAGTAGTGGTTGTGGCCTGTTTCTCTCCCTTGATGTCGGACATGGTGGGGTGCTCGCTGCGACCTCGCAGAAGGTGGAAGAAGCAGAAGATACAAAAGCCGAGCGCTGGCGTTGTCCACGGCCATGAGTCTATCGCCAGCGCGGGAGTAATAATCTAGAGGACCCTGATAACTGGCGATGGTCGCTGACAACCACGGAGGCAGGCATTCCGGGCGTCTTCACACACGCGATAAAGCCACTCAGCATATCACTTGACGGCTTATCGTGTCCCAGGGATGCCAACATCAAATTCTTGCCAAGCGAATGGCCGTCCGGTAAGAACTTGAATAGCTCTCATAAATGGAGCTTGTTCGAGACACGTCGGCAGGCACCACAAGACACGTTATAGCTGAGAGTTGTTGGGGTATGGGTTCCCGACGAGGGTCGACAGCACTGCAACCAAACTGTAAAGATCGCCGAGATGGGATCTCCATCACGAACTTCTCGTGCGCGCGCGCTCCGGAACAGATGGTTCTCGTCCAGACCGTGGCCTGAGCAAGAACATGTCAAACTTGTCTCCTCGGAGGAATCATGAACTGGCTGGAGCAGAGGCAGCAGGAACACGCGAGAAACATACAATATGTTTTTTGGGCGGGTATCGTTCTGGCCGAATTCCGGGGGCTCAGGCTGAAGGTCATATCTCAGAGGGCCTGATAGCGGAGCTGTCGTGTAATGTTTCTAGTCAGATGATTTTTCGTCCGATGCAAACATTACTGTACCTAGCTATGGTGGTCACCACCAACTTGGCATCACGAACGAACCTCACCGCGCGGTGCGCCACAGACGTGTCAGTCACGTGACCACATATGTTATCGTCTATCATCTTCAAGTAATTGCGTGAGTGGCTTTCCCACTTGTCCATGCGCACTGTAGCTGTTTTTATACATCTACGACATCTCGTGAGGACCAAACATTTGAAGGTCTGATTTTACGCCTTGCGCGAGGTGTAAACACTGCTTTTGTTGCAGTTGATTCTCAACAGGTGGGCGACAGGGATATTTGCAGACCCACCCGATGCGCACCCAAATTGAAGCCGGGTACGATTAGCCAAAGTCCAGAAACACGGTCGTATCTGTGTAGCTAGGCACCAGCGCTCCCAGGTGCTTCTACGAGTGACATCACGCCCTTATCGTTTCTGTCTTCTGTCATCGGTATCTTTGGCCTATCAGGCCGCGGTAGCTCTCTGGACGGCGTGAACCAGCCATATCTCGGTTGCTAGATTCACTCACCCAAACATGCCTCGACGAGTGCTCATTGGATTTGGGGTCGATGTCGACGCCGTCTCTGGTTGGTAAGGACCCGCCATGGCCTTCCCGCTCTGGAATGACACATTGAGATTCGTACAGGCTGGGGTCCTATGGGGGCGAAGACTCGCCCTTGGACATATCGAGAGTAAGTTAAGGCTCGGAGGTTACTTGTGAATTTTGATTTGAATTATATCGTCCAGGGAATGTACTCAGGCGAAGTGGGCGTACCCCGCCTGCTCAAGCTGTTCAAGAAATATAATATCAAGACGACGTGGTTCATACCAGGCGAGTTGTTGACTTCCTTGGGTAGTAGAAATTGATACTGATTCGGTATCGCAGGTCACAGCCTTGAGACGTTCCCGGAGCAGATGGCCGCCGTGAGGGACGCTGGCCACGAGATGTACGTATCTCGCCATACCACGGTCACCATTCACCGAGACTTCTCTCAGCGGACTGCACGGCTACTCGCACGAAGTAAGTGCCCCTCTCCTCAGTAGCAACGCTGTTAGCTAAGAGGACTCCCAGAATCCCGTCGCAATGACGCTCGAGCAGCAGAAGGATATTTTGGACCACACGTACAAGCTCCTCACCGATTTCAACCACGGCGTCCCGCCGAAGGGCAGCGTCGCCCCGTGGTGGGAGACAAGCAGTGAGGGCACAGACCTCTTGTTGGATAAAGGCATTGAATATGGTGCGACCCAATTCCGCGTAATCACGACATACACCTGAACGTATCTGTTGCGCGCAGATCACTCGAACATGGCCCACGAGTGCGTATATCATTGATGCCTTGCTAGCAATCACCGTATTGATCTGTCGAATATTCTGCGTCACAATCGCAGTTCCCAGGCGTCCTATCTGCGTGATCAAGATCGCTGGACCAAGATTGACTACAAGGCTCGAGCCGAAACGTGGATGAAACCGCTCATACGGGGGAAGCAGACGGGATTGGTGGAGATACCGGCGAACTGGTGGGCCTGTTTTTTCTGCTGTCGCATTGTACCTTCAGTCTACTGGTCTGCTAGGCTTGATGGGTGCACTGGCTGATTGTTCTTTGCCGGGCTCACAGGTACCTCGACGACCTGCCTCCTATGATGTGAGTTGTACCAGACCGCTTCTGATTCTTCCGGCCTAAGGTCATCTTCACCTCGATGTAGGTTCATCAAGTCAAGCCCAAATTCACACGGCTGGGTGAATTCGCGAGATGTCGAGCAGCTTTGGAAGGACATGTTCTCCTACCTGTACAGGTAAGGCACATTTCTGATAACAAGACACTGACGTGCCAATGGACATAGGGAAGAGGAAAACTTCGTTTTTCCGATCACCATTCATCCTGATGTTAGCGGGTACGTCTCGGTCCAATTCCATCAGTGTGGCTTGACAAACCAATGACAACCAATGTGACCTGCAGTCGCCCCCATGTCCTATTGATGCTGGTACGTTATCGACTTCATCTCCATGTTTTCCGGTCATCTTCTATCTCCATATACACATCAACGAGCCAATCTCCGTCTTACGGGGGATTCCTGCATGCTGACCTACTTGGCTATCCGACAGGAACGCTTCATCGAGTGGGTGAACACGCACGCCGACGTGCATTGGGTGCGCATGATCGACATGGCGAACGAGTTTCGCGCGAATAACGCTCCGCCTGCGGGCGCCCGCATGCCTGCTGGATTTCAGAACTTGCAGTGAGCTCGTGTTGGATCGTATCTTGGCGCCACATGCGCTCGCTCTGCCCCGTGTTGGACGGGCGGTAAGAAGAGAAGATGAAAGAAGAGACGTGTAAGCAGCCTGTATAGTACTGATGAGATGAATGAGCAAATGAGTTCGTTTTGGTATAGTGGTCACTCGCGTGGATGGGGCAACTGTGAATATGACGAGGAATCAGTCATTCGCGAAATTGAACTAATCACGCCAAGGACGACGCACCCTCTGTATGCACGAATACCTATATTGGATGCGCACTCGTCCTTATTCGCATAATGCGTCATACGCGTGCACGTTGCAAGTGCATCGCATGCAATAGCACTTCTGAATGTGATTTTTGTTTGTGCAAGAAATTCGCTGCGATGGTATCTGAAGTGTCTCTGAGCCTTATCGCGAAGCATTCATTTCTGTGAGGGGAGCCACGGATGGATGGTAGCATGAATTGTGCTGGTGTTGCATTGTACAGAGACAAACCAAGTCGACGTAAGTCTACAGTAGAACAATTTAAGGCATGTTACCGTTCATGCGTACATTTTCGCCGCGATACACCATACTCTCTGGATGCTGGATAGTCTATGGACAGGGATTATATTACGGTAGGTGGTATGGACCATAAAACGGACTATGCGAGCCGTAAAGTTCAATCGGGTATATGTTATAGTGGTGATAGGAGAGGAGGCTTAGGTGTAGTAATGTTCTCGAGTAGACTCGTAACCATAACCTAGCAGGATGCCGTTGCCTGAAGGAATGGGTACAAACCGATGGAAATCCTTGAGGACAGACAAAGCTGAACAATGACTTCAGTCAAAATTTGCGTGTGTCCATAAGACTGACGTCGTGGACATGCACCTCAGGTATTTACCGTAGCTTCAGCAACCCGCAGGGAGCAGTACTTCATTCAGAACTGTAAGGATTGATACATTTCCATTGGGCTAGTGGAATCATTGGAAATGCAGCAAGCCCTACAATTCTATGATGTCTGTGAACAAGTCGACTTTCGTTGATCAGTGCAGAATACCGTGTCCCAACTGGTCACTACCCCTTATTTCGTCACGACTCTTCACCGGCAGACTCTACTCACCCGCCAAGCTTGATGCCATGACATCAGACATTCAAGGTGACACTGATAGTCTGAACGCAGCGAAGTCCATGAATACAAAGGTAAAAGCCCTTGGAATCAGAGAAGCGCCAACGATGGTCGCAAACTGGAGCGTGAGTAAATCAACCATTTCGGTTTCAGAAGAATCTGCGCTCACCATCCCATTATATGGACGTCAAGTCGCCCCAGATTACGATATCGACATATCGGTATCCGTTGACGTCTTTGGATCAGAACGTTGATGGCATGCTTCTCATGAGCGCTCGCAGAATTCAAAGGAGCATTTGGCTCGACAACTGCGACCTAGGTCCTCCTCGTCTTCACATACTATGCAGCTGTGATGACAACGGCTCCTCCCTCTCACGTCGTGGTGTCAGACACCGAGCCCAAGGTGGACATCGACAGCAAAGTTGATGATGTCCTTGCGATCCCCTCCCTTGCTGCTAGCGACAATGTAGTGCAGAAGTCGTGGTGGCAGAGGATTATCAGCGGCAACGCAGACGCAACACATGATACTAAGAGGGCCATGAGTAGCCGTCACTTGATGATGATAGGTACGAAATCCTATGGTCGAACAATGCACTGAGCCAGATCGCCGATCTTTGTGCAACAGCGATCGGTGGAACGATTGGGACTGGCATCTTCCTTAGTGCGGGATCTGTGAGTACAATTCGCATACTTCAGTGTTTTCTCTGAAATCAAGTGATTTGCGATAGGCTGTAGCCACTGCAGGGCCTGGAAGTGCACTTCTGTCCTACATTATTGTCGGTCTGTTCTGCTATGCGGTCGTCATTTCATTGTAAGTCTGCGGGATTTCTGAGCAACGTCTAACGCCGAAGGATCGCAGGGGAGAAATGGCGGCTTTTATCCCTGTGTCTGGAACTTTCGCCGTGTTTGGGACTCGGTTTATATCACCTGCTTTGGGATTCACTCTTGGTGAGCTGACTCTGCGGAGTGTCCGGCTTGTCGTTACTTACATTGCTACTGGCAGGCTGGAATTATTGGTTGCAATGGTGAGTAGTTGTTGCTCGTTTGTACTGTCACTAGTGACACTCACTGGTGTGTAGGAGCCTCTCCATTCGTGCGTAAGCATCATATTTGACCGCTATTGTTCTGACATTCGAAGCATGCAGCGAGTGAGCTGACAGCAGCAGCAGTCATCCTTCAGGTAAGGATATACACTGTTATGCCGACCTTATCTCCTGATCCCCACTACCAGTTCTGGACCGCGCGACTGCAAGCATGGGAATGGGCTTTGGTCATCATCGTACCAATCTTCGCTATGCAATTAATACACGTACGAGTATATGGTGAGTGTCTCGCGTTCAATGAGAGAGTTGAATAGCTGAGGAGAGATTCATGCTGCAAGGTGAATCTGAGTACTGGTTCGCGCTGATCAAGGTCCTCCTGATCATTGTCTTCATCTTCGTCGGCTTGATATACGACTGGGGAGGCGTCCATGGCCACCCAGGTCCGGTGAGTGTATCTGTCTCTCGCGGACTCAGCAGTGACATAAACTTGCGACCAGGGGCGCTCGAACTTCCAGGACGGACAGGCATTCATCGGGGGCTTCTCTGCGTTCGCGCAGACGTTTGCATTCGCATTCTATTCGTACGGTGGGGTTGAACTCGTCACGCTCGCGGCAGGCGAGTCAGCGAGCCCGCACAAGACCGTTCCGCGCGCAGTTCGAGCAACCTTCTTCCGCATTGTCTTGTTCTACCTTTTGACGATCCTGACGATCGGTTTGTGCATCAATCGGGCGGACCCAACCTTGTTGAGTGCAGCATATGGTATGTCTTCTCTGAAGTCTGAAAGCCGGAGCTCAGCTGACGAACAGCAGAGTCGGACGTTACCGCCTCCCCTGTCACGGTTGTCTTTGTACGCGCAGGGTTCAGGACCGCTGCACATGTCGTCAATGCTGTCCTGCTTACGGCCGTCCTCTCTGCGACAAACTCATGCTTTTACGCCAGTTCGCGCATGCTTTTGTCGCTGGCCCGGAATGGACAGGCGCCCCGCGTATTTGGCTGGGTGAACAGCCGCGGCGTCCCAGTACCAGCTCTCCTGTCAGTCTCTCCCGCTCCCTTTTCCGGTTGGCTATATTGACAGGAACTGCTTCTCTACTCCAGGATGTCACTCGCGGTATCCTTCCTCACGTTCCTGACGACCATATGGGGTGAAGGAATTGTATTCACCTGGCTTCTTGACCTTACCGGAATTTCCGCGCTCCTCGTCTGGGGTTCAGTGGGTCCTATATCGTTGCGTTTCCGCCAGGCTTGGCGTGCACAGGGCCGCGTGCTTGACGATCTCGCGTACATCCAGCCACTCTTTCCGCTACTACCAGTAGCTACAATTATAATTGCGGTCTTGATGTTCGCGGCCGACGGTTATGCTGCAGTAGCTGAGCAGCCTTTTAATCCAAGGGTGCGTTCGAGCTATCGCTCTGATCTGAACCAATGAGAGACTGATGGTATATATGGCGTTCAGAACGTGGTAGCGACGTACATTGGTGTCGCTCTGTATGTAATCCTCTACGCAGGTTATACGCTCTACGAACGATTTTGGTTGAAGAAGACGGCGCACTTCGTACCTCTCTCGGAAGTCGATCTCGAGACAGATGCAGTTTGGGGTCGAGGAGAGGGGCAACGCAACCGAGAGTACGACAGAAATGAAAAGAGGTTGGACGATGTTCACGACGGGTGGCGAGCTTGGCTGGGGAAGGTCGGCCGACATGTCTATTGAGTCGCACGTCTGCCAGCCGAGAAGCGACACTTGAGCAGGGGGAATGTACATCACAATATGTGAGTGTATCAGGAATGATTTTCTTGTTCTGTGGAAACCTTTCGGAGTGTCCCCATCATTCTGAGAAAACGTGTAGGAGAGGCTGAAACTCCCTTCCCCGCAGCACCAATGAAGGCCGTCAGCGATCCTTTCGCGAGCCCGTGATTGTATTCGCCTAGGTATTTGACCACAGTCGGCGCTTTGAGCCCTGTGATCCGCGTAATCGTGTAGCATAGCTCGCTATCTTGTGTAAATGATTTGGAGTCCATGCATGCATGATAGACACCGAGAAATGTCTGGGCGCGGCCGTTAGCCGTGAGTAAGTGAGGACGGATGAAATAGCGATATGGTTTAGCGACATAGACGACGCGTGGATGTGTTGCCAATCTTTCCAACGTGATGTCCGGATGAGAGAGCTCGAGGCCGATACGGGGAGACCGATAGATAGTAGCACTGCTCTGCGTCCGTGATGGCTGCACGTGCACTAGGTGCAAGCACGTTGTCCTTGTCTCACTTGAGGCAGATATAAGGAATGCAGAAGTATCTCCGCTCCATTTGTCTGTAACCAGTTTGGCTATATTCGAAGCTTCACTGACACGGAGCAATTCATCTACGAGGAGTGATGGCCCCGAGATTATTGTCGAGTCAGACATCCTCCGTAGGGTACGCAAAAGAACGCCTCCACGAAGCAGAGGAGGGTCGAGCATCTGACTGGTAGATTCAGTGAAAAATCGAGATTTGGGCGTTGCAGGAGCCCCTATCGTTAGGTCCAACCCTTTGCGCGTCCCACCTCTGTATCCGCCTGCAGCTGTCACACTGAGCTGCGAGACACGAGCCTTTCGAGGTGCGCGATGAAAATACCTGAGGTAACATATGACACTGCCTAACCTTGAGAAAAACATATGAAGATGGATGCGTACCAGTTCCCGCTCTGCTTCTGCTCGTCGCTCCCATGTGTGAAAGGATCTTCATGACAACTTGATTTGTGCAAGTAGAATTCCACCTCAAGGATCTCGAATTCTGTACGCGTCTCTGGAGACGCCGCCAACAGTCGATACTCGTGAAAGAGTGCTGAAGCAATGTTATCAAAACGAGAGCAAATAGCGTGGTCCGATTCGAGAGAGGTGAAGTCCAAGAGTTCTGGGAGAGTGAATCCAGAAGCAATATGTGGTGATCCTGACCAGCTAGAGCCATCCTGTAAAGACGTGTCTAACTTTGAAACTTTGTGGGGTGTTGCTACGCAGCCTTTGGGTTCACTCTCAGCTTCGGAGCTCTACCTATCAAGGTCATGATGACTCACTGGACGATCGCTGTCTTTTCACCATGACATACAGACTACAAGAAAAACATTCAGATAGGAACAATCAATAAGGAGGTCGTACCATCAACCTCGTGATATGTAATCGACAGGACGATCGCTCGAGATTCAAGTTGTCAGTTCGCGTGACAATGAGTTGTGACACTCACGTGAAGTGACAGTTCGTGACACCATCAGTGATCGCGCCAAATCCGGCGTGTCGCTTTCCCTAACCTCTGGAGCAGTGTAAGCTGCTGTGAATGCTGCGGGACTATCATTCCTTTCTCTGCCGAAATACTTCGCGCGTAGAAGATCTGAATTGTAGTACAACCGGCGTTATCTGTTCGTGATGGCATTGTCACCGGCGGATGATCTCGGTGTACTTAAGGTTGGGCTCAGCCATAACCATCCGGTGTCACGTGCAGAAGACTTACATTGAAAATCTAAAAACTTCGCGGGCCGGCACTCTTTCAGAGAACGACAAACGATGAAATTTCGAGATTCTTAGCAACTAATTTTCATCGTTTGAAGATTTGATGTCCATCCAGTTGTTCCAATGCAATTAGATTTACAAGATAAGTGGGATGCACGTGACATTGGAGGGATATGGCTGAGCCCAACCTTATCTGGAGATGCTGGCCGGTATCTGGGTGCCGAACGCAGCCTAAAAGTCTTCATTTCTGGCCAACATGATGCAGTCATTCAGCTCGCAATTTGGCGGAATCTCATTTAATAATGCTGTCTCTGCTCTTGAGTGCATGGCAATCGACAGGGCCTCCAATAAATTCGTTGAAGATATTCTGACCAGCGATCTCATCTGCGACGTTATGCTGTCTTGCTGTTCTCCAACATCCGTACTTCGATTGTCGAGGATTTGCCGTGCTGCGACTCGGCGGTCAAAACGTATATCTTACGCACCTTCAACATCAATCGTCACCTTTCTCGTTATTTCAGGGATGTGCCTGCCTTCCGTTCCATGCAATCCCGCACGGGAATTCTGGTATCCGGTTCTACGGCTCTCCAGTTCTTTGACAGGTCATTTTATCCGAGTCAGACCTCGATCTGTATGTGCACATGCGTTGGCGCCATGAAGTCGGTAGATGGCTTTGAGACAGGGTTACAAATACGCACCAAACAGTCGTCAAGATCCGTCTTTCGAAATCGCAGCCTCCGCTCCCTGGAGCCCCGTAAGGCACGTAAACGCCTACTACTCTATGCGCGGAGTAGCTGCCGTGTTCACGTTCGTCAAACGACTGAATGGAGCGCAGCTGAAGGTTCAACTGATCATTGCAATTCATGCCCCCATCGAGGTAATCCTTTGGTTCCACTCCAGTGAGTGGAGACATAGCTTAGCCATTGTTTCACCCAGGGAAATAGATGACTCAATACGTCCTCCATGCCTTATTCAGCGTGTGTCGTGAATATTATCTCCTACAAGAATGCCGTCTCGCTGTATCCACGTGCTACTTTCGAGGAGCGACGTGCTCTGGTATGTCCCAATGGTCGATCAGAACAAGAGCTCGCGGTTGAGAAGTACAGCGCGCGGGGCTGGGATATGCTTCGTGTGTTGCCCGAGTCTGAACGTACTCGCTTAAATCCGTCTTTCCGGCTCGGACCCCGCTGGCTCGAAGATAGTGATAGCTGGATCATTCCTCTTGACATGGCTGGCGTGGAACCTCTTCCAGTGATATCTCCCATCTCTGCACCTATCAAGCAGGACCCGGTGACCGTTACTACATGGGAACTATCGCTCACAGAGGAGTTCGGCGGCCAAATGGAATTTTTCTACTTATCCCACCCTACCGGCCTATTCTATGAGTACCTCATCGGGGACGCGGAGATATACCTATTCATCAAGCGAGTTATCGCGCTGAGGATAGATGCGCATCGTGTTGCTACGAGTACTTCTTCGTCGTCGAACCACAAACAGTGAGCAGGCCCTAGTTGGTCGCTCCCGTTTTTACTCACCCTGTACCATGCTTCCCAGTTTCGACGCATCTGTGCTCACTATTTGTACGGCGCTTCTACGGGAGCAGCAACTGGTTGGGCTTCGACCTTGAAGCATGAGGTGCAATATAGCAATATCCTGATACTTCGTCCAGGAGGGTAAAAACTCGAGCCGATGCCTCCATCGGGCTTCGGGAGTTCCAGTGAATAATTGTCTTACGATGCACGTCTCATATGTTATTTCTTGCTGCTTTCCAATCTCTAATGTACACACTCTCGTTCTGCTGATGTTTTGTATTTATAGCTCAACTGTTCTGCATCGAGATCGCTGGGGTACTTCACATAGACATATCGACTGACTCTACAGCATACGACTCAATGGCATAAAATTAACATTTGGATATGAGTACTCTAGATAACGCCTGCCCCCCGTCGCCCAGCCCACCTGGCCCCTCCAATAGATACGGATAGATATGAACAGAATTATCGCCACAGGACTACTGTACAACGACAACGGTACTAAAGCTACATATATCAGGATGAGATGAGAGCAGCAAGCTATATAAATGATAAGTCTACACCGTAGGACGGAGTTATCGTGGTCATGTCTTCGCGCGAGTAAAGGCGTTCCGTGGTAGTCTGGGACTACTGTAGCCATTTAGATCCAGTTACGAGAACGGTAGCACAGAAAAGGACACGTACAGGTCAGGGGGAGTCGCAGCAAGCCCTACGATTCAAGCACCCGATGGCGAAGTTCTCCACATCCCACATGAATTGAATGCAGCAAAGAACAAATGGGAGTGTACCGTAGGAGGGTTGTCCCAGTAGAAGCTCTACAAGGATAACACCTTGTCCGATCTCCTGTCAATACCATCACCTTCGTCACGTTGAAGAGAAAGGCGTTCGCGCGTGAATGTCATGAGTGCCGATGTCCGAACTGCGAGGCTGGTTCTAGCCATCGGAATCTCGGTTCCCGGCTACAGACGATCGTCTCTACGGGACTTTCTTCGTGGACTCGGCTCTTCAGTGGTAGCGCGGGTTCCTCTCCGGTGGGGGGGAGTCGATGGCACGGGTATCGTCACGCCCCTCCGAACCTCCTGTAGATCGATCTGCGTACCCTGCCGAACTAAAACTTCTGCAATCCTTGCAATAGATCCGATGTGCCCGACATGAGGATCGTCCACTGGAGCTGGTGGCGCGGAAGGCGGTCTTCTGAAACTTGGAGTTAACCCTGGAACAACCATATAGTCATGTTCAACAAACGGATTATGACTGGTCGTAAATTTCGTCTGATTTTGCGAATCATGATGAGAGTGTGCGTGACGTGTATCCACCGAGGGGTCTAGAGACGTTAGCTCCTGCTCAGGATTTTCGCTGGCTCTCGCCTTTCCCTTGTTATTCGTAGGTGTATTCGCAACTGAAGTGACAGAGTCCGCCCTCGGCGTCGTGAAACCCGACAAAGCCAGCCTCATCTCGGGTTCCAAACTTTGCCGTCTGCTCCCCGGACCACTGGACGGCCACCTCCCTTGTTCCTGCGCGGCTTGTTCCGCTAGCACGTCCAGCGCGCTACGAACAGGAGTAGCTGACAGTGGGACGGATCGAGGTGTAGGCTCCTTGGCCCTGTCGCCAGAGTCCGTGGGAGTTTCTCCGCTCCTCCCCTTCCCTTTCCCTTTCGCTTTCCCCCTTCCTCCGCCCAGATCCAGCTCTGCAGGCTGTGGTTCCCGTCTGGAGCTTCTTGGTTTCATCCTTGAGCCCGATGCTGAAGCTGTTACAGACCTTCGTCTCTTCGGAACCGGGCTATCTTGAGCGTCGAGCGCAGCCGCGGTCGCATTACGCCTTCGCGGAACCTCGTCCGCGTTCGACTCGTCCACATCGTCCATCATCGTTCTCGCCGCACTCACAAGCGAATCCATGGGTGTGGTTACGCCTTGTGAGCTTCCCGTATTCCGGACCGGCGTCCGCACCTGGTTGGTCTTGCCGCTCGTTGGCGCGCCAGGCAGCGGCCACACTCCAGGAGGTAAGGGAACTAGCAGAGGGACTCCATGCGCACCCTGACTTGTACCAGGACCACCGGATACAGGGTCAGCAAAGCGAGGATGCATGTATACAAACCCTTGGGGCACAGTATGAGGGGAGTTGGGATGCAATGGGAGGTGTGGTGGCTGTTGAGAGTGCTGTATGGACGGGTGAAGATGCGATGGAAGCTGCAGAGGACGCCCGTGTATCGGTGCAGTTTCGGAAGTAGAAGCTGCATTGGGATGAAGAGACGCTGGAGCGTCTCGACCCGACGAAGATGATGCGTGGGCCATGGCGCCATATGCATAATGAGTAGAAGGGCCCGCGTCGTCACCCCGATCAAGCTCCCCGTGCCGGCTACTGCGGGTGCGTAGTCTTTGAGCGTCAGCTGCTTCCACAAGCCGTTCGCGCTCCTCCTTTTCCAGTTCCTGTTCACGCTGACGTTGTTCCTCTCGCTCCTTTGCAAGATCGGCAATTGCATCTGCACGCATACGTGCGATTCTCCGTGCGGCCACGAGCAGGCATTCCGCGCGTGCATCAGAGAGCAGAGGTGTCGCGTGGTCTCTGGACGTGCCAGCGTGGGACTTCCTCGTCTTCCTGACCTTGACTTTACCTTGCTTATCAGGCTTTACATCATTGTCTTGTGGCTTACCACCGGATGTAGGCCCCTCCAGCGGCAGGGCAGACGGATCGCTCAAAGCGTTGCCCTCCACTGCGAGTTGTGGTGCGTCATTCTCCGCGTCGACTTGCATAAGGTCCCGCTGGTCATCGCCTGTCGCGTTCACACCGGCGACGGTGTGTATGGCTGTGCCGGCGTCTACTTCCTTGTCCGCAGTTGTCTCTTCTTCTGCATTCGTTAGAGCGAGGGCGTGTGCCAGCGCCAGAGCCTCTGCCTCTCTCTCGTTCTCTTCCGTTTGTTTTTCCTTTTCGCGTTCCTTCTTGCTTTTCCGTTTCCCTTTCTTAGGCTCTGGTTTTGCCTTGGGTGGTGCATTCGAAGAAAATAGTGCCGGGAGCTGCAGCAATGATGGGTCCCGGAGAAGAGCAGGTTGGACGAGAAGGAGAGGACGAAGACGGTTGAGCTCAGACTCGAGAGTGGACATCCGGCTGTGAGACTCTGACAACTATATCACAGCAGAAAAGAAATAGAGGATGTGTAACAGCAGAAATGTTGCATCGTCGTCGTTATTCAATTTAGAAAATTGGGAAATGAGCACAGAGAGATGACGCGAGGGAGAGCGACGGCTAACCTTGTGCCGAAGGGCCCTGTTGTCATCTTGTAAACGTGCAATATGGCGTTCAGCCTCCTGCAAATACATATTATCGTTAGACAAGCGGCAGACCATTAGCCACTGCGAGTTAGACGGCTAGCGCAAAACTGCTGCAACAAAAAAAGGGGAAATACGTAAAACAATTAAAACCGCGGATATAAATTGACCATATGACCAATGTACATCTACCGAGCCGATCAATAGGCATGGCTGAACACCCACATAGTCTTTTTCAGCAGCATCTTGCGCTGCACGCCGTCTGCCAATAAGAGCTTCGGCAGTTCTTTCCCAGCCGTCGCGCTCAGCCTGCCATCGCGCCTGTTCTTCCTCCTTCTCACGGAGCAAAAAATTGCGCTGCACACTAAGCCCAGCAATTGTCTCCGCCTGAGAGGCAAGCTGCGACGGAGAGGGGTGGAGTAACGGGTCGGAGGTCAAACGCAAAACCTGAGTCATATTAATGAGCTTAAAAAATAACCAAAGGGTAGAAACGCACCATATCAGCAAGCTCCCGTTCTGCGGGAGTCATATTGGCATTGGCCGAATGCGGACTCGTAAAACCAAGCTGGTGTACACGAAAGCGCATGGTCTCAAGCTCCACTTGTTCCAGAGGATCGACAGACAAGTGCCGCTGAGGTGTAGGGTCCACATGCGAGCCGAAGATTCCACTTTGGTCGACCTGGATAAGCGATACATGTGCCGAATCAAAAGGCAGAGGCGGCTGCGGTGCGGGGGACGGCGACATTGTGTGCATGATATCGGAGAGGGAGAGCACCGGGACATCTGCAGACGAGTGCGAGAGCATCTGCACGACCGTGCCAACGACGGCGGACGGCTAGCTGACGGCGACAACGGCAACGGTGAAGAGCGCGTGGTTCTGCAGGAAACACTCTGGACAAACAACCGCCAACAACGCCATCGCTCTCTTCACGCGATCGACACACGTGACTCAACTTTGGCCACGTGCAGAGACGTAGATAGAGCAACCCTAACCCTCCATTAAATTTCAATTATTCTATGCACTCGTCTATTTCCGGAAATACAGTATAGGCGACCATGCTCTACTCAGCGGCATTATGCCAGTCGACGGCAGTCGATTAGCAGCCAGAAACACCGTCCAATCAGTCAATTCGCTCTGTGAAAGTTAGTGCATACCTGCGTTCTCACTAGGGCCCACGCCCGAGAATATTTCGATGACCTCAAGCTTAAGGGTAGACGAAAACCGTGACAAACGATTTGAACATTACTGGGTTAATCTGCGCGAAAACGAGAAAACGAGTCGCAGGCCGTACGTGCACGTCTTCTCTCACGTGATGCATAAATGCACACATGCATCGCTCACATCGCTTGGGCGACTCTTATATACGAGCTCCAGGCCAGGTTGAGGCCAGTGGGTATTACAGCGTTTGTATTCATGTCAATTAAATGTGATATAATGTATGAGTTTTCCTGCTGTGTATATAGGTATCCAAGTCCTCCGTGTACTCCACGATGACTTCCGTAGCCAGTCCGTCCGCGTTCAAAACATTCCTGACGTCTCCAAAGACGCACACAAGAAAGCACGACCAAGCCGAGAGCGCATTATTCCAAACAATGAAGACTTCCAGAAGGATATCTGCGAACCGAAAGCCGAAAGTAGCGTAGAGTGAAAGTCGACCGCCCGCAAGAGACCAAGATGTCGAAGAGCAAGGCGATTAAGAGAGCGTATAGGGTATGTGGAATGTGCCAGTTCATTAAGCGCGTATAGAGTAATGTGCGAGACGACGTTCAAGGGGGCCCCACAGAGACCAGGGCAGCCAAAAGGCAGGAGCGGGTAATAGAACGGTTACTTCCGTGCGGTGAAGGTGAGTCGGCACTCTTTCGATGCAGGGAAGATGACCTTATAAATATTAGTTGCATTATGATACGCACGGTTGGTAAACTAATGAACTCACAAATGCATCACGAATTTCCATGCTGCGTTCATTCGTTTCGCCGACCTTCGAAGCGATGTTGAAATTGCGCGCAACCGCAGCAACCGTCATACGCAGAACCATCTGTGCCAAATTTTGTCCTCCACAGACGCGACTACCGACGCCGAAAGGTATCATGTGTTGAGTCATCCTGCAATTCGCCATTACAGGCGAGGAACGACAGTGTGTCAGCAAAATGAGCGCCGCGAACGAATCACCTAGTTCACCTCATTAACCGCTCCTCTTCACCTGCGATCCCTTCGACAGGCAACCACCTCTCCGGCAGAAACGTCTCGGGACTGGGAAAAACATCTGCATCACGATGCATGCTCCAAGCCTGCGTCGAGACAATAGTGCCAGGAGGCAAGGCGTAACCCATCAAATCGAACGAATCGTCAATTTTAGATGCGGCGGGAACTATTCGCTCGAGGAGCGAAGGTGCAGCGCTATAGAGTCGTAGACCTGGAATACGATGCAATAAGTGCCTCAACTTCTGTTTATCTTAGGCAGACATGGGTGGCACACCTTCCTTGATGAAAGCATTTAGGTATGGCAACCTGTACAGGACCGACAGGTCGGGGATGACTTTACGGTCAGACATGACGTCATCGAGCTCGGTCTGGAGCTGCTTCATGATATCTGGGCGGCGACTGAGTTCCCAGAACAGGTAGGAAAGCGTCGTCGAAGACGTATCAACGCCCGCAATGCTATTGCGGGAAGATTTTGAGTCAGTCAAGCAGCCAGCCATTTGCGACGTTGGCGAACTCACAGGTGCCCCATAGCTTCTGAAATGATGTTCTGGTCAGACAATCCCTCACTCGTGGAAAACACGCGGTGTTGCAGCATGCGCTGGAGCAGGGGCATCTTCTCTACGTCGTTATCTTCCCCGACAGGACCAGCTTGCATCTGAGCGCGCATCTCGTAAAGCCGACCGCCGACAAACTGAGCGTCCAGACATCTTGAGTTGTACCGCTGTCATGCCTCAGGAATAACACTTACCTGGGCCATGATCTGATCGGAATCGCAAATTTGACGCCAGCGAACATTGGGGATGCGGCAGACAAGGTTCCACGCCCAAGTAGGAACAGCGCTACGCTACAAGAATCAACGGACGTGAGTACAGGCAATGCGCATATACCTGGGATTCGACGATCGGACAGGACATACCAAGATGCCTCTCTTGGGGAAATCATTGACTGCGGTAGAGAGTGGATCCTGGATGTTCATAGCCCGTTTCTCTAGCGACCCGGGGCGGCAACCGAAGACAGTATCGCCAATGATATCGACCATAAGGTGACGGAAGAGGTCAAGACATTCAACCGATGTCTCTCCTGCGAGGCAGTCGAGTATCTGCGGGGTAAACCAGGTGTGAGGACGGCAGGCGTGACGAAGAAACTTAGGCTTCAAAATGACTTCATAAAATAGATAGAAGTGAGCCTGGTAGAAAAAGTGGTGACGTACTTCTATGAGCGTGATGACAGAGTCGTGCAACTCAGTCTGGAAAAGTGAAAGAGTGGTTGGTATGTAGTGTGGAGAGTACGCCTTTCGGCGGATGGCGTGCTGTGCGTTCGGAAGGGTCGTCATGCTAGTTAATAGAAAGCTCGGTTAGTCGCTCAGAATGCGAAAAAGAGGTGATGGATTTTACGCATGGTCGTTATTGTTCCTGCAGGGAAGCTCAGATGATGTAGAAGAGAAGAAAGGATGGGACACGAACGTCGAAAGGCTCTTGTAGTACGTGCTCTTGTCGAGCTTGTGCACGCAGTAAACGCTCTTCATTGTCGTCACGTCGCAGAATGCCACCTTGTTGGGACCGACGCGGACGACGGGGCCATACTTCTCGAATAGAGTCTGTACGGTTCTGCATTGTTGCAGACGTACGACATGGGTGGTCAACCAGAAGTCCGAGATGGCCGCGTACCAAGGTCCGGGGAGGGCAGCGAGCGGAGAGAAGTGAACATGGTATACGGTGGTAGCGCAAAAATACAGGAGGACGAAGGCAAGGGCGAGAAAGAGGATGGAGGGGGTGTTGGCGTTGGCAGTGAGTAGGACTTTCGAGAAAGACGAAGGGGGAGTCGCAGAGTTGAAAGCAAGAAGAGACGCAGAGTTCATCGTGGTGTGTTACTGAGTGGGTCGTATGGTCAGTGAGGTGTTGTATCTGTTGTATCTGTCGGGATGCGTCGCTAGGTAGTCTCGGGGAGAAAACCAAATGGGACCTGCTCGCCGCTGCGAGGGTGTTGAAGAGGAAGGTGATGGGGGGAAGAAGAGGGGGTTAGTGAGACGTAGCTCTAGGTGCCGAGTATATATATGCTCCACCACCCGACGTGTCGGGGGACGCCGTCGAGAGTAGAAGTCCTGTCGTGAGCGAAATTCTTTCGCAGAGACAGTACAGACCAATTCTATTGAACATCCTACCTTCCATAAACGGGAAGTACACAGCCAAATAAGGCAGGTGTAGTGACAGCTACGTGCCTTCACATCTATACGCCGAATCGCCGGTCGACATTATAAGTGCCCGTCCAAGGTGCTTCTGGTCTACCCAATCAATGTCCCGAATTGGTCCTCCAATTCCGAGCATGTGGTCCCTGTCTGGACCACAGTGATAGGTCAGCACCAACAGTAGTGTCCGGCGGACGCATTTACAAGACCCCTCCATCATCCAGAGTTCACGTTCAACACCTATGTACTGTCAGCTGCAGGAGGTTCGTGATGTGGTAGTAAGCACAATGTGCAAACGCCAGACGAGGTACAGAGCAAGTACGTGTCCTAGGACCCAGCCAAGGTGAACACCGCGGTGTTAGCTGCCGAAGAGCGTCGAACGTAAGTCGGACAATTGTCAGCCGTAGACCCTGCTCTTCTCCAGGATTGTCATACGTATGATCGAGAGGTTCGAGGTCCCGATGCACGCCCTCCATCGCAACTCTCTCCGGCGCCCGCGTACAGGGAAGCGATTTGGCGTATCGTCTGAAGCGCAGACCCGCTCGAGGAATATGGGCGGAGTGAATAATACTGGTAAACCAATACTCGAAGCTTGAAATTTTGAAAGACCACAAGTGCGTATCGACCCGGAGTATAAAACATCAGATTCACGCAGTGAAACTGTAGTACGTCGACCCAGAAGGGACTGGACGCGTACGGTGACCTCGCGTCATCATCATGTAACATTCGAACGATATATCATCGAACGACGCACGTGCACACGGGAGCGCCTGCTCCTGCGGGTCTCGAGCGAAGAAACGTGGGCCCTGTCTCAGGACCAGACTCCGGAACGCGTCGCAGTAACATGAAGTTCCTCACCCAAAAAAACCACTGCCTGTACGAGACGACACGAGCAATTTGCGGCCCAAATGGGAGTTATAGGATAGACGCACGCTGCAAACGGTGAGAAGTAAGTTAGTAGCCGCAAGAGTTCCTGGTTGCCAAATTTGAGAACGATATCTAGGCACCTTGCGGCGATTTTCTGTTGAAGCAACCAGATAGCCTTCTATGAGATGGATTCGACGATCAGATAGAGTGAGCGGATAAAAAGATGAGCGCTAGCACCCACCGGCATTGGGAGCGAGCTTGCTGATTGGGGGTCAGAAGCTGGGATAACCCGAATGATCTCGAATGCAGATGAACCCGACGGACGGAGGCGCCATGAGAAACAGAATATTACGGGAGTATTCGTATTTCTGCTGTTGATGCGGCAGCTGGTCGAAAGGTCTTCTCTTAACGGCTACAGGACTTGACTTACCCGACTGGCAACTCCGCACATCTCATGTGCAAGGCACCGGCTCCAGGTTCCATTTCTCAAGATGTCCTTGCCCATAGTAATGATACAGTTCGCATCTTGATCCAGGAGGCCTGCCGCTCAGTCAAGCTCATGGTCACGGCCAGTCACGCGTCACGGCGATTTTCAGACCTCGCCAATATTTTTTTCTGGATTTTTGGGAATTTAGATTTCTTGAACTGACAAAAAAAGGCAAATGTTGGCCGGATTCATCAGGAAAACCCAACCTTCTCTTATGGAAGACTTTTGGGTCTGAGAACCCATATTTAAGACCATAAGTGTTCAAATAAGTCGAATTTCAGACACTCAGGGAATATGCCTTAGGCACTTTTTGTCCTTATGTCCTTAAATAAGGACTATAAGTCCGTTTAAGTTATTTAAGTGTCCTTTTAAGGAAAAGTGGGGTTTTCCTGATGTTGGTCAACGGTACTGGCAGGACTCCAGGAAAATTTCTCTCAAAGAACTATTTTCGGGAGTTTTGCACCAGACCTTAGGCCAAAGGGGACTATTCCAGGGATGTTCTGCATGTAAGGTTGGGCTCAGCCCTCTAATGTCACTTGCATTGAACTTGTCTTGTAAAACTAATCACATTGTAACAACTCGACAGATGGCCATTCTTCAAACGATGATTCAACGATGAAAATTAGTGGCTAAGGATCCTGAATTTTCATCATTAGTAATTCTCTCAAAGCACTGCATGAAGTGCTGGATTACTCTAGGGAAGGATTGCATCGGGATCAGGGCATTACAACCTCATTCTCACAATATCCTATACACATTACTATGTCGCAATTCATAGTCCGAGGAGCTCAGGAGTCCGAGGAGATGACCTGGCACGTTCCTCTGAATGTGCTCGGTTCAGTTTACCCTTTTTTACCTGTATTTACTCAACGCCTTGGCGTGATTGCTATGTAGCCAGCAGCGCTGATCATCGTATATACCTTACTAGTGCAGAGCAGGGGTATGGATAACCCTCAAGGGTAAGGGGTAAGGGTATTGGAGGATAAGGGTAGGGGTATGAACTTTTAGACCCTTGTACCCCTGGAAGGTATCACTGCATATAGTATATATAATGTAAGCAGTAATTGTATGGTGACTAAAGCCTAAGTATAGTCTAGATACAGCCTTAAAATATGTCTACAGAAGCTTCAAAGAAAAAAGAAGGCTATTACAAGCCTTAAACTTAATGTCTATGATGTTATTTCCTCAACTAAGGCAGATATTGAGGGGTATACCCTCAGGGTTTGGTACCCTTACCCATACCCTTACCCCTGGTGAAGGGTATGTACCCTTGGAGGGTAAGAGTAGGGGTACAGCTCAAAGTACCCAGGGGTATACCCCTGCTCTGCACTATACCTTACCGTTGCTCATCGGATACCCCAGAGACTCATTGTCCCTGTGCATTCATGGACGTCTCCCTTTTCCTATTTACATGTACTATTACTTACAGCTGTTGCAGTGACCTCTGTGTCACTGCAAGGTATGAATACATAGAGACTCATTGTTCTGGTGCATCCACTGACCTCCGTGTCACTGCAAGGACACTCTCCGGTCTGTCTGCCCTCCAACTGTATTCGCTGTGCTTAATCGGCTTTGCCATTCTGACCTGAGTTGGTCACCCTGTTGCTTCTCGCATCTCGATATACTAGTAATGTTAGAAATCGCGCTTTAGTATCCAATTAGGAAGGTAGTGATGGCGGGTCAAGATGCATCAGAGTGCATAATTACATGTTGTCGACTCAGGGTATGCACGAGCCTTGGCTGGAGGAGCTTTTGACTCCAGGTCAAGTAAGTGGTACTTCGCTGTGGTTCACTGGGCGTGGCAAAAGTGAAAGTATGCCGGGCTATCACAGTTGTTCATTGATATCAAATTTATGATAGTGGGTTAGGGACACACAAGCTATACGTGTGTTTCGTTGTCTGAAGTTGGGATGGTAGTCTGCACAATACAGATGGGGGAGTGTAGAGGGGGGATGCCTAGCAACCGTGTGCAAGGGCTTGTGTTCTGTCTTCTTATATGATGCCTATAACCAGTGCAGGGCTTAACGGGTTTTCTTATATGAGGTCTACAACCGGTGTCGACTCGGGGTACGCACGGGCCTTGGCCGGAGGAGCTTTGACTCCAAGGTCAAGTACGTGGTACTTCGCTGTGGTTCACCGGGCGTGGCAAAAGAGAAAGTACACCGGGCTATCACAGTTGTTCGGTGATATCAAATTTATGATAATGGGTTAGGGACGCCTGAGCTATACGTGTGATTTGTTGTCTGAAGTCGGGATGGGAGTCTGCACAATACAGATGGGGGAATGTAGAGAGGGATGCCTAGCAACTGTGTGCAAGGGCTTGCGTTCTGTCTTCTTACACGATGCTGAGTCTTCTGTATTCTCTTTTATCCATGTGCCTACAACCGTGTGCAGGGCTTTTACCGAGTACGTGTGTCCGAATACAATGTGCCTGGCCGATAACTTTCCTACGTGTTGTCCGAGAACTTTCTGAGAACGGGTTGAGTATCTAGCAACCGTGTGCTAGACTACTCAACAGAAACGATATGAGAGTGCAGTAGTTATGTTTCGTAACAACTCACTGCCTGCACTGAACTGACTTCATCGGGATCCTGTTGATTATGAGTAACAATGTTACTGGGAGGAGTGGAACAAACTCCTATTCTTTTGGTTTATCACTTTGTAGGGTAAGCTACAAGCGGAGGGAGAACTCTTCACTTATAGGGGGCTACAAGTGGGGAGAGAAGAACTGAGGGTCGGGGCGCCTCGGGGGTCCTTTTATACCTCTCGGGTGTCACCCGTTGTGACTGTTACATAGTAGTGTTATATGGCAGATTGGCCAATAGCAAAATAAGAGCATCACGTGATCAAAGGGGAAAGTAGAAAGGAAAAATGTCTTAGGACCTTCGTGTCCAATAGCATAAAGTGAGCAGGGAGAAACAGGGAAGACAAAACTCTTGGGACCTCTGTGTCCAATAGCATAAAGCGAGCAGGGAGAAGTAGGGAGAAAGCACTTTCCGAGTTTTTCCCGTCCAATAGCATAATGTGAGCGTCAGGTGACATGCTCGGCCAAACGTTCTCGGGTTCCGTCTTAGTCACGTGACTTCTTCGTCGAGCGCTTCACTGGTGGTTACGTGTTCACAAGCCAAACACTTTTGGTGCGTGACATCTGGGCGGCACAAAAAAATGCAACTGACCCCAGTTGCCCTCCTCGGACCATTCAGGTTCTTGATGAAGCATCAGAATCTTCTACACTGATGCTTGAATGGTCAGAGTGGTCATCTGAACTGCTGCTTCCATCATTTTCATAATTTTCCATTTCTTCGGCTAATTCGATAAGGCGTGGGTCATCACGATGCACGTACGGCAGCAGGCGAAATGCAGCAATGCTTTGTTTCCAAGGCGTTCCATCGAGATCCTTTAGAACATATGCTCTATTCATCGTCCGGCGTACCTCCTCGTAAGGGCCCAAATATTGGTCTTTGTGCTTGCGATCCATCTCCTTTTCGACTGTGTTGTTGTGTATGAGAACCAACTCTCCCTTCGTGTATATATCCTTGGTAAGGCAGTGCTTGAAATGTGTCTCGAATGCTTCTTTGGATTGGAGGCGATGATGACGTAGTGTGTCTGCAGCACGGGCTAAGTCTTCGGGTCTCTTCTGTAGTTGGCGAATGTGCATTGCTAGCAGGTTGCTGGTTGTCATTCCTGAATGATATCCCTCCATCATGAACGTTGCTTCGGTAAGGTCGAAAGGAAGCACGGGGTGGACTCTATACAGCAAATAATACAGGGAGAAACCAGTTGAGCGGCTGACAGTGATGCAGTCGGTGAAGAATGCATGATGTATGAGGTCGGGCCAGCGGTTAACTTGTCCGTTACATGCCTTGATAATTGATTCGCGTATAGTGAAGTGTCCACGTTCAACTACTCCATTTGCCTTTGAATTGTAGGCTGATATCCGCACTTGAGGAATTCCATAGCGGCGCATTAACTCCGAGAACGCTCCTTTAACTTCATTCCCATTGTCGGTCGTTACTTGTCCAACTGCTCCATATCGGCAAAATACTTCTTCTCAAATGAATCGTGCCACAGCTTTAGCATTGGCCATTGGCCTTGCGTAATGCTCGTCCTTCAGCTACTCGAGAAAGATCGTCTCATGCTGCAATGATATAGCGATGCCCTTTGGCGGTCGGCATGAACGTAATGTCCACATAAACCTTGGTGAATATTGTGGATGGGGCTGATATCAGGATGGGCACTTCCACTTTGCGTACACTTCGGATTTGACACTGGTGACATGATTGGACATGCTGCTGTGCGTCGTTCCACATTCCTGGCTAGTAGAAATGCTCTTTTAGGGTTTGCATGACAGCATATTCTCCTCGGTGTCCAAGTCCTTCATGTGCCTGAAACAAAATAGATTGTCGGGATTTCGTGGAGAGGATGACTCGTAACGAGGGCTTTCGTCCATTTCTCCAATATAGTTTTCCATTGCGCATAAGGAACCGTGAAGCTTTCTGGATAAATCGTCGTTTCTCTTGAGTGTTCGGGAAAATTGGTGTTTCAAGGGTCTGCAGAAAATGCTTGTAATCACTGAGGGTCTCGTCTTGATCACTTCGAGTAACAGTGTATGCCTTGACTGCATTTCCATGGGTTCTTTTTGTGTATCCAACCAGTGCTGATCCATAGCTTTGACCTCGGGCTCTGATTTCCATGTATAAGGCGATATCGTCCAACCAGAAATCATCATGTTCACTTGCTTCTTCGTCAGATGCCAATTCTCATCGTGATAGAGCATCGGGTCCTTTGTGTTTGTCAGCGGGCACATGGATGAGTGTAAAGTGAAACAATAGGACTTCTTGTATCCATCGATTGATAGTTGCATTGGGTTGCAAGTCTGGCTCATTCAGCATTTCCTTGATGTATTTTGCATCCACTTCCACTTGCAAGTTCCGTACTCCAATCAAATATAACCGATAGGCATGCAGCGCTCGGTACAGTCTGTAGAGCTCCAATT